ACCTACCAGATAGCATCTGTGGGTCTGCTATTTGGACAGAAAACGGAGATGTTGTATCATTCTTTCATCATGCTCCCAAGGGAGGTGTAATGGTGGATTGGTGTGTTGGTATTGCCTCCGACGAACTTATTGAGAGGGGATTCTCTGTAGTAGATACGACGAATAGAGAAGAGTGAATGACTAGGGACTGGATGGGAGATGCTGATAATCGAAGGAGGCCTTCGACCTTTTCAAAATGGACACAGAAAGTTATGATAACACGAGCTTCAGCGAGAATAAACTTGGTGTATTATTGATTAACTAAGCCAGCGACCTAAAGGATAATAGAATTGATCAAATCTGATCAGATCTGTTTAATATTAGATAAATCGTTATCAAAAATCTCCTCATCTTCACTCTGGACCTCGATTGGACTGCTGAGAGCCGGAAGAATTGGAGCAGGTTTAGCGAATTCGTGACAGGTTTGAGCTGAATTGGCCAATTTAGTAGAGGCTGGAGCAGGTTTGGTCGATTCGGTGGAGGTCTTAGCTTCGACTCTCTCAGCAACTTGCGCAAGAACGGTCGAAAGAGTTCGTAAGTGGACGGCCGGGATTGTAGAGAGTGACTCGATAAGACTCTTAGTAGAGTCAGTTGAGTCTTCCAGTCGTTCTCGTTTATCCGAAGTTGAATCAATTCCCGCTAAATTTCTTCGTATTAGATTCGGATATTATTTTTACAAGTTAGAAGGGGAAACATACGACTTTACTTGCGCTTCTTCTGGTTAGGTTGGAGTGAACAGGACGCAGCTTGGTAAATACAGCAAGCGCATGATAGGCTGAAGTCAGTCCAGACTACACAGTTAGGGAATTTTCCATGCCCCTTCGAACACTTGTCGCACGGGTTTGCGGCAACCTGACCGAAGACGTAAACTGCAACACCATCGGCATAAGATGGACGTCCGCGCCCGCTGCGGCCAATAAGCGACTCTGTGCAAGTCTGAACATTTGTGCCCGAGTATTTTGGCTTTTCTCGAACTTGGAGAAGCCGTTCAAGGGACTACATCAATAAGTTAGTATATAATACAGTAGAGTTGAACAGAATTGAACAGACCTTCTTTTGAAGAGCCAATTCAAGTGTGCTGCCCCCCCATGATGGTTCGATTTGAGCTAAAGCCCAGGCTGTAAACTCAGTGGTCCCGTTGGTTGGCTCATTTGCATCCTTTCGGCCAATTGGCAGCGGTTTGCCGTTAAATGTAAACGGGGACACTTTACTAGCCTTTGGAGCTTTAGATCGTTTTGGTGGTGCCATGTTGACAGACGTTGGTAGGAATTATTCGGAACTGTTTGAGTTGTCAGGAGAAGCCTCTGGCAAGGGTTTATCTGATCCTTCAATTGAGGTCCAGCTTTCTCAGGCTAGTATAGACAAAATAGATCCGATTAAAGCGAAAGGAGAACGGATCCGATGCTCTTAAGGTCGGCAATTTGCAGAGCCGGGTGGATTTGAGAGGATCAGGTGAACCGGGGGGAAGGGGGCCAACTTACAAGTCGGAGGTAGGGTAATGTAGATGTAGAAGGGAAAAAAGAAGAGAGGGTTTGGAGCCACAAGGAGTTGGAGATCTCGAGAATAAAAACCTTTTAAAATATTAGAATTATTTGAGTCGAGAGTCGTCCCTTCTCTCTTGGTGTATGATAAAGACTTATTTAAAAGTTACGTTGTCATCGAAAATGCTCAAAAATATCAAGTCCGCTACGCACTTCTTCTCTGTGAGACTTTCCTGGTTTAGACTTCATCCCCTGTGGTAACTTTTCGAAGGCACGAAGTCCTATATGACGCCAGGAGCCTAGTGTCGACGGCGCTTCTCGCAAAGAATCTCTGCGTGAGAGATCATTGAAGCTGGCGTTGAAATTTTTCGTCGCGTCGCTCCCAAATGCCAGCTAACCGCTGGCGAACCACCCTGTCGGCCTGGTCACTTTCCTCTCGGAGCCTCTTCTTGACTTCGTTCAGTTTTGTCACGATCTGGTCGCATTTACTCGCTAAAACGAGTAGGGGGTCATTCGAGATCACGTCTTCCAACATATCTAAGACTAGCGATTGTAGGGGCGCACCTCGGATGCCGCCGAGCAGCCTGTCAGCCGCCTCTTGTCGGCCTATACTCCTATCGTCGATTGCGTCGAGCGCGACAGGCTGGACAGGCGTTGCTTGTAGGATTGGACCTGCTGCGGCAGCCGCAGATGTGGTAGCTCGGTCTACATTATCGTCTTGTGGTGTAGGTTGGGTGGTGAGGAGGGCGGATTCCGGGATAGGCTCTGGGACTGGAGCTGGCTCTACGACTGGAACTGGGGCTGTTGTTGCAACGACTTCCCCTTCCCTTTCATCCTCTTGCTCAGTAACAGTTGCAGAGACTGGGGTAATAACCAAACATGGGGCTGGCCCTTGCAGCATGGCGCGGATCTCGTGAGGAGGCTTGTCGAGGTTCACGGGGAGGACCCATTTAATCTCCGTCATTGTAACATCTGTTATGATAATAGAATGAAAGAGATCGTGGAAATATCGCGCCGCGTCGGTTGCTAGCAGGCTCTCAGGCCTTGATGTATTTGTAGATATGGACTGAAAGTGGTCATCGCTGTCCATCCAGTGGGTAAAAACCTCCAGTGATGCGCGGATAATATTTGGGGGGGCAGGGTCATTGCGGCCAGGGTTTAGCCTAGTAATTATATCATCCCACTGAGTCTCGTGGATGATTTTGATGAAGGCAGGCGGAAAGCACTTCTTCTTAGTCTCCCAGCAGATGAAAAGGACTGCCCACATCTCGTGTACAGTAGGCTTTCGGGGCGGGTTGGAACCGATCATTTCCTGCACAGCCTTCACAAGAGGCTGGTCCCTCATGTCGGTAGCGCGATAGTTGCACCTCCCCCATGCCTTTAGTACTCCGAGGATGTCTCTAGCTCGATAGTGGTTGAACCAAGACGGGGGAATCTTTCTCAGGAATGCCATCAGTCTCTTACGAGCTCTGTGTAAACTGATGAGCTCGGGAGCTTGCGACGGCGAGGTAGGAGATGACATGTCGCGTTGGGCAGTCCAGAAACATCTGCGGCTTCCGACTAGTAGAGAGAAGGATCAGAAAAAGAGGAAAAGAAAAAGAGACGGAAGGAAAAAATGGCAAGGTTCGGTGACCAAGGTGACAAGTGCGGTTTGGCTGTCTGGGGCACAAATGACCTCCGACACTCTCGGGTTCCCTTCTGAGAGAAAACACGTTGGGTCGCTTCTTTCTGCTGCTGAGAGCTACAAGAAGACCGGAAATAGATTTGAATTAAGATCCATGAAAGGCTCCCAGCTTTGGCTCGCAGAAACGCTTCCAACAATGTAGTAAGGTGCGACTGTGACATGAAAGTTAGCTGGAGAAGTGTCATTGGTCCATTGGATTGGCGAACGAGAGCTAAACCTTCTAGATTCGGACGTGTGTAGCTACCGGACAATGGACTTACCTCGTTGGGGACTCTTCTGCGGACGTCGTTGAAACCTTTGAATGTATTGGGTCAAGCTATAAATGAGACCACGAATTGTAGACTGTTCAACCAGCTCAATAGCCGTTCTGATAGCCGAGTTATGAGAGCTCACATGCCCCTGTGCAGAATCTGTACGTTGTAACTCGGTAAGACAGGCGAGGACAAGCCAGCATAAGGAAAGAGAAGTGGAGGGACAACAGGAAGATTCAATTTAGCAAATGAATAAGACGCACAGCTTTTGAAAGTAATCACATGTAGATAGGTTCTCTTGAAAATATGTTAAAGTCTTGGAAGGGATAGAACGACCTGAGTAGTCTCCTCCATAGTTATTAAAACGACAGGCGTGAGTATCACGAGAAGAAGTCTGCAGCTTGCTGAGGCAAGAACTACTTATATTTCATGTCCTAGTTGTTGAGAAGCCCTCGCCTAGTTACTATTAATACCATATTGAACTCCGCTCCCAGGTTCACACTAAGCATCCCCAGGCATCACAGGACATCCAATTCTCCCTCCAAACTACCCAACCCGATATCATCAAGCATCACGGAACATTAGGTTCTGCTTCCGAACTGAAACGAACTTGATATTCCAAGTATCACAGGACGTCCAACTCGCCTTCGGAATCTAACACGATGTCTTGAAGAACCGTGGCATATCTATCTCGGCTTTTAGACTTATCCTCAAGCATCACACAACGTCCAACTTTCCTTCCGACTCTAACACGATATCTTGAAGAATCGTGGCGTATCTAACTCTACTTCTGAATCTATTCCGAAGGATCGTAGAACGTCCAACTCTCCTTCCGAATCTATCACGATATCTTGATACCTTGAAGAATCGTGGAGTATATAACTCTGCTTCTGAACTTAAAATTCGATATCCTCAAGCATCGCGGAACATTCAACTCTCCTCCAAAACCCAACTCGACATCTTGAAGCGTTACTGAATATCCAGCTCTGCTTCTAAATCTAAACCCGGCATCCTGCAGTATCGCGGCGCACCGAACTCGACTTCGAGATTCAAACTCGGCATCTCCCATCGTCGAATCATCTAACTCTACTTTCGGGTGACAACCTCCAGGTTTCTCCCGCATACAAACTGGATATCTTCCAGGCCACAATACATCAAACGCTAGTTTCAGGTACAGACTCGATACCCTCGACGTCGAAGCATATCCACCGCTCTCTCCGGGTGTAAACTCAACATCTTCCAGGGTCGAGAATATACTATGTTGAGTCCCGCCTCGAATACGACAATTGGTATCATCACAACGCATTGGGATCGGATTCTACCTACATTACTTCTAAGCCGTAATCTTCCCCCATTGCGACATCAAACATACCAATTGACATCACAAAGCATCTGGCCTGGACACTACTAAAATACCTCCATACAACCTCCTTCTCTTCAGTCGAGTAAATCTGCAGTAGTTCAATAGACTCCTTAACTTTTCAGGAATGTGCCTCCGTAACACATCTGAACACATCTGAACACATTTGGACATATCTGGACACTATGGACACTATGGAAGCCCTACGGGATTATGCGAGGGACGTATATGAGACGGAGGCTCCCAGTGTAGACGGCTATGTACCGGTCGAGCAAAGCATCTCTGCATTCCACGGAGTGCTGGATGTCGATGAAGAGGTACAATTTTATACGCAAAACTCGGCTTTCGGCGAGGGAAACACGGAAGAGCACATTAAAAGCATTATAATCAACCGTATAACCAACATCGCGAGGTACACTAACGGTGATGATATCAGGCGCGCCATGCGCCTCTTCGGAAAGGAGGACTGGGAGGACAGGGTTATCAACACGAACTTGCCCAATTTCGTACCAAACTACCACCAGATCCTCGGTAAGCTGCTCGAGCTTTTGTTTCTTTCTCCTTCTTTTGTTCAAGTTTGTTTTTATTTGCCGTGGGTCATAGATGGACACACTAACCGTGATCTGTTCTAGACGCCGCCACGATGTGGGAAAGGATCAATTCGCCCCAACGCTTCGTCTTGCTCGCTAATGATTGTGGTGCCGGGAAGACGATAGCTCTCTTTCTCCTTGTACACCTTTCTATGATTCAAGACTGGACGGGAAACGCGCCGAAAGGACCACCATTGTTGCTGGTCCCACCAGCCATCGAACTACAAGTCTTAACTGAAGGTGTAAATTTCTTTAGGGGCCTATTGGATGTAAGGTTGGTCCGGGGTAACTCGAGGAGGAACAATAGCACTCCTGCAAACCTCCAGGACCTGGTAATCTCTCCAGAAGAGTTTGAGGCAGAGATCTCCGTGTACAACCGTATGGAGTCTAGGAAGCTATTTATCCTAAGCTTCTATACGGCTACTAGTGTCATGACCACAAGACGGCCTTTAGAAGATGACGGCGACAACGACGACAACCAACCGCCGACGCCTACCCTGGGCCCAGGCGAGTTCACTGCTCGCAAGACTTACTATACTGTCAGGGCACCGTTTATGGCTACGTGCTTTTCGACGATCCTTGTAGACGAGGCTCACGTTTGTAGGAATCCGAAAAATGTCATATCGAAGCTGATCCAGACTCTGCCCTCCAGAAGTGTCGTCGCAGCTACAGCAACACCTTTGCAGAACAGAGTAAAAGATATCCTAGGATACCTACATCTTATCTGGAAAGGCGATGATTTCCCGTCGGATAAGGACTTCCTTGAGCTCTCGGATGCTGAGTTCAAGGTAAGGTACCGGAACTATGATTGCCCGCGCAGTATTCGGTATAGTGTAGATTACCGAGACTCCCGGGTCTTCGAGTCGCCGCAGCTGTGGCTCCTAAATCCCCGACTACTGGAAAGGTACGGATCTCTTTGTCGCTGGGATAATAGAGTGTGCGAGACTCTGCTCCCCGAGGTCCTTCGAGAGGTGCAACTTCGCCGGACATTGAGGACACCTCTGAGGCTGCCCAACGGGGCCTTGGAGTGGCCAGCGGACAATATTCCGCCGCTTTCAGTCTCAACAGAAGAGCTCTGTTTTCCAAATGGCTGGGAAGAGCGAGTAATTGCTCTCACTAACAAGCTCATCCCGCGATTTGGAAAATGGGGCCCTCAAGATAGCGAGGGATCTGAAAGCCGCGAGGGGACGGACGTAGTCCCTATGGATCCAACCATCAGTGCCCAAACGCAGCCGAGAGCAATACCCAGAGACGTATTGAGTCGGTTTCGTCTCGCCCAACGCATCAATTTCGATGCGCGGCAGGCGGATGTCTCCGCCGACAGCATCACGTCGCCGATTGCTGGGTCAGACGCTGCCGTTGCTGACCGGATCCGGGAAATGCTCTGCGGCTCGCCCATATTGGCACGGGTTTTCGTCGCTTGCCTCGACCACTCGGTAGCTGGGGAAAAAGCCGTCTTTCTCGTAGACTCCCCTTACACTCTAGAGTATGTACTACCGTTTCTGAAAATTACACAGCGCAGCGCCCCCTCCTTGAACGGAGCCATTGCAAGCTAACGTTTTTTCTTCGTTTCTTAGCGCGGTCAAATCCTTGATATCACTGTCCGGCTGGGATGCAGAGACCATCGAAGCGAAGCACTCAGCATCGCAGAGGGTGGCTATCCTACGCCGTTTCAACGACCCGCATTCGGGATGTCAGTTCATAGTGACGTCGTTCCGGATCGGAGGGCAGGGTCTAAATATGCACCGCGGTGCTGCGCACGGGTACATATTGACACTACCTTTTAACTACAGTACCATTCAGCAAGGGATCGGCCGTCTAGCCCGTATCGGCCAACGCCGGCCCGTAAAGTGGACGATCTTGGTAGTCCGCAACGGGTACTCGATGTATCGGGAGTCCGCCATGACCCACAAGCTGGTCAGTGAATATGACACGAGGATAAACCTTGGTCGTATTTGCAATTTTGTCAAAGGGGAGTCTCGCCAGCTCCTCATTTACGAAGCCGTTCGAGTCGCGTTTGGCCAGACGACGAACAAGTACCTCTGGGGGATCCTCGAGCCACGGGAAATAGGGAGTTTCTCTCGCGGTAGTATGGTATGGCTCGCGCAGGTGTATTCACGAGTGGCGCATCTATTGTTGCATAGATGTAGGCACTGGACTCCCTCGGAAAGAGAGGGGGTCGAGTGGATGATCCCGCGCGTGCCATACTATATCATGCCCGAGCTCTACCCGGAGGCGCCTGGCTCGGATCTCGACAGACTCGAACGGTTCATCATGAATGAGTGGGGTAAAGAACGGACAAGACGGCAGGCTGAGGAAATGGAGAGGTAAGAGTGGCGAAAGGAGCCGGGAGGTGCCACTGAAACATATTATAGTGAAGGCAGCGAAGCTTCTGATTGGGAGGAGTGGGAAGAGTCGGAGGATGAGGATGGGGATGATGGAGAGGACGGTGTGGGAGTTGCGGACGATGTTGATGACATCGCGATATGAGCGAGCAGATGATCAGTGTTACCACAAGAAGTTCTCCTTTCCTTTCTTCATGTACCTCCTCCTCAATCTTTACATATCCATCTTGACAATCTTCTTCGAGCAATATTGACGCAACAATGGCCGACTGGTCTCCCACGCAACCCCTACGGGCTTACCGCCCCCACTGTATTACTCCAGAAGAGTTCAAGAGTTCCTTGGAACAACACGGGGCTGGAGGATGCTCCCGCCACATGTGGTGTGTGGCTCGTGCATGTATCTTTGTGGCTGACAAGTTTGACAAGGCTCACCGCCTATCAATTTCTGCCCCACTATGCGCGCGGGTACATTTCACTGGTGCATAACCATTTTAACACGAAGAATACACACATATTTGTTAAGGAAATATGCAACTCTACTTCTCACTCTCCAACCACAAACTCCAACACTGGTCAATCAAGGGCAGAAAAAAAAAAAATCGAATTGAGAAAGCTTCACCTTCTCAAAAATCCGGACCGAAAATTTCCAGCACCTCGACGACGCTCGCTCCACGTCGAACCTCGAGTCCACGATCAATTCGACTTTCAGATTTCGGCAATAATATTTGATTTTCTTTCTCTTGAGGTACGGATTGCTATTTCCGATTGTATCGAAACCTCTCGCCCTAGTCTCGTGCCCTCGAGTTTTTGTTTCTTCAATTTTTTCCCCGTTCTTTTTCCGTTTCGACCTTGGATCGCGCCGTTGCTGACCTTGTACGTCCGGGAAAACAGTCGCGAGATATTTACAGCCTACGAGTCGAATCGAAAATATGACGATGGATATCGTGAAGGCGGGTGCCTCCAACGAGGAGGACGAGCAGATCATCAAGCCGCAGGCTTCCACGCCCGCCCTTGACACGAGCGATTGGCCTCTTCTTCTTAAAAACTACAGCAAACGTACGTCTCTCTACACTGGAAAGAATTTTATGGGATCCCTGGACTTGGAATGTTTGGACTTGGTCACAGTCAAGGGGGATTCTAGGCTCTTTGGACTTGGGACTAATCTTGAGGTTCTTATAGTCCTTATTCGAACTGGTCACTTCACCCCGATCCCCCACGGTTGCGCGCCGCATAAACGAGACCTCAAGTCGTATATCCAGAGTGGTGTCATCAACTTAGACAAGCCATCCAACCCTTCGTCTCACGAGGTCGTGTCGTGGATCAAGCGCATTCTAAGGTTAGTTGGAGACGATTGGAAGCGGATCGCATGGTGTACGTATTTGGACGGAATAGGGCTGACATGGATACAGATGCGACAAGACTGGTCACTCCGGAACTGTACGACTTTTATCCCTCAAGGCGAAGTTGGGTATTGTGCATCTTACTAATTTTTCATCTAGTTGGACCCCAAAGTTACCGGCTGCTTGATCGTCTGGTGAGTTAGAATCCTCGCCCGATACCGTCGAACATGACGATGCTAACAGACTTCCAGCGTCGACCGCGCCACTCGATTGGTCAAGTCCCAGCAGGGTGCTGGTAAGGAGTACGTCTGCGTCATCCGACTCCACGACAGGATTCCCGGCGGCCAGCCCCAGCTCGCCCGCGCCCTGGAAACCTTGACCGGTGCCCTGTTCCAGAGGCCCCCCTTGATCTCCGCCGTCAAGCGTCAGCTCCGTATCCGAACCATCCACAACATCAACCTCATCGAATTCGATAATGATCGCGGCCTCGGCGTCTTCAGCGTCTCTTGCGAAGGTAAATATCGTTTATCTGTATCCTCCATTTGCGGTTGCTGTGATAGCTAACTTCCGTGACAGCCGGTACTTATATCCGAACCCTCTGCGTCCACGTCGGTCTTCTCCTCGGTGTCGGCGCGCACATGCAGGAGCTCCGTCGTGTGCGATCCGGTGCCATGGGCGAGTCCAAGAACATGGTGACCCTCCACGACGTTCTCGACGCGCAGTGGCTCTACGACAACACGAGGGATGAGTCCTACCTCCGCAGGGTCATCATGCCCCTCGAGACCCTTCTTTGCACGTACAAGAGGCTGGTTGTCAAGGACAGCGCGGTCAATGCCGTCTGCTACGGTGCCAAGCTTATGCTTCCTGGATGTGAGTTTGATTCATTTTTCTTCCAAGCGTGAAATGGCCGTATATTCTAACAATTTGCGATAGTGTTGCGATACGAGGATGGCATCGAGCATCATGAGGAGGTTGTTCTCATGACCACCAAGGGAGAGGCCATCTGCCTAGGTATCGCCCAAATGGTATGTGCACGTTCCAACACAGCCCCCCCTTTCCAAGATTAACGCAGCAAAAAATAACTAACATCCCAAACCTAGTCTACCCTCGAAATGTCCACCTGCGACCACGGCGTCGTCGCCAAGGTCAAGCGAAACATCATGGAGCGCGACCTCTACCCCCGCCGCTGGGGTCTCGGTCCCACCGCCCTCGAGAAGAAGAAGCTCAAGGCCGACGGCAAGCTCGACAAGTACGGCCGGATAACCGAAAACACCCCCGCCAAGTGGAAGGCCGACTATAAGGACTACAGCGCCGCCCCCGGTGAAGCTCCCGCCGCTACCCCTGCCACCCCTTCCGCCGCCGTAGAGGCGACCCCCAAGGCCATCGAGGCAACCCCTGCGGCTGCGGAGGAGCCCGCGGCGGACGAGGGCGATTCCAAGAAGAGGAAGAAGGATGAGGAGACGCCTGAGGAGAGGGCCGAGAGGAAGCGAAGGAAGGCGGAGAAGAAGGCTGCTAAGGAGGCGAAGAAGGCTTCGAAGGGGAAGAAGGATGATAGCGAGTAAGCTTGGGAGGTGGCGCTTTTTTCTGTTCTTCCTTTCCTACTGTTTCCCGAGGAAGAACGGGTTTATTGAGCTTTGGAGAAGAGAGAGGTGAGGTGTGAGAGTGAAGAGTATGGAATCGTGGTCTTGTTGTAACCATACATTGGGCTTGCGTTTCTCGGTGTACTGGGCGTTTGGTTTTTTTTCTTGATTTATTATTTCTTTCCCCGATTGCCTGGCCCGGATCCCGTAGATAGGAATCTGAAACGGAGAAAAAAAAGTTTGAAATTGCAGCCCAAAGGGCCGTTCGAAGCAGCGGGACACCGAAGAGGGCCCTCGGACTATGACGAATGAGCGAGACGTACAATTCAGCCATCCTCCGGAATGTGGTATACGGAGTGATTCGTCAACACGATCGCCTTGTGCGCTGTCTTCCCTGGCCTGGTTCTGCCGTAGGTTTCGTCGGCTAGATCCCGGACGGACCGCAATTGGCGAGGCTACCAGGGAAGACACTGTTCGCTTAGCCGACTCTTCACGGAATCAATGACCAAATATCCATCTCACTGCCATGGACAATCGCGGCGTACTCTCCCCTTCGGCTGAGGATGGTATAGGTACTGATATCCGCGCTGCCTCTCATCAGGACCTGGCCCAATCCACTTTTTAAGTCCCAGACCCTAACCTCACCGCCTTCTAACGCCGATATGACCCGTTCGCCATCCTTGGTGAACTTGGCTGCGACAACATGAGTCCCATTTCCTTGGAGTGTTTGTACATACCGTATCGAACGCTCCTGCCCGTTCCATTCCCCTACCACAATCTTCCCATCGACAGTAGCGCCAAGAAGGTTCAATCCGCTCGGGGAAACATCCACCGAACATATAGGTCCGGAGGCACTACTCACGTCACTGAAGGAGGGTGTCGAGCTGAGAAAGTCATCCAAGACGATAAGTCCTTCAGGGGAACCTGTGACTAAATATTGAACACCCGGCGAAATAGCCATAGCAGTATACCCAACTAGACGAGGGACCAAGCGAAGAAGTATGCCTCGGTTTATATCCCACAATCGGATGATACCATCACTAGAACATGAAGCAAGAACGTCCTTGGTTGGGATAGCAATGTCGATAAAGCTGTGTCCGTGAGCCTCGAAGGTGCATGAAACTTCCCTGGCCCGAATATCATAAACCTAAAAAAGCCATAGGGGCTTGTCAGTCACATCCCAGAAACATGAGGGACGAACTGCTGACCTCAAGTCTACCAGCTCCACCGACAGCCAGGTATTTACCATCGGGACTGAAGCAAATGCAGTCGACAAGAAATTTAGGGTCGGAACTAATAATGTTTGCGTCAAGATAGTCAACTATTTTGTTTGAGCGGATGTCATGGATTTGAATCGCTCCGTCAATTTCAACGGCGACGTATTTGGCGTCATGGCTACAACACATATGAGAACTCCCGCTGAACATTCCGAGTGAAAGGACGATTCTGGGAGAAAAGTCGGGGAAGGGAGTCTCGGCAGTGCGGCTAGGATTATTATCTTTCTGCCCATCCATGCATGGCGAGGAGGTTTGGTGTCTTCCTATATCCTGGTTGGACATCTCTTGTACAACTTCGGCCTGGGTAGTTGAGGGGAGGTGTACCCCTTGGGACCTGGGAGAAAAGTTGCCGACATGACGCAACTTCTTTCGACGAAAACCCTGTTCGTGATACTTGCTGAAGTGGTTAGCTAGCGCCTGCGCAGTCGAGAAAGGAAGCCGGTAATGACAGCCAGCAAAGTTGCACCAAAACTTTTGCGAGTGATTTAACTCGTGTTCTCGGAGCTCCTGTTCTGTCTGGAAGCCCAAGTGTGCTCGTGGACACGGCGCCAGCGGGCAGGTGAAGAGTGCGGTTTGCGCTGCATCTAGAAAAAACTTGAAGTCTTCCCTAGAAATTCCAGGGTAGTATTGCTGACGAGAAAGCCACTGCACAATCTCTAAATACTTCGCGAGGACAATGGAAATTCCATCCGGCACGGGTACTTCAAGGTCCTGTCTTCTCTGCTTCACAACTTCTTCAAGACCCTCCTGAGACAGAGATCTGAGGCTCTGGGCCACTTGTGCTTTCAGGAGAGAGTTGCTATCAAGGAGGACTAATCTTTTATCCAGCTGCGTTGAAATTGGTTCGGACGCTACTGGAGGAGGAGAGTGTTGTGAGAGATAGGCTGCTAGCTTGCTTGCCATCTCATGAAACTCCGTATCGAGCTGGCCGTAGTTAGCCGAGGCCTGAGCTTGATATAAGACGTATTCAGTCCAGTACTTGGAGGCGTAATTCAACAGGGAATAGACTCCCCGCACGACCCGGAGCCGCTTCTCGTCTAAATTCTCCTCTTGAATGAAGAATCTCGCTGCAGACAACAAGAATCTCAGCGTGTCTAAGGCCTGCCGTCTCCTAGTCGATTCCTCGTCGATGGTTCCTGAATCTAGCAAATACCTGCTTTCTTTTAGAGTTCATTCACGTCCTGGAGATTGATTTTCTTTGCTTACTCCTTGACAGACACGTGGATGAAGCCGACGGTTTTGTCATGCCTTTCCTCGACCAAAGTTGAGCAGTCTTGGAGGAAGAAGTACGGGGCCAACCTCTCTGGGTTGGCAACACCTTCACTAAAGGTGATTGCTGAGAGAACTTCTAGCCTCTTGAGTGGGCGCTCAGCGAATGCAACCCAGCCTAGTACACGTTTGATCCTTTGGGTTGAAATAGGATCGAGCCCGTGAAAGATGCTAGACAGAATCTTTTCGTAACTGCAGGTCGCCAAGTCAACATCAACGTCATTTGGTTAGGGCCCACAGGGACAGGACTTGCTTACAAGCCCTTCAGCTCAGGGGGAAGCTCATCGATAGCCCGCTTGAACTCGCCTCCGGTCAGGAAGAGCTGAACTGAGATGAAATCTATTATAAGTCTCGCGTAAAGGAACATTCCTGGTTTTCGCCATTGTCAGCAAAAGTAGCCATCGACTTTAAAGAAACTCGAAACGAACCGTCAGCCTTCCGAGCTATATCATTCCCTAACTCAACAAATTCACTGGTACTAATGCCGAGTTGGCCCAGTCTCTCGGATAACGGCGGCGACTGTAGTCTTTGAGTGGTGTATACTCTGATCGAGTCCTGGATATGGTGTTTCTCGTTGCCAAGAAACACAACTGATCGCTTGCGAGCATGTTTCCTATCTGGCGCAGAGCGGCTTGAAAAAAACACTTTGCATGCAGGCGACCCAGAACCAGTTTCCTTGGACGTGATCACGTCCATCAAGGCAACGAGCCGAGCCAAGGAGCTCGGCTCGCAGGCGTCCAAGCCGTCCAAAATAATCCACACGAGCCCCCTTTCCTGGAATGACCCAGATACGATTGTGACGAGTTCCTGCACTGCGATCTCTAGAGAAGAGAGGGACAACATCTTTCTCTCAACGGCTAGAGTCTTGTATATATATGCCGTCGAGTCGTCGCTCCACTGCAGGAGCTGTCGGATTATGGATTTTAGGATTTTCTCATAGTTCGTCGAGGAGTCGTACAGGCTGTTGCAGAAATGGCGAACCACCATCCGCTCGTCTCCGACCCGAAACTTGGCAAGACACGCCGAAATAACACTCTTACCGGACCCTGCCGAACCATACAGCCAGATGGATCGAGTCTCTCCCTTATCGTGAAGCCAAGAGGCCACTTTGTCGTGCTTTAGCACCCAGCTGCAAGTTCCTTGGAAATCAAGAGCCTCGAGAAGCCCTTCCCATAAGGTTTTCTGGTCGGAATCGTCTATTTGGAGTCGCGTGAGAACGGCTTGGTATTGCTTATCGGTCTCTGATTTTTCCTCCTGTTCGATCCTCTCCAGGTTTTCAAGCCTATCGGACTCGAGTTTGTCCAAGATTGATTGGATGTTGGCAACGTTCAAGGCCATCGCTTCCTTATCGACAAGGTCAGCATGATACTTCAGGTCATCCAGCAGACTCTTGAAGCGCCTGTCAAATCGACCCCAAGTTGTTAGGAAGAACGTTCTCCATCCTATATTTTGGCAATGTCAGCATCCAGGTGGCCATTACGCTTGACTATTGGAACAAATAAGAGGTGATCGTACCATTGAGGGTAACGAACTTATAAGCACATTTGTGGAACTGGAGGATGTCGGCATAGAAGACTGCCAGAATCCGTTGAAATCCATGGTTGTGCACAAAGACAGTTCCCAGTAGTTCAAACCTGCTAAGTGACTCGCCGATTCTCGCATACGACTTGATCAGGACTTCGAACGCTTCGATGTAATCCGACGCAATCTGGTGGTTCAGTTAGAGTGGCTCGATATCGGGCGAGGTAAGGATGAAATAGAGAAGAGACGATCTAAGGACGAAGAAGGGGAAAGAAGGCAGATGGAGAAAAAGGGATAAAAGTAAGCAAGGGAGGGATGACATCCGAGGGGGAAACAAGAGATAGGAGAAGGAAGGAGAAGTCTGGAAGATGGGGAGGATCAATCAGATCGAGGAAGGATGACATAGGAGGTACAATGTTGACTTGACGACAGCGGGCGGTATCACCAGAAACAGAAACAGACACTGAAAGGGAACAATTGATAGCATACTTTTAGAATCAGCACAACTGGCGCCCATATCCAAGGCAGGTATGGGGTCCCTTGACACAAAACATCAACGGCTTTCCCATAGTGTGCTAGGCCCTTCAGGAAAGGCTCCAAACGATGCATATTTCGAAGAAGTCCCCTCGAGCCGAGTTCGTTCTCTATTCTCCGACATTCTTCCCGTACGTCGTTAATCGTCGTGTTGCGAAATCGGCGAGCATCAGATACGTTGACAATAGACTCAAAGTCTCTATACGCTTTTCGAATGACTTTGCTTGCATCTGCCGAGGGCGGGCGGGCCAGTGCGAGCGACATCTTGTCCGCGACGAACCGAGCTTTGTCTAGGAGTGAATGGCAGTGGTATTGGGGATTATTCCTGATCCTCAGGGATAGTGCAATAAAGGTGAATATGAGGTAGAGAAATTGGTGGTAGTAAATGGGTTCAACGCCCGAGGTTAATGGGAAGGGAAGATTGGTATGGGCCGCGAGCAACGAAAGATGAGGTAGCCTGGTCAGCCAAGCGGTTCGCCCAACGCCTTTGCTCTCTCCAATGAGCTTTGCTAGAGCCTTGCAGCAGAATCTTCTCCGCTTCCATCAAGCCCAGCCACCATTTCCTGGGAAATAGTGTGGGCTATTTTGCGTACCGATTGATGGGGCTGCGACCAGACCCTGTCGACTGTCAGAGCCTGATCCAGCCCTTTCGGCCACCAAGTACGGTATTTTTCTCTCTCGAGCAGTCTCACTTGAAAAGTCTTCAATCTCGAGAGGAATTACCCATATTACGGCCATCATGGAGACTTTTGCGGGGGGTAGTGCGCCTCCTTATAAGAGAAAACGCGTGGGTGACTTGGAGCCCTCGCAGGAAATCGCCTCGTATAGCGGAAGGTTGGATCATCGGCCTTCAGCCACGCTCCCCGGTGTTTCCTCACTCTTGACATCATTACAAGTTGCAGGTGAAACTCGAGAACTCCAGGTTGGCCAAGGCCCATGGAGCACAAATATTCCAGTTTTCCGGACTCAAATCCCTTGCCCTTTGGTCCAAGAGCCTGCCACACTTCCACTATTGAATAGTTATCACCAGAGGGATGGGTTGACGTCTCCATGGTCCCAAACGGAGTCTCTATCCTCCTCAGTCACCCTTCCTCCAATTTTTCCCAATCCTGGATCCTTACTGACGCTCGACCCCCACGAAATAGTGTGTTTTGGCGTAGTAAGTTAACCATGGCAACAGAATATGAAAGTTCCGTGTTACGTGCTAACTTTCAAAGGTTGGAGAGGTTAAGGGTAGATGTGAAAGGCCGGAGCTTTTGGACTTATCTAAACCCGTACGAGTGGTACTAGAGTCGTCGGAATTGTTCGTGCTAGATGGAGAAACGAACATTAAAGGTCACATTGCATCGGACTACAGCTTTATGCTAGACAACCTGATCAAGTCAGACCTTGAGCTTCACACGACCTGCAGTTTCGACGCTGAGAAGCAGGGCAAAGCGGCATCGCGAAAGACTGGTTTACTTGCCTGCAAACTTGATATCGCCGTATACGGTCCTCATGCGATGCTCGGTGAGATTAGGGAATGGTTCGAGGGAATTGAAGTATACCTTCAAGACCCCCGAATCTGCCTTCGTGATGCCAAATACTGTAACCCCCAAAGGCTCTTCCCTTCGAGTCTTGATGGGTGTGCGATGGTATCAAGCGTCGTGAGCCACGCGTCGAGACGTCACATTCGACTTAGGGATATTACGGATGATGACTTCCTCGACAAGTATCTTGGCTCAGAAATTGTCCTGGAGGAAACTGACCAACCGTCGGCAGTTCGAACCTACCTAAAAAGGTGTGTAGTACACTCAGGCGGCCCGACTTGCACTCATTAATCTAATCTAAAGTAAAGGCACCAGAAGCAAGCTCTTACCTTTATGCTTCGCCGTGAGAAAGGCTGGGCGTTCCAAGGCCCCCAACCTGACCTGTGGAGTATCGTGGATAATGCTAACGGACGGTTGTGAGTGTTGGCCTCCCGTTCCCCTTGATATCTTTTCATTGTATGTCTTCCCACTCACTTCCAATGAAGTTACGTCAATGCCATATCCGAGGCTGTTACCGAAGACCCTCCTCCTCAACTGTATGGAGGCATTATTGCCGACCCCATGGGCTTGGGCAAAACGCTCACTATGATCGCCTTAGCCGCCACTGACCTACTCGACAAAAATCCATTTGATTCCTATTATGAGAGTGAGAAGGACGATATCGAGCAGACCGTTGATGCCACCTTGATCATTGTGCCCCCTCCACGTTCGTAAACTGCCCTCCCTCCCCTTCTCCAAACACCAACTTTGCGCATGTTCGGTACGAATGACATTGGCTTAGTTCTCGATACATGGGAGAATCAAATTTCAGAGTATGACTACATCTCATATAATTTCCAGAACTATAGGCTGATGTTTCGTATAGACACGTTTTCCCAGGCGCCTTGAGTTGCCGACGGCATCACGGAAAGACAAAGTTAACGGATATCCGAGACCTCAACTCTGTTCACATCGTGCTAACTACATTCCATACCGTCTCCGCGGAATGGAGCTCTAGAGGAACTTCCAGTTCTCTTCTTTTTTCAACGAAATGGAAACGAGTCATACTTGATGAAGGTAATTTTCGTTTCCTCCTTCTTGCCATCCAATACATCTCATTGCTGATTTCCTGCCGTTAGCACATATCATCCGAAATGAGAGCTCACGAATGGCGAAGGCTATTTGTAGCCTTGAATCCACCCACCGCTGGGCAGTTACTGGAACTCCCATCCAGAACCAGCTGGATGACCTCGCGACTCTCCTCAAGTTCATCGGCGCGTATCCATATGATAAGAAGAGTCGTTTTGATTCAGACATTTCAGACTACTGGAAAGAAGGGGAAGATCAACAAGCTGCGACAAGACTTCAGAGACTTTCGTCTTGCCTTCTCCTGAGACGGCCCAAGGCAACAGTGCAGCTGCCTCGGAGGCACGACACAGAGTGGCCTGTCGAATTCACCCAGGCAGAGAGAGTTGGCTACGATCAACTGAAGGACCGAACAGCAATGGCAATTGACGAGGCTCTGAAACAGGCGCATCGAGTCAGCCGGTCTGGTGCCTATGTGAACATTTTGCAGCAGATCGAGTCGCTTCGGCTATTTTGCGACCTTGGTCTGCATTACCACTCGAGGCATGAGGATGGTTCACTCGCGTCCAATACTGCGACACCCTGGGCAGCTATTGCACAGCAAGCTTTCAACAGAAGCCTTGAAATGGGGCCTATACTGTGCTCACAATGCCACTCCGTTATAGACTCGACTCAAAGTCTCTACGACGACCCAACGAGTCAACAGAAACCTCTCTTCTCCCGGTGTTTGAAATTCGCATGCGCAGAATGCGCGTCGAAACTAGCTCAACGAGGTGCTGGTGCTTCTATGGACTGTGGGCATTCTCCGCCTTGCCCGGCCGCAGCTGTATCTACCAGCATATCCGCCATGGAGGATATTCCTGGTGAACAAACTAACAGCCTGGCTTTGCATCAGACGGAGTTGCCGTCAAAGGTATCCGCGCTCGTCGCTGATATTCTTGCGCAACCTCGCGATGTAAAATGGTAAGTTCCACCACCAACTTGCCTAATCCAATTTCTATACTAAGTATTCTCACCTAGCGTCGTCTTTTCGGCTTGGAGACTTACGCTCAACGTCGCCCAAGCTGGCTTGGAACGTGCGGGAATCGGCTGTCTTCGGTTTGATGGCAAAGTGGCCCAAAAGGATCGCAACGGGATCATTGAGCTCTTCAAAACTGATCCATCGAGGCGGGTTTTGCTGCTGACACTTTCGTGTGGTGCTGTTGGGTAGGTCACACCACCATGAATGTCGTTCGGAGATGGCTACTACTACATTTGTTCAAGGACCTGAGATCTCTAACTACTCTCTCGACTAGCTTAACTTTGACCGCGGCATCTCGAGCGTATCTTATGGAACCTCACTGGCAAGTTACCTTCCAATGCCGAATGACCCCCTGCGGGTATTAACAAATCTATCATTGATGTAGGAATCCTACACTCGAAGAACAAGCGCTGGGACGAATCCACAGAATTGGACAAGAGAAAGAAGTCACCACCATTCGGTTCTTTATACGCGGTTCGTTCGAAGAGGTATGTCGTGCAGCGAATGCCTTCATTGCGACTGTGCGCTAATACTTTTGGTTTGACAGCATGTCATGGATGTCCAGCAGTCCAAGAAGGACCTTGCCAGGATCATTCTTTCACCACATGAGGGAGGGGCAACGGAAGATAGTCTTGAGCGGCTGCAAGTAGGTTTCTTTTCCTTCTCCTTTCCTTACCTACTGCGCAACACGACACTGACATGCACGCATAGAAATTACGCTCCTTGCTGTAGTCTGTGAATGGTGGCGAGGGAGAAGATGGATAGCGACGGGCCGGATGGACCCGAAATCGACCGTTATTTTCGAACAGACATCTAAGTGTATTGTTTCACATCTGCATGAGACATGAGATCAATCTTCTGCTCATATCATCGCACATAAATCCGGACACGAAGGGGAAGTCCACGTTGTGCCGCGCGCATATCAACGCGAGTGGGTTGGACGATGAGTGGGGAAGAGTTGGAAAGGCATCTGGATTGATTCGATGAGATTGATGCCCGAGGCAAATAGGTTGCTACTTCACGATCCATCCAGTCATGCAGTCTTCGCTGTAGACTGCAGTGTACAACGCATGCATGCGGGTGTGGGTTGTTGCGACACGGTGGACTTTGTGGGGGTGGATTCTTCAACGGGCAGAATCTCGCATTCTCACATTCTCACCCGGCGGCTTTTTTTGGTTCCCAGGATGACGAGGGAGGGCTCTGGGTGATCCGGTGATCATCTTGGAGCGATCTTGTTTCTATTTTCTGTTAACCGCTGAATTATTATTATTGTTTCCCCTTTTTGTTTTTCCATTTCAGCAGTGCATTCTTAGTGCGCCGGGAAATGAAATGGCGATCTTGTGGGCGAGACGCTGGCCCGGATTGATGTGCCTGTGATAAGAGGTGCTGGGCGCGTAAGAGTGTGCTAGGATTAGGATGTGATGATACTGGGAGAGGAATTGTCCGTACGCGCCGTGGTGGTCACGATGGGGCTCAAGGGAGATTCGGATGCAGAGGAAGAGAGACCAGGAGTGGTAGGGCGCATCGGAGGCTAGATCTGGATCGAGCGGACTGGATCAGCATGCTTAGGACGATCGAGAGAAGTGGACCTTGGTCGTATGTGACTTCCCAAGTCGGAATGGCTGCGATTATCGTGGGCCTCTCTCTCGAGTTTCCAAGCCAGGCGGTGAAGTTTGGGCTTTTGCGCTCCAATCTATCCACGACGGATTAATTTCGCCTTGCCGACAGCTTAGCCAGGCTTCTCCGTCGATACGAAAAAGAGATAATATCCATCACCGAGAAGCGAGGTTCTGTCCGGTGTGCAAGACCACAGCCCGTCGACGACTTAATATTATCCGATCCGCAGCTATTCCCTCCATCACGTCCCGTCTGCCGTCTGTGTTTCCCTTTGGCTAGGCCAGGCCGTCCTCTCTTTCCCCTCACCTGCTGTCTACTTTGTCTTCCCGCCGCATCCCTGAAACGAAGCACAGATGGTGGCAAAGGCTAAGCATCCTGGGAAGTCTGATTGGCCCTCCTGTTTGACAGGTTTCCCCATTCGGAAAATTCCCATTAAGATCCAAGCCCGTGTCCGCGCCTACAAGGGCAGAGGTACAAAGGTACTGCTAACGGCGAGCCATGCTGTTGGGCAGCGGCAGAGGAGCCCTGTCTGTGCCTGTTCCCCTTGTCTCTCTCGCTCGCTCTCTTCTTTTCTGGCCACACACATCATAGGATTTTGATGAGTTTTCAGGTACCGCAACCAGACGGCCAGGGTATTTCCTCTTCCCGCTCGCCATCACATCCCCAGGTACCCAAAGAGGGAATAAGCCGGCGGCATAAGGAACTAAATGACGAACGTGTTTCGAGAGGGCGAAGAGGGACCGAATGGGCGGGTGCCAGGTTTTTTTCCCTCTCTCTTTTTTTTACGTCCCCATTCTACTAAGGCTGTAAGGAAACGAAACGAAACAGAGAAATGCGGGAGGAATGCGATGAATGCCTAATCCAACAGCACGATTGGGGACAAGTTTCTTCTTGCCCCCATCGCCCACTCATCTCTTTTTTATCGCTCAACACTTCTTTTTTGCGACCTAAGGTTTGCGCTCTCCACCTCATTCGCGAGAGGGAGGCAGCATTGCATTGGGAACCACGATTGTGATAGGCTGGTGACGTGCTGGGGGGCGGCTCCGTGGCACATGCTGGCTGGGGCCCTGGATGCGTTAGGTTCGGACTGGGAGGGGGTGTCGATCGGGCAGCTTGACGATGATGGATGGTGGATGGGTTGGATGGGTGACACAGCCCTTTTTCTGCCTGTCAGTCTCTTTTTGCTTTTTTGTTCCTACTCTGCGGGAGGGTTCGGCAACTGACCCGGCCGGGTGATGGGGTGTGTGTTTCTGTGTCTCTCCCTGTGAGAGAGTGTGTGTGCCATTGCCATCCACATCACAGGGTGATATCATATTGAAGAAAAAGTCTGGGGTCTGGCTCAAGGCTTCGATATACAAGAACCCTGGCTTCCCTCCCCCGCGGCCCCGACGATGCCATCTCTTCGTGTCCTTCTTTTAGTCTTTCTTTTCTTCTTCTTTTTTTCACCAACCCAAACAGATCATCTTAAAAGTGTAGACGTTTCCCCCAATGCCCCATCACGTTTCCTAGACTTTTCTTTTCTTCCGTTTCCTTCACCCCCTTCCCTAATACACTTCCCTTCCCCCTTGCCCTTACTCTTACGTCCCGTTGAGTCGGTGACGTTTGTCTGTCTACATCTGCTTTTGAAGGTCTGGGACCGGTCTCCCTGTTTGCACACATCACCACAGTTGTCTCGTCCCCATCCCCATCCCCATATCTTCCCCTTCTCGCCCCTTGGTTTTGTATTCGAGTAGACCTGAAAAACACAAAAGAAGAAACATCATACGTGTATTATCTTCGTATCCTTGCTTCACCACACTTATACACTTCATTGAATTTGCCCTCGAATCGCCCCGACGAGACTGGATCTCTCTGATGAACAGCACCTTACGACATTTCCACGAGATTGACTGACCCTGTACACTCCGAGCCATCGTCAGATTGTTACACTTAACAACGAAAGCACAACCCCCCGTCTCCCATTTTATATTAGCTCTTCCTTTTCACCTTTGGCTTAATTACTCTGTTCCGCTTCTATTCTCCCCTAAGGTTGCGTATCCAAGACCGGAAACCATAAGAAGGAAGAGGGCACACCCATCTCGCGGCAACTTGAAAATCATGGCACATCTGCTACATTATTTCCTCTCCTCCTTCTTCTTCCTGTTTCTCTTGGTGCCCTCTACGGCGCTGAGGGTAGCAACCGGCTCACCCTGCGCCTCTCTCTGCGCAAACGACGATACCCCCGCTTCATCAGCGACGAATTTGTCGAGCGTGCCGGTTTGCGATGATGGGGAATTTAGCTCGGACCCCCAGGGGCAGAAGATCCAAAAGTGCTTGGCCTGTCTAGAGGAAAGCACTTTTGTGAATGGCAACGAGAATGACCAGATGTGGTTCTTGTGTAAGTTTCAAAAAACAAAGGAGTCGAACTTGGCGGTCTCTGGGACAGTGTAGTTGTATTAACGGCGGAAAATTGCTAGATAACATGAGATACTCCGTCGGTTATTGCATCTTGGGTCTTCACAACGCTACTGGCGTTGGTTCCAACCCATGCCAAACTACCACAGCGTGCGGCGCTCTTCAGGGTTCACTTCTGGAAGATGATGTGAACCCTGAAAACGAGTCGCAGTATGGGTACTGTGAGTCTGGAGGCCGGCCTGTTATTCCCTCGGACGAGTTTTCGCTTTGTCTTGCTTGTGTGCGCACGGGCGGCACTCATGGGTATCTTGCAAACTGTATGCTTCAACGCTTTCTCCCTTCTATCTCTTGTTGTCCTATATATGTGTAACTCACATCCTCCGAAGTCCTCATCGCGCTCGAGGCTGGCTGCGATCAAAAGCCATCGCCTGGTCAGAAGCTCTCCCTCAATGACACCATATTCACAAACACCACCATTCACCGCCTCGAAGTTGCGCCCTCCAAGCCGGAAGACGACAACTCAGGACTCCCAGCTACCACGATTGCCGCAATCGCTGTTTCAGCTGTCGTCGGGATCCTGCTTATTGCAGGGTGTGGCTTCATCCTATGGCGGAAGTACTTCAGGAACCGCGAGGGGAGGAACTCCAGCGAAAAGAAATTCACAAAGGGCTGGATAAAGCGTACCAAATTTGGAAATTTCGGCGGAAGAAAGACGACATCATCTCTCGACTTCCGGTGCAGGACGCGTGTTACTCCCCTCGCGTCTAGGTTCGATTTCCGAGGTGTAGGGCTCGAAGAGGATGATGTCCCCGCCGTGAGGAGCCCCGACATGGTCAACGCGGATGAGAAAGCCGAGCTGAGGAACCAGGAGGAGGAGAGACGTCGCCTTGAGGAGGAACGAAGGATGTATTTCGTGCATCCCGGCGATGCTCTAGGCTCTAACCCGGTTCTTGCTCAGCCTCAGTCTACCACCAGCTCGCCAAGCGCGCAGTACCCTTACCCTCCTCCCCAGCAGCCCCTCCCTACACCACCGACTTCTTCAAAACCATCCCAAACACGCACCGTAACAACGACTCCCTCGTCCAACACCCGTCCACCATATACCCCCCCTCTCCGTCCCCGAATGGGTTCCCTCAACGTCGTAACAACAACGCCGCCCACCTCAAGCCCACCACAGTTCCCCCGCTCAACGCACTCCTCCCCGCTACAGCGCCACTCTCCCTCCGCTCACTCCACGGCAACCCCATCCTCCGCCACATCCCAAGCACCGCTCCTCCCCGTCAAACTCTTCCCACCGCCACAGGCCGCGACGGCCTCCTCCAACAGCCCCAGCGAAGCCATGGGCCCCGTGGTCCGCTGGTTGCAAGAACAGCGCGTGGCGAGGGATAGCAGAGGCGGGAGCATTAGGGAACGGTACCAAGACGATGAGAAGGCGGCTGCGGAGCGGAGTAGGAAGATTTCTTCGCCGCAAGCTACGAACTGGACGCCCGTCGATCGGAGCGCGGGGGCGTTCCAGACGCAGAGGGCCGAGTATGAGGATCCCGGGAGGCAGTGGGATATAAGTAATGTGAGGGGAGGAAACCACAGGACGCAGCATAGCCGGAGCAATGCGCGGTTGATGGGCCAGCCTAGCGAGACGAGGATTTTACCGACAAGTTTTGCGCCGCCGCCGGGGCAATGAGATTGGAACCACTCCTCTTGCTCTTGAATTTTTTGACTTCACTTCTTTACGTTCTTTTTCCTACCTTTTCGTCGCTCTTTTTCCTTCACATCTCTTTACCAGTTTGATTCTTTCCCTACTTTCATCTCTCTTACACGACCGTTTTCCTTACCTCCCCTCTCAAGTCTTGTACCTCTTCTTTTGTTTCCAACTTACTTTCCAAGGAGGGTAAAACAAATCAAGGCGTTTTCACGGACCGGTATGTCAGGTAATGTAGATGGAATAATGGTCACCTTGATAGCATACAAGCGGAGTTTCTGGGACTGGGATTTAAAGTAGAACAGAAAAACGAAAAATGAAAAATTCAGGAAAGTTGGGACTGTTGGAGTTGGAGTTAGGGGGTTTGGATGGAGCATCTAGTTGATATATACCGATATCGTGTTGGCCTTGTTAATATACCCTTCCTTTCGTCTACGATTTTCAAGTCCCATCGAACCTATGCCATCTCTTGACAGAACGTAAAATTGAATTTCCATGACAGTCATTCCAGGCAAGAACGGAAAAGTAAAACGCGAAATGGGAAAGAAGAGATGTTGAGCCGGATCGAGGACTGACACTCCAATCCTCGAACTCGCCGTGATGTATTTTTGAAGTCCAAGTACTCACTCCATAATCTATGGGTATTTTTCATAAGAAAAAAACGCAAAAACCAAACTTGCAATCCTTCACGCCATCGACAAAAGAAAAATGAATATAAAGGTCCTTCCCGGCGAACTGCCGCAGAAGGGGCCAAACACATAGGCGAAGACCAAATACAAGGAGAAAGAAGCCATGCCCTTAAAAATGAATCCATTTATCCCTTCTTCCTTCTGTCCCCTTAATGGCCCCAAGGCGTTCCGGGCCGACTAGACATCTCGCTTTGCAACCTCTCATTCTGCTCCTTGAACCACCCGGTCCCTTCCTCCATCTCCTCCCTAAGCCTCCTCATCTCTCGAATCGTCTTCTGCGTATCGAGTAAGATCCGCTTATTCTTCTCCTGCTCTCCTTCCTCCTCCTCATCGTCACCTTCATCACGGGCCTCGCCCGCCGTCCTCTTGCGCTTCAACGCGTGTCCGAGTCCCTCTACGCCGTTGACGCCGGACACGCTAGCATGCGGCTTGTGCGATCCCAGCGAGCGGAAGTCCTCCTTCGGTCGGGGGACAGTCGTTCCGTCCATCGTGGCGGGACGAACCTCTGCATCGGCGCCGGCGTAGGCTACGCGGGGAGTCTCCGGAGGCGGCATGCCAAAGTTACCGAGCTCGGGGAAGCGCTTCCCTTCGTATTTGATCTGGTCGGCAAGATATTCGGGCAAGGCCGAACCGTCTGGCATCGTGACGAGGCCCATAGCTTTGAGGCGCCAGCGGCTCGACACCCGCGATAGGGAGGAGGTAGAGCCGTCTTCTGAGGGCGGGAGGGAATACCTTGACCTCGACCGCGCGATCGTCTTCCGCAACGCGCTCCCCGAAAACTCCTCGCGGAGCGCCCGTGTCTTGGCTCCGCCGCCGCTAATGCTGCTGACACTGGCGGTGCTGCTGGTACGAGGTCTGACGACCTTGCCGATGGACCTGTTCACGGAGTCGGCAATGCCCGTCTTGATCTTGTGCATAAAATCAGGCATGCTCGACTTCCGAACGGGCGAAAGCGGCCCGGGGAGAGAACTCCTCCGTCCGACGATCCTCGCCGCGGCGTCTCGCTCGTTCCTAACTCCCGAAAGCACGCCACTCGCAAGAAGCGCCTCCTCAGCCTCCTCCCGCGAAGAGAGCGACCGTTTCCGGAGTAGTAGCGTTTTGAGATCCTCGACGTTATCCAGCTCCGCCGCTTCCAGCGCCAACCTCCTCTGCGCCCTCTCCGCCTCTTTCTTCTGCTTGAGCTTCTCGACCCGCTTCGATTCGCGGTAGGCTCTCATCTGCTCCCGGTCGCTGCGACGGAGAGCGCTGGCCCGATTCTGTCGGGCAGTCTCCCTCCATCGATAGAAGTACTTGACGCCGAGGCTGTAGGTGCGGAATTTGCGCGCTTCGGCCCACGACTTTTCATCCTCCTCCTTGCGTATCCGCTCTTTCTCCTCTCGGACGAATTGGCCAAAGGCTTTCCTCACAGCTTCTTCGACGGCGTACCGTTCAAACTCATCCATAAGCCCGTGATCGCCCGAGACGAACCACTTCGTGAATGAGGTCCATTTTTCTTCTTTTGTCGGAGCGGCTGGAGTAACAACGGCTGGTGGTTGCGCTGCAGGGATAAACGCACTTGGCTGGCTTGGTGCTGACACTTGGGGGGCAGCGACGGCCTTTTCTATAGTTGGGGCTTGCGGCACCTTGGGTGGTACGGATATACTTGGCGAAGGAGCGGAAGGAGGCTTGAAAGCAGCAGCCGGAGTAGCGCCAGGCGCCGGGACTGCAGGCGATGGCCGTGGCGGAGGAAATGCGGGAGTCGGAGGTGTAACTTTGATGGTAGGCGTGGTGGTTTCGGCAGGCTTGCTCGGCGCAGAACTGAGGAAGTTAAAGGGGCTGGTGCTAGGCTTGTTCCCGCTAGTTAGGACAGATGGGGCAGGGACTGCTGCGGCTGTGGCACCTAGAGTCGGCGTTGTAGTCGGTTGCGCTAGTTTCGAGTCGGCTGTGGGTTTAAATGTGAAAGTCGGTGCAGGCGTGGGTGCAGTGGTTTGCTGGGCGGACATTGCTTGGGACGGGGCCCATGTTAAACTAGGTCCAGCACTAGGTTTCAACCCGGGCTGCGCAAAATGAGACGGCGCTAAGAATAGAAATGTTAGCATACATACAGCGGGATCAGATATGCGCCTGTTCTTGGTTGAAGTAACGAACCTGTTGCGGGCACAGTTCCCAGGCCACCGGCCCCGGCCGGCGTCTTCTGCAGAGCAGCAGGTGCAAAAGTCGGCGCTGCGGCTGGCTTTGTAGCTGGAGCGGTCGCCGCAAGTTCACCGTGGGTGGTGGCCGTTTGGGTAATAGGAGCAGCAAAAGGTGAGGTAAATTTGATGGGAGCCGGAGCAGGCGTGAATTTTGATCCTTCAGACCAAGATGAGCCAACAAAAAGTGAATCTTCGTCAGTAGCGCTTGCTCCATCCTGGGGTTTTAACGAAGTATCTTCGGATACCGTCTGGTGGATGACGTCCGGGAGAGAGTGCGTGCCTCTCTTCTTCTCAACTATGTTTGCGGAGTATGTATGGTGTAGGCGGGGGTACTCGAGACCTTTGCCATATTCGAGAATAAGATAACTTTTGTTCAGATCGTTGGGGTTATTTGCATCCGGAGCGAAGTCGAGACCGTGTAACTTGGCAAACTCGACCGCCTCCTTAACTGTATCGAACCGGAGGTAAGAGTTCAAAACGGATGCCGTGATATCCTTGGGGGTTTGTTTCGGTCGAGAGAAGGCCTTCTTTACGGCTGCCAAGATGGACCGGCGAAGTTGACCGAAATGGATCTCGGCGAAACAAGCCATGGTGTAGGAGACGCTCGGATCTTCCACGATGCGGAAGAACGAATTATATGCGCTCGATGCCGCAAACGAGGGCGCTCCTTTCAAGGGCCCGTGGAAATCCTGCGTGTTCTGAAGGGCTTCGACGAGAGAAACCGCCGTGCGCACCTCGTCCGAATCTCGCCAAAACTTGGGATCCCATTCCCTTTGCACGTTCTCCAAGATGTCGGGATGAAAGGCTCGGAAAATCAGCTGATAGGCTCGAAATTCGGCCTCGTTCTCGCACGTAATACCTTCGGCCTCGCAGTCGCTGTAGGCATACATAAGGGATATAAGTGTCTTGCCTAGCTGCTCCACCTCTTGCTGTTCGGAAAAGTCCTCAGGCGTATAACCCTCTTGAGCGAGAAGATGAAGCGCCGTGACGTGGAATCGCGCGATGGTCTCCAAGCAATAGACTTGGTCACGCATCTCCTTGTCGTTCATGGACGAGAAAAATGCGAAATCTCGACGGATGGCACGGGTACGATCCCATAGGAATCCATGAAGGACGGGAAGATTATCGTCGAACTCCAAGAGGTCGTCGATTAAATAGTCCAACGTCCGGCGAAGGGCTGCAACAGACCGGACATCCATCGGTAAGGGCGCCTCCTGCCCAGCGGCTGATCGAGCCAGCTTCTTTACCATCCTGGACGTATCGGCGTACGAGGTGGCAGGGTCCTTCTCGGCCTGCTTGACGTCGAACTCGGTAATTCGGGTGATCTTCTCGAACTCGGGGCACATGTCTTCGCATATACCCTTAAACGGGATGGCGTCCTCCAGTCGTTTCCGATCCTCCGGGTTGTCGATAAGACCGGCACGTATCAGAGACGCGCGGGCCTTCTCTCTATATTCCTTGTAATCCTCCCTGAACTGCATCATGGCATTCTTGCTGGACGGCTTTCCAGGGTTAGCTGGCCAGGCGGGAGGACGAATGCCATCCCTTGCTAGTTGCGCATGCATCTCGTTCGCATATTCGTCGCTCGACTTTTCGTGAATATGTGAAGGGTGGTTGTTGTTAGATTTCAAAGCAAAAGGTGGCGGTGGGCGTTGTTGTCGGTTAAATCCTTGGGAGCTGTGTTGTTGTTGCTGCTTCGCGGTTCGAGATGGGCCTTTTGGTGCCTGCTCATCAAAGTGAACCTTCTTCCCGTGCCCGGTTGGCCCATTCGCTAAGGCACCTTTGATTGGGCCATACCCATTCTTGGGCGCTTCTTGGGCGCCACGAGAATTGCGCGCTGGACCATCGGGGGTCGTCCCTCTTCTGACTCCATTTCGTCTTTCAGCATCACCCCAATCCCCTTTGTTTCGCTTAGACCGCTTCGAGTCACCTCCTGCATCCAACTGTTCGGGGCCAGAAGCTGCGCCGAATGGCTTGCTCGATCCAAACTGTGTGCCGCCGAATGTAGGTTTCGCTCCGCTGTTGAGCTTCGTTGTCGAGGGTGCAAAGGGGCTCGCCTGGGCATTAAGAGCGGTATTCGGTCGGCCTAAAAACGTTAGATATAGACTAAGGGACCGCACACGCTACGATTTTTTTCCCGGTTACCTTGATTCGAAGGCATGCTAAACGGCGAAGGAGATCGATTCGCTTGCGGCTGCGAGGTCGCGCCGAAGGTGCCCGTGTTTTTTGCGGAGAATAGAGATGGGGAGGGTGTCTGAGATGTCGTCTGAAAAGGATTTTTTACTTCAGGGGCCGTGGTCGTAGTAGAAGTCGTCGCGAAAGGATTAGATGGTGCGGCACCGCCTGACATGGCGGAGAAGGGGTTTGGGAGACGGCCATTTCCATTTCCTTGGACGCCCGCTGTCGTCGACTTCGAACCGAATGGCGTTGGCGAGAAAGATAGGGGTTTCGAGGCCGAGGAAAACGCACCGCCGCCGAAGACAGAAGTCGACTGCGCCTGGGTGGCGGCTGGCCAGCCGCTACCGCCAAAGGTAGACATTGTCTCCTCCGCCGACTCTCATTTGTTGCGGATTGCGACACGCGGCGATTGCTAGAAGAAAGATGATAGAAATAGGAAAGAGGCGGAATAGAAAGTTTTGAAATAGTTTTTGGTGATAAAAAGGTGATGTTGTCGAAGTAGAGATGGGCGAGTCTCGACACGCTTCCTTGCAGAGGGAAGGTTGGGTTGTGTTGTGAAAAGAACGGTCGTGATGCTCCCACACAGAAAAGAGCTTTGCACGATCCATACCTGGAAGCGCCCGGTTTGGGTAAGGCTGGCGCTGGGGAGCATGGCAAGACACAGCTTGGGCGGGGCCCTGGAGAAACAGATTTTCCGAGCCATTTTGTCACGTGATATAGGATGATTCGCGCTCACTACTAACTGTAGTCACGTGGTATCTCCTACCATGGGGTCGGCTTCATAATTTTGTTTGATGAGACGACAACCCGTTTCCCCAGATCGACAGCTCATGGGGTATCAATTTATTCTCATTAAAACATTGAACAAGTTCTAGCTTTTCTGACCTTTTTGTAACCTAGTCATCATGAATCTCATAACAGCTCCCTATCTCCGACCAGGAATCCTCGCCGGACCTAATCCCTTTCTTATCTCATCAAGCTGATCAAGTCCGCTCTGGCCACCCTTCGACTTCTTAGATGGTCTCCTGCCCTTCGAGTACCCCGCCAAGAAATCATCCATGACATTATCAAAGTCGCTTCTCAGAGGGCCCTGAACGCTCGACGCAGTAGAAATCTCGGAGACAGAACCCAGGTCATCAAGGTCGTTTTGGTACCGTTGCTCAAGTTTCTCGTAGCGAGCATCTAGGATGGTGAGCTGTTCCGTTCGCACAAGCGAGGACGAAGTCATGGAATAGCTGGACGCGTTGGTCAAGGCACCCTTCCGCTTCTTGCGGCGTCCGCCATTCGTGGTTGTCGTCCAGGTGGACTCGAGCACAGAGCCGGTGATGCCCCCCGTCGGCCTGCCACTCTTCTGATCTTGCTTGAACTTTTTGAAATCTTCCATCCAGTTTTGGCCTTGCGCTCCGTTAGCCCCAGCGCTTACGAGCTCGGGCACCTCGTCTGCTTCCTCGTCTTTGTACTCCCTCGTAGGCTTGGCCGTGTGGTCGGACTCCCAGCCATCGTCGTCATCGTTGGGATATTCTTCGTTAAATGCGGTTTCTTCGAACTCGTAGTCATCGATTTCTCTCCCATCCTTCGCCAATTCTTGAAACAAGTCATCGTCCTCATTGTCGACAAACTCCTCATCCTCCAGTGCCTCTAGAACCTCGCGTAACCTGGGGTCCATATCGGGTTGGAACCCAGCGATAGCATCCGGGATATCTTGTTGCGCCTGGTAAGAAACGTGCTGCAAATTCTTCGACGGCAGTACAACCTCGTCCAAGAGGTCATCCGCCTTGTTCTCCAGATCCATCTGCCGTAGAGCATCCTCTAAAGACATCTTGTTCTTCCCCTTGTTCTTGTTGCCGCTCGAATTAGCCTCAACGAAGACGACCTCGCCCGGTCCTCCGGAGTTCAGGTCACGCAAATGTTGCATATAGTCATATTCGGTATCGTCAAAGTAAACGCCGTAGTTCGCAGCCTCGCCTTCATTGTCTCGGATGCTCTCGACCTCGGAGCCAAGCTCTGAAGCCAAATCACCTAGCGCCTTGCTCTTGGAACCTTTTGTTTGGGTAGGGTTAAGCACCATCTGCGGCGCAGACTCGTCGTGGATGAGGGGGTCATTTTGAGGTCTGTGGACGAGCGTAAAGTGCGTCGCTGTTTTCTTGTCTCTGTGGAAATATCAGTTTGCTATCAGTACGGGCCCGGGACTTCGGGTGAAACTGACATCCACTTGCCCTTGGCCATCTTGTGCAGCTTTTGGCGGAGGAATCAAGTTTGATTATTGAAGGTAATCTTTTGTTGCTCGCAATCTCGAAGTCGGATGCGTCGGTTAAGAAATGGGAAAGCAGGTAGATCAGTCCGAAGGTGGTCTATTCAGCAAACACACGCCTTGGAAGGTGATCTGCCTAACGAACCCAAAGTCGGATGGAAGAAAAAAAAAATTCAAAGTGGGAGGGTTTCCTTATCTTATCGGAATGAGGGGCATAAAATATTCGCACTGTCAAAATAGACCTGACTAGAGTGTCCTTGCACAGTATCTATCTAAGTTCTGCACTCTAACAAACCTGCTTTTACGAATTTGCCCCGCGATTCCCCCAATTAATCAGCGGCGAGAGTCGTCCAGTTCTTCATCACTGCCCATTTCTGTCTCTTGTGTATCATTTTCTTTCGAAACACGCCTCTCTCTCTACGAGTTGACTGGGTTTGAAAGGGTTATATTTTCAGGAAATAAAGTGTTACTGGGAAGTGTTTTGCATACCACCGTCACCATGGGACTCCCAAAGTCCAAGAAGTCCGTCGGCCTCGGCAGCCAGTTGATGAAGGACCGTCTGGGCAGAGGTAAAGGAAACGACAGGAAGCGGGGCTCGGCCATCGCCAGAATAGACCACACGACAGGTGAAGAAGTGAGTTCTTGACTCCTTGAGCGCATGAAAAGGAAAGCCGTATATCGTGCGAGGGCAACGACTAACGTGCGCTACTCTCAGTACCTCACCAACGACAAGAAGCAAGCAGGATGGGTCAAGATGCGATCCGTGACCGAGCAAGGCGCCCTCGACGAGTTCCTCGCGACAGCAGAACTTGCCGGAACGGATTTTACAGCCGAGAAGACCAACAACGTCAAGATTATTCACACCGACCAGAAGAACCCGTACCTACTGACCTCGGCGGAAGAGCGGCGGCTACTCGGAAAGCACAAGCAGCACAGGGGGCGGCTAACCGTGCCGCGGCGGCCGAAGTGGGATGCGTCTACAACACCGGAGGAACTAGACGCCCTTGAGCGAGCGAGTTTCCTTGCATGGCGAAGGGGTCTAGCGGAGCTGGAAGAAAACAACGACCTTCTGATGACGCCGTTCGAACGGAATCTCGAGGTGTGGAGGCAGCTGTGGCGAGTGATTGAGCGGTCCGATCTCGTTGTCCAGATTGTCGATGCTCGAAGCCCGCTACTATTCAGGTCGGAAGATCTCGAGAACTACGTCAAGGATATTGACCCGAGGAAGGAGAACCTTTTGCTCATCAACAAGGCCGATATGCTTACACTCACTCAACGAGAGGCGTGGGCCCAGTATTTGCGACAGGCTGGTATTAAGTTCAAATTCTTCTCCGCGCATCTTGCTAAGGAGGCCAATGAAGCGGAGCTTACAGACGAAGAAGAGGATGAGGACGAGGACGAGGACTACGCCGCGCCTTCAAGCAAAGGGAAACAAACCGAGAGGATAGTGATAGAAGGTGAAGAGAGCACGGAGGAGGAAGACAGCGGCGAGGAGGAGGAGGGGGGTGATAATGGAAACATTGACGAAGACGATCTGAGGATATTGACAGTCCAGGAGCTAGAGCAGCTCTTCTTCGACACTGCACCCGATATCCCTGGTTAGTCTTACACCCACACACCCTATCCTGCTTATCCGAATCAACTTCAGAATACTAACAATCCAGCAGATTCAGAACCTGATAGGAAGCTCCAAATTGGGTTGGTCGGCTATCCTAATGTGGGAAAGTCCTCCACTATCAACGCTCTTATTGGGGCGACAAAGGTGTCGGTATCGGCTACGCCAGGAAAGACGAAGCACTTCCAGACAATCCATCTCAGCGACAAGGTAGTGCTGTGCGATTGTCCCGGTCTCGTGTTCCCCAACTTCGCGACGACAAAGGCGGATTTGGTATGCAACGGCGTTTTGCCCATCGACCAAATGAGGGAATACACAGGACCATGTGGGCTAGTGGCACAAAGGATACCAAAACCTTTCCTTGAAGCTCTCTACGGCATCGAGATTAAGACGCGACCGCTGGAGGAAGGCGGCACAGGCGTTCCCACGGCCTCGGAAATGCTACGGGCCTACGCCAAGGCGAGGGGCTTCCAGACCCAGGGATTAGGACAGCCAGACGAATCTCGAGCGGCGCGATTCATCCTCAAAGACTACGTCAACGGCAAGCTCCTTTACTGCCACCCGCCACCGGGCGACTACGACGCGAAGGAGTTTAACCGGGAACTCTACGACGAGTACCACCTGCCGGAGAAGAGGCGCACAAGGCTCCCCGAGAGCCGAAGGGCCGCTCTCGAGGCAGAGCTTCACGGACTTTCCCTCGAGGACGACGACGGAGAACTCAGCCTGGCAAGTGCGGATATTGGAGGTCTTGGCCCTCTGCCTGAAGGACCAAAGTCGAGGAACCTCGATAAGCGCTTCTTCGGACCCGGAGCCAGCAACGCGGGACATTTGAGCATGCCTTTCAATTACAAATATTCTGAGCAGGGCAGCAGGCAGTTGGTGGGAAGGAAGGCGAAGGCGATGTACGCGTTGGAGAATGGATTGGACCCGAAGGATGTTCGGATGGGATCTGGCAAAAAGCATTTCAAAGGAGGACCGAGGAATGGAAAGAAAAAGAAGGCAGTTGCGCTAGATGATTGAGAAAAAGGAAAGGATAGCATCCTCTATTTCGGGGATTTTTCATTTTTGTAGGGAGTCCAAAAATAAACGCAACGGAATGATATATCGCCGGGAATCTGACCTGCAAAGTAATGCGTTGATGCTCATGATGCTTTTGATCCGTTCCTTTTCGTCCGTGGAGCGAACGGCAGCCGAGGAAGCGGATCCGGGGATAAGACAGGCACGGATGACGGATCATAATCATACCACGGCAGACGACAGACGCACGTTTATTCGTTTTATTCGAGGGGCCGAGCCAGGCATTCTCGGATTTGGAGCAATGAGAGGGCGTCTCTTGTGTGGGACAAATGAGACAACAAGACTTTGGCCTGCTGCTTTTGGACTGGTGTTCCGTATCCAGGCATGTCCAATCTCGGTCCGCCCCCACGACTTCAGTGGACTGCATCAATGCCTGGCCTGGCTGTCTGATTGTTGATCAGTACACTGATCTGTCTACACTTCTCATATCCGCACCTTGTTGGTACCTCTAGCTTGGCGCAGTGTGCTACGAAGTACGAAGTAGACGCTTCAAATGCACAGCGAAGTATAGTTTTAGTTTAGCAGACGGACTTCTTCAACCCTCCAATCCCAAAGGCCTGGCGCCGGTGGAATCTGGGGTTCCAAACCCAAGAAATCCTCCCCCCGCCTTCTCGCATTAACCCCGTCAAGTTACCTCGGCATGACATCGAAACCTTGGCTTGATGGCGGAGTTCGTGCAGGTCTACTTCGTAGCTGCCCCTGTTCACTGGGTCCCGGCAAGCTCATCGCTCGGTCGACTCCATGAATCAATTGATTTATCCCCGGAATCAGCTTACGCCGCATTCGTCACTTCTTCTATTAATTGTGCCGGACGCGCTGCTGCATGTGGATTTTCTAAACTGCTTTGGGGCTTTGAATTTAAGTCTTCGATCCTAGCCTTGACGATCTTGAGGATACTTCCATTTTCTATTTTTTTTTCTCCTTGGATTTATTCCCCATTAGGATTTATTTTTCTGTGTAGCAAGGAAAAGAAGATTATTCGACAATATGTCTGCCAAGATTCCCTCCATTGTAAGCTCCAATCTTGAATCTTGCCCCTGATGTCATACATCATCCTCGCTCTGAGAAAGCTTCGAGGAAATTGTCCAGCATCGGAGGCCATGCGACTGACACAAGGATTCTCTCCCCGCAACTAGGTACAAGAGCGCGTTAGCGAGCGGGCCCGCAAGGCCCTCGACACAGTCGCCAAGTTCGTCGAAGAAGAATGCATTCCGTAAGTATCTGTGCCTTTTCGGTGTTCATCCTCCTCCTCCTCTGTTATCAGCCAAGCTCACATCACCACCACCACCACCCTCTAGCGCCGACCCCGTCTTCGAGGCCCAAATCGGCGAGGGCGACGCCCGCTGGGAATCCTACCCCGCCATCCTCGAGAACCTCAAGGCCCGCGCCCGCTCCCTCGGCCTCTGGAACATGTTCCTCCCCAAGGGCCACTACAAGGAGTCGCCCGGCTTCACCAACCTCGAGTACGGCCTCATGGCCGAGTGGCTCGGTCGCTCGCACATCGCTTCCGAGGCCACCAACTGCGCGGCGCCCGATACCGGTAACATGGAGGTGCTTGCCAAGTACGGCAATGAGGCGCAGAAGAGGACGTGGTTGGCGCCTCTTATGGATGGGAAGATTCGTTCGGCGTTTTTGATGACGGAGCCGGATATTGCTAGTTCGGATGCTACGAACATTCAGCTTACTATGAGGAGGGAGGGGAATGAATATGTTCTGAACGGATCGGTATGTTGGTGCCTATATACCCTGGGCTTGAAAACATATATTGACGGCATATCATAGAAATGGTGGTCTAGCGGCGCCGGTGACCCCAGATGCAAGATCTACATCGTCATGGGCAAGAGTGACCCCAGCAACCCCGACCCTTACAGGCAGCAGTCCGTCATCCTCGTCCCCGCCGAGACCCCCGGAATCACCATCCACCGCATGCTGTCGGTCTACGGTTACGACGATGCGCCCCACGGCCACGGCCATATCAGCTTCAAGAACGTCCGCGTGCCCGCCACGAACCTCGTCCTTGGCGAGGGCCGCGGTTTCGAAATCATCCAGGGCCGTCTTGGACCTGGTCGTATCCACCACTGCATGAGGACCATTGGTGCTGTACGTAAATCACATTCTCTCTCCCTCCTGCCCCTCTTTTTTTTTCCCCTGTTTCTCTTTCGTATACGTATTACCCAGCCGAGGAATGCCAAGAGACTGACCAAGAAAAACCACCCACAGGCCGAGAAAGCCCTCGAGTGGATGATCATGCGCATCAACGACCCCAGAAAGACCACCTTCGGCAAACAACTCAAAGATCACGGCGTAATCCTCGAATGGGTCGCCCGCTCCCGCATCGAAATCGACGCCGCCCGCCTCCTCGTCCTCAACGCCGCCATCAAGATGGACGACCTGGGCCCCAAGGCCGCTCTCAAGGAGATCGCCGAAGCCAAGGCCACCGTGCCGCAGGTCGCCCTCACCGTCATCGACCGCGCCGTCCAGTCGTTCGGCGGCGCTGGTGTCTCTCAAGAGACGCCCCTGGCGTACATGTGGGCGCTGATTCGCACGCTGAGGTTGGCTGATGGACCTGATGAGGTGCACCTGAGGCAGCTAGGTAGGAATGAGAGCAGGAGGGGGAAGGAGGTGACGGATAAGATTCAGTGGCAGAAGGAGAAGACGGAGGAGTTGTTGAAGGCTCTTGGGTTGACGAGGCGGCAGCCTGGGACGAAGATTGTGAAGTCTAAGATTTAGGGGGAAGAGCCTTGAAATCTACATGTTGCTATGTCTTGTGTTGATAGTACAGAGGTTCAGAACCAGGTATTCTATATAGTCATTATTCCATTTGCCTGCTGTTGCTGCTCGAAAGGAACATGAATAAGCCTGATCTTACATTGAAATCAAAGATTGTACAAGGAACGAACAAACCACTCCTTGTGCCTTACTCTTTACTCTTCACTCTTCATCACTTAACTCCAGCATAGTGAAATCTTGAAATCTCAGCCAGGATAACGAGGATTCACGACATGCCCCTTCCTCCAGTGATCCTCAGTCAACTATAAAATGATCTGTTTCCTCCTTAAGATAAACAATCCCAAACTAAACAAGCCTAACACCAACATCGAACTCTCTACTCTGCACTTTACTCTCTCCTCTACACTTTACTTTCTACTCTCTAATCTCGTTATTCTAACCAAATCTGGTTTAACCCAATGGCTGCGGAACAATCAGACGTTAACGCGGTGTCGTCCACGAAAAGCCCCTCCGCAGCCCAAGAGGAGATCTAGAGGGCTTTGCATAATATCGAACAAACTCTTGAGCAGTTTCAGCAGGAAGTTGACGAGGGATTCAAACAATTTCACCAGAGCTGTGATCGTATTGACCAGACAAACGAACGAATCGGTCAGAGACTTGAACAAATCGGCTAGATACTTGAACGAATTAACCAGAGACTTGACAGTGTTGAGGAGAGACTTGAACAGATTGACCAGAGACTCGGCCATGATGAGGAGAGAACCAGAAATGATCAAGACACAATTGACCTGATCCACCGGATGCTCCGAGCCCGAGCCCGGTAAGTTGGTTCAGTCCGTCTATTCAAGTCTTCCATCTAACAAGGTTCTAGTAACGATAAATTAAATTCTCTTGCTGCCATACAAAAACAATTTGAACCAGACGAAACGGTGGAGACGGAAACGAATATTGGAATTTAGATCTTGCTTTGAGTAGCCCGATATTGTGGAATTGGCATTTTGGGGGGGGGGTGGGGGTTTGGGATGATGGAGGATGATGGATGCTAGGATATGTCTGCTAGGTGTCAGCCCGACTGACGCTTTCCACGCTCGACTCTTGAGAGATATTGGGCGAAGCACTTCAATGCAACACAATAATAGCGTGAGACTCATTCCAGTATCCCCTTCAAGCAGTAGGTAGCGGGGAGCGAAGAGCCAGGGACAAGAGGTGTTTTGTTCTTTCCTGGTACGATCTTCGATTCTATGATAATAGAGACCACGGGATTTCCATGCCGCACCAAAGCCCTTCCAAATATTTTGGTTTCTGTCTCCTTATCCTTATATTTCTAGTCTGTATACAGTTGGGGTTCTTGCCGACTTAAAACGAGATTCATCCTGGTGGAAAGTCTGAGGAGGCCACGTGGATACGGCATCGCCCACCATCTCTTCTCCGACGAAACGGACTGTTCTACTTCGTAGGCCTTGATTCGCGGTAGTAATTATTCTTTGAAACCCAGTATTTGGAGTTGGAAATTGTCTTGGAATGAGAAGGTGTAGTCGACAACGTCTTGAGATCTGTTGTACGTTGCCTGGCCAACGACCCACGTCGTTTCCTTCGCACAATCCCCACCACACCTTCCCTCCCTGGGCTTAGCTAAACAGTTTATGATCCCTGCTCATCTCCAAATTTGTCTACTTTTATTTACATTGATTCCAAGTACATCACTTTTCTCTCTTCCTCGATCCACCGTTCAAACATCGAAGCTTGTTTATTCGGATCTCCCTCCGAATAATTTGGAAACAAAGACAAAGAAAACGAAAAAAAAAGTCTACCTCCCATCAGGGCTTTTAATTCTTGGAGAAATCTTTTTTTTGTTCTCTAATACCCATTTGTTCTCTCCAACGATCAACCTGTTGTTAACGTGCCTCCCTCACAATCTCTCAACTCTGTTGAGAACGAAATCACTCACGCCTCTTTAACCTCTTTAACCGGCCCCGTTTTCGAGGAAATACTTATCCGCACTCGACGAAGAAAAGAAACAGACGCAACAATGTCCGGCATCCTCTCCAACAAGGACGTCAACGCCTCCATGCTCGCCACCGAGCAACAACCCGCCACCAAGTCCATCAAGAGCATGGAATACCACCGCCAGATCCTCCATTCCAAAATGGAGGCCGAGAAGTCAGTTACCGCTCTCTCTTCTACTAAACCGTCTCTATCTCCTCCCAGCCACAACCACCACCAGGCAGCTTCCAGCGAAGCCACCGAGCATGCTCCTCTTCCTCTCCCCAATCCTATCATCCATAACAAGACTACTTGCCCGGACGAGAACAACCCCGAGATATCTCATGGCAACGACGGGCTTACCAACACCGCCCTGTCCTCTGTGGCTCTTCGGAGACTTAGGCAGAACAAGCAGTATATCTCGCCTTCGGATAACATCATGAGTCCTTGTACCGCCAAGCTCAATGCCCTGCGCAACAAGCAGGTTGGAAAGTAAGTCACTTACCTTTCTTTTATCAAATTTCTCTCTCCATCTCTCGTCTGTCCCTCGAGATGGTATGAGTTCTGACGTAGACCTTGTAGGGTCAAGCCCAAGTCTCTCTTCGCTCAGGGCGTCGCTAAGAAGCTCGATGCCTCGAAGAAGGACACCGCCTTGTGAGGCCCCTTGACTGGACCAAAATCTTCTTTATTTCTTCCTTCTCTTTTCTTTTGCCTCCTCCCTTTTGGAGGGGGGAGAAGAGGAAACTTGTGTTTTCTTCCTTCCTGTTTAGTTCTGTACATTTTCATCCAGTTTCTACGATTCTGTCACTTTGTTTTTCTTTTCCTTTTTTCATTCGATTGTTATTGGGAGGATCATAATGTCTGTCGATGGAGGGCAAGGACGGTCTTGGCACTCGGTCTCCGTTGTCCACGTCAGGGACGAGGGAAACCTTTCTGGTAGTTTTATGGGCGTTTCGGAGGATTACACGAATACCTGGTGAAAGAAAAAGCTGCAGGCTTGGGGTTTTCTCATGATACGTTATGAACTTAGAATCAATTGACCGGCTTTGGTTTTTGTCTTCCTTAGAAGCTCTCACGATACAGGTATCCCCCACGCCTGGCGAGTATGTATGGGAAGGACGAGGCTCAATCGAAAAACGAGTCCATCACGCACGCCAGCCACTGACGATATACACAACATCCCCATCCGCAACCACATGTCCCAACCCAGTCCGCTGAGGCACATGCCTCGCGCTAGCACCCCACACGAGCGCATACTTAAACGTATCCTTCATCGTCCGGTGAATCTGATCGCACACGTCCTCAATCGTGCTTCCATTCCTCACAATCAGCGCCTCTTCGAAATTCGGCTCAATGCCCTTCCTCTTGGTGTATATCCGGATAAGGTTCAACTCCTTCCAGCACCGATCCACGACATCCTGCACGCCGAGGTCGAGCTCGCAGCTCATGACGACGGTGTTGGGCTCACGCGCCAGCTGGTCGAGGAACTCGACTGACACGCTGTCGATCTTGTTGTAGACGTAGAGGCATTTGATGTATTTGCGGTGGTCCTTCATGATGACGTCGATGAGGTCGTCGACGGTGCAGTTTTCGTCCCGGACTAGGACTTCGCAGTTGAGAAGCTTGTAGTCGCGGAGGATGTTGTAGATCATTTTTTCGTCGAGGTATTTGGGCGGGGATTGGAAGGTGATTTTCATTCCGCCGGCCTTTTTCGGCTTGAGGTAGATGTTTCTAAGGCAGTGTGAGTCGGTGGAGGAGCAGAACTCGTGATGAATACACCAAAGAAGAGAATGATAACACGTACGGAGGTGTCCTGTTCAGACGAATACCCACAGCCTCGAGTTCAGCTTCGAGAAGCGCCCTCTGCTCCGCCCGTTTCGTGGCATCCAGCACCATGAGAATCATGTCGCTTGTCTTGGCCGCCGAAATCACCTGCCGTCCACGTCCCTTGCCCTCAGCGGCACCTTCGATAATACCTGGCAGGTCGAGAAGTTGGATCTCGGCGCCATCGTACTCTAACACACCGGGAATAGCCGTGAGAGTCGTGAAGGCATAGGATGCAACTTCCGACCTCGTCTTGGTAACTTTGGAGAGGAAGGTGGATTTTCCTACTGACGGGAATCCGACTAGTGAGATTCTTGCATCGCCGCTTTTGCTCACGTCGAATCCCGCTCCTGGGCCCCCGCCGGATCCCGGTCCGGGTTCAAGTAGTTGCGCTCGGAGTCGGGCGAGTTTGCTGTTGATGCGAGTTAGATTCGGGCTGGTGGGCGGGTTTCACGGGTTAGAGAAACTTGCCCTTTTAGTAAACCAAGATGGTATTCTGGGTGCATGTTAGCAAAAAAGACAATCTAATCAGGGGGTTCATTCCAAGAAAATCAACATATCAACGTACCTGTCGCCTTGTTCTCTAGACAAAAGAGTTAGTATGCTGGTCATCTCACATCCCATCCCAGCTCATGCTGGTGGCGAAACAACAAAGATGCCTTGGAGGCTCATTGAGATGCTAGGAATACACTAATGCCAGGTAAAAGTGAAATTCTTCTCACGTCTAGGGTCGCTTACTCTGCGTCCTCTTCATCTCATCCTCAATCCTAAAGAGGGAAAGAAAATATAGCTTAGCGTTTGCTTCGTTTCCTCTGCCAGTCCGTCCACCCCACCTTGGAACTTGACTTACTCCTTGATCTTGTCTGTGATGTTGACCATCTTGACGGTTTCGACCTGCAGAAGCAGGATTTGAAACTACCCGAACAACTACACAACGAAAACAATGGGTGGGAAAAACACCCGTCGCGGGCCAAATCTGCAGAGGATTTGGGATGAATACGAAATCGCGGAACGCTTCTTTGACATCTACGAAGTATGGCGGGGCAGTTTTCCCAAGACGATTGAATTTGGCGGGGTGAGAGCTGTGGCTGGTGTTGCCACTGCCATGAGGTGTACTGGACTGGCAGAAGCTTATGCACCGCCACAGCCTTACCATTTCGTTCGCCACAGATCTCGAGTAAAAACAATCCGACCCAGCAACCTCAACTTCGCAGAGACATCGTGGGAAGCCCTAATATCGTCATAAACGCCGTCTAATCAGATCATCCGTCAAGCATTGGAAAACGCCTTTACCAGCGATATACCCACGCACGCGCACGCAATCATATCCCTCACGACCTAGCGACGATGTCAGACGAAGAACCCCAGGTCGAAATGACGGCGCAGGCCGTCGTGACCGAGTCCGCCCCCCAGCAAGAAGACGGCGCCGGCGCCCTCATACCCGCAAACGGCAGCACCGAAGTCGCGCCTCCCAAAAAAGTCAAAAAGATCATCCGCAAGAAGAGGCGGCCCGCCCGACCGCAAGTAGACCCGTCCTTCATCACCTCGGAGCCACCGCCACAGACCGGCACCGTCTTCAACATCTGGTACAACAAATGGTCGGGCGGCGACAACGAGGACAAGTACCTCTCCAAAACCCACGCCAAGGGTCGGTGCAATATTGCGCAGGATAGCGGGTACACGAAGGCCGATAGGATACCGGGAAGCTACTTTTGTCTGTTCTTCGCGAGGGGGATATGTCCTAAGGGACCCGACTGCGACTACCTTCATCGGCTGCCGACGATTCACGACCTGTTTAATCCGAACGTGGATTGTTTTGGGAGGGATAAGTTTTCTGATTATAGGGATGATATGGGCGGCGTGGGAAGTTTTACGAGGCAGAATAGGACAGTTTATGTTGGGAGGATAGTTGTGTCGGAGGATATTGAGGAGATTGTCGCGAGACACTTTGCGGAATGGGGTCAGATTGAACGAAGTGAGTTATTTTCTGTTCCCTTTTTCCCGCTTTTTTAGAGACAGATATTAACCCTCTATCCTTTAGTCCGTGTCCTAAACACCCGCGGAGTCGCCTTCATCACCTACAGCAACGAAGCAAACGCCCAATTCGCCAAGGAAGCCATGGCCCACCAATCCCTCGACCACGAAGAAGTCCTCAACGTCCGATGGGCAACTCCTGACCCGAACCCTATGGCACAAGCGCGAGAGGCTAGGAGGATCGAAGAACAAGCGGCAGAGGCCATCAGGCGCGCTCTGCCTGCCGAGTTCGTCGCCGAGATAGAGGGCAAGGACCCTGAGGCGAGGAAGAGGAGGAAGATTGAGAGCAGCTACGGACTCTCAGGTTATCAGGCTCCGGACGAGATTCACTTTGCGGTTGGGGCAAATGCCGTCAACCCGCTCGGACGACAGGGATATGAGTTGGAGGAAGGACAGCATCAACAACATCAGCCGGAGAACGGCGCGGCTGGCCCGCCGCTGGCAATAGAGGCCGCGCCAGAGCAAGGGGCGGGCATATTTTCGAGCAGTACTATCGCGGCACTGAATTCTGCCAAGGTGGCTGTTGCGTCGAAACGAAAGGCGGCGGCGCCAGCGGGACCTTTAGTCGCGTATGATAGCGATGACGATGAATGAGTTTGGTGTAAATTTGTAACATTATCATGATTGCCTGCCATTATAGAATCGAGATACCAAAAGACCCTTGCCGCTACCACCACGACTGTCATCACGGAGCACACCTCCCTTCCCCTATGAAGTTTCTTTATTAATCTAACTGTTGAAAATCCTCGAATATAAAACCTCATGCCTCCCAACCCACAAATCCATAACCGGCACCGTCTGCCCCGCGTCCTCCACCCACGTCTCCCACTCCCTCTCCACCGCCTCACCCACCATCCTTCTAACCTCATCCCCCGCCAACACGCCCTGCGCCTTATACGGCCCCAAAACACCCGCCCTCACAGCCGCGCTCACCAAGGCCTTAACATGCCCCAACACGAGCACATACGCCATCCTCTCCCTCTCCAACCCCGCCGCTCTCCCGACGGCCCCGAACACAACAGCCAAATGCCCATGCGCCCTCCCCCCACACGTCCCTTTCACCTCTGCCGCGAACGACCGAAGGGCATCATCCCTTAGAGGCGGCGCAAACGACTTTTCCCAAAGAGAAAGGAGGGCACGACCCTGTGCTGTTGAGGCGCGGCGCCCGACGGTGCAGATCGTGCTCGCGTCGAGGATGTCGTCGAGTTCGGGGAGGGAAGAGGGGTTGTCGTAGGCGGCGAGGGCGAAGGGGAGGTTCGTGGAGGCGAAGGAGGAGATGGAGGAGGGGAGGAAGGTTGAGAAGGATGTTGTTGGGGTGGCAGCGGTGGATGTGTGGGCTAAGTAGGATTCGAGACCGCTGCTGAAGGCGAAGGACCCGAGGGGCAGGGCGGAGTCGGAAAGGAGGAGGAGGAAATGGTGAGATGGGTCGTTGACTGGGGGAGGTAGGAGTTAGTTTTAGTTCTTTCTATACTTTCTTACTTTATTTTTATTTGGTTTATGTATTTTTCTTTATAGCGAATAGATGTTTCTTAAGGAGAGAAATTGGGAGCCTTGCCGTTGGTGAAGTGAGGGTGAGTTGGAATGTTTGCAACGTCATTTTCAGGATGGTTCAATTGGTCGAGTCGATGCCTTGCTGAAGCAAGACGACCCTCGAGTTCGGCGATTTCATCTTCGATCTCCTTCACTGAGGATTTCTCATTTTTTGAAAGCCCATTCATCTCAGCTTGACTGTTTGATGAGTGGGAGGAAAAGATAAAGTTCAGCGTTACCACAGAGCTCACTGAGGAAGCAGATAAGACCATAAATCAAGATAAGAAACAGTTGCTCTATTCACTTGGCTTATTCCTAACGCCGTTTGCCCCCCCGCCCCCCCCTCGACGAGATGCTCAAAACGCCGAAAAAAAAAAAAAAATACGATCCACTATGTTTTTACAACTTGTAACCCTCGCGATAATGATCTCCTCCCAGATATAGAAGAAGAAAAAAAGAAAGTTTGGCCATTACTCCCCCCGCTTCGTGTCTATCCATCACCAACTTGAATGGTCCCTTGTAGCTGTAGCTGTGGGCCGCACGTTCTCCTTATCGAGAGCCTTCAACGTGCCCGCAATCGCTTGCCTCCGCTCCGCTTTCCTCTGCTCGATGCGCGCCAACGCGGCGGCACGCCTGTTTGGAGGTAGGGTGCATCGTGACGTATTGCCAGCCAAGATGGAACTACCATTCATGTCCGGCAGACCGAGATGCTTAAAACGCTCCTTAAGCATATCGAGCTGGGGCTGATCATCGTCACCCTGGTCTAGATCAACTTGTCCGACCTTGGGTTCCGCATCTGCCACATCTAGGTCCAAGCTTCCATTGCGCCGTCCTACATCTCTAAGGTAGGCTCGGTTCCGCGGAGATCGTGGGATGTATGGCTGCCACTTTGGCCTCTCGAGATTCACCCGGTCGGTGAGGAGATTCCGGGGAGCGTCGTCCGTCTTCAAGCCCAACTTGAGGTCATCAGGCTCCCCGAGGAATCTCTCGCGAAGCGCACGGGACGCTTGGGTGACTCTAACCCGCTTTGCGTCCAACTCGCTAGCGAGATTGCTGCTAGCCTTGATTTGTCGTTCGGCGGGAGGCGAGGCGGAATTGGTGAGTCGGGCAAGATCTCGGAGGTCGACGTGGATATCGGGTTTATCGTCAGCGGAGGGTTTCCTCGTCCCGGTTGAAGCGAGCCCGTGGAAGCTCTTAGGACGCGTGCCTCGCTCGTCCTTGGAAGCTTTGAGGATCCGCAGCTCCCTTTTGAGCTCGGATATCTTCTCAGTTGCCTTCTCCAATACTGCTTTCGTATCCTCCTGTTGGGCGACGGCTTCCTTTTTGAAGTCGTCAAACTCTTGCTGTAGCCCCTTAATCTCCACGTCCTTATTTCGAGTCTCCGCCTTCGCGTCCCGTAGCTGCGCCATGAGATCCTTTACGTAGGAAGATCCATCGTCACCACTTCCACGAGCCAATCGCTTGTTCTCCTCCGCAAGATTGGTAGCTCGCTGTTCCGCTGCTTTGAGTTCGGCCTTTAAGCGCGTCACCTCGTCCTGCAGATCTCCCATCTCTCGAAGTTCGGAACGGGCGCGTCGTAGTTCTCGCTGGGTTTCGAGAAGTGTGCGATGTGTTCGTGGCGACGCAGCACCCGTTCGTCTGTGTCTGCCATCATCTTGCCGGTTCCTCAATAAGGACTCGAGCTCCTTGACCTGACTACGGTACTGAACCGCAAGGGCTGTTTGCTTGGCAAGGTTTCTCAGAAGATCGGGTGATTCGTGGTCGCCGCCCTTTAGGCGCCTGGCGGCAATCTGAGCCGCCATCTCGCTGAGCTTCTTCTCCATCTCTAACACTTTTTCTTGCTCCTCCTTTAGTTTCTCGTTCAAGTCGATAGCTTCAGTATCCTTCATCTTGGCATAGGACTTTGCAAGTTGCTTATACTTGAGCAATTTCTCCATCTCCGCCTTGGCATCCTTGTGGTATGACTCGAAGTTGGATTTCCAGTATTTCCCGGATCGTGAGTGCGGCTCGTTAAGGTCAACAGTAATGTCGTGGCTGCAGCAATCGTCGTCTTCATCATCGTCAGCGCCATCGTCATCCTCCTCTTCCCATTCATCGTCATCATCGTCCTCGTTCTCCTCAACCTGTGGCATGGGTTGTTTCTTCTCCGCGGTGGAAGATTTGGCCTTATTTTGCCTCGAACTCGCCATCAACTCGGTCAGTCGTGTTCGTCTACGCGTCGAATCACGGCCCGCACGCATCCCAACCTTCGTACCGGCGGCCTTCGACCCATCCTCGAACACATCATTGCCGAATGAGACGCGTTTGGGTCGGGAGGTGCCAGTCCCCGGCGTTAGGAGGATTCCGGGTGGTTTGCTTGGAGGAGTTCTTCCATCGGAATGAGCATGCTCCAGTCGCCCACGTCTATCCACAGCCCCTCGCCTTCTATCATCTCCCTCTCCAAAAATAGCTGTCTTGAGGGCTCTGGCGGCGAAGACTGGGGCTGGGGTGTCTGGCGCATCAATCTGCGTCGTGTCATCTGCCAAAGCAAGAAGAGAAGCATTAGCGCCATGGTTACTTGAGGTCATGAGTCGAGTCGGCAATTGTCGAACGTAGAAGATTGGTATGGAAAAATTGGGTGTCGAGTGGTTGTTTTCCTACCTCCATCTTCCTTCGCGCCTTTGGCCGGTTCCAGACCGCGTCGCAAAACCCAACCAAGCATCTCGAAGATGTTTTTTACCCTGGGGCTCTCGCGTCACCCAGCAGAGAAAGATGATTTTCACACACTATGTCGGAAAGAAATTTGTGTAAATAGGTGATCCCAAAATTTGTCTCTGAGAAGGTGCAGTAAAGGGTTGTGCTGGTGAGTGGTGGGAGTGGTGGGAGTGGTAAGATAAAATTGGAATTGGGCGAATAATCAGATGCAACTTCCTTTGTTTACTTTGACACCAAACTGGGCCATTGGGGTTCCTTCTGTGTAAGTTGTCACTGGGTGTCATCAATTGGCCACTTCCGAGAATAAGCCGAAGGTTCATCTTCACAACCCCAGCTTACCTCTTCTCCTTCTCCAAGGAAGAACAGAGAACCAGTTCAGTTTCTCCTCTTCAAAAAAAAAAAATTCACAGCTCATACTAAAGTGGTTTCTTTCTCTTCCCACCTCATTTCCCATTCTCGTTTTCAGCATTTTAGACACCAACGACTTCATCCTTTTCAAAGCCACTGGCTAGTACCTTCTAGCTACCAATCCTATCCAATGCTCTTACTAGGTCCCCTCTATCATCAATTCGGAAGAGTCACCTCTACGATGATGGCCTATCAATTTATTTCAACTGCTCTTCGTCAATCATCAGCTCCCCATGGAGCATCTGCTCGTTTCAACCACCCTGCCTCCTTGGTGAGACCTTGAGCCTAGCTACCCCGCGACGCCACTCACGCGACAAAGACGCGCTAGACCCTTGGTTTCTGTTTCTGGCAGCTCCTCTTATCGATAAGACCCGTTAGTCACCAACAGCTTTGACTCGACCCCTCCAAAACCTCAATCTTGACCAGCGACAGGGCGCATCTCCATCCTCCTCGGCAACCTCGACAAAACAAACCCTCACATACCACAGACTCTTTACCAACAGAAAAGAAACCATGGACTTCTCCTCGTGAGACGTCCCAGCTACCTTCACAAGTAACTGGATAGGCATCTCCGAGCCGTCCACTCGTCTAACCCTTCCTGGTCAGGATGGCGTGGAAGAAGCCGACAAACCAACCCAAGAAAAGCGACGCGGGCTTCCCTGGCTTGAAGAGCCACCGGGGAAGCACTACCAAGTACGAAGAGCTTCAACAGAATGAGTTGATTGCCCTCGATGCGATTTATGGCGAGGATTTCAAGCGATTGAAAGAGGCCCATTCGGCTTGGAAGGTGTGACTCAGTCCTACTTCGATCTTTTTCTTGTCTTTGATGTCTTTTTTTGGACCGTGGCAGTCTTCTGGTGTGGCGATGTTGATGGGTTGCTACTGCAATTTTACACAAAGACTTGCTAACCCACTCTCTCTCTAGAAATCCGAGCCCTCTTTCGATATCCGAATCAGCGCCTCCGACGAAGGATTTTCTTGTACCCTGCGAGTCATCTTGACTGCGACCTACCCCAAATCTCCACCGCTCATTACACTTCTCGGTGACCTTCGAGATGCGACTCGATTCAAGATTGAAAAATTTCTTCAGGCAAAACCGAAGGAGCTCGCCTCGGAAGAGCAAGAAATGATGCATCCAATCATTGAGGGCATTCGAGAAATTCTCGAGGATGACGCGCAAGCAAAAGCGAGTGGTCGGCAGATATCCTTGGAAGAGGAACGCGCGCGCCATGAGGCTATGCTTGCGCGTCAAGCCCAGGAGGAGAAAGAAGAGCTAAAGAGGAAAGATTTGGAGAAGAGCAGAGAAGAGCAACGCGCAATGGCTGGCGCTGTGCAGGAAGAACTGAGGCGTCATGAAGAAGCGGCCAGGGCATATGAGAAAAGTCAAGGCCGCCGTGCGAGTGAGGCTTTGGTCGACGCGGATGCTTCAAAACCCGACAAGGACGACAACATCATCATGTTCGACAGAATTTGCCGAGTAGTCGACATATCGGGCAGGGAATTCAGCTTCACCACAGTTGAATGCGGCTCGGTTTTCGGATCCGGACCCTTGTCTGCGGTCCACCATTGTCTCCCGAGTGTTTCCAAGGCTTCGTCATGCCCCCCACTCGCTCTAAAGAAGACCGTTCTTCGATTCCCAACGAACCAAGGCGAGAGTGTGAGGAATCAGATGATCGCATTGGAAGGAAAGCTCACTATGCTTCAGGGCATACACCACCGCCATTTAGTCGACGTTGTCGGCTTTATGATCCACGAGGAACTTGCCGTGGAAAAGAATTTCCTACATAGGTTCTGGACCGTGCAAGTTCTAAACCAGAAAGCCCAGATGACTTCTCTCGAAGGCTTCCTGGATATTTGCGATCGTCTCCACATCTCCAAGGTACGCTCATTCGCCCGAGACTTGCTTGATGCCATGGCCTGTCTTCATAATCATGGTATAATCCACCATGATGTGCACCCACGGAACGTGCTTATCTTCAAGGAGAGCACCGGCGAGGCCACCCAGACTGTTGCGAAGCTTTCAGATGCTGTTTACCAGCACATGTTGTACGACATTGCCAAGATGAGTGATTCGGAGACGAAATTCACCTCTTCTCGATCCAGCTTTTGGCTTGCCCCTGAGACAACCGCCGAAGATGGCAAGGATCAGTACACCCACAAGACGGATATCTGGGATCTCGGCGTAATCATCATGCAGATGATGTTCGGATTCGATATCGTCCAGCAGTTCAGCTCGCCATATGCCTTCATGAAGGCACATAGCCTGTCCACACCACTCAAGGAAATGATGGTAGGCTTCTTTGATCCAGACCCCAAGCGCCGTCCCAAGGCCTTTGATTTAGGCTGCACCGAGTTTCTTACGACCGATGCCCCGATCTTCGCCGTTGGAACCCTTGTACCCCAAAGGAGCCGGCTACAATCGTTTACCAGCTCGGTCCAGCAGTTGCCCTCTCGCCTCGGACTTGATGGCACGAAGGAGGGTCGCTATACCGGCCGATACGAGGCTGAATTTATCGAGGAGGGTCGCCTTGGAAAAGGCGGCTTCGGTCAGGTGGTAAAGGCCCGGAAAAAGCTCGACGGAGGTGTTTTTGCCATCAAGATCATCCGCGTCAGCACAAGCTCCACATTAACGGAGGTTCTAAAGGAGGTGGCTTTGATTTCTAAGCTCAACCATCCTGCAGTAGTCCGGTATTATGACGCTTGGGTTGACACGGTCACAGATTCGTCCGCAATCACCACAGACGATGAGGATGACGATGATACCGACAGTACGGAGGTTACAGAGTCCGGACAGGGCCCCGTTACAGCCAGTGGCGGACTTGATTTCATCTCTTCTACCGGATATCCTGGAATTGAGATTGAGTTCGGGTACGACTCAGGCGAGGGTGCCGATGAAGATGTCGGAACAAATGGCCGCAGTGGCAGTAGCCAGACCCTAGATGTTGGTGAGACGGAAGAGGACACACAGGAGGAAGATCAGTCCTCCACGTCGCATAACCAGCTACAGCGAACTAACTCTCAACCCAAAGTTCAACGGATTCTTTACATCTCCATGGAATACTGTGACCGGCGGACACTACGAGACCTGATTAATGGCGGTCTGTATAAGGATACACCCGAGATCTGGAGGCTTCTCCGTCAGATCCTATCCGGTCTTCGTCATATCCACAGCTTAAGCATCGTACACCGCGACTTGAAACCGGAAAACATTCTCATTACCCAGGGCCTTAAGGGGGAAGATTGCGTCAAAATTGCCGATTTTGGCCTGGCAACCATGGGACAGTTTATGTCCACTAAGCTTGGTGCATCGTCCTCGGATCCAGACCAAATAACGAGAAGCCTGGGTACGAAGTTGTATACCGCGCCAGAAGTCCGCTCAACAGCCTCTGGGGCGTACAGCTCCAAGGTTGATGTAAGTCATCTTGTTACCCCCCGATGCAAACCTGTCTGCTTTCACAAATGATTCAATTTTTCAATGACGGCAAATGAACATAGACTAACATTTTTGGTCGGGACAGATGTTTTCCCTCGGTGTCATCCTCTTTGAGATGTGCTACCATCCAATGCTTGGGATGGAACGAGTACTTGTGTTGGAAGGACTGAGGCGACCGGACCGAGTTCTTCCCCCGGATTTCAAGCCCGGTGATCGGAACCAAACGGAAATCATACTTTCCCTCGTAGCGCATAATCCAGAGGACAGGCCTGACAGCGCAACGCTGCTAAGGAGCACCAAGATCCCTATCGATGGTGAAGAGGAAATTACCAAGAGCATCTTGGCAGGTGGCGTCGAGCCCGACTCTCCCTATTATCGAGAAATCCTAGCTACTTTCTTTTCGGGTTTCGCAGGGAAAGCGCGGGACTACGCGTGGGATATCGAGATGCCTGGTCCGGCAGTGATGAAGAAGATTATGACGGATGATCTCGCCCTCCAAGCCTTGGTCAAGGAGAACCTGGAAACTGTTTTTCGTCGTCACGGCGGTCTGGCCATTAACCGCAGCAATGTCTACCCCAGATCCCGCCATTACGGAGACAACGTGGTCAAGCTCCTCAACGCCGACGGGACGGTGCTACAGCTCCCATACGATTTGACTATGGGACTGGCTAGATTACTAGCAAAACACCCCGAAACCGTACCGGCTGACAAAGTCTACTCATTCGGGCCAGTCTTCCGAGCCTCGAAGGGTATGGGCCAGCCGGTGGCTTTCGGGGAGGTGGACTTTGACATTGTCTCTTCGGATGCACGGGAGCTGTCGATTAAGGAGGCAGAGCTACTAAAAGTCCTGGACGAGACCATCCACACGCTCCCACCCACCGTAGCGAGCAAGATGACCTTTTGGATCGGACACTCCAGTCTCCTCCACGCCATCTTTGACTTTTGCAAGGTCGACCGGTCTCTTCGACGGAAGACGGCCGACATCATTAGTAAGTTGCATATCCATGGATGTACGTGGCAGAAGATACGACAGGAACTTCGATCCGAAGAGGTGGGCGTGTCGGCGACGAGCGTCAACGAACTAGAGAAGTTTGATTTCAAGGGTATGTTTCTCCCCTGCTCTCTTTTCCCCCGTCTAGCTTTTGTCGTTCTTTGCTAACAAAAGCGAGCAGGCCCACCCAGTGAAACCTTTTCCAAACTGAAGGATATGTTCAAAGGATCAGACCTGTACTCCAGAGTCGCCTCTACCATTGGCCGCCTTGAGGAGGTCGTGGAATATACGAACAGAATGGCAGTGAAGACAACAATCGAATTCAAACCGCTTTGCAGCATCCGAGAGAGCTTCTACTCGGGCGGAATTCTCTTCACGTGCACATTCCGCGGGAAGGCTAAGGAAGTATTCGCCGCGGGTGGTCGATATGACAGCCTTATTAAGGAATTCCGCCTGAATGTCGGCGACCGCGAACAGGAGGGTCGGCGAGCTGTTGGATTCTCGTTCTCGTGGCATTCATTTGTCCATCTTTTCAAGTCAGGATCATCATCCTCGGCATCGCAGAAACGGCCGGAACAGGAGGCATTGCAAGCAGGGCGAGTAAGTGATAGATCTCTTTTAACCCCCCCCCCGGAACTCTCGTCGTCGTCTTACTAACACCTACCACGTAGCTTGATGTCCTTGTCACCAGCACGGACGATTCTCTACGACGAACCATTGGAGTTGAGATCCTCGGAACACTTTGGGATAATGGATTCACAGCCGAGCTCGCTAATAGCTCCGGCTCGACAGACGTGCTCCTTTTCAACGTCAAAGACGACGACTACTCGTGGGTCGTAGTTGTGAAGCCTGATAAGAGCTTGAGAGTGAAGACGATGAAACGGAATGATATTCCCGACGAGGAAATGCCTACAAACCACCTCCTCACGTGGCTTCACAGCAAAGTTCAGGAACGCGACTCGCTGGTCTCACGATCGAGGATTTCAGTTCAACGAGAGCAAAGCGGCCCCCTGGCACGGCGTGCGCATGGCGGTCAGGAGGTCTCGGTGCTTGTAACCCACCAAAAGAATAAGAAAATGATGCGGCAGTCCGTTATCGACCAAGCTCAGACGAGCGCGGCAGGATTTCTGGACGCCTTGACAAGCGGCCCGATTCTCGGTGTCGAAACGTCGGACGGCGCTCTGACGCTCATCCAGAGCACCCCTCTGTCGAGCGTCGAGGGCTGGAAGAAGTTGGAGCAGGCAGCAGGCTCCGGAGGCAAGGGATACGTTAGGCAGATCCACGAGGAACTGAGCACGTGGAGGGCTGAGTGCGAGGAGGAGAAGCGATCGAGACATTGCTTTATCTACAACTTTCGAACGGGGAAGATTATCTACTTTGACTTGGCGATCTAGAGCCTCTACAGAGAAAGATACGTCAGCCAGCTGGCGTTGGTAATCTTAGTAGACCCTCATTGCGATGCAGGCTCCGGTTTAGTAGCCGGATTTCCCCGGGCACAATCTCCACTCTTAACTCCTTGATTTTCAGGTGGAATGGAAGAGAGATGTGCGCATTATTATTATTATTATACCCAGAAATGACAACAATGAATCAGGTTGCCTCTTCGGAATATGGCTCTTTATAAACAGAAAAGTGAGTAATCGTGTTTATAGATGATTGAGTAAGGGACAACGGGCACAAAGTCGAGTCATTTGCTCAAGGCTCTCCGGCCCGTACCGATCCTCGTCGCGAAGGATTTTAATTCTCGTTGCGAATAAGTATATGTCGCAGCTTCAATGTATTCTGCCTGTGGTGCGGTGGCGAGGACGGAGAAGACCGGGGTGGGTTCGGTGTCTTTTGGGGCAATGGATTTAAAGTACTTCGGTACTTTGTGCCTTGGGACGCAGTCCACCACAGCCCACCGTAGCCGTACGCCACCGCCCAGAGAAAGACGAGCTGGAACGAGGAAATGACGCCAAAGTCGTTTTTCGTACAGTGACCGGATCCGCCATCGTTAGCGTAGGCACCATCATGCGACATATGCTGGAAATGGTACTAGGTACAAACTAGTACAGAATCCAGAGCGTGGACTATACCTCCAGGCCTCCTGGGACAAGTCAGTGGACTCAGTACCCCGGACCTGGACGGCCCAACCGGTCGGGAACAGCGGCGCCTAATCTGCAACATCTGCAAGCCGGAAAGGGAATGAGGCACTTGGCTCTTCAAAGTTTCTGCCTTGAGTCAGTCGTTTGTATTTTCTCCCAGTTTTTCATCAATCTTACTTTGGTTTGAACTCCTGGTGAAGGTTCTTTAATTCTTCTATTCTCTTTCTCTCCTTTTTTTTTCTCCTCCTCAGACCATTTTTTTGGTGTTGTGTCCTGCATTTTATTGGCATCGTGCTGCAGCTTGGGCTTCTTTTCCTCCTTGGACCATTTGGGCATCTCGTGATCTTAATCTGGAACCCCGCTGTCACAAGGGGGAAAGTGTCGTTCCTTCTTTAAACCTGACCTCCTGGAATCAGTCACCCTGCCACCTTCCTCCATTTTGACCTTGATAGATCTGAAGTCAAGCTCTTGTGATTATTCATACACAAACATCGAAGACGCGTCTGGGGAAAGGAATCCTCCCTCCTACACAATAAGGAAGAAATCCTGATTTCATATCCCAAACCACCTCTTTGGCACAAATACCGCCAGCTTGGGATTCCGTGTTACAGGCACTACCCTAACTCTCCTTTGTGCAACCTTGTTCGGACAGCAATTGAAGATGGCTGAGAAGCGTCTTATGAGTGAGCTCCAGGCTCTACAGAAGGAGAAATGGGTTTATATTGAGGTAAGTCAATTTGCTCCCAACTCACCCAGCTCACAAGTAGTAATGCAATGAGCCTACCTACTTGTCTGCCTTTCTCTCTACCTGCCTGCCCGCCTGCCTGGCCTTTGATATGAGAAAGGCAACTTACGATCATTGTCTTCAGGTAAACGAGGCGGATATCAAGAAATGGGATGTTGGCCTTATGGTTGTGAATCCCGACAGTGTCTTCTCCGGAGCCTATTTGAAGGTAATTGATTCCATACTCTCCTCCCTACCCCCCTGCTGGTGAGTTTCATATGCTAATCGCTGGCCTTGAAACTCTCCCAGGCTGAGATGACGTTCCCCTCCGACTACCCCTACCGGCCTCCCACGTTTCGATTTACGAAGCCGATCGTCTACCATCCCAATGTGTACCCGGATGGCAGGCTTTGCATCTCGATCCTCCACGCCCCCGGCGAAGATGAGATGTCGGGAGAGCAAGCCTCCGAGCGCTGGTCCCCCCTCCAAGGCGCCGAATCCGTTCTCCGATCGGTCCTCTTGCTCCTCGATGACCCCGAGATCAATTCTCCCGCCAACGTCGACGCATCCGTAACCTACCGTGACAAGCGTGTCGAATACAACACCCGAGCCCGCCAGGTCGCCGAGCAATCCCGCGCCGGCATCCCCGTTGGCGTTGACTTCCCCACCAGCGAGGAGCTCGCAGCCCCTCCTGCTAAGAGCGGACTGGACGATGACGATTTCATGAACGAAACGGACGAGGAGAGCATTGGTGGCAGCGATAGCGATAGCGACATCGACATGGACGATTTTGATGAGGATTTCGACGAAGAGGACGATGACTAGATGGCCATCGCTCCTTGGTTCGATCGTTTGTCGCGCCTTCTCCGTTTGACGGAGACCCTGGTCAGCCTCACCCAGTATTTCCCCGTGGGCGTCCGGTGCCTGCCCCTGAGGCCGCGCTTCGCCCTACTTCGTCAGGAGTTTTGCCGGTTCGTCACAGAACTCCCCACCAAGCTTCACGGCCGTTCTCCCTTTCAGCCTGTTGGTTATATTTACAGTACCATCCGTGATCTTGACGAGGAGCACTTTTCGGGGACTCTTCCTCTTGCGATCGGTGGTCAGCTTATGGAGGGACCTCTGAGGGGATGAGACAGGTTGTTTTTTTTATGTTCATTTCCTCTCCTCTTTTTGTTTTTCACCTTTTTTCTTTTTTTTATGTTCTCATCAAGACGCATAGCGCGGCGAGGGAAGGCGGCTGTTTTGTTGTTTTCTTTCCTTTTCATGTTCTTTTATGAAGTACATGATTTCTAGAGGCGTTTTAGTGTATAACCCCCCGGATTGAATGGTCGTTTATTCTCATTTCAATATCTTGCCCCGTGGATATTCTTGCCCGTGTTTTGTCGATGTTCTTTTTTCTCCCTGATGGAGTGTAGGTTCCATATATATGTTTAATAATTTGCGATAGATAAAGATAAAAAGAAAGTATAGAGCCATGAGTACTTTTCAGATACCTTGATTGTTCTTCTCCGAGATACTAGCCTCTATCCGGTTATCATAAAACAGCTTGAATATTCCTTTGAAGCTTGGAAAGGCAACTGAGGCCGGTTTGAAATTGAAAATGTGAAAGTTGATCAATTGATGACAATAGAACTTGGAAGTACTCCTTAGCACAATGCACAGCAAAATGGTACATTGTGCTCAGAATCAGATATCACTTAGCACCCCTGCAGCCTCTGTCTGGTCCAAGCTTGGAGCCTAGCATTGATCATTGATTAGTGCAGCACTATAACACTTCTTCCTAAGGCTCAGCCAATGTTATCTACGTAGCGCTGCTGACGTCGGCAAGCTTCCAAGTCAGATCCACAGCTCATATCACTGCCCACAACGACCTGACTGAATCCTTGATTGTCCTTTATAGCCTTTACTCTCTTGCCAACCATCGTGCGATGCCATATCCTACAAATACAATCTGATACCCACGAGCTAGATGTTTCTGCTCCTCCGATAGAGAGTGCCACTTCAAACTGTATAGTCCACCTTGCCAAAGGGAACCTCCTCCAAACCTCCCCCCTCACCCCGTCCTCGAACCTCGACGCGAACCAAATCCACCCCTCTTGTCGGGTGTTTTGGACGGCCTCTTCGCCTTCTTCTCGTTCTCAACCTCTGTCGCCCGTCCTTTCGTCGATTCTCCATTCTCGATTCGATCCAAGAAAGCGGAACGAGATCGATCAGGCATAATTCTCTCCAGGTGCGGGCGGAAGGGAGTGTGTCATATCGAAGGCGTCAATTGATACTTCCCCGCGGCCAAGATGTCGCGCGAGCCAAGCGATGAGGATATCCAGTCTTTCTTGGAGTTCGCAGGCCTTGGCGAGAGCGACAGGCCTCTTGCCACTCGAGCCCTCAGAGTACGTGCAAGCCCCATGCTTTCAAGGTGCGGGCAGGGATAGGTCTCTGCTTTGCCGCCCTCCCCTGGACAGCTCGGAAGGGACTGCGAGTTTTGTAGAACATTGCGCTAACGTGGGTGTGTTGCTACAGCAATCCAATGCCGATGCCAACCAATTAATAGCGGAATTCTACGATGATGAGGTGGCGGTTCGTATTCCCTGTTGGCCGATACGTGGAGCGAGCCTCCAGCGGCGCGAGGAGGGTTTAACCTCGATGCGTCTAGTGGGAATCAACGATCGTTGCGGACTCCAGTCTGACTAACGTCTACGCATGCAGTTTCGAAAGAAATACTCGTGGGATGAAAGCGCGTTCACAGCGGACCGGGACGGCTCAGAGGGCCCAATGTGTACGGACGACTTGCACCTTCTTGAAAATCTCTTATTTGTCCCCTAGACACGTGTGGGCGCGAAGACTGACAAGTGGCCTCATCCAGCCTTCCACATCGAATCCGCTCCCGACCACGGCAGCGGACCTCAGATTCTCCACGGAGTCGTTCCAGGACAGGATACACCCTATTACAGCGGAGCCGCACCTTCACGTCCCCCTACCCCAACGAAGCGACGTTCACCACTTGGTAGGGCAATAGATTTGACTGTGGCATCTCTGCCCGGTAACTGGCTCTCTCCTCAGCCACCCCTGTTTACCCAAATCTGTTTTTGGCGTATTTTTACTAACTTTACCAACTATCCGGAGTAGGTCCTACTGCCGCAGACGACGAAGACGAGGATTTCAGACGAGCTCTTATGGAGTCCGCTACGGAGGCTGGACTCAAAGCACCGCCTCAGGTCTCGGGAGTCATGGGCGATTTGCCTATGTTTGGCCCGGCGAACAGAGAGGAGTACGACGAATCGCAGTGGGCTATTGTCCGTCCAGACAATGTCTCGGGAAGCACGCCTACGCCTACCAGCGTGTACGCCTCGGCGCGCAAGAGAGATTCGAACACGCCCGCTCTCCTACTCAACGATGCCACCACTGCGGATCACCGGATAGGCTCAATCCTTACTATTCTCCATGAGATTCCGCTTGCTCGAAACACCCTTCTAGAAGTTGGTCCTCCTGCTACAAGCTACGGTCATAACAGCGAGTGGTGGGCCGGCAAACCTATCCTGCCGCCTCACATTCTCGCGCGGATGCAGACGTCCGGCGATGACGGCATGCCCGATTTGCCGGAGGTTGTCGCCTTTAACCACGAGGTTCATCGCCTCATGAGCTTTCTAGACTCCTCCGAGCGCAGCTTTGGCTCTACTTCCGTCCTGTCCGAGTTGGTAGTCAACTCGTGGGACTACGACGAAGCGCTCTTCGCCAATCTAGTTGAGAATTACGGTCCTGATTGCATTAAGCCGATCACGCATGACGCCTGCAATTTCGAAATCGGCCCCGCCGGTCGTCTCCCCACAGAAGACGACCGCCAAGTCAACCCCGTCAACTACCTCAGGCTCGGCCTGACGGAGGATACCTACACCCGTGTCAAGACGATCTACGACGTCTGGGACTATGAACTGTGGCGCCCGGCGCTTGTCGACGAGCTTGACACGCCCTTGGAGAAGATTTCCATGACCCTCTTCGCCGAGATGAGAGAGGTCCTCGTCGTCTCCGTAACGGACCCGTTCCGATCCTCCAAATTCGAAATCCCCGAGACCTTCAGCCCGCAGCGCTACCTCTGGGCGCGCAGAAAAGAAGCCATCGGCATCCAGTGGATGCGCCGCCGCGCCAAGGCCAAGCGCGACGAGGTCGAGAAGAGGGAATCCCCTCCCGATCAGCCTTCGATCCAGGACCGTCTCAAGAGCCTCGCGGCCGAGGCGAAGCGCGCGGAGATCCTGATGAAGTATTCGGAGACGAGCGCGCGGTTCAGGGCGTTTGAGCAGTCCGGGTATGATCGGAAGACGTATCCTAATGGGGCGGCGGATGCGCCTTGTGATTTTACGGCTGAGGAGGAGGAGAGGTATAAGGGGTTGAGGAAGATTGGAGAGGAGATGAATCGGCAGATGGAGCAGCTCCAGAAGGAGATCGAGGGTGAGTCTTCTCTCTTACTACGAATCCAAAAAAAAAAAAAAAAAAAAAAAAAAAAAAAAACACACCAAGTTAGAGATCGTTTCACTAACAGATTCCAAGCAGAAATCGAGGAGGAGAAGAAGCGATGCGCCGAGGTCGATAAGTTTATCGGCTCTCTCCTCACGGATCCTAACAAATCCGGTTCCTTAACCTGCAACAAGTACACGCTTCGCGGAATTGCTACTGGCAAGGACATCGTCTACGTCTGCAGGAGGGCCGAACCTACCTTGATCGAGTTGGCGGATAGCCCTGCTGCCCCCAAGGATCAGTGGTGGAGACTTGAATATACTGGCAACAGGCAGATGCCTGTCAAGGCTGAGGTATGTCCATTGCCTATGATATACCCCCTTCCCTCCCCTTTTTACATTAACTACCCATTGCCATAAGTCGCATCATGCCGCAAACCCCCGTCACTAATGCACACTTTCTCTTGCAGACGGTCGACTTCGAGACGATCCACAACGCCATGTGGGACGAATCGAACTCCCTCATGCTGATCTACGCCACCGAGGAAGCCATGAGCACGCCCAAGATTCCCCTGCCGGACGCCCTCCAGCGCTTCATCAAAGTCGACAACCGCAGCTTCCAGAAGGAGATTGAGCAAGAGGAAGAAGCAACGGCCGCGGCCACAGCCGGCGGGGACGTGCCGATGGAGACCCTCGAGTCTTTCGACATGCGGTCCCGATCGGGCAGCGTCGACTCGATGGCGACGAATCGCGCGTCAATCGGCTCGATGGATTCCCGGGAGGGAGATTTCCGCGGCGACGAGTTTGGTGGGATGGATGTTGATGATGATGATGACCTCATAACAGAGGCGTCTCAGCCTGGTGCCGGCGAGGAGGACGCGGAGCTTATTAATGTTGAGTCTCCCGTTCTTGGACGGGGCGAGCAAGGGCCTGGTCTGAGTGCGCCTCTGTTGCCTCCTCCTGCGAAGGTCGACGGTGACAATAAGGAGGATGTCCCGATGCAGGAGATGAAGGAGGTTAGTACTAAGCCTATCTTTGTTAGGGAGCAGGAGAGGGGTCGGCAGCGGCCGGACCAAAGTTAGGTGTTTCGAAGTGTTGGAGTCGGTTCGTAAGGACGGTGCGTAGAGTATGCATGCATCCCCACTACAAAAGGGTCATCATGCAATGATCCCATCTTCCTCTCCCCCTTTTTTTTTGTTTTGTTCCCTTTAAGTTGGGGTTGAACGGAGAGAACATCATGGCACTTTTCCTGTTTGTCTTCTTTTTTGATCTTTTCTTTTTTTCATGGACGGAGGTAGCATAGGGTCGGGTGGGATGGCTTCATTGATACCCATTGCCCCAAGCAGAGCAGCTAGAAGGTCAATCGAAACAGACACTGAAACATGAACCAATTGAGATGCAGGCGAATTGAATTATGAATTGAATTACGTAGCTAGTAAACTAGGAAACTAGTAGTTCGTAGCTTCGAGAGTCGGCTCGGAGAGCCCCGTAGTGAGGCGACTGTGATTTAGGGCCTTGTTTCTAAGTTTACCTCTTCGCCTTCGTATGGTGGGTGGGTTGACTAGTCTTGCTCGCTCCCTCAACCCATTTATGTCTCGCAGGGTGTTAGTCGTGATGAATTGTTTCCGCTATGAGCGAGGGACTTCATGGAAGCTTCGAGAACATTCCATGAGAGAGCTTTTCGAGCTTTCACGAGAGCTAGCTCGGTGAGTTTGACGAGGAAGGTCAACCTGCTTGCCTTCAGGGGTTATCTCTACCTCTGCCACGAGAAAGGCATTGATGAATTGGCTGCAATTGCTCTCTGTCTGTGGGACGTGAGCTTTTTTTCCAGCTCTTCGAGACGGGAAAGAAATCGTACTATTGTGCTGTCCTTGGACCTGTCGCGTGGTTTCGTCAAGGCTTAATTGGTTAGAAGAGGAAACAGACCTGATCAAATTGATAGCTCGCCAAGTATCTCCGACCGATTCCTACGAGGAGTCGTGAGAGGCGAGGGTACTTTGGGACGTAACAGCCACGCTGGGCATGGGATTTTCCATTGCCCCGCAAAATCGATTCCAACTGTCGTCATCGTTTGTTCGACCCTTTGGATGGCGAGGAGCTTGGGCGGTGTACTTGGCCGGCTACTTGGCAGTTGATAACAGGACGCCGAGGCTTGGGAATCAGGTCCATTGATGCTGAGGGCGGTGGCGAGATGGAAACGGGATTATGAGGCTGTTTTCAGAAACTTCTTCTTCTTTTAATTTCTTTTTAATCTTCTATGGAGAGGGAGGCAGCCTGGAATTGGATTGATGAAGGATTTTGCTTGATTTTTGCCTTCTTGAAAGTGGGATATTTTCCTGTTGATAGAGCATTCCACAGTTGATGAATCCATGAATCCGGCGGCTCTTTTTTGAGACCTTCTCTAACAGATATCAAGTACCGCTAGAGAGCTAACTTTGTACTTGTTCAGTTGCCATTTGGTGAATCAACACTCCAAGTACACCTTTAACACCACTACTGAATATGCACTATTACTTCAACACTCCACCCTGCACTGCAAAGACTCACTGCACTGGCAACTGGCAGTGACCAGATCAATGAAAGCCTCTACCGATGCAGTAACTGCACTCCACTCCACTGTGACTTCCCCAGTCGTAACCGCCCCAAGATCACGCACTTGATGATCACGGTCACTTGTTCCCCTCCAACCACCATTGCCCATTGTCCATTGCCCATTGCCCACTGCATCATCTATTTCTATTAGCTCAATGCTCGATTCCATCCATTTCTCTCTCTCTTTCTTCTTTTTTCTCCCATCTGAAACTTTTCAAGCCTACTTCAAAATAATCCCATCTGCAATATCTTTGGAAGGATTTGGATTTTCTTTTCCCTCTTCTTTCCTCTACCCCTCTAACACCGTTCTTTCTCTCTCTATCCCCGCCACTCCACCCACACCAGCGGAGATTTCTATTTCCCCCCGCGCTGATAGAGAGCTCGACTTCAACCCCACCGCCTCAGCATCATTCCTCCATCTGCTGATATCAATTCCTACCTAAAAACTGTATGGAAAGCCTCTTATTACCTCGCCCCGTCCCAATCGCCAATCAATCGAAGGAACCGATCACTGACATTACTTCTCGTCTCTAGAATTCGAACCGATTTAATTCAAAATGGTCAAGGAAACGAAGCTCTACGACCAGCTGGGCATCAAGCCCAACGCCACCACTGATGAAATCAAGAAAGGCTACCGGTAAGTAGAGAGCCTTTTTTTCTCTTGGTTACTCTGGCAGTTTTTTTTTTTCGAACACTATGGCCGCCGTTTGCCTCGAGCTTTGCACGCCTTGCTTCTTTTCTTCTTCTTTCCCTTCTTCTTGCTTCTCTCGTTTCTTCGTCCGATTCACGTTGTCATTGCTGGCTATGGCACGACGCCACTGCACTCGTGACCTCACGAGACTCTCCAAACAACCCATATCTCAGGACATGATACTAACCTTTTGGATAACAGGAAGGCGGCCATGAAATGGCACCCCGACAAAAACAAGAACAGCCCTGAAGCCGCCGAAAAGTTCAAAGAATGCTCACAAGCCTACGAGATTCTCTCCGACCCCGAAAAGCGTAAAATCTACGACGCCTACGGTCTCGAGTTCCTCCTCCGAGGGGGCGCCCCGCCTCCCGAGCCCGGAGCCGGCGGCGGTCCAACCTTCACCAGCACCGGCGGCGTACCCCCAGGCTTCAGCTTTGGCACCATGCCCAACGGAGGCGCTGGCGGGTTCGCCTTTGGTGGACCGGGCGGCTCCTACACGTTCCGCAACGCTGAGGACATCTTTGCCGACTTCGCTAGGTCCGACGGCGGCGGCGGCTTTGAGGATCTGTTCGCCAACCTCGCCGGCGCCGGCGCTCGTTCCTACGGTGCTGGCGGCGCTGGCGGTCCCCGCACTCCTCGGTCTCGCGGGTCGGGGACCTTCATGCGTGCTCAGCAGCCCGCTCCCGAGGTTAGCACCATTGAGAAGCCGCTTGCTTTGACGCTCGAGGAGATCTTCCACGGCGTTACCAAGAAGTTGAAGATAAAGCGCAAGACGTACGATGAGTCCGGGAAGCTTTCGCTTGTGGAGCAGATCCTGGAGGTTCCTGTCAAGCCGGGTCTCAAGAAGGGTAGCAAGTTTAAGTTCCATGGTGTTGGCGACCAAGTTGTTGAGGGAGGTCGCCAGGATCTGCATTTTATTCTCGAGGAGGTAAGCATATCCCCCTCTAGCAAACATATAAAGCCTCTCCACCCTCCCCTTTTACAAGGCTAACATTGTTGCAAGAAACCCCACGCTCTCTTCAAGCGTGTCGACAACGACCTCGTCCGCGACATCAACCTCAACCTCAAAGAGGCCCTCACCGGATTCAGCAGGCGTGTCGACACCATCGACGGCAAGCAGATCCCCATCGAAAAGGGCGGCCCCGTACAGCCCGGCAGCGAAGATCGCTTCCCCGGCCAGGGCATGCCCATCTCGAAGAAGCCCGGCGAGCGCGGCGACCTCATCATCAAGTACAACGTGCAGTTCCCCACGACGCTTACGGCTCAGCAAAAGGCGAAGCTGCGGGAGATTCTGTGAAACTAAGCGACGTGTCTCTCTCCTTTCTTGTCGAAACTTCGACTGTTTTTATGTCTCCGATGTTCCGAACGACGATATGCCAAGGAAAACGGCTGAGCATGACGAACTTACTACTGCTACCGATACTGCCACATATGACCAACAACTCGTCTATAGAGAGTTTGTTGAAAGGTTTCATGTTTTCTTTTTTCCTTTTTTTTTGTTTTTGTTCCTCGAGCTTTTTCTAGGGCGTTGGCGGAAACTATTTATTTTGTCTTCACCTCATTGATGCCGGCTTCTTGTTTTTTGGAATGGAGAAGGGGTGGTGTTTATGGCTATCGATAAAGGCGTTTTGGAAGGGATTTGCTCGCCGGCAGATAATGTGACGATTTTTTTTTTTTCTTCTCTTGGACGTGGAAAAGGTCCGCTTTAGTTTGGCAACGCAGTTTGTTAATACTTTTCTCTTTTTGTTGTTACCAGGCCCTGAGGGTTTTCCAATGAGGTCTTGAAGGAATCTCGAAGTTTTGCATGAAGGGTGGTGCATGGCGACGAGGTCAAGACGTCGCAACCAGCTTTGCCTTCGTTCTTCTGTTTTCTTCTTTTTTTCTTGTGGCAAATGATGGTACATATTAATAGACTGATATTTCCAGTTCCACTTGGTTCAATTCCTAGGTTGGGGCTTGGTGATATAGACGGAATGGGGAGAGATACGTTCGTTCGATGTGTGGTCTTGTGTAACAGTGCTGGTGCATTTTTGTAAGTGAAGGATCCGGAGGCAGAAAGTGTCCTGTAAGAGAACGAAGGGATAGTGACGATGATGCTGGCACATTGAACCCAACCCGGGAAATATAGGATCTGGAATACCTAAGACACAACAGAGACACGAAAGAGATTGGTTTGCTCCTCTCCTTCTTGCTGCCCTTGTTTGTTTTTCCACGTTCTGAAATTCGTGATATTCATTGTGCGAGTCTCCTCTCCATGAGACAACGAGGAAAAGAGATGACCCGATGGTGAATCTTCCGTCATCCGGCCGAATTTGACCTTGTTGAGAGCTTTTTCATGTGTTGCGTCCGGCCTCAACGGACTCTCGCAGCACAGGACAAAACGGATAAAACGGTCCAGCACGCCAAGGGAAATACATCTAGAGACAAATCACTAGGCCCTCAGGGAAAAAGAAAGAGAAGAAACAGAAAACGGGCTTACTCGGTAGATCAAATATGAGTACAAACCCCATCATAGCTCCATGAGCTTGCCCCCAAATCTTCAACACCACCGATGTCTCGCTGCAAAAAAGAACCCCTTCAAGCTCCCTTCGCCGCACCGGAAACGCACCCCCGGAACTCCCTCTAGCGGATCCATCTTTTCTTTTTTTTTCCCCTCCTCTTCCCAAGATCCGCTAGATCTTCCTCAATAGTGTCCAGCGCCCCATCTCGTAACAGCTCTCTCTCTCTCTCTCTCTCGCCCGAACCAAAGAAACTATGGGGAGATCACTGACCGACGCGACCCAAAGCTACGAAACGCCACCCCCCATGCCCCACCGTACCACCCCCAAAGAATCGTGGGGAATCCTAATTTCGGGGTAGCTTTCCTTCGTTAGGGACAGGGGGGACGAAGGGCATCACGAGGACAGGAAAAAAAAACAAGGAGCTTGGAGGCTGGCGTGAAGAAAGGGGGCTTGGGCAATCTGTGAGTTAGGAGAGGATGGGGAAGAATCTCCTTTTGTAGCTACATGTGGTTTACGAAGTCATACAGATGTTTTTTTTTTTTCTCTCTGAGCAAGGGGGAAGCCTGTTGGATAGCTCTTTTGGTGTCAAGAAGAGGAATTACTCTCCGAGGAACGTATTGAATCTCCCCAGGATGAGATTCATTAAGATGAGATGACGGTGATGGTAATGAGTGTTTTCGAACAAGGGGGGTTATCTCTTCTACGAAGTACTTGCTACGAGCCATCAAATGGGTTTCTTGGGCTAGCATGTAATTATACGAATGACTCCCATATTTCCCATACGAACAAACAGATCAAATAGTTCCAATGTCGCATTCCAAATGTCTCATGCCAGGTCATGCAGCCCATCTTTTCGGCAGTACTTGTATCCATGTACGAAGTATGCGTGTTATGGCCAGACCAACGCCCCAGCCCAATTTTTCATCCCACCGCCCCGGTCCACCGCTCGGAGCATAGAGCTGAGCCACGAGGTGCAAGCAGAGGGCGCGAAGCAAGTTCAGAGCACAGGCAAGGGACAAGAAAAAGAAATGAAAAGAGAGATAGTTTAGATAAAATAAAACAAGTTGCACGACAGAGGTCTATGCACCAACTTGCAAAGTATGTTGCTTAGAGCGATCTCGCTTCGCGGCAATGTCCCGTTTCTCAATTAACGAAGTCGTGCAAGGCGGGGCAGCTGCAGCCCGAAGCGTCCGTCTCCCAGAATCCATTTTTTTTTACCAATTATCGTGAAGGCGTCTTTTTGCACTTCGTTAGGCGGGGCCCTCCGAGGACGCGTTTGCTTGGGCTCTCTTCCTTTTATTTGGCTGTTTCTGCTAGTTCTGGGCCCTCAACCCAATTTAGCGAGCGGCCTAACCCATCAATTCCGGCGGGAAAGGACCGAACTAAATTGGTGCAGTTGCGTGCCGTCTCGGCCGCTACGATCAAAATGGGCCCTTTCTCTATCTAATCTGGTCGAGCTAAGGGAAGAATGAGGGATCCATTTGTTGCTGTGGTCTATATGAGAGTTGTTTGTTAGATAGGGATTATCAGGCGCGCAGACAGACAGAGTTGGAAAACGGAGGGATGCGAGATAACAAAAATCATCCTCCCACCATGGCTCTCCCAATTTTCGGTTAGGTGATTTGGATTTACGATGAGGGAATTTCTATGACAAAGAGTTAGTCTCGCGGGGGTATTCCAATACAGGGAATAATATTAGTATCAGAGCAGAACGATCAACAGGGGAGGGAGGTCAGATGAGATGGCACAGTCACAGAGAGACACAAGGGAGAGCTCGACCCTCGACGGCGGATCTAGCATCCACTGCCTCAACGGTTACATCCTTGTATATGCATTAGGTGTTCTGCAGCGTTGGGACACACACGCACGCACTTGATCGTCCAGACCAGGCCAGGCCCCCTTTGACCTTTGACCGCCGCATCGAAAGGGCGAGGCGAAGGGCGGGGGGGAAACAGAGCCGCCACCCCTGTTTGCCATGTTTCGTTCGAGACCGCCAGAACTGCGAACGTGGGAGCCGTGATGCTGTGCTACTAGTTAGACTGCTGGTTAGACTGCTAGCTAGACTGCGATGTGTTATATTAGACTGGAAAGGGGGGGCCTAGGACCAGCTGTCGAGACCGATGAGCAATGGCAGTCCATATCATTTCGGCAGACACGACACGAGGCGGTGACGGACCACTATCGAGCCATCAGCTTCATCGCCATCCTCAGACTAGGAGGGGAAAAAAGGAGAAAATCGAGGCTGGAGGGCAAAATTAGTCGTGGGGCCTCGTTTCGCAGACCGCCTGACCGCTTGATTGTGTGGGTGCGAAGGTGTGCGAGTGTGTGAGTGGGATCGCGGGATGGTCGCCTCGTGCTGTCCTGCCCGTCCTTCGTAAGGGGAGGTCGGAGAGCTGAAGCGATACTTCGTTTCTTATTTTGTTGAACAGCGAAGTAATAGAAGTGGACGGATCTAAACTGCATCGACGATAGCTTGATCAGGAGGAGAGGCGGTCGTGTCTCTCGTACCTTGTAAGTTCCACCTACCGACTTGCTCACCTTCTTTTTGAAATCGTCGTCACTCCTGGAAGAGAAGCTAGAGAAGCTAGAGAAGCATCCCCCATGTAATGTCTTTCCGGGATACGGACCCGACGCAGCAGCTAGGACGTGTCCCAGGTGTATCGGTACGACACCAGGACGTGGGACCAGGACCAGGACCTTACCCTGGTCAATTCTGAGCTGGACCCGGCTAGCGGCGCCGTGAATTAGATGCAGGTTATTAGCTATTATTGCCATCTTTCGTCTCGAGGGGCATCTTGCCAGGGCGAACCACATCCACACACCCCCTTCGTGCCCCTCCCTCTCCCTGTCGGCCACTGTACGGTAAGCCTGGCTGCAGGTGCGTGTCTCTCCCTCTTTTCCTCTCGCCGCAATCGAGCTTTCATCATCTCAAAAGGTAAGGCGGGGGCGGGGTAATAATATCTTGGACTGGACAATGGACCTTGTTGGCAGAAGGTGGGGCTCATATTTATTTTCCCTAGGCTTGTTGTACCCGAGCATCGACGCATCGATGCTCTCCTGGCAGCAATACTTGTAAAACAACTGGGCTGTGTCCAACGGAAGACCCTTTTTTATTAGCAATCGAGGGAGGTATGTCGGGAAGAGACGGCTAACTGGTCATATTCTCGGCCTGGCGTCCATCAATTATAAGACGGCAAACCATGATATGGTGGAGTAATAACCCGTGCAAGGTTAGGCCAAGACCGCCGGGCCCGATACCAACGCGGCGCTACTAGCAGCGAAAGAGTACATACAACCGTAATGTCCAGCTTGCCGAAGTTGTACGTACTTGTTGTATGTAGAGGGGCATCGTGACACCGAGATCAAAGGGGGTGAGGGAGACAATAGCTTGGAGCTATGAAGTACGTATCGTCGTTCCTGGATGGAGAAGCTTCAGGTTTGGGTTAGATTGAACCATGGGCCATGGACCAGCTTTCGTTTGTGTCCCTTTTTGGGACTGACACGAGGTGAAACTTCAAAGTTCCGAGCCAGGGTCTTTGAACTACTTTGAACTAGGTACGAAGTAGGAACATCGAACATGGAGCATCGAGCATCGAGCATCGCTCATCAATTCCCCTGTCTTGTCCCCCGTTTGCCATCTCCGTCGCCGCCTTCCTCCTCGTCCGAGGGAAGTTCCACGGTACGAAAATACACCGCATAGCTCAACCCACATGTCTCTGTTGTCTGGGCAGGAACCGTCCACACAATGACATTCCTTCGGACATGGCTGACCTGGACCTGGCACCTCTTGCTAAGCTGCTTCCTCTCCTGGCAACGGTGACTGATTCACTTGGGCCAGCATCCAGGAAGCTTCCTTCTTAGTGAATATAGCTTCAAAGCTGTAACAATGAACCAGCGACGTGGCGGGGTCAATGCATGGGTAGAAACATCAATGTGGCATGGGCTTGGGTTGCTCCTGCTGTCTGACTGAGGTGCTGAGGTGGAACTAGGAAGGAATGGCCTGGCCCTGCAATTGATTGTACCAATCGATCTCCCTGCTCCTGCACTGTGGGGGAAAGGGGAGGTTGAGCTTGCTTTTCCCAGTTCCTTCTTGCTCCAGTTTATTTTCTACTTCTTTTTTTCCTTTTCTTTTTTTCTTTTCTTTTTTTTTTTTTTTTCTAATTCATCTTGCACCACATTATATAAAGGTACAAGTAAGTAGCTGGTCCCAAGAGTTGTTCGTTCCTATTTATTCTGCTCTCTCCTCCATTCCCATCTTCTCCTCTTCACATTTCTCTCATCCACCACATCCCACCTAGTCTAACAAAAACCAAGGCCAGACCAAGCACTGCCAAGCTATTCCAAGGCACGTCATAGTCCTCCACATCTCCCACTCTCTTCCCACCCATTCCCGATTTTTCCGATTCTATCTTCTTCCACTTCGTATCCCTCTCCACTCTGAAGCTATAAAGCTAACTCTGCTCCGACTTTATCTTGTCCAGGCTCAGTCTCCATCAATTCAACTCAACCCCCCAAAAAGATCATCACTTCTACCCCCCAAACACTAGCCAAAATGTCCAAGGTAAGAATCCACTTCTGCCATCCCATCAAACAGCAAGAGCCGACTAGCTCGGTCCATGCTGCGTGTCCTAGCATTTAGCACTGTACCTTATCCTTATCCTTATCTTTCCCGTGTTCCTTTCTGCCCCTCCCCCGCCGCTTTCCCTTTTCTGCACCAGCTTATTACCCCACCTCAATTGGAGCATGGCCGATTATTCTATCGCCCATGTGAAAAGCAAAGGTTGGGCACCAGAGAACAAAACGCATTCACAGCCTGAAACGGAATAGAACAAATGAGAAAAAGTCATCCTTTCAATGATTGATCAATTTGCTAACCATTGGACAATTGTCCTGACAATGTAGATCAACACCCTCCTTTTCGACTGCGACAACACCCTCGTCCTCTCCGAGGAGCTCGCTTTCGCGGCCTGTGCCGACATCATCAACACCATCTGCAAGGGCCAGGAGGTTGACAAGGAGTTCACTGGCGAGTCTCTGATCTCCGAGTTCGTCGGCCAGAACTTCCGTGGCATGCTTGGCTCCCTCCAGGAGCGCTACGGCATCAAGCTCACCCCCGAGGAGCTCGAGAAGTACGTCTTGGCCGAGGAGGACGCCGTCATTGCCAAGATCAAGGCCCACGGCCAACCCTGCCCTGGTGTCATGGAGCAGCTCGAGAAGCTCCAGGAGGAGGGCAAGTACACCCTTGCTGTCGTCTCCTCGTCTGCCAAGCGCCGAGTCCTCGCCTCCATCGAGAAGGTCGGCCAGTCCAAGTATTTCCCCGAGGACCTTGTCTTCTCTGCCGCCACCTCCCTTCCCACCCCTACCTCCAAGCCCAACCCCGCCATCTACCTCCACTCCCTCAAGGTTCTCGGCAAGACCGCCGACGAGGCCCTCGCCATTGAGGACTCCAAGAGCGGTACCTCTTCTGGCTACAATGCCGGCATCAAGGTCCTCGGCTACACTGGCCCCTACCCCGCCGAGCGCAAGGCCGAGATGGCCAAGGTCCTCACCGACGCCGGTGCTGTTCTCGTCATCGACGACTGGAGCGAGTTCCCCGAGGCTCTCGCCAAGATTCAGGCTTTGTAAGAGGTGGGCGATGGGATCTTTTTTTTCTGTTTTTCCTTTGTTTTATGTTCTTCTTTCCTTGAAGCGTAATGACGTAACGAAGCGACATTGGTTCGAGGAGAGACGAATTAAAAATAAAGCAGCTTTCGGAGGTTTATGAAAGGTTTAAACCTGCCTCCCCAACACCTACATGTATCAAAAAGAGAAAAAAACATAGGAAAAAGGAAGCTCGGCTGGGCTCCCGCTTTGGGGTTCTTCTAAAACGGCCCAAGGTGGTTTATTTTTTTCGCTGCGCATACATTTCTGCCGTCGGTTTCGATAGAGGGGAACCCAAAAATCGGATTTAGGTACATGATCACCCTTCGAAATAGACATAGATTTCCGCGTCGACTTGTTTGTGCTTGTGCCTTTTTATTTTATTTCTCATGTGTCTAATCTTTTCAAGTCCTTTTTTTTTTCTTATTCCTCTTTCTTTTCCTTTGTTGTCTCTAACCCATTAAGAAGCTATTTACACTCTGTAATGTTGCCCGTTGAGGATTCGCCTGGGGAAAGGCAATCATGATATGACCCAACCTCGCACGAATCGTCGCCTTGTTGATGCTCACCTCCGCGGGCACGCGAAAGGGGGCATCCTCGTCATCCGTATCGAAAAAGTAACACTGCAGAGCAAGAGCGGTCGCGACGGAAAGATCCTTTCCCGTATCGCACGACACGAGGATACGACGATTATCATCACCCGCACGATCCCTCTCCTCGAAGAAACGCGCTACGAATGCGCAGATGTCCGGCAGGGCAGATCTCAGATTCTTACTGGCCTGCCTCGGGTTCCCGATGCGGACGCGCAGCAGCTGGGGGGAAACCTGCCAGGATTCGCGGGGTGCGGTACCCTGTTGAAAAGAGATTCTGCATTCTGAGTCGGGTGCCGTGGCGTTATGCTGGAGGGGACCCGCACAGACGGAGATGCGCGGAGCGACTTTTATGGTCGTCGGGGCGGTGGAGCGCTTAGATGATTCTTCCTGTTCGAGGAGAGAGGAGATGAGGGCGGGCAGATCGACCTCGGCGGTGGAGAGGAGGAGAGGGGCGTGCGACCAGAAGAGGGAAGGGGTGAGGCCCATGGCCCAGTGTTCTGTGTCGTCGGCTGCGCCTTGGACGTAGCCTTCGAAAGTTGTGGAGAGTTCACTTGTGGAGGATTTGTTGGAAGCGGTTAGGCAGATGATTGGTCTTGCGTCTTCAAAGATCGCCATCCTGTTCTTTTCAACGCCCTCACTCGCAGCCTCCCGTTCGTCTTCTTCTACGGAGAGAGGGAGCTGGGTATCCGGCGTCACCCAGAAAGGACGCAGGGGTTTCGTGAGGGACGCCCGGAGGGAGTCGAGGTCGAGGTTGAGGTCTTGTAGGGAGGAGAGGAAGGAGGGGAGGAGGGCGGTGATTTGGGAGTGTTCTGTCGGAGGGACGACGTTTGGGGGTGTGTGGAGGGTGTGGGAGGTGGGGAGGGAGGGGAAGAGGGCCATGTTGAGGACGGCGCACCAGATGGGGATGGTTTTGCTGAGGGCGTCGGGCATGCCTGGGTCTGGATGTTAGATGGGTGTTTCTTTGGGAAAGTGGAGGGGTTAGAAGGACGTACGTTTGCCTCTTCTTGTGGAGTCGACGATGATGATTCTGTGATATACGTGTTAGTCTTGGGTCTTGTGTCCTTCATCTTACATCGTTGCTCACGATTAAGCCACATATCAACTCATAAAACTCATATTCCCCATCAAAACAGGGACGAACGAAAATAGAAAACTGAATTCATACCCATCATTCTCCTCAATAAGCCCCAGCAAATGCAAATTCAACCTCCGACAACTAAACTTCCACTGTCCCGTATGCCCATCCGTACTCTTAAAATACGCACTCCCCCGCTTCCTCCCCGGTTCGACGTACCAGCTCCCGCAGCGCTCGTTGGCCACCAGAGGTCTCCCGCGGCCCAGGGGCGACGATGCCGCGGCGGAGACGAAGGAGGCGTCGTTCTGGATGGAGCGGAGGCGGTTGTGGGGGGATAGGCTGGTTTTTTTGAGGGAGGAGAGGACGGCGTTGAGGGTTGGTTGTTCCGGGAGGATGAGGTCTGAGAGGGTGGGTTGGGACATTGTGAGGGATGGAGATGATGATTTGCGTGGAGTTGGGAGATGAAATTATATTGAAGAGGATGACGGAACAATTTTCAGATGATAGAGGCTGGGCAGATGTGTAGTTTCGGTCTTTGATACTGAGGTTCATGAGAAAAAGTTGGTGTCTTCGATGGGGCGGGGCAGAACTAATATCTCCAGGCCAAAATCTTGGGATTTATTTCAAACCCAAGACTTCACAACTTGGATGTATTGAGAACACACTCTCTCCATTCTTATAATCATTTAGATTCCCTGAAACGGCAAGTTTGCCTGTTTAAAAAAAGTATTTCTCTAATATATTTGTCGGCGAGTTTCTTTTTCTGTCATTCCTCCTTCCACACTTGTCTGCGGTGCATCATCAAAACCATTTTTCTCGGGTCTGTCTCTGAATCAAACTGCGGAGATGCGTTGTCAATTTAGTTCTTCACTACTTACATTATAGTTCAAGGGACTCCATCGCCGCCGATCTTTAAGCGAACCGGCGTGATCTAGGGGTAGAGAGTTTGGGGGGTCGAGGGTCCTCAACATAGCACAGCAAACAATATAGATGGATGGATAATGTGGTATTATTGTGAAATAGCAGGCAGTCCACGCCATGAGGATCTGTTCAGTGGTACATTCATCCATTACCAATTCCATTTCAAGTCTCTCGTATCTCATATACTCTCATCGGGTATCATAGCTCAGAGCTCATGCGCCGCCCCGTGTTATATCCCATAGCGCCAGAAAAAAGAAACACGAGTGATTCCAACATAGTTCCCATCCCGTGAAAAACAAAACGCTTCGTCGGTCTGAAGACACAAAATCATATGCCAAAGCATGTACATGACCCATACATCAAAACATCCCCCTCATTAGCGGACGTGTTTCGTCTACGCTAAGTCAGGGCCTTGTTCCCTAAACAACTTGCTTTCCCTCCTTCAGACAAGGCAGAGTTCCAACGGATACGCGTGATCCTTCATCTCTTCCTCCATCTTCGGCCCCTCAAGCGTCCTCTCATCCCACCACTCCCTCCACTGCATCTCATACCTCTCCTTGCAAGCCCTCTTATGCGCATCATAGTCCAAATCACTATTCCGAGCCCACATCTCCTTATGATCCGAGCTCAGCGTATTCACCGCGCCCAAAGCCTCCTGATACTCCCTTTCATTCTTAACGCAGAAACCACACTTCGTAGCCCTCTGCTTCTCCAGCGCCTTTCGGATCTGCCGCATCTCGATTCTCCGCGCAACGGTGGTGCCGTGGGCGGGCAGAGGTGCGGGCGTGATGGGGTGCCCGCAGCGGCGGAAGGCGGGCTCGCGGCATGTGGGACAGGTTCGTGGCGGGGGACAGTCGCGGAACCAGCGCCGGAGGCACTTGTGGCCGAATTTGTGGCCGCAGGGAAGGATGCACCATTGTTCGGCGGTGGGGTTGAGGCGGCACTTGGTGGCTGAGAGGGGGGCCTCGTAGCAGATGGGGCAGGTTTCTACCTCTTGGGCCGAGGGTGTGGTACCCCTAGGAGTAGTGGTGGTAGTGGTCATGGTGACAGTAGCCGTAGCAGTTGTTGTGGTGGTGGTAGTCACGGTAGGAGGAGTAGTGGTAGTGGTGACGGTAGTAGATCGGTCGGTCCTGCGCCGGGAGAAGATGCCAAAGAAGCGGGAGAAAGTGCGAGACTTCATTTTTTCTGTCTTGCTGCTAGTGGGATTGGTGGACTTAGGTTTGTTTGCTCGCTCTGAGGTTGGAAGCTTGGAAGAGGCTTCCCGCTTTGTTTGACAGTCTTGTCGACGGAGGGATGTTTGCTTGTTTTGAGACTGGGGGCCTAGAAGAAGCTGTTGTTTTTGTCTGAGTGTCTTGTTGATGCTGAAGAGTGTTGTCTTGATTTTTGGACGCACTCGATGCCACAGAAAACAAGTTGTTCTTGTTCTTGTAGTTGTTGCGGTTGTGGTGGTGTTAGTAGTGGCAGTGGTTGTCCTTGTAGTTGTAGTTGTCTGTGTATGAGACAGGCTTTACTCCAGTTGTTCAAAGATTCAAGGATGAAACAAAATAGATGAAGGAGAAAAGAGTCGAGACGAGGAACTGGGGACAAAGACACTCATTATATAGACAAACTCATAGATAAAACTCACATGTTCGAAGCTGTGCTCCGGGGAACTTCCATCACTCCTGACGCCGCACGCGCTTATGAACGAGATGGTTTGCCCCTAAGACGCGAAAAAAGGGCGCCGTCCACTCTTTTCCCGCATCTTCCCCAGAAAGAAGAACCGAACTAGAAAGAAGGGGACGAACCGTTGAAGCATGTGCTCGAGCTTGTGAACGATGACATCGGATGATGCTAGAGATACCCCGGATTTTCTGCGTCTAGCCTGCTGTTGGCTCCGACCTTATTCGCAGTCGAAGCCGTGCGTCAGATAGCACTAGGGGAACCCTTCGCTACCCCTGATAAACGGCCCTGTTTTGCTCTAACTAGACGTCGCCTTCCTCTCGTTGAGCGCATGGAAAAAGGGCGCGCGAGAGGCCCTTCCGTATAACTTCTTCAGGTACGCTTACGCTAACCATCGCTTTCTGGAAAGAAGGCCGCTGTGTCTGTCATATGCCAGACTGTTCACGAAATCACAAGAGAAAAGGGGAACACGCGGTCCCTGCCAAAGTCTCACCGATCACAAGCAGTCCCCGAAAGGTAATTTGGTTAAGTTTGAAGCCACTAGAATGGCAAGGAAGGTAATTAAATGTTTATTATCTTCGCACGTTAGCGCCGGTAGTTTTCGTTTCTATTGTCATCGTCGTCACTCTCACTTCGAAACCCTTCTTCGAGACTACCCAGTGCGTCGCTAGTTAGTTCGAGTACACCCAAGCAAGAGAAGAATAAAAATAAGGTAAAAAAATGAAAAAAAGGGGGTAGGAAAGCTGGAACATACTCTCGACTTAGCCTCCTATCACTGCTCGGAATATCCGTCCTACTCCCACCATGTGCCGCCGAAGACCAGGACTCAACATCGACATCCGCCAGCTCCTCCCCTTCTTCCGAAGTATACTCGTCGTCGCTCACCACCTCCTCGTCTCCCCCCACGACCACCCGCGAACGGAACCGTCTCCTCCACGTAGGCGCCAACATTCCCGAATACGCACCCTGCAGCCTTTGCCGTAACGTCATGGTGTGGTTTGATATCGTGTCGATCGGTAGGTACTGGCTGTAGCGCTGGCGGTACCGTCGCCAGAGGGGCACGATGACGAATCGGGAGGTGAGGAAGATGATGAGGGAGATGACGGCTGGTACGATGAGGGTCTATAGGTTCCCGGATTGGGGACGTGGTTAGTTCGTTGCTTTGATTTGCTCCCTCGGGGAGTTGCTCGTGATGGATTAGCCTTTTTCCTTACCTTGATCGCATTGATCGTGGACCCCATGATGGGCTACGATGAGGCGTACTGGTATTACAAGTACTCGTAGTGGTGGTTGGAGCCAAGAAATCGCAGTTGTCAGTTGAAGACGAGAGAATGTCGAGCTTTGGTGTCCCAGGGGTCGCTAGGTTGGAGCCTCGATCCTGGACTTGGATCCGCATCTCCATGTCGATTTGGCGATTGATGTGGGAACAAACGTTGTTGATTAGGAAAGGAATTTCCGAGTGGAACTAGGAAAAACGGTGCCATACTTGGTGTGAAGTTCGGCGGCTCAGGCCAGCTGGCAACAGCCAACCGGGCTCCCCTTCGAAGGACAGAAATGTGTGGCGATTGCCAGTAAACTTGTCCTTGTGGTGGTCATGTCATCACAGCCACTTCTTTGATCCAGAAGAAATGCCCAAAACAGCAGATTTCCATTCCTGAAATCCTTCCACGACATCACATCCGATCCATTCCTCCAAGAGCCATTTCCATCCTGTAGACTTTCAATATACTGCCCTCGTAGGCTTCCATCATGCCGCAGCGTCTATGGGCTTCCGATATGCCACAGCGCCTGTGGGCTTCCGTTGCCATGAATATCATGGACTTTCCGGTTCCAAGGGACTTTCCGTCGCCACTGCGTCTGTGGATTTTCGTGCGTTACAGCCATAATAGGCTTCCAATGCCACAGTCACTGTGGCATTGGAACCACCGTCAAGGGCTAAATCGATGAAATGGGCTCCAAATTGGGTAGAGCGACTTGGCCCATAACCTGTGGGAACAAACGTTGTTGACTAAGAAAAACGGTGCCCTACTTGGTGTGAAGTTCAGCAGCTTAGGCCAGCTGGCCACAGCCAGCCGGGCCGCCAACAATTGATGTGAGGTACGTAATACTCTGCAGTGTCCAGATATCACCGGGCCGGAACAACGTGGACAAAATGGGTTTCCAACTGTTGCCAGCTGTAGATATCCATTATTATTGGCAGTCAGCGACGTCGCCTACGAAGTACGTTATCGGTGCCTGGTACTTCGTACGAAGTAAGGAGAATCCCCAAGAGCAATTGGGCGTTCCATCGGGCTCGTTAATACGACCTGCACCAAACCCATTGCATACGGACCAATGTGCTAATGTTCAATGTCGTATTCTAAATTTCGGTTCTTGAGGTTGTTACTTCAGTACTTCGTATGCACGCAAACAACTCCACTAAGATCAATGTGCTATTCAAGTGCAGAACAATGTTTCAAACACAGTTGAGTTGTGAGTTGTTGACAGCCGAAGACTGCTGGAAGAAGGTGGATGTACTTTGTAACCCCAGAATTGACAGCCCGCGTCTGATCGCGGATGAAACAAGGGAGCCGATCTTCAGGCGGTAGAGTCACCGGTCAGTCCACAGACAGTATCTGTATCTTGAAATCCACGGAGTTCAAGAGCACGCGGCAAAGTCATAAATGAAGACGAGGTACGAAGTACAGTTTTAGTGATATTGATGGGATATTAATAGTTGAACCCCTTAAAAAGGGACAACACCCGATAATTCGGGCACGTAGATTTGGTGTATACGAAGCATTAGATATTGGTGTTCTTCTCGTCGTCTACTGTGTACGTATACTTGTCCTTGTACTCGTGCTTCGGCCGTTGTGCCAATATTCCCCATGCATTAGGTTGATGGGACTCGGTCCCCTTTCAGGGGTTAAGTCGACATCACAAATCTGCACCAAAGTATCTAGATACTTGTTCATCCATAATAATCTTGCCGTATTTTCATGTACCCTCTACGTCTTCGCCTCCCATCACTTCACTTCCGTCCTCCCCAATCAATCGCATCCGGACCCTTTTTGGCTTCTTTCGATACGACCGCTTCAACTCTTAAACGCCCTGTCTAGTCCGAGAATGTGTTTGTTTCGTGTTTTCATCGTACATGTCTGCTGTTGATGATTCTTCGGACCCTGCATCACATCGCATCGTGTCGTGAACATTTGGCGCCACGGTGGCTCGAAAGATAGGAAAGACCGAAGACCCAGAAACTAATAGGGAAGGGACAAAGGGGGGCCATTCTTCTTCACCAGGATCAAGAAACCACCATTGAAGACTGCCTCCTCCAAACTCCTCTCCCTCCTCTCTTGCCAGTCCATTTGAAGTCGCAGTTCCAGATCCAGGTCCAGGTCCAAGTCCAGATGCCAAGTCCGGTGGTACCTGCGCCTGTGTACCTCACATTCGTTTCCTTCCATTGATCCTCCTCCAACCCCTACTTTCGTACACATACACCTCAACCTCAAACTGGTCTCGAATCTCCATCCAGAATCCAGGGAAATTCCCCGACGAGAGAGACACCCACCACCGAACCCCCTTAGCGAACAGAAGAGAAACAAAAAATACCACAGAGAACAATTAAAATAGGGCAGGCACCAGAGTGAAGGAGTCCGTCAGTCGAGAACATCCACGAACACGCTTCTTTTTTTGTATCTTTAATCCATCGCTCCCTACAATCCTTCCATCGTGCACCTTTTAATTCCTGTACGTTGGCCATTTCGTCCCTTTTTTCGCCTCGACTTCTGCCTCCCCCCATATGCCTCCATGACTGCCGTTGTCGCAAAAAAAAGAAGCCCATCTTTTGCCAGAATTGATGCTAAAACACTCCCGATTCATGCATTCTCAGCCCCAACGTGCCAGATCACCGCCCCCAATCGCCCTTCTGGACCGTGTCCCGATACTTGTTCTACGAATCGCGAAGAAGCTCGCCCCAACCATGCGAACCCGTCCTGGCCTGGTCCAGCGAATCACCCACGTTACGCCGGCCCGCCTTCTAGACCTCTTGATCTGAGCGGGAAAGAAACGTTCGAATAGACAGAAAAAAAAGAGAGAGAGACGGAGCTAGGAAAGCTTAATACGCCAAAAGTATCGCGGCAAAACGACAGAAAGGAGGAGAGAAACTCCTTGAACCGGCGTTTCATCGACCTTCCGTTTGGTCATCTCAACCCACCCCTGGCTGGGTCCACGTCCAAACACTCACGCCCCCCGATCCCCTCCTCCCTTCCTCCGCCTCCGTTTGTGTCCCACGCCGTCGTCTCTGGCTGGATCCTTTTCGTTACCGCCCACCATGGCTTCGGCCGACAAGTCTAGGCAGTCCTCGAGCGGACGGTCCTTCTTTTCCCGAAACAAGAACAAACACGAGAAGCACTACCCCACGAGCGACGACGGCCGCCACCTCTCCAGCTTCGAATACCACGACTCCAGCGCGAGCACGCGGGCCTCGTCCCATCACCATCGCAACTCGTCCGTCGTCTCCATCGACCGCGCCGACACTCCCGACTCCGGCCTGAATATGATGGCTGGAGTCATCACTAGCATACCATACGACGGCATCCGCAACGATAACAGATCCCCCGTCCACGCAGACTACCACCACCACGCGAGCCCCGACTCCCACGCCCAAGCCCATGCTCGGCGTGAGCCCATGCCACACCACCTGAATAAGGGCTTCGGAGATTTTCATCAATACCCTGCCTTCGATCCTTCCACGATGCCCAACGTGTCCACCTCCCCCCACCACCCGGTGGCGCGACTACCTCACCATCCCGCCGTAAACCTGGCCATGGCCTCTTCCTCGCACCAGCAGCAGCCTTCTCCACAACAGCAGTCTCAGGGACACCTACAACAACAACAGCAGCAGCAATGGGCCGGCCCCGGATCCGGAAGGACGAGCCTAGGGAGCAGTACGATAAACACCAGATATGATTCCTACATAACATCCACCGGAAGGAGCTCCGGCGATAATGCTAGCATATTTTCAGGTAATGGTGGAGCCGCCGCCTCCTACGATATAGGGTCTGCTCGCTCATCTAGATTAGCTCCTCTACCTAGTGCTTCCTCCCAGAGTTCTTACTCCTCCTATCTCTCCAACCGGGACTCGAACCGCCTGACTAAACCGCCCACCACCTCCCACCATGAGGGTTTCCACTTCCCCCGGCCCGACGATGACCGCGTGATAGAACAGATGTTCGTTCAACTGATGCAGAAGCGAGGATGGACCAACCTGCCCGAGCAGGCCCGGCGACAGATGAGCGCCTATCCGGCTGACAAGAAGTGGACTCTCTTACACCAGGACCGTCTCACCGAGTGGCAGGGCGAACAAAAGCGACGGACGACAGCTCGTCCGGGGCAGTACGCCAACGTCGACATCACCACCTACTCCGAGGAAGAGGGCGCGCCGGAATGGTACGTACGCAAGATCATGGAGGATAAGCTCGATTCAAAAGGCTTCGGTAGTCTCGAGGTCAACCTCAGAACCCAACAGATTGGTTGGGTGAAGCGCTTCATCGAGTGTCAGGGTCAGGTCGCCCTGACCACTCTGCTCCTCAAGATCAATAGGAAGACTGCGACGGGTCCGGCTGTTCCCGAGGCCGCCAGGGGCGACAAGTCCCTGGACCGCGAGTATGACATTATCAAGTGTCTCAAGGCCGTGATGAACAACAAATTCGGCGCCGACGACGCCCTTCAGCATCAGCAGGTCCTAATAGCGCTAGCGACTGCGTTGACGTCTTCGAGGATTACCACCCGTAAACTGGTCAGCGAAGTGCTCACCTTCTTGTGCGACTGGGGCCAAGGCGAGGGTCACCTCAAGGTGATTCAAGCTCTCGACCAAGTCAAGACGCAGCAAGGCGAGAATGGCCGGTTCGACGCCTGGATGCGCCTCGTCGAGGTCGCCGTTGACGGCCGCGGAAAGATGGGCAGTCTTGTCGGCGCAAGCCAAGAAGTGCGCAGCGGCGGTGTCGGCATGGAGAACCTGTTGATGGAATACGCCGTCGCGACGCTCATCTTGGTCAACATGATGATTGACAAGCCGGTGAAGGACCTCCAGCTGAGGGTGCACATCCGCGCCCAGTTCACGGCATGCGGCATCAAGCGCATCATGAACAAGATGGAGGGGTTCCAGTACGAGTTCATCGACAACCAGATTGACAAGTTCCGCACCAATGAGGCCATCGACTACGAGGATATGCTGGAGCGAGAGAACAACTCGATCAAGGACAACATCGAGGGCGAAATCAAGGACCTCAATGACCCCGTCCAGATCGTCGACGCTATCCAGCAGCGTCTCAACGGATCCCAATCGCAGGACTACTTCGTGTCGGCGCTGCAGCACCTCTTGCTCATCCCTAATAGCGACAATGAGGAGAGGCTGCGCATGTTCCAGCTCGTCGACTCCATGCTCAGCTACGTGGCCATGGACAGGAGGCTTCCTGACATGGACCTCAAGCGTAGCCTCAACTTCACCGTGCAGAGCCTGTTGGACAAGTTGCATACCGATTCCGAGGCGCGGCAGGCCTTGGACGAGGCCCTCGAGGCTCGTCAGATCGCCGACGCCGCTCTCGCGGAGAGGGATGAGATGAAGGCCAAGTTGGAGCTCGGAGCCGATGGACTCGTTGCTAAGCTGCAGAGGCAGCTAGAGGAGCAGTCCCGCTTCATCGAAGCCCAGAGGCGGCAGGCCGAAGGGCTCAAGGCCGAGCTCGAGAACATTCAGACCGTGCGGGCGAAGGAAGCACAGCGGTATGAGTTGGAAACCCGAGAGCTGTACCTCATGCTTCGAGACGCCCAGGATATCGCCGCCTCCAACGCAGTCAAGAGCTCCTCCGGTGGCAGCGCCGGCGGTAGCAAGCTCGGCGACGACGACCCCGTCCGTATGCAGGGTATCCTCGACCGTGAGAGGCTGCTCGAGCGTCTGCAGATGCAGATCGAGAGGCAAAAGACGCAGTACAAACTCGAAGGTAGGGTGTGGGGTGAGGCCGTCGGCCCGTCCGATAGACTCCGGGCTCTGCGCGAGGAAATGGACGGCTACGGTGGCGGTAGTAGCGACGATGACGACGCCGGGGTTGACCTTTCGAAGCCGGCGCTCAGCCCTGGTATGCTCGGCAGCGTGAGGAGGCAGACCAACAGAGTCACCCGCAAGCCCTTGCCGGGTATCCCCCTTGGCGAAGATACGATTATGGAAGGCGACGGTGAGGATGAGGATGGTGATGTGGTTTACGAGAAGCCAAGGATGGTCGAGATCCGTAGGCCCGTCGTCGATCCTAAGCAGCAGGCCGGACTTCTCAACGAGATTACGGGCAAGGTCAAGAGATATGAGGGCAGCGATTCGGAAGATGGCGACGGTGTTACCACGGGCCCGTCTCACCCGAGCCTCGAGTCCCAGTCGCCTCTTACTCCTGCTGACAGCGAGCCTCCGAAGATCAAGGTTACCGCTGCCGGTTCAACTCCTCCTCCCGCGTCTGTACTCCCTGGTCAAGTCGGTGCGCCACCGCCGCCACCGCCTCCTCCACTTCCACCACCGGGACTCATCTCTTCCGGCGGTGCTCCTCCTCCACCACCACCTCTCCCGCCTCCGGGTCTCATCTCTTCTGGTGGTGCCCCGCCACCACCTCCCCCTCCACCACCACCACCAGGCCTTATTTCTTCCGGAGGCGGTCCCCCTCCACCACCGCCCCCACCACCTCCACCACCGATGTTTGGCGCACCTCCTCCGCCTCCTCCTCCTCTCCCTGGCGCCATCTCGGGACACTTCCTCTCCCAGCAAGCCGCGTACGCCCCCACCACGCAAAGCATTGGCTTGCCTGTCATGCGGCCTAAGAAGAAGCTTAAGGCTCTTCACTGGGACAAGGTCGATTCTCACATGACGACGCATTGGGCCGCGCACGCGCCCTCCGCTGAGGAGAGGGAGGAGAAGTACCAGGAGCTCAGCAAGAAGGGTATCCTGGACGAGGTTGAGAAGTTGTTCATGGCCAAGGAGATTAAGAAGCTGGGAGGCAAGTCTAGGCAGAAGGATGATAAGAAGCAGATTATCTCGTCGGATTTGCGCAAGGCATACGGTAAGCTAACTCCTCTACCCAATCAACACACGTACAGAGGATAAAACTAACATTAATGCTTCTCTAGAAATCGCTTTTGCTAAGTTCTCTCACTACTCGGTCGAGAAGATTGTGCAAAAGATCATCCACTGCGACGACGAGTTCCTCGACAACAGTGGTATTATGGACTTCCTACAAAAGGGTGACCTCGCCAACATTCCAGAGAATACCGCCAAGTCGATGGCGCCGTACAGCAAGGACTGGACTGGACCAGACGCCAAGACGGAAGATAATCGCGAGCAGGACCCCGCAGAACTCACACGCGAGGACCAGATCTACCTGTACACGGCGTTCGAGCTCCATCACTATTGGAAGAGCAGGATGCGAGCGCTCGCGCTTACGAGGTCATACGAATCAGAGTACGATGAGATCAACGCCAAGGTCCGGCAAGTCATGGAGGTGTCGGAGTCCCTGCGTGACTCGGTGGCACTCATGAACGTTTTGGGGCTCATCCTCGATATTGGTAACTATATGAATGACGCCAACAAGCAGGCGCGGGGCTTCAAGCTCAGCTCGCTCGCGCGACTGGGCATGGTCAAGGACGACAAGAACGAGACGACGTTAGCGGACCTAGTCGAGCGCATCGTGCGGAACCAGTACCCCGAGTGGGAAGGCTTCAGCAACGACATCGCCTCCGTCATCACGACGCAGAAGATCAACGTCGACCAGCTGCAGGCCGACGCGCGGCGCTACATCGACAACATCAAGAACGTGCAGATGTCTCTCGACTCGGGCAATCTCAGCGACCCGAAGAAATTCCACCCTCAGGACCGCGTCGGCCAGGTGGCGCAGCGGTGCATGAAGGACGCGCGGCGCAAGGCGGAGCAGATGCAGCTGTACCTCGAGGAGATGAGCAAGACGTACGATGACATCATGATCTTCTACGGCGAGGACCCCAGGGACGAGAACGCGCGGCGGGACTTCTTCGCGAAGTTGGCGGGCTTCGTCACGGAGTGGAAGAAGTCGCGCGAGAAGAACGTGGCGCTCGAGGAGACGAGGCGGCGGAACGAGGCGTCGATGAAGAGGAAGCAGCAGCTCAAGTCGCCTCTCTTGGCCGATCACAGCAATGGAAGCGGCGCGCCACCGAGTCCTTCGAATACGGGCGCTATGGATTCGTTGCTGGAGAAGTTGCGTGCTGCAGCGCCGGCTACGAGGGATGATCGCGATAGGAGGCGGAGGGCGAGGTTGAAGGATAGGCATAGGGATAGGATCGCTTCGGGGCAGAAGGTGCCGGATCTCAATGAGATTCCTTCGGTCGAGGCCACGCTGAGACAGCAGGAGCAGCAGCAACAGGGCAGCAACGGAGGTGTCACTAACGGTACCACCAATGCTTCCTCCATTGCAGCTGGTGACACCCGGAATAGTGCCGCGGGCAGCGACGGCAACCTACTTAGCCCAACCCTCTCATCACCCCGCGAAGGCGGCGAAGACGACGTCGCGGCCCGCGCAGCCCTCTTACTCCAGGGCATGCGGGGCGGAGGAGACGGAGGACCCGGCGAGGACCTGGATCCCGAGAAGAGGGAGGCGCTGAGGAGACAGCGGACGGAGGAGGAGCGAAGGGCGAGGAGACGGAGGAGGGAGACGGCTCGTTCGGCGAGGAGTGAGGAGGGCGCAGGCGAGGAGACACCACCTCTGCCGCCGCCTCCGACCGTTACTCTTAGTGTTGGCGAGGAGTAGTTGTTGATTTTTGTACATGCCTTTTTTTTTTTTTTTTTTGACCTTGTTCATTTTGCTTCTTGAGAGGGGGTGGAAGAAGAGGGTTGGTTGTGTGGGTCTGGATGATATCTAGAGTTTTTGATTGCTTCTCTTTTTTGGATCGTGGGAGTTTGGAAGGTCATTTTGGGGTGTGCGTTTTAAGGGGTTGGTTTCTGATAAGTATAATAATCAGTGTTGATTTGAATGTTTCCTTCCGCGATGCCTTGTTTGTGGATTCTCGTATGCTTTGGCTCATCAGGTTGGAGTGGAAAGAGTTTGATACCTCAACGAGGGCAAGGTCCTACATCACATCACATTCAGCCATTTACAAAAGTCGAGATATTTCGACTAAAACGACGCATAGAGCAGTCATAAATGTCATTAATTTCTATCATAATCATCCAACAAAGGAAAAAAAAAAAAAACACAAAAGAACTCCTCCCATATAGCCCCCCTTTCCTTCTTCCGGCCCTTCCCACGAATAGTTCCAAAAAGAGTAGCATTACATGAATGGGGAGGGGGGAAGCGTTAGGATATCGATCATTCAAGAACATTATAAGGTTTTCGTAAACCTCCCCTGCTTCGCTTCGAGAGGAAAGATTAAGGTTTCCCTCCTTTTTACTCCCCCATGATAGGCCGCCAACTCCCATGGATGAAATTAAATTATATACCTCGTTCTCTCAGACGAGGATATTTTCCTTATCCTCCTTTTGCTCCTTCGCAATCGGAGGGTTTTCAAGCGCCGCCGCGGCATGGGCGTTAGTCTTGTTCGTCCTGCCTTCGGCGGCGGCTTCGCCGAGGCTCTGCTCCCACTGCGTCATGAAATCGGTGGCTGTGCGCTTAATATTACTGGGCGAAAGCCGGTTGACGACCTGGGCCGTGAGTTCCTCGAGGCGTTGAGGGGAGATGGAAACGGGGGAGACGAGCCCGAGGGCCGAGGTCGTCTTCTTAGTCCTATCGTTTGCTCCTAGTTAGTTTGACTAGAGACCGAAAGGCACACACGCATAACCCCCACGAGGGAGAGGGGAGAGAGAAACCTTACAGAGGCGATTCAGTTTCCTGAGCCTTGTTGGCCGAGGTAGACTGCACGTTCGCGTTCTCCTCCTCATTCATAGTCGACCCGCTCCACCGCGTCGACTTCCCCGTCGAGGCGGGCGAATCGAAGTTCAGCCAGGCCTCGCCGTCGATGCCCTCGAACGACAGGGGCGTCCACGAAAAGTGCTTATTCCTCGAGCGGGCGTTCCGGTCCCGAGCGGCGGCGAGAGGGCGGGATGACGTCTTGGGCTTAGAAGGCGTCTCAACGGTCTCTGTGTCGTCTGTGTTATTCTTGGCGGGGAAGTCGAAGGCGGAGGCGAGCTTGGGACGCGTGTTTGCATGTGAGGGGCGGATGGTATCTTGATCATCGGCGTAGCCTCTGTTATTGTTATTGTTGGTGTTGGAGGAGGCGTTGTTGCGGCCCGAGAGGTCGACGGCGGTGGTCCGGGTACTAGTGGCGCTGGTGGCGCCCGTGACGGGCTCGTCGCCGACGGTGATTTGGCGGATGTCCTCGTAGAACGTCTTGAAACCGAGCTTAAAGTCTTCGACGATTTGGGACATGGCGTTGCCATTGTTGTGGTTATGGTTGTAGTGGTGGTGGTGGTGGGCGTTGACCGCTGCAGAGTGGTGGGACTGCGGTTGCCACGAGGCCCTTTTGTTCATGACAGATTGTCTGCGCACGATGGGCTGTTGCTCGACATCAGGCGACTTGCATACATCGACCTCATCGTCGAGCACCGAAAAGGACTCAGACGAGGTCGGCTTCGTGGGCGATAGCAAGGACAGCGTCCTCGCGTGACGGCCCTGGAACACGCGTTTCCGCTCATCCTTGGGCGTGTTGCCCTGCTGCTGGGTTTGTAAGAGCAGCTTCCTCCTGTCGAGCTCTATGCTCCGCTTCACGGCCAGATCGTCATCGTAGGGCGTACCGGACCACGATTCTGGCTGCGGCACGACAGGTTTCGCTGGCTCGGGGGCACGGTTAGCGGTGGACTTTTTGTAGGCCTCGTGCATGGTCCACTGGCGCTTGAGACGCTTCAATTCGTCCTCCGCCGTTTTTAATTCCTCGCGGAGCTCCATGACGCGGCGCTCCTGGCCGGCTATCGCAATGATAAACTCGTTGGCATCAGAAGGTGTCGGAAGAGCAGATTGAGTCTGGCGTGCCGGCGTCCCCGGGACCGAAGGAGCGAAAACTGACGAGGCAGCAGAGCTCGGCAAGGGTCGCGAAGGGTCTGATGTGGGCGGGGCAATGGGAAGAGTGATTGACAGCCGATTGGTGTTTCGCGAGGCGGACGACGTCGATCGCGACGATCGTGTCCATTCGTCGTCGGCTGCTGATGACGGTGGACCCATTGAATCACCGGCACGCTGAGAAGAAAAGGACGACGCAGTTCCTGGCCGAGGGAATTCAGGAGACGTGTGAATATTGCTATTGTTCCTCCTGTGGTCGAGGTGGTGGTGCGGGTGGCGGTGGTTTCTGCTACTGCTCGTCGGGCTAGGGGAAGCGAAGCCCGTCGCTTCTTTCGGATCGGCCATCCCCTCGGAGAAGGAACCCGCGTTGTCCTGCAACGAGGAAGAGTCCAAGGGGTGGTGACGGTCGGCAACGACGGACGAGCGGCGACGCACGCGATCTCGCTCGGGACGTGCCGTTCTCATGTTCCTCTCAGGAGTTCTTGGAGGAGAGAGGCTGACGGGGGTGAGGATCCCTTCGAGGTAGTCCTCGTGCCTTTCCGGGAGGCGCTGGAGAGAGAGAGAGCGGCAGCAGGCAGCAAATGGGCGAGGTGGTCTCCGGCGTCGGATGGTGGAGGGCGAAAGAGTGGACGGAGAGGGCCTGGCCCGCCTGTTCCGGAATCTCCAGGGGTTCGTAAACGAGTGGTTCGTCCTTTTGTTGGCGACGATGGGCCGGTATGATTTCAAAATCTTCCTGTGGTCATGGAGCAGAGCTACGAGGCAGGCGCGAGACAGAATCGTCATGAAGAGAGGAGGTGAGGAGGGAGAGAGAAGAAGAAAAAAGAGACTAAAAATAACAAGCCCAGAAAAGAGAGGACTTGTTGGGAAATAGTGAATGAAGCGAGCGGAGAAGTTTTATTGGACTCGGCAACTCCAGGCTCGCATCATTACCTCTCTCCCTGACGATGTGTTGACTCGATTCAACCAATCTTGGGGGAGGAGGATAATTCAAGGGAACAATAAGAATTGTTGGACAAGTTTCCAAGGGGGAGGAGAGGGAGAAAACAGTATTATTCGGAATAGCGCGTAAGGAGGCACACGCACACAGCGACACAGCGACAGCGACACGCACACCTTGAAATTGACGAGAGATTGCAGGCTTTGGCTGGGGAAGGCGTCGTGTTGCTGTTCCTGCAGTGTTTGGGTCGCAGCAGGGGGTACCTAGATGGTACAACGGGTCCCTTGTCGCGGTGGTTGCTGTAGTGGTGTCGTAGTGGTGTCGTAGTGGGATTGGAAGTGGTGTCGCGGGTCCCTGCAGCGTGGGTCGAGGTATCTCCGAAGTGTCTCGTGTTATGATTGCTCGTGCCTGGTATCACTGGGCAATCAATAATATGATGAAGTACCTGGACAAGTACTTCGTACCCCGTTAACACTTAACACTCCAAATCTCGCCCTGCGTGTGGATCGGACAAGGGCCTGGATGATGTCTGGCGATACTGGCCACCCTCTTCGAGTCTCCCGTACCGTGTTTCGTACCTCTGCAGCCGAGAAGCAGGAAAAGGGGTGGATGGAACGCAGGAAAGTTTGTTTTCTGTTCGCGTTCGAGAACCCAAGCTTTCGGGATAAAACTCCGTGGAAGTAGTGTACGAAGTAGTGGTAATAGCAGCCAGTAATAATAGCAGAGTAGTAATGCTCAACCGCGGTCTAGCGAAGCCAATTGATCAATGCGTGCTCTCTCTATTCCGTATGCGGCTGCGGGGAGGATCGTATGCAGGTGCCCTTCGTCGACTCGACAGCTCGAGCTCGTGCTCGTGCTTTTCCCTAGGCTCGAACTTGTGAATTTGGGCTTCGAAGTTGGAGCTTGAGCTTGGCGAAAGCTGACGCCCAACGTCGCGAATGACTAGTAGATCGTGCGATGAGGAAGCTCGAAATGTTACAACGAACTGAACGTCGAATCAATGTCGCTTGGTCCCGTCCGACGAAATCGCTTGAAGTCTTTCCTTGACGCTGTTTGCCGATCACAAAGAGAATTCGAGTTCCTGGTGTATACTCGGTTAAGATACAACTTGGGGAGACTTCCGGGTTTGATCTGATTGACTGCCAATCCAATTGCAAGAAAGAGTTGCCGTTTCGTCGGTACAAGGAAGATAGACTGAGGAATACACACAAGTTTGAGAATGATACTGCAACTCAAGAGCAAGCGAACCAAGCATTGAAACCAGGCAAAGGCCCAGGAACCAGGGGGACCAGATGACTCTTTAAGACTCTTGGTTGCATGGCCGCATGGCAGCATGGCAGCATGGCACGACACGTTGAGAATTAATAAAAACCCGTTCCGAGCCTTCCACGAAAACTACCGGATCCATTGATCAATGCTAATAAGGTTGATAGCAGATGCCCCAGAAGCTAAACCCACCCGTCACAAGATCATGAGGGCGTCTTGTCTCTGTTCAGCGAGTGGGCTGACTCGCTCGGGAAAAGAGTGGGCGATCGTACTTCGCAGGTTCGGTTTGTTCCAGTCTGGTCTCTTTTTGTTTACTTCGAGGGTACTGCCACGCCCTGCAACCGCACACTTGCTCAGTTGCTCGGCAGCCGTAACGCAAGTCAAGTGCTCTGCATTCAATATCCTGCATGGCACACAGTAGTGCAGTAGTGGAGACCAAGTCTGCCCGGAGCAGTTTAGTCGACTGGCTTTCTCGGAGACTCTCCAGCTGGCGTGGATCAAGATCGTGGCAGTATGGAGACAGTGTCGTCAGTTGATCGCTCAACAACTCGGCACTACAGAGTGCACTACTGCAGTTATACTCGGCACTAGGAACCATGGCGTGTCTTGAGGTTAGGGAACAGAGTATTGTACCTTCGGAGAGCGGGTTCAGAATGCCAACCATCATTCTGTACCTGCAGCGTTAGTGCCGTCCTTCCAAGTTCCAGGCCAGGGACTGCCCCAGCAACGCCCCCCTAACCATCTCCGCATGCATGAGAATCGAATCAAAGTAGAATACGACGGCAGACAGGGTCCTTGGCTCGTACGAATAGGAGTCCCCCCCAAAAATATAAAACGAAACAAAAGAAAAAGAAAAAGAACGCACAAAATTAGGATGCTCTCGTGCAGTGGTTTGGTGGCAACCTAGGTCCACAATAGCCCCAGAGAAATCTGCAGTGTGGTGGATCGGGATCAGGTCAATGAGTTCGAGGGAAGATCACCTTAGCCAGGGGACCGACCCAGAAACGAGAAACGGGGAAGCCGGTTCGACCCAGACATGGGATGGGTGAAAACGTGCAATCTCCGCCATATGGTCAGCCAATGGTAGGGGCAATAGAGTTCCTATCCGTCCCTCCATTAGCCAATGCACGGGAATTTGATATTAATGCTTGAACGGCAGTAATACTGCAAGTGGTGCCAAATGCAGCCTAGAGCCTATGAAAGAGGAGACCTGATGGGATGAACCTGTCTTCGGAAGGATGCCCAACATTTGAGGACGGGAAGTAATCTGCGAAGTACGAAATGCTGCTCTTTCCTGCTCCTGTTCGGATTTGTACCGGGCACCTTTATGTATAACCACGTGACACGCGTCAGTCTCGTGTCAACCCTTGCGCCAGAACCCATGTCGAGTCGCGATGGGGACGTGCATCTTTTCCGTCACCAGGCAAAACATGCCGGACCCGTCGAATAGCGCCATTTCTGACAACATCTTAGCGCCCATTTTAGCACCCCAGGCCTCGTGAGCTCGGCGCCGTGCCCATCGTGGATCACAGTTCCCGCTTTGCTCCAAGGCTCCAGCCACGTTTTTTTTTTTTTTTTTCTCTCTTTTTTTTTTTCTCTCTTTTTTTTTCTCTCTTTTTTTTTTCCTCTCTTTTTTTTTGCAGGGCTGAAATTCCAAGACTTGGAATTGACTCCATTGTTGCTGCCTTTGTGCATCCCCGCCCTCGATCAACGCTGTGCTCTGTACTTAATGTCTCTTTGGTCGTCATCTCGTTGAACTGGCAATGTCATGATTCCCCTCTTGTGATTTTGCGCTGCCTCGGCCACTGGGCACCTGCACGCCATTATTTTATGCTCGAGATGACTCTCTTATTCAGTGACATCTGCAAGCTCTTAGACACCCTCTACGACCAATGCATCGCCGGAAAACCAGACCAGAACCGCAACACCATCCAGCGCTGGTTCGCTTATCATCGTGACCTCATCAACTCCCTCGATACCTCCGCCGGCGCCGCCCTCCTCTCGACTCTGCTCCCCGCCAGACGCACCGATCGCGTGTACTATATCCAGGAGACGCGCCTCGAGAAGATCTTTGCGCGGTCCCAGCGCCTAGGGGCAAGTCGTGTGCGGGAACTCTGTAGATATAAAGTGCCGGGGAGTGGTGTAGATCTTGCCGACTGTATATACACTAGTTTGAAGGCAACGGTACGTGGAGCCGAGCTTTCCCCTTCCACCGGACGGAGGGAGAACAAGAAGAAGCTTCTTCCCCCGAGGCAAAGTCGAGGAACGCATGGCTGAAAGGCGAGTCCGATAGCCAAATCCTACGCGCCGCCCGGTGAGCCTTCTCGAGGTCGACAACCTGCTACATGCCGTAGCGTCAAGGATTAGCTCCAGCTGCCTAAAAGTACGCAGAACGGCAACGCAAACGGCTTCTACGCTTACCGAGTCCGATCGCAATGAGCTCGAGGCAATCTATATGCTATTGTCGCCGCTGGAAGCCAAGTGGTTTACGCGTCTCGTCCTAAAAGACTACCGCCCCGTTGAAATCGACGAAGCTTTGATTTTCCAAAGTTACCATTCTCTATTACCTCGCATCCTCAAGGTACTGGACAACTTCCCAGCCGCCGTGAATGTCTTGCAGAATATTTTGAAAGCAGAGCGCGCCGAATATGGCGACGGCGGTCGTGGGTCTCGCCCGTGGAATACGCAGGTCGTCCTCCGCCATCTGAGACCCGTGCTCGGCACCAAGGTTGGAAGACCGTTTTGGCGCAAGGGCCGGAGTATCAAGCATTGTCTGGATATAGGCCATGGCTTCATGAGCGTCGAGAAGAAAGTCGATGGGGAGTACTGCCAGATACACATCGATCTGAGTAAAGGTCGCGACTGTATCCAGATATTTTCCAAGAGTGGGAAGGATAGCACGGATGACAAGGCACGTCTTCATGGGTAAGTTGCGGTTTCTTGTTCACGAGCATATTGTTCACGAGCATATATACACATGTCCATCCCCTGCTATCGCGTCGCCAATGCCTGTCTGCGTCGCTGATTGGTAATCTCCTGGCGCAGCGTTATCCGAGAGTCTTTAGATATTGGCAAACCCAGTTGCAAAATCACCAAGGGCTGCATATTAGAAGGTGAACTAGTGGTATATAGCGACCATGTAAGTCAAAACTCAAGCTGTCAGACTATCCTTAGGAACATGAGAGTTCTCACACTGAACGAACGCAGGAGCGAAGAGTCCTCCCCTTCCACAAAATTCGAAACCACGTCACCAGATCAGGACGGTATATCGGCAATGAGATGGATTCTCCGTAAAGATGCCCAGCCCAGCCCCTCTCTCATCTCAGGAGAACTACCCCTTTGCTGATAAGAGTGTGCAGGCCGAGGAGTTACGAACACCTAATGATTATATATTACGATGTCCTCCTTATAGACGATGACTCCCTCCTAGGGGTGCGGCACTCCGAACGATTTGAGAGACTGAAAAACCTACTTACAGTGCACCCTGGATATGCGGAACTCGTTGAAAGACGGATTCTCGATTTCAACAAGCCCCAAGCAGCGTCCGACTTACGAAACATGTTTTCAAAAGCCATCCAAGCAAGGGAAGAAGGACTGGTCCTAAAACCTGACGAGCCGTTCCTCGACCTAAGTGGCGAGCCCCGGGCCGACTTCACCGGCAGCCCCATCAAATTCAAGAAGGAGTACGTCGGCAACTTCGGAGAGATCGGCGATTTTGCCGTAGTGGGAGCGCGGTACGACGCTCGGAGGGCCAAATCCCTGTTGATCCCCAACCTTGAGTGGACTCACTTTTACCTAGCCTGCATACACAGCAAGGCCAGCCTCAACAGAGCCAACGACAACAATACCCTCCCCGAATATACCGTCGTCGCAGTGGTAGAGCCAGACGCCCCGCACCTCAAAATCGTCAAGTCCCACTGCCTCCCCAACCCAGTGCCCTTCAAAGAAAACCGCTCCCTAAAACTCAACATGCCCGAGGGCATCTGCGGGGGCAAAAATCCCACATTCGTCTTCACGAGACCGCTCATCTTCGACGTCCGGTGCTTCGCGTTTGAGAAACCCGGAAACGTGGGGTTTCTCACACCGCGGTTCCCCGCCGTCACGAAGGTGCATTTCGATCGGGACGTGGAGGATACGATGACTTTTGATGAGTTGCAGGGGGTTGCGGAGAAGGCTATGGCGGAGCGGCCTTGGGAGGATGAGGATAGTCAGGAGTTGTTGGAATGGGTGAGGAAGTTGGAGAACGCGGATCCGAAGGGCGTGGCTGTGGATTGGGTGACGCAGACGACGGCTTCGGAGGCGCCTACGCCATCGCCAGGGCCGAGGAAGCCGGAGAGAGTAGGCTGCGAAGGTGAGAAAATGATGCCGCCAGCACCACCGCCGAGTTCCGAGGGAAGTGGCAGCAGTCAGAAATCAGCAACGAGCTCCGTCATAATAGTAGCAACGACGCCTCCTACGTCGCCGATAGATCCCAGGCCCAGTTCACCCTCGAGATCGCAGGGCGGGGCTGGAGACGGCGGTCGCCATGTAGCGCCTAAGGGGAAGCGGAAGATGCAATCGCCCGACGGATCTTTGGGGGATATCTACGGCAGTTCGCCGCCTGCTAAGCGCCGGGGCAAATCGCCTGTTTCCAAGGCTTCTCCTTTGCGGGAGTCGCAAAGAGAGCCCCTGGGGGAGATCTCCAATTGCAATGGCTCTCAACACACAAATAGTTTTCGGGGATCATTTACGTCCCACAGCCAGGTATCGAGTGAGGACCTATTACAAGAAAACCGGAGGGTACCGCCGGCAACGGAGCCTTCAAGCCCTGCTTCATTTACGACGGCAAGGGCTACAGCTAGCGCCGTTCCTTCATCACCGGCCGTACCTCCGGCTTCTACTCCCGTGACCGAGATTCACAACAAGTGCCCCGAGATTATCGAGATCCCAGACAGTGAGGGCGAAGACGAGGGCAAGGATATCTCAAGGGAAAAGCAAAGGGTACAACGCCTCTGCAAGATCCTAGGCTCAAATTGCTGGTTCTACAACCGCACCGTCCTCCTCTCCCCCCGCGTAGCCCGCCGAAAAGTCATCACAGAACGTCTCCTCCCCCGCCACGGCATCCGCAACTACGTCGCCGACCACGAAGCCTGGCTGCCGGACGACCCGGACAGCCGACCGAAGGACGACGGCGCCACCAGGATTTGCTTCGTGGACATGCAGCATGCGGAGGGGCGAGCGGAGACGATGGAGTTTCTGGGGAAAATTGAAGCGAGACCGTTACGGCTTCGCGGGGGCGGGAGGGAGTATATTGAGGTGTATGATTGGAGAGTTTTGGAGGAGGCGGCGGATATGGAGGAGGAAGGGGCTATTGGGACGGAGGATGATTGGGAGGGGAGGAGGGATCGGTGGCGGCAGTGGAGGGTTGGATTGGTGTGATGGGATGTGATGGGTAGGGACCTCTCTTGGGTATGTGATAGCGGATTGAGATGTTATCGGGAGAGACTATGCCTATATTGGATATCTTATACCCCGACGATAGGCGAGGCGGTGAAGAGGTTGGTCTCTGGAGTAGTTTAGAGAAATAGATCTGGATTAAGCAGGCCACTTTTCCCCTTCACCGAGGTTCTCCGCACATGCACACGGCCTGGTCTGGTCTGGCCTAGCCCGTGACTCCGGATAGCTGCGTGTCAATCCCCCTTCCCAATTTGGAAGTTGTGACGAGTCGCACATGGGATTTGGACCGTTCCAAGTCTGCTCCCACCCGTCACACATGCTATTCCTTGATGAGTCTACCTCGTACAAAGCACGAAGTTTTTCAGTGAGGTACTAAGGCGAAGAGAAGTGATGGGTCATTTATGTATTAGGATTGAAGAGAGGCATTTTCTGCGTGTGGGGTCCCTTTACATCTCTAGGTGATTTGAAGGCAGATGGAATATGCAGGTTTAGGCTAGATTGTTGAATTCGATCGAAGATGTGGTTTGCTAGTCGGAGGAGAAGGTTATATCACATCAAGATTGTGCTTCATGGCCGAGGTGGGGTTGACCGAAAAAGCAATGGCAAGAACGCTGCAAAAAGCCGCATCCCGTTGCGGCACAGGTTTTTGATTCCACACTCACACTGTTGTCAAAATCATATTCGGACATCGTCTATCATCGCAGGACGCTTGACAATTCCAAAGTCCTCGGTCAGAGTATATCTGTACTTACATTTCTTTAGTAATCCTTGTGATGGAGTCTGTACTCCGTACTTGGAGCTTTCCATCTTCCATCAGGTGCCTTTCCCGACAAGCCGCGGACAGAAAGAAAAGAAGGAAAAAGGAAGAAAATAAATATCTCGAGCAGGAGTGATACAATTGGTTCTATGTTTCTCCTCAATATAGTCTACATTATTTCTGTTGGACAAAACTGGCCTTTGAACGACGGCCACGAAGGCGTGCAGGAGGGAATGCCGAATGGGGACGTGGATGGGTTGAGCTGCAGGTTTGCCAGCATTTTGGTGAGAACTAAAAGGCCTCGAACACTGCACGACTGCACAGGCACATCAAATGGAATTGAAGCAAGCAGTTTGGTTCTGTCGAGGAAATGCCAATGCTGAAAGTCGCTTGAAATAAAAGGTGTTCCGACTGGCCACCAAGAGCATGTCGATGGTATCAGTGACAACATCAACAACATCAACATCACGGAGCACTTGAGAGAGATGAGGGATGAGCTGCTGACCCCCACTACAATTGACACTCGACTGAAGAACTAGTTTGATGGAGTTGGATGGAGGCATCAATTGCTCCGGATATTGTTTCGTACAATTGTATGAGTAGACTTTGATTCGATTTGTACCTGTACTTTGTTTGAGACGTCGAGTTCAAGTTCGGCTTGACCAGGCACTGGACTGGCATTTTAGTGGTGGCACACACTCTAATTTACCCCTCGTCCTCGGCTCTCCGTCCCGCCAATTGGCTCTCCAGAGTGTGGTCTGTCAAAGCTCGAGTGCTGCCAGTCAATCTCAGCCTTACACGTCACAACATTTTGAACTCGATACAAACAAACCGCTGGAGGTAGTGTTTACAGAAAGTCAAGTACTACAAAGTATTGTACTGATACTGCAAGTTGCGTCCAGAGACCGAGCATGAGCCCTCTCTAGTGTTTCTTTCTTCATTGGTTTGGAATTCGACTCCTCCTTCCCGATTATTTGCTCACTTCTTCGTGTGAAGAAGGAACATGGAAGGAGCCAGTCTCAACCCCCCAAGCACCTTCTTTCTGCCCCTGTCACTTGTCACTTGTTCCTTCCTTGTCGCTTGTCCCTCGTCCTGGGTTCTTACGCTCGCCTCGCCCCTTCCACTTTCCTCGCTCTCTGGATTGCTGTCATCAGTATTTTCCCTCGTTTCAATTCGAGTCTCCTTTTCATCTTCACATCTTCACCTCTCTTCAACTTCATCAATCCTACAGTCAGAGATCATCATCTCCATCGAAATCAACTCCGCTGCGGCTCGCTGGCCTCACCCCGCTCAAGCCTACACTGCACTACGCTCCTCCGTCCCTCTCTTGTCATACACTGCATTGTACTGCCACCCCAACTAAGCCAGCAACCAGCAATCCAGCAATCCGGGGGCGGTCCACCTCCACAGTCCAGAACCCAGAATCCACATCTTCGGTTTCTCTCCGGTCCCGGTCCGCGGCTCACATCCAATTTGAACGGCTCACGGTCCCATCTTTGTGCTGCAATGCCAACCCGAGCGAGCCTCTCGTAAAAGTCCACGTCCCACGTCCCATGTCCCTCGGCCCTCAGCCGTCGACCTTCAACCATCGACCACGTCTTCAGGTCGTTTACTTTCTACTTTTCTCCACCGTGCCGCCACGGTCTAGACTGGACAAACCTGCTCGTCCACATCTACTTGTTCCTCACCAAATACAAACCCATTGAATGTCCATGCGCACGCCCCCAATCCCTGATCCAATCCCGCTTCATCTCTGATGCTGTCCTAAATTCCACACGCTCTCTACCTGCAGCGAGGCCCGCATATTCCCTGCCGCTCGCTGCCTCTACCTCAGTACTCTCTCCCTGTATTGATCATTATTGATCCTCTCCTCTGCCTCCTTTTCAATCTCTGGCCCCTATCGTTGCCCATCGCCCATCGCCCATCGCCTCTGATTGCTCTAATCCCACTTTACAATCCTCTGTCGACTTGGCCCGGCCCTGTCTAGATTTACCCCTCCCGCCTCACCAGAACGCCACGTCCGCCTACCCGCTGCATACCAACAAATCACGGCAACCAGAGACTCGTTGAAGAACCGGGAACCGGACAACGCACACCTTTACGCTCTGCCCGTCATCATCCTACTGGCTGCTTTCTTCTTTTTTTCTTCTTTCCTTCTTCTTTTATTAATTTTTCCTTCCTTTTTTGCCCTCTCTTTTCGTGCCGACTGTCCAATATGGAAAGTCGCTGCTGGGTTTGCTCCTGATCGTACAGCACACCCACGCGCCATCAAATATCAAATCGCTCATGACACGCACAAATTGATATTTGATCAATTACCGCTCCACGAATCCAGCCCGCCCACGCACGCAACACAACGTAGCGCAGGGAGCGCAGCTCAACGCAGCGCAACGCAGAGCAATCCACCCAGGCCCACACATACTCCCCCCCTCGTACATCTCTGACTTCATTCACGCACACACACATATTGATATAGAGCATACCCACACCCACATCCCGCATTTCGCCTCCCTTTATACCATGTCCCCCGACCAGCTGGCTGTACCCTCGTCTCCGTCGCCTCTCCCAGCCCCAGAGCCTTCCGCACCTTCTCAAATCGACACACAACACCAGCCTGATCCCCCCCAAGGCTGGGAGCCCACGACACCCTTCCCTCCTCTACCAACCACCACTCCTCAGCTCTCGCCTCAAAGACCGCCGCCTCGCTCGTCCCCAGGCAGCAGCACCAGACGGCATTCGATACCCATCGCTTTCCCTCCTCTCTTTCAGCCGAATGCCTCGTCTACCTCACTAATCCACTCCACTGCTGAGGGGAAACCCATCCCCGTTGACGACTCTACCGCCGCCGACAGGACCTCCGCCCTACGCCAGCTCAACAGCCACTACCCATCGCGACATCGATACGCGAAATCTACCGGTGCCCAGAGTAGTACATACTCCCGGCCAGTCATCGTACGAACTTACCCCGGCCCGCCTCCGAACCAACCAGCCTCTTCAGCCTCAAATTCGGGCCACCAGTACCACCATCACCAACATCGTCGCGGCTCCTCGTACCCCGAATCCTCGAAACCATCTAGCGCAGGCTCCGTTGTGCGTCGCATAATACCCTTTTCGAGCTCGACTTCGTCCCCGAAGTATGGTATGTTGAGCATCGCGAGATCCAAGGCCCAGAAGCGCGCCAAGGGCGCCCGCGAAGATGCCGCTGCCGCCGCCGTCGCTGCTGGCAGCCTACCTCCCCTCGAGGCATTTACGTTTAAGAGCTTCATGAATAGCATCGAACCGGACGACGCCGGTCATAGCATCAGTGCCGACCTCGACCGCATCGCCGAGATTTGTGCCCGTTCGAGGTACTCGTTGAGTAACCAATACGAGGTCCACAAGACACCCCATGGCTCGGGCGAGTCGTTCTTGGCCGCCGTCTCAGCCCCCAATCTCCAGCAGCCGCCCCAAGGCCCGACTCTCCAAGCCGTATCGTCTGACGACGAGCGCCAGATGGCGAGGCATGGCAGGAGGCGGCGGCCCGGCATGAGGAGACGCAGCGTCGCCGTCGGGACCCTCGAGACTATCATGTCGTCGAGCCGGTCCTCTGAGGAAGATAAGTCCAAGAAGCACAAGTCGGCAGCCGAGATTGCCGAGGATGTAAGGAACAGGGCCGCCGCGAGGAAAGGATCTGGGAGCTCGTCGCCCGTTTCTTCGACTGAGGGAGATGCTACCGCCAGCGGGGAGAATGCACCCACTGCTAAACCCGAGGACACAAGTGGAGAAGCAGGGCAGGAAACGCAGCAGGTGCAGCCAAGGAGGAAATCAGTCTCGTTAGCCGCCGTCGTCATCGAGAATACACGCCAGCATGGAATAACTACTGCTACTATAACAACCACTGGCACTACGGCTTCCAGGGGCCGCAGCGCAAGTTCGCCGAAGGCTTCGGCGCCGGGATTGATCAGTGAACCGGCTCGGCCCCAGACCTCGACGAATTATCTCGAGATTCGCCCCGTTGCCGACCAATCTGCTGCTAGCGGCGACGCAGCCACCTCCGCGAAGTTGAAGACAAAGGGAGAAAGCCATAATAATACGGCCACCGCTCAGCAGCAAGGTATCTTGTCGAACCTCACCGGCTGGATCTGGTGGAGGCCTGCCACGCCCGGTGCGTCAGGACCCAAGACGAGTCACGCCGAGGGGAGCCTGAGGGAATTGCTCAAGAGCTCCGAGGAGGACAAAGGTGACGTTAAAGGCAAGGGGGTGGAAAGACCCATGTAGACCTATGGGGCCACCTCGCCTATCAAGATGGTGAGACTGAGATGTCTGTGATGAAGAAATGAAGCTCACGAATGACGACGAAATAAAGAGGACGGTGTAAGTTGGGGATTCTGTCGGTTTTACTTTATTTTTACTTTATTTTCTTTTTCCTCCTCTCTTTTTTTCTTTTCTTTTTCAGGCCTTGGTTCCCTCAAAAGCAAAGAGACTGGATTCAAGAGGATGATACCCTAACGAAGTTACGATTCTTTTTTTATTATTATTTCTGCTCTACGTCTGTTTCTTCCATGTTGTGTCACCTTGCCCTTCCCTAGACATGGTCTCGGTTAGCCTTGTGGTTACGGGGAATTATAGTCTTGACTTTGTCTTGGGATGTGAAGAAGGACACAGAAGGAACGTGTATGTATACATGTTGATATATTGTTACTGGCTGGATGAAACCTGGAGGACTGGAAAATAAAAATGTATTGGGAGGGGAGTTGAATATAAATTGGGTTTTGATATCGCCTCACTAACATCTAGTTGCCCGATGGCTCCCATCCTTGATGTTTTTCCAACTTTACGGTCTCTCACCCATGTTTTTATTAGTCTGTCGATGTTTTCTCCCTACCCGTCTCGACTTTGGTTACCAGGCTTGCTTAATATGAAGCTACTTTGGAGGAAGCTTATCTGCTCCAGGGACACAGAAAGATTGGCTTGAAAGAAGGTTAAAGAAGGTTAAAATAGAATATTAAAATTGACAAGGGGATTTAACAGCATTTCAAAACCATTCCCATTCTTCACTTGAGAACTCAGAATTTAATTATGAAGGAACTCATCAGCTAGAACAGTCGAATGTCGTAGGATGAGAGAAGCTGGCAATGAGCTCTCTCAACATCGAACCTGCACTCACTAGGACATTAAATCAAAACCTGATCAGAGCCCCAAGACCTAAGGATTGCTTCGTAGACTCTTGCATTATCAATCATCCAGCATCATCTATGCAGCCTACTCGTACATAGAGCTTTATAACTAAACCTCCTCTCACCTCGCGCGTTCTCTCACTTTCTTCCGAGTTCTATACATATAGCCTGGCCCCTCGCGCCTCGCAACCGTTTAGGTATCCCATATGTTTTTTTTTTCTTATTCGTACACAAGCAAGGTACCTCCGCATCACCAACAAGAAGTCAAAATAAGAGGCGCGGGAGCTCTCTCCAAACGAAGGCTCGTTGGATAATGCAACAGCGAAAGAAGAGAGACAGAAAGGGGCAGGTCCACGCCGCGAGAGAAGACTAAAGAGTAAGGAGCCAACCCCACCAACTAATAAGAAACGCCCATGGCCGACGGAAAGGAAGAAAAGAAAATGGAAACAGCAAAAAGCTCTCAAGCTACCATCTCAGCCCGTAGCCCGAAGAGCTCTTGCTCTTGATGGTGGCACCTTCATTACCGCCCGGTCTCTAAGCGGGGTCGTGGCTCCGGCTTGGCGGTCTGTCCGTATGTTGCCTCTTGGATTCCCTGGCGTGGTCGTCACCCTGGTCGTGTATGGTCCGTTTGAGGTCTCTCTCCCGATCTCGCCCTTCTTTCTCTCGGAGGTAGGTTTCCTTGGCGGCTGCCTTGCGTGCTTCCTTTTCTTTGCGTTCGTTTTCGCGCCGGAGGGCCTTGGACTCGAACTCGTGCCAATCGCCGTCAATGTCTTTGAGCCTGTAAACCTGTTAGATATTTACACATAGCGTGAAAAATACTTGGCTTGTGTAAAACTTACTCAATTGCTTGCCGAGGCGGGGGATCCTCCGTCGTAAAGTACGGATGCGCCAAAACCTCACTCGCAGTCGGCCTCTTCGCCGGATCATACCGAAACATCGACTCCAGCAACTCGAACGCCGCCGGCGACAACCTCCCCCGAAACTTCTCCTCAAACGTCCTCTTCACCTTGAACTGCGGCCTCAGCAGCTCAAACCACGCCATCTCCACGATGTCGGGCCACTCGGCCTGTGACGGCGTCCCTAGCACTGCGTAGATGCGCTCGAGCTGGTTCGCTTCTGTGCCGTCTCCTGGGAACACGGCGTTGCGGACGAAGATCTCCATCATCACGCAGGCGGCGCTCCAGATGTCGCAGGCCGGGCCGTATTGGGTCTCGCCGAGGAGGAGCTCGGGGGAGCGGTACCAGATGGTGACGACGCGGTTCGTGTAGTCGAGTTGGTGGCGCTTTGCATAGAAGCGGGCGAGGCCGAAATCTGCGAGTTTGAGGATGCCTTCTTTGCTGACTAGGATGTTCGCCGCTTTGATGTCACGGTGCAACACGCCTCTGCCGTGGAGGTAGTCGAGACCGTCAAATAGCTGCTTCGAGAGATGTTTTCTCTGGGCATCGTCAAGCTTGAAAGTCGGGTGATTCAGGAGTCCTGTCAAGTCGTGGGCAAGATACTCAAAGACCATGAAACAGTCATTCTTCTCCACCATCACCTCCATGAGGTTGACAATATTGACATGCCTCAGCGACTGGAGAAGCTTGACCTCGCGCACTGCTGTGACTGGGAACCCATTCTGCTCTCCCTCCATGCGGATGCGCTTTAAGGCAACTGCAGTATTAGTGTAGACATGAAGGCCCTTAAACACTTTACCATAAGTGCCAGACCCCACAACAGATTCATTGCCAGGCTTCCTGAAGAAGACAGACTTGGATGTCGCAAATGCTGGATCAAGCTTTGGCCGCTCAAGGAGGCGCCTCTCAATCTTCTTAACTTTGCGTGTCCTTACAATAGGCTTCTGGGGAGGTTCTTGGTTCCGTCTCGCAGCCCTTGATGAGGCAGGTTCTGTTGGTACTCCTTTGGGGAAATCACGGTCACGGTCCTTGTTTGACTTTTGTGATTGCTGTTGTTGTTGTTGCTGATTATGGTTCTGGGGTTGAGTAGGAGGTTGCTTTGCTGTGGGCATGGCATTGAACTTTTGTGAGATCTCTGGTTTGGGGTGTGTTGTGGTTTGCTTGCTTGCCAGCTTGAAAGAAAAGCTGAACTTGGACGAACTTGGTCCCGTGGGCGGAGCTCTGGCCGTACCAGGTGTCGTACTATTATTATTGCTGGGCCCAGTAGGAGGGGCAGGTTGTTGCGAGGCCGGGTCCGGTTGGCTTTCTGGCGCTGGCTCGTCAATCTGCATCTCATCGGAGTGCTGCGGATGGGAGTTGCCCTCATTGGCATCGCTTGCCTCATTCCGCCTGCTGTCTGGACCTGGAGCTGCATCATGAGTCGCAGCACTCGACGGGGTGGAGTGCGGACTCTGCGCAGGCCCGGTCGGGGGATTCCACTGGCCAGATTTGAAACCAGGAGCTCGATGGCCTCCTCGAGCAGAACCAAACTGGTTACCGCCGCGATAAGAACCGGAGCTCCCTCGGTATCCGCCCCGGTAGTTCGGAGGATGTGGGTTCATCGGACCTGTAGGAGCAGAGTGAGGAGGAGAGTGGCTGGAGGGGTTCGAATAGTAGTGGCCTTGTGGGCCAGTAGGGGGCGGCTGGCTGAAGGATGATGAGTTGGGCCCATTGGGGGGAAAGGGGCCAGGATGCTGTTGTTGTCTGAGAGAGGCATCATCGCGTTAGCCATGAATCACCACAATCCATCAACCTGCACATGCAAACAATCAAAGAACTTACGGGTGAGAAGGTGAGAATTGTTGGCCGTTCCAGCCAGGGCGGGCCTGGCCAGTACCATAGGATGAGGATTGTGACGTCGGGGAGTTGTGGTATGATGAATTAGGCGTCGATGATTGAGAATAGTTTGTTCGGGGGTCATTGCCGAATGGGCCTTTATGCGGGAACGGGCCCGGACCCGGCTGCGAGGGGTACCCGCCCCGAAAACTGCCTCCTCCGCCTCGAGAGCTCATGCTGACCTCGACGCTGTTGGCCCCCGTAGCAGCCGGTTGGCTACTATCCTTCTTCCGATCCTCTCGAGACCGACCTTTTCGATTTCGGGAGCGGTGTTGTCCAGGTGGCGAAGCAACTCGACGGCTATCGGGATGGTGGAGACTTGGATCGGCTCGGCCTCTAGACGCGACGCTAGGAGACCTAACGGCTCTATCTCGTGATGTGTTACGGGAAGGGGATGACAGGGGACTTCGGTCTAGGACTGGGGAGGATAGCCTAGAGCCTCCGTAGGATGCGTGGCTCCGAGTCTCGCTCCCGCCACGACGGAAACTTCGCTCCTCGGCGTGTCGTCGCTCGGGAGTGGCCCGGTCGTACACAGAATCAGTATCTCTATCAATCCTTTCGCCTGACCTACCACGCCGGCGCGGCGACCGATGCCTATCTCGATTTCGACGCGGGAGTTCGAGCCTCTCGAATTCGGGAGAGTGTTTCGACCGTCTCTTATTACGGCCAGCCCGTCGAGATCTCTTCCGTCGAGAGTTTGCCGATGGAGGGCTTCGACTCCTGTGGCGTTTCGAGCCTGCGCCTCCGATGGAGTTGCCTCCTCCTCCGGGGGCGTCTGAACGTCGTGATCGCTCGCGTGAATGTTCGTCCGTTCGTGACGGCGCTGCACCGCGATTGTCCGAATATCGCGGGGAGGAATCCTGTGCTCGATGCCTTCCGTCTCTGCTCACGGACCGTCGACCGGAACGGTGCTTACTGTCGTCGCGCGATCTTCGAGGATGGCGGTTGCGGGAGTCTGATCGGAAAGACGAATCGTGGCGAGGGTAATCGACGTCTCGATGATCATCGGTGCGTGGTCGACGAGCTTGAGGGGAAACGGACCGTCGAGAATCTACTGCTCCTCGGCCAGATCTGCCTCTTTCTCTACGCTCGTCGCCGTGGTCTCTATCGTGTTTCATGGCAGCATGTCGAGCACTCTGACTGCGGCCCGAAGAACGGAATGAGGAGTTCATCGCTAAGACTCGAGTGGATTTTGAGTTTTCTGGACAAGCCAGAAGGTACCTGGGTACCTTGCCGCGAATAGCCTTGGAATAAGCGGGCCTATCCCGGTGTTTCTCCGGGCAGCCTCAAGGCTCCCAAAGCGCCAAGTCAACTTGCCTCAGTATTGGAGTCAAGAGCCGCAAATTTCCCCAAAATTTGGATTTGCAGTTTGCTTAAATTCCTTTTTTTTTAAAGGGGGAGAAAGATCAATGTCGAGATGGCAGTGCTGATTGTGCGGGTTGTTGGTTAGACAGGGCAAGGGTGGCGAAGTGGTTAGTTGACGCGCATGCAGTGCATCCAGCAGTCGGTCGTGATACGTGTGGTTGTGAAATGGAAACCAGGAAGTGACCCAATTCAAGGCCAGGCCAGGCTGAGTTTTCCAAAGTCGAGCAAAAACGACAAGGGGTTCGGGCCCTCTCCTTCCTCGAGACGCAACCTAACCGGCTTTCGTTGCGGCCGTTGCGGAATAGGATTCGCTCAGATAAATCAAACGAATCCCAGTCCGCACTCAAACTTCGATATGCTCTCTCATACGTACTTTCCACCCTGTCGCGCCCACCATTTTAGTGAAGCAACTAAAGCCTTGGCCCACTGCCTGTCACAGAGATCGGCGGCAGTCGTACTCCCTCTGTGGACTGGTATCGAGATGCAGAAGACAGACTGCAACATCATCCGGTTCAAATCTCGAAAATCCAGAAACGTGGGGGTACCGCAGCCTTGCAGGACACAACCCATGTTCCAACAAGGCAGAGATTTGAATCAAGCCTCACCACAAAAGAAACTCCTCCCAGTAGAGAGCAGTCTAACCTCATCTGCTAAAGATGGGCCCTGCCCCCGGCCACGCATGCGAAACACGCATAGCAAGATATACCCAAGCCCAAGCATAGATCAGCGTCGTGTAGGGCGGCGCCAAAGAGGTCATGGACGAATATCACTATGTACTAAAGCTTTACGAGTTCCATCCACCCACCACGCCTAACTGCGTGAACCAGAGCCCAAGATTTGGCCTCCTGGTTTGCTTCCATACCACCAGTACCACATCCATGCTGTGTCGCGATAGCGCTCAGTAGTGGCAAGGCTTTTCAGATGGTCCTGAAAAATTGACGTAGCTCAAAGCACCGCATCCGATGCCGAATTATTCCCACCTTACCTTAGCGGATACAGAGGTGCATGTGGTGATGTTTGGTTGATGTTTGGCGCTCTAATGAGGGGTGGCTGACGGGAGGCGATAGTAGAGGGGTGGAGAAAGACAAGGCCACCATCTTCCGCCAACATTTTAAGGCCGGGCATGTTAGAAACCAGGATATGAGCGACAAGTCGATGTTGTCCCTGGTACGGAGGCCATGCGCCATGGTTCCGCGCAATGCGTGCTCTGCTCGTCCGTGCCGGTGCTGTTATAGCAATATCCGCTAATGAAGGCGACACTTGAGGAAAAATAAGACGGCTATGTTTCCACACAACTCCTTTGAGCCCATAGTTTCGGGGCGCTCTGCATCAAGCCCCGGTCGCTAGTCATGCCGAGACACGTTTGTCGGATGGGTATGGGCAGTGTGTCCAGCCTGCCGGGCTACAACAGAGGTTGTAGGTTGTATGGTAAATATCCCAATGAGGTGGGACCTCTGATGAATCCATTCTTTTCCAATCCGGTCGAGACATGCTAAGGTGGGAAGCGAAGAGGGATGGTCCAACTGGAATGGCCGTGGCAAGTAGACCGCCCCGAGAACATTGTCGCGACAAAAGAAAAATCAAGACGACTGGCGGGGGCCGCTGGTGGGTCAACTGACTGCTATCAAATAATTCAACAGAAACATGAATCTTGATTGAGAACCACGACCAAGGCGACAGGAGAGGCGATGTTGGATCGTGAGGTGTGGTTATTCCGATGGATCGAGCAGGGGGAAGTTTTTGTCACCGAGATCAAATCGACTTGGCTAGCGGGGATCAACAGCGGCTGATCCGAGAACAGAACTATCTTTGTCACGTGATAATATGTCTCGATTATATAATACGATTGGAATTGTTGGGATGTTTCGGGATATCCACTCGCGGATGTACCTTCCAGATGTCGCTATCCCTCCGAGGACGAACAATGGATGAGATTTGATTTGAGTGGATTTGAGTGGATCTTCGGCCAAGGTCGATTCGGACACGGAGAAGACGCCAATCCCGGTTCCTAACTTCACCTGCGTCATAAGGAAAAAAGCCATTGGCGAAGTAGTGTAATGATTTAAGTCTTCCCTATGACCCGCCGGACATCCACTCGTCTTCTCCGAGTTGTATCTCACTTACAACTCATCTCTATCTTCTCGCTTGCAATCTTGCGCCGATTTCTGAAACGATTGACTAGGTTAATCCTCTACGCCCTGAGAATATTTACTCACTCTCATCCTTTGGTCGAGCTCATTATCAAGCTGGGTAGCGTGCGAGTTCTGAGTCGTCTAGGCTCATACACGATGGAGTGGCTCGGCCGAGCGAAACTCGCCTTCACTCACTCACACACTCCACTTCCATTGAAGCGCAAAGATGGCACCACGACAAACCTCGCAGAGGTGTGCGAGGAGATAACACCTCCCTGCCAGCTAAACCCACTGCTCTTCAACGGACACATGCAGACCTTTTGGACAGCCACGAAGCAGCACGGCCCGGCTGTCTATTACCGTCGTAAGGTATTCCACTCGGACAATAAAGCGGTCCTGGGCACGTTCGCCGTGGATTTTGTGGACGAGCCTTTCGAGGAGAATGATCCCGAGCTTCCGCCGAGGACGGTGTACTTTAGCGAGGAGGAACTCGCTGGCCTTGGATCGGATGACTCGAAGCCGATGTTGGTTGTCCTTCATGGGCTGTCCGGGGGCTCTCACGAGATTTATCTGCGGCATGCGATTGCGCCGTTGATCGAGAGTGGTGATTGGGAGATTTGCGTTGTGAATTCTAGGGGCTGCGCGATGAGTCCGATTACAACTGGGGTTCTCTACAATGCTAGGGCTACGTGGGATATTCGACAGGTGAGCAGTCGTGTTATGTTTAGCTCGGTTCACTCTAACTGTTAGTCTCTGTCATAGACTGTAAAATGGATACGAGAAAAGTACCCTAACCGTCCTCTATACGGACTCGGCTTTTCACTTGGAGCCAATATCCTGACCAACGTAAGCAGTAAACTATACACATTAAATTTGTTTTATCAGTCTAGATAGGATCTAACAGTATCTAGTACTGCGGTGAGGAGGGTGCCAATTGCCTCTTCAAGGCAGCCGTCGTGTGCTCAAACCCATTCAACCTCGAAGTCTCCAGCAAAGCCCTTCAACGGACCCTCATCGGGAAGGAAGTCTACCAAAGGGTCATGGGCAGTACGTCCGCCCCCTTTCTAGCTCTCGGGCGGTGACAACGTTTTATTGCATTCAATATCTAACTTTCCGCTTCAGCAAGCATGAAAGAGCTCATCAAACGCCATCAGAACGAGATTGAGAAGTATACTGCACTCGACTATAATCGTCTCCAGAGCATCACATACCTTTACGAATTTGATAGAGAAGTCCAGTAAGTCTCATTATCTGTTTCCTGCCTGTCCGTGCGGTGTATGTAAACTGAACCATTTCCTAGATGTGTGTTGTGGGGATATCCTACCGAGGACGCTTACTACCGCGATGCATCCTCTACTGATGCTATCCTTGCTATACGCATTCCTTTCTTGGCCATTCATGCCACAGACGACCCTGTAAGTCACAGCACGGTAACATGCTCAATTCAGGCCAGTGCTAATATTCTTAGATCGCGGTGGATGAGGCTGTGCCTTACGCCGAGTTCAAGGCGAATCCTTACACCGTAATCGCCTCCACTTCCCTCGGAGGGCATCTCTGCTGGTTTGAGGTCGGCGGAGGAAGGTGGTTCTCGCGTCCTGTAAGGAATTTTTTCCTCCTCTTCTTATTCTCCTTCTTCTGGTTTTATCCATCGATGCTAATAATACCTTCTAGGTTTGCAACTTCTTAAACTATATGCAATTCCAGATCGAGGGCCTCTCCGATGATGCGCCGAAAGCCGGGAATGGGAACATCAACCCTGAGGTGCCTAACCGGGGCATTAATTTCCACCCGATGAGGCGAAAGATGGAGATTTCCTTGTACGATTTTACTGCATAGCGTTGGCGTATCTGGTCTGAGCCCAATGACGGGTTTTGTACATTTGGCAACTTGTAGTATATAAACATTTAGATAGACATACATACCTCGGATAATCCGCGGAGATCGGCGACATCTACCATAGGATCTAGCATGAGGTGTCTTGTGAAGTGCCGCTTTGAATCGGGCTTGATATTACCCAGACCTTCGTTTTCTGCGTCGCATATTTGCGTATATCGCCGAGTTGGAGATTCAATGGTATCAAAGTGACCAGAGGAAAAGAGACAATAAAATAGCGCCCAAACGCCAACCCAAATGCTTTTGCTGTCCTTCCCAATACACCGTCCCCCCTCTTTACTCCATCACGCAAACGACACCTTCTTTTTCTTCGGCTTAACGGCTTTCGTCCCCGTAGACGACAGCTCCTTGGTATTCTCCTTCTCTCCCTCCTCCGCTCCGGTCTTTCCCTTTCTCTTCCTCTTCTTCCGTATGGAGTCCTTCACTTCTTCGAGCTTGTCCCTCTTCTGCTGTTCCTTCTTCTCGGCCTCTATCCGCCTCGCCTCGCGGATCTCCTCCATCTGGCGCGCCTTGATCATCTTGGACTCGATTTGACCCTCCTTCTCGGCCTGGACTATCGCAAGTATGGTTCGCATGCTCTCCTAGAATTATACAGTTAGTCTCTGGGTGCGCCCAGAATTCGCAGGAAAATAGGTATAAAATAAATTTAAAACTTCGCAAGGGCCAGCACGTACCGGATCATCAACAAACACCTTCCCCTTCTTCTTGCCCTTGGGCTTCACAACACCAACAGGCGTAATGCTATTCAGCTTCGGAATCCCCAGCTCCTCCGCCGTATACGTCTTCTTCTTCTTCTGCCGGTTCAACAGCGTGCTGACGGTGCTCGCGTGCACGCCCTTGGCGGGAGGGGTTCCCTTGGTCTTGCGAGCCTTGACGACGCCATCGTTCTGGACTTTTCTGACCTTGGGTGCGGCGAACTTGTTTTTCACCGTTTTTGTCCTCGAGGGCCCCATTGCGGATGTGTTTTGGGGGTGGTTGAAGGTGGTGGTGGTTTTTGCGGTTGTGGGTTGCAGCGGGCAGTTGGAAAAAAAAAAAAAAAAAAGTTTAGAGGTGGGATTTGGGGGAATTTTTCGAGGTGCTGCAGATCGATAAGCTCACCGACGGTGGGCGATAAGAACTTAGTAGTGGGCAGACAGCAATTTGATCACAGCATCACCATGCATCAAACATCGAGCACGGTTGAGGTTCCAGGAGGGATTCGTCAAGACCACGCCTCAAGACCCTTTTTGGCCAAACTTTGCCTCTTACGTTCTCCTGATATTCGGGTCAAGACTACCATTGAACTCAGAGGAGATGTAGATTCCTCACTGTGCCTCTTCGGTAGCGCCAGCAGCGCATCAGACCAACCGTGTACCTTGTAGCTTCTTCTTCAGAAGACTTCAGTGAAGAATCCGAGTTTCTGCCGCTAAAGTGGGCCTAGTTTGCCAGTTTTGCCAGGCCGGCTTGGGCGGTGAAAATTGTTAGTGCGGTGCTTGGGCAGCAGTTGAGCTTGTCTCGCCGCCACAGTGCAAAAGCTTCTCAGGGATTGGGTACTTGCAACTTGCAACTATGGGTACCTGATACATGGCCATGCTGTCGGCATCGCTGGCATCGCTGACAACGCTGGTGCCCACGATGCTTCCCACCGAGAGTAGACTTGTACCCTGTACGTAATGCCAACCAATCCGCGTCGTGCCATCATCAAGAAGGAAAAAAAGAAAAAAAGGAAGATTTTCCTCTCCTGGTCTTAAAACAGCACAGCACAGCACGGCTTTTACCAGAAACCAAGAAACCCAAGACCCCAGCAAAATCACACATCACCAACTTCCACACTTCAAATCCTCAAACCTTGGTTGAACCATTCCAACTCCCCCGACACAGTGCTCTGCCCTCCTCGCTCGCAATTCATCTTCGGACCTCATAATTCATCCCACCTCGATACAAAATTTTCAGTTCGTGACCTCCGTCAACTCCTATTCCATATCCACAGCGCATCCTATTCCTGAAAAGCCTGCGACCTCCTTGCTCCCAAGTTTCGATCAGTGTCTCTCCAACCGCTCCTGCCACCCGCTCCTTGCCGACAACCTCACCACACCACATTGCCGCCCCTCGGCCCCCCTCACGCCCCTTGCGAAGTGCGAATCGACTACTGCCTCCTCTTCCGCCCCTCGAAGCTTGCTAATTTCTCTGGTGACACCTAACGCCTTTTTTTCATCGTCGCTCTTTTATTTCGCCGACTTCTTTGTCTTTCGTGTGCGGCGACTTGGTGACGACCGACGTGGGCCCCCAGTTCTCACTTCAACCCTAATAGCTCCCTCCCGTTACCCCCGACGTCTTCATGGATAACCTATGGACTCGTCGTACCGTCAGGTAAGTTTCTGCGCACTAGTGCCTTGCTCCTGCCTAGGGACTGGGGTATTCTGGCATTCTATGTGTCTGTCGGGTTCTAATTCCATACTTTTCCCTTGTACAGCAGCAGCAAACTTTCACTTTCAACGCAAAATAGCTCCTCGAACGGGGGAGGAGATAGTAATACTCGAACCACGCCCTTCTCGAAGCGATCCGGCAACGATGGCTCGTCCTTTGGAAAATCGACGAATTCCGCCACCACCCCGGGCGGCGGCGGCAGCATAACTCCCTCGCCGGGCGCCGCCGCCTTCGGCCTAGGATCCGGCGCTTTCGCATCCTTCTCGGTCGGCGGATCCGGAAAGACGCCCAAATCCCCCGGCAATCCCTTCGATTTCGCCATGGGCCAGATAGGCGCGAAGAATACGGGGTCCGATAAGTCCTCTGGTGGAAAGGAGGCGCCGGGCAAAGTGGCTTCGAAGGCCCCCTCGATGACCTCCATCTCCGAAAAGAAGACGGGGGTTGTCGCGGCTTCGGCCCCGGCTGCGGCCCCTGCCGTTCACCCGCTCATGAACAAGTGGGTGTTCTGGTGGCGTCCGCCCATCTCCAAGTCGCAGGGATTCATCGACTACGAGAAGACCCTGCGGCCTATGTGCCACTGTAATACGGTGGAGGAGTTCTTCGAGGTGTACTCGCACCTGAAGCACCCCTCGAAGCTCCCCACCATGTCTGAGTACCACTTCTTCAAGTTTGGCATTCGTCCGATATGGGAGGATGATGTGAACAAGAAGGGTGGTAAGTGGGTTGTGCGTCTCAAGAAGGGCGTTGTCGACCGTTACTGGGAGGACTTGATCTTGGCTCTCATTGGCGAGCAGTTTGGCGACGCTGGTGAGGAGGTCTGCGGGGCGGTTGCGAGTGTCAGGAATGGTGAGGACATTATCAGTATCTGGACTCGCAACGACGGTGGCCGAGTCATCAAGATCCGGTAAGCTCTTTAAGCCCCTGACACACTCGAACACGCATGATACAGAATAACTGACCCATCCCCATAGCGAGACTATGAAGCACATCCTGAACCTCCCACCCAACACGAGGGTAGAGTTCAAGAGCCACGACTCGGCCATCCAGCAGCGAACCGCCATCGAGGAGTCCAGGCAGAGCAAGGGCTCCCATCATCATCACCACAACGACAAGCGCCACCAGACCCACCAGAACAAGACCTCCGACGAGAACCACCGCCACAACACCCAAACCTCTTAGCTTCCTGCTTCTTTTTTTTTTATTTTGGTGCTGTATAACCTGCCGTTGCCTAACAGGGGGAGGAAGAACGAAACAAAGAGGAAATAATCTCCGAGCTAGCCAGCCTTTCTTTTTTGTTAGTTGCGGGCATTCGGAAAGGGGGCCCTCCTCCCGATGAGAAGAGAACAAGTTTCCCTATTTTCTTTCTTTCAATTTTTTTTTCTTAAAAAAACAATGTGTGTACACTATGGGAAACAGCCTTTTGTGATGCGCTGATGATAGGAAAACGAAAAGACGGCATTTCGGTGTGTTTTTTGTGTCATGTAAAAACCGGGAGGGAGGGAAAACAGGAGGGAGGATAAGCAATCAAGTTCCGATTTTGATAAATCAACGAAGAATTAAGGGAGGCGGAGAAAGGGCAGGCAGGCGGAAACTAGAGCGTTGTCATTGAGCTCCGATATTCTCTTTTTTTTTTTAAGCTTCTTTTTTTTTGGTTTTCCATCATGGCGCGTCTTTTTCTCTGTCTTTGCTTGAAAGAGCCCATGTTTGCTCTCTCTCTCTCTCACTTTGGCCCATACCCACAAGGTTATTCTCCTTCAATTGGCGGAAGCCGTCAAGGAGAATGGTTTCTGACAGGAAAAAATATCTCTGAAAAGAAGAAGAAACAGAACAACCCCTCGTCCCCTCTTCCCCCGCCATTGTGATAAAGAAGGAAAAAAAAAAAACCAAGCAAAATGCGGATTTCTTGTTTCTTCCCATTGCTTTTTCTTCCCTGTTCCCCTCTTTTATTTCAATCTTTTCGCCCTCTCTTTAGCAACTGCTGGCTTGGATCCAGTTTCCACTGGGAGAGCAAGAGAAACTCTTGGTTTCTGCGAGGTGTTTCCCTCCTTGATGATCTGGTTTTTTTCCTACTTCTTCTTTACCTTTTCTAGGGGCATTGAAGTGTATTATGTACGTGTGTAATGGCAATCCCGGCAAGGGCACGACGGATAGGGAGGATGGCTTAAGAGACATGGCCTAAGGGCTGGAGGAGAAAGGTTCTCGTAATGAAATCGGTTTGGTGATGATGTTCCTGTCCTCGTCCCTGTGTAAAGTGACATATATGACCGAGGGAATTAGAAAGATGGTCACTTAGCCCTCTCATGACCCGGCTCTTTTCAACGGCCTTGATCCAGTTTCTTCGATACTCAAACAACCCACCCACTCCCTTTTGCTCCAATATCTATGCCCTCCCCTTCCCCCTCGGCACCCTCCTCCTCTCCCAAATCTGCAAATACGTCTCCCCGGCAAACAACAACTCCGCCTGAACCTTCTCAACAAACAAATCCTGACAAACAACCCACTCATCCCTCGCCCGATCCCGTATCTGCACCTTCCACATCTTCTTCTCGTCCGCCGTCTCCGTAACGTCATCCCTCGCCCTCACAGCCTCGTGCACCACGTTCGCCACGAGATCATACCAGATGGGCTCGCCCTCGGGGTATTCGGCGGGGTTCGGCTCGACGTAGGGAGATACGTCGAGGTTCCTCGCGTCGAAGGTGACGATGGTCGGGTTCCGTTCGGACACGAACTTGTTCTGGCTGAAGCGTTTGACGTGGAAGATGAGGTAGGGCGGGAGCGGGTGGAGAAGGCGGTAGCGCTTGCGTTGGGCGCGGTGTTCTTGCGCCTGTAGGCCGTTGTACTTGTTGAGGATGGTCGTGAGGGGAACCTGCGGGATGATGTTCTTCTCGAGCTCGTCTTGGAAGAGCGGCGCGGGCGGTAGGTCGAGTGTGAGCAGGAGGAAGCGAACCACGTCAACCTTCACCTCGGCAGCCTCCTCGAAGCGGAGACGGTCGCCGGCGTCGGCGCGTGCCGTGATGGTCTGTGATTCCACCTTGAGCTTGCCCTGGAAGATATGCTGGATCATGGAGCTGTTGGGCTTGGTTTTGCTTCCGCCGAGCCCGAGGTGCAGGTTGTTGAGGAACCACGAGAGGAACTCCACGGGGTCGGACTGCTGCGTGAGCGTGAACCGCTTGTTAGACTGCAGGGCGATTTCCTGGAGCAGTTCGTGCGGGGACACGTGGGCCTTGAAGGCGCGCGGATTCCAGATCTTGCGGAAGAGGATGCTCGTCCTCTGCACGAGCTCCGGCCTTGTCGAGAAATCTTCGAGCAGGAAGTAGTTTCGTAGAGGCGGGACGTGGGACAGCGCTTGCACCACTACGTTGAGGTAGTCGTTCTCCTTGATGTTGTTCATGCCCACGAAGCCCGGCGCATACTCCTTGGCGCCGTTGTACGTCCACGACGTCTTCTTCGCGCGATCGAGCTCCATGACCTCCTGCTTGGTGTATCTCGGATCTGAAACGTACTTGATGTCGTCTAGCGTTTTGTTCTTGACTTCGTAGCCCTCTGGTAACACGTATACTTTTTGCGTCTTCATGTTGATGAAGACGTGGTGGTTCTCGTCCAGCGCGTGGAAATACGCATGCGACTTTGGCCCCCTGCCCTGGTAATATTTACCGCACACGAGACACGCGTAGACATTTATATTCGATAGAGTCACCGAGCACAGCTTTTCGAAATCAAAGTCTAGAACCTGCCGATCTATCGTGTCGAGGTAGAGGTCGTCGTAGCCTTCTGTCGGCGCAGCCTGGCGTATCGACCGCCGTGGAATCTCCTCATCGTAGTCGTCGTAGTTGTCGATATCGACATCGACATCCGCCGCGTAATTAGCCTTAGCCGTCAAGCTCGATTCATCTGTCGCAAAACGGCCGTTCGTCTCTGGCGACCTCGATGGCTCGACCGAATCGCCCAGTCGTGATCGTTTGGACAAGGGCGAGTCTCTGCCCGAGATATCCTCGAGGGCCTCGGAGGCGAGTCGCTTTGACATTATCGAGGGGGGGAGACGATTACTGCCTGTATACGGGGTAGTCCTATTCTACAGGAAAAGGAAGTGGATTGTGCGTGGTGTTGAATGGGAAAGGTCGATTGCGTTGTAGGCAGCGGAGGAGTTGGATTTAGTGTTGGGGAAAGACAAAATGTGAAGGTCAAAATGAAATAGCGAAAAATAGGCGATCCATAAGCGCACGCCCCTCCGGAGGCTAATCACACCCTTCAAGCTTCAGTCTAACACACAACATCTTGAGAGGGATTGATTGACCATCAAGTTATTCAGGACTGAGGTATACCCAGATCTAATATTTATGCATTCAATTCTAATATACTCTTTGAAAACCAGAAAAAAATACCGAAGATAAAAACCAATGCGCAGCCCGCCCATATCCGGGGAATCCCCTCCCTCTCTAGACATCCGCCATCACCACCTCCACATCCAGCGAAGGCGCAAGACTATCCATCTCCTGCAAGGTATATTCCACCAAATAACTCTCATCCACAAGCTCCTCCATCCTTTTATAATGCCTTTCCGTATACACTCTCAGCGCATGCAACACCTCCTTCAGACTTTTCTGCCCGCGGGCACCCTTCACCGAGAGGTTCGAGATGCGTGACGCGGGATAGCTCCGCATAAGCGCCCACAGAATGCGCTGCGCAACGGGCGCCGTTCTCGCGTTCGCATTCCAATCCCTAAGTCTCAGGAGGAGCAGGAAGATCTGCTCGTCGGACAGGTTGGCGAGGACCTGGTCCACCGCTGCTAAGCCTGTCAGACTCTTCGCGTCGGGATTGTCGGTCGTGACGACTTTTGTGAAGAGGTTCAGCAGGCGGCCCGGGTGGTTCAGCTGTAGTGCCAGGGTGATGGCTTCTCTGTACGATCCGGCGTGGATATGGTTCTCTAGTTCCTGTTCTTGCTCGATCAGGTGCTGCGCCGCCTCTGTCGCCGCTGCCTGAGTAGCCGAGCTAGTGTCATACCAGAAGGTCACGGTGGAGTCACCGCTACCCGAGACAATGGTGTTCGTCTCGGGGTGCACGGCTAGTGCCCAAACACGATCCTCATGATTGTCGAGGGTACATTCCGCCTCTCCAGAATTAGCATCCCACACCTTGACCAAGCCATCGCCTCCAGCACTGGCGACGAGGACAGGTCGCGTCGACTGCTCCTCCTTCGTGGGGACATTGAGCCAGATAACCTTGAGTACACTGTTCGAATGGCCTTCAAACGTCCTTATGCAAGAATAATCGTTCAGGTTCCAAAGCTTGACAGTCTTGTCACCACTACCCGTCAGGATAACGCCTTTGCCTGCAATAGAGCCCTCCTCGCCCTGTAGTGCCGGCAGCTTTGGCGGCGCAAACTTGACGGACCAGACACCTCTCCTATGACCGCGCAGGATACCTTGCACCTCTCCTTCCTCAACAGACCAAATCTTCACCGTCTTGTCTTGTGAGGCGGAAGCGAACAGATGACTGGTGTGATGAATGTCGACGGCGTTGATGTCCTTGTCGTGCGCCTTCCTGGTGAAGACGGCTCTTGACCCGGACTTTTGCGTCTGTTGCGATTGACGAGGTATATCCCACTTCTTGACAGTCTGATCTTGGGATCCGGTGATGAGGAAAGAAGGTGGGTTGTTGAGCGGATCTTTGAACGCCGGGCTCGTTTCCTGAGGCACTGTCTTGGGTAGGCCAACGGCACCGACAGACTCGGCGTGTCCCGTAAATACGGCGTAGCAGTCATAGGTATTAGTGCTTGGATCGACCTTCCAGATCCTAGCAGTGTTGTCCTTGGCTCCAGTAGCAACCCAGTAACCAGACCAATCCGTGTCCAAAGTAATGATGATGTCATCATGGCCCTTCAGCAATCCGACATCTTGACCAAAAAATGGGGTGTTTCCGGATAACCACGACTCGGAGGTTGAGCGATCCTTAGGGTCGGTGGTTGACACGATGCGAATTTCCTCGGCGTTCGTGGCCAGCGCCATTACCGTGCGGTCTGGAGTCAGATATGCTAGGTCAATAATGTCATCGTGGGTGCCCGACACGCGCCTGAATGGCTGCTGAACGGCCGATGCAGCCGCGGTGTCGTTCTTTGTCGGAGGGTGGTAGAGGGCAAGCGTGTGGTCCATCTGGGCGCATATTATAAAGGGAATCTCAGGCCTGTAGAGACTTCCGACAATCGCATCGCTCTCTCCTTTAGCTTCCTGGCCCTTTGTCAGTTCCCTCCCTGTCTCCGTATCCCAGATTCTGAGGTTGCCCTTCTCGCCGCCAGAGTATGTTAACCGGCCGTCGTCTATGAACCCAGCCGCCTCTACCATCTCCAGACAAGGAACGATCTTTCGGAATTTCCACGATCGTGTATCCCACCATATTAACGTCTTGTCCCTGCTCGCCGAGACAAGCGCTTGCTGCGTCGGGGAGAAATCGATCGCCTGTACATCGGATACGTGGGAGTCGAGGTTCGCGATGCAGCTCCGTCTGTGAAGATCCCACACTCGTATTTTCCCGTCCTGGAAACCGGTAGCCAATCTAAAGTTGATAGCCGTATCATCATCGCCAGCCTCTTCGTCCTCGACGAGAGCGTCTTGCTTCTTTGATTTCTTTCCCTTCTTTGTATCGTCCCTCGTGCGGCCGGCGACCTCGAAGAAGCGCAGCGCAGACACAAGGACACTAGGTCCTCTAAATGTATGCGTAACGTATCCGCCTGAAATATCCCAGACCTTGATGACTCCGTCAGTGCCACCGGTGGCTAGAAGGGTGCTTGTTCGGTCGACAGCGAGAACTACGATTGGCGTCGAGTGGGGCTTCAGCGTCCGAACTAGGGTCACGTCGACCGAGCCATCGTCTTCTGACTTTTGCACAGCGTATATTTTCATCGACAGCGATCTCGAGCATACAATCAGATGGCTGCCAGAGGGCGTCACTATGGCGGGGTAAGTAAGACAGTTCCGAAAGAACCAAGGCAGTGGTTGTCGTAGATATATTCGTGCTACTCACAAGTCATGGTAGAAACGAGTTCACCATCCTTTTTAAAATTAAAGTCAGTCATGAAATCTCATATATTCGCTCTCTGGAAAGACGTAGACATACTCCTTCGATCTTGGTGATATGTTCTCCATTGGAGGGGTTCGTGAGGACGACATCCTCACCCAGCGTGGTAGCTAAAATGCTAGCGCCATTATCAATTGCAAAGGAACCACCCGTAAACAGAGGTCCTATCACCCTTCCAACGTCGAAGGTCGTTTTCAAAGGTTGTTTCGTCGCCATTTTAATTTTGTTGCTTCAAAGAAGCTGCTTAGAAGACCAGGGCTTGTCGCAAGTCAAGAGTCGGAAAATCTAAGATTTTTTTCCTTAAAATTCTTTATCGATAACATTCTTATCGATAAGACGAAACACGTTCCGCGACTTCAGTAGTTACTCCGAAACCCCCGACAAGCTTTCAACCTCGCAATCCACGAAACCTCGCCCATCGATTTCTGCGATACCAACGACTTTGGATCTAGATGGGCGATATATGGTATTTCTGATGCGATAGGCGCTTTTCCACAGACCTACCCCTTTTTTTCCAACCCAAAATGGGGCGGCAGGGTCCTCTGACGGCCCTCGCGCTGGTAAGTTCGCATCCGCAGTTAAGCTGAACGGCAGGTCCTCCAAGCTCTATACTAACATCATGGGCATATGGCAGGGTCGATCACCGTACGACGATGTTGTATACGGCGAGGGATCCGGCGACTCGCAGCCTTCGACCCAGGAATACGATGAGAAAGGCCGACCGGTCAACCAAAGGACGAAACGGCTAAATCGCGATATTGTCCGATCACACAACGAAGTTATGCACGTCATAGGCGTCGCGGAGCCAGATCCGAACTCGAACGAGAGCGAAGTGCAATCCGCGCACCGGTATCTACGCTACGAGAACATCATAGGGGACCGAATGGAGGCTATTGGGAAAGGGCTATCCGATGTCGGTCTTTGGGGATTTACGGGGATACGACAGCGGATTCTTGTCAGTGATGCGCATAGCGACGGGCCGTCACTCCACACACATTCTGACGTTATGGGTTACTCCGCAGGTGTATAAACCGTTTTCATACGAACCGTTCTGGAAGCTTGCATCTGTCTGCCGACGCGAGATTCCAAGGCCTCTACCGGATCTTTTCCTTGCCGGGCTACCGACAGAGCTTGCCTGGAGGATTGCGGAATGGCTGCAGAGCATGTATCTCGAAGAGATACCACTTCCAGGCATATTCTGGATGATGTATGTATACCGGACGCCACTTTAGTGCTCGCTCAACCCAGTTACTGACGTAACGCCTTCTGTAGCCGGGACACGCTTGGAGGTTACCTGAGAGAGCATGTAGAGCTTTACATTTTCCTTCAAAGAGTGGACGTAATATCCCCGTTTGCCCTCCCAACACTGGGATTCTTCATACCATTTACATCCTCATCACCCTTCCCAGCACCTCCACCTCTCCCAGACTTCAGCCCAGGATCCATTGGGAAATGGTGTTTGACCACTGCTCTAAGGGCGGCACCCATGTTGCTGTTCGCGATGTGGCGGAAACACTTTGCTCGGGTAATGAAGTGGCTGGCGATTAAGATTTACCTGAAGCTACCGCACATCGATGCCATATTAGACCCACGCACGCATCCGGACATGTTCCCAGGGCAAAGCACACAGTCGATGGAAACATCTTCACCGGTGAACAACAACGTCTTCGGCGCAGAGGAGCCAAGCGCACAACAAAACTCCGTCGAGACATCAGAAGAAGACGCCTCGTTCCCCACGAGCGGCGTATCGAGGAGACCGAGCGCGTTCTCAGGAAGAGGCGACGACTACGGATCAGACGAAGAAGACAATGGTGCCATCAGCGGAACGCTGATCAGCTTCGACGTCGAGGCGACCGAGGCAACCGACGCGCCCCCAGGCATATGGTCCGCGGAACTTCGACCGACAATGGGAAACGACAGCCGATCGCAGCAGGGGAACCAGGCGGTGTACCTCAAGAACGCACTCACGCAACAGCCCCTCATCCATGCGGCCACCATGCTCGGGCGCGCGGCAACCACCCTGTTCCTGTTCCCTCTAGAGGCCATCGCCCTCCGGATGGTGGCGCAATCGTACAGTCTCCGGCTGGGTCTGCCCATCGACGGCATATGGGAGCCTTTCCTCCTTCGGACGGTTACCTGGAGATGGGTGGCCAACTACCTCGCTGTCGATTTTCTCCACTTCATGGTGCAGAGCGACATATGGGCGGCTGTGACGTACTTGGGGAGATCGTACCATCTCACTCCCGAGGAATGGACGTCCATGACGGCGGAGGAGCATGCAGAGCTTGTCAGGGAACGGGAATAATAGGAATCGAAATGGAACGAATCCAATTCTCCATGGGCCATCTGAGCTTTCTATCCACCCCCCTCCCTTGTGTGGTAGCCCTGAGTCACTCACTCTTTTTAGGTTTGGTCTTGTCTCTCTTTACCCCTAGATCTAACCGGAATGCGGGGAATGGTGGGGATGGCTGGACAGTTGGATGGGTACATCGACTGAGATATTGATATATACACTAATACGGGCTGGCTCTGACTGGTTGTTGACAACAGAGAGCCCTGCCGAACTTCATGATAACTCCATGCGACAATACGCCCAGAGCTACAAGTGTGAACTTACACAAGTAAACACTCACAGTCTAGCAATGATACCCCCCTTCATTATCACGTGTGTACAGCGTCGAGATTCCCAGTTGTACAAGTAGATATAGACTTAGCTGCATTAGCCCCATATGCATCACGAACAAGGAAGAAAAAGGGGACGTGGGGAGTGGCGCGAGCACATGGAAAGAGATCTTCCAAACTTAAGATCCCTAAACCGCGGGAAATGAGTCAAGAAACGGAGCGACACAGAGAAAGAGAGAAGAGGACCCTTCGCCGGACAGCATCCTCGGCTTCTCGGTCTCGGTATTTTTTCCCCTTCTCGTTGCCCTAATACCCTAAGATCCTTCCGTTCTTCTTTTTTCCACCAAGGTTATTGCCGAATAAATCTTGATGTGCATCATTTTCCACTTTTTTTTCTGGCCCAGCGCAAAAGACGCCATTTTGGCCATGCAGCTTGGGCGTGTTTCCTTACCCCGCCGCGCCGTTTGGTTTTGTTCCCACCCACCACAGCTTCAGCTTGTGATTATTGCGATATCGCGCGAGTTTCACAAGATTCAACATACACAGGCCGGTGGTCCAAGCTGCAGCCCATCCCGTAAAGAAATACAAATACTTTGAAGTGTCTTTCCTTTTCGTCTTCAAGCTAATCGATATTCGGGATCGTTCACCCGGTAGGACCCGTAGTCCACGCGGCGGAAGACGAGAAGAGACCCCCAAGTTCTAGACCTCCCCTGTCCCTGCGTTGCCTCAATATGCTTTGTGCAGTTCTACGACTTCTCCTTGTGGCTCTTGAGCAAGAATTGAATGCGTGCTGTTTAATATTGCGATGGAGCTTCCACCTGTTCATGTCTCCGGTGTTCGGAGAGGGATCGGATGTCCTGTGGGAACAGAAAACTTGCGGATGATCGCACAAACCACACCAACCAAGGGCTTAAAGAAAAAAAAGAAAAACCAAAAATTGACAGCCACAAAATCCGAAAATAAAAATGCAGGAAAAAGATGCCTGCCAAAGAAGAGTAGAAACGTTGGAGGCATTGACAGCCACCGTCTCAAGACCAAGCCGGATCGATCTCTTTCGGACCAGTTCAGTGTGACGTGTAAAGTTACCGAGCCGAGGAAAGTTTTTGGTGGGCAAAAACAAAGGGCAAACTGGAAATCTCACATCACCGAAATTCCTTCGCCTGTGCAGTTCCACATTTTTTCCCACTTGTTATATTCTTCCTTCGGAACGGAGAGGGAACGGAGTCCCATTGAAAAGACTCTTCAAGGACTCTATGCAGGAATAGAATCGTTCCGACCTCGCTGTGTACGAAGTAGGAAGCAACAGCAATATTCTGGGGCGTGGAGCTAAAGCGAAGAAAGCAACTTTGCCGGCGCATTTCTTAGTAGCTCGGCACACCCCAGGTCCTTCGATCAGAGCTTCCTAGGTTCCCACCACAGAACTCGGCATCAAGGTCAACAAAGTACACTGGTACCGGTCGGTAAGCCCCAGTTACTCACAGGTGTTGTCATGCATAAACGCCTTCTTGGCTGCCTTGGACCCGATGAGAACGCCATTCTTAGACTCTTTAGTGTAGTAGTATATGCGGGGTCTGACTTGCGGACTTGCGGGCATCAAAAGTGGATGCGGAGCCGACTAGGCTATTGAGGACTCCATGATGATACAGCGGGCCCGACTAGCATCGACTAAAACAGAATGGGAACTGCCTGCGATGACGGAAAAGTAATAGTGCAAGGAGGGGACCAGTAGCACATGGCATTGGAGCGGAAAATTAGGCGGAGCCATTCGCTTGGGAATTGGGTTTGCCAGACCGGCGACTTGCAGGATGCATGCCGATGCCGATGGATGTGAAATAGCTGGACGCAGTGTACAAAGTACATCAATTGCAGTGCAAAGTACGATGGTCTTGGGGCGAGGGATGGATGGATGGATGGAAGGGGGAAGGAAGGGGAAGGGAGCAGATCAAGATCCATCAAGGTGAGGCTCCCGTAGATCAGTTACAGGGCAGGTTGATGCAAGGTCGCTCACCTCTCCCACCACAGGCTCGAAGAAGGTGCTCTATCTCTTCGATGTAAGTGGACGTATCTCTTTTAGCCGCATCAAGATTGGAGGATTTTCCTGTGATACCTTCGTCCGCGAGACCACGAGGGGATCGCGATCTGTAACCTCTTCATCAACTCTGTTGATCATTGACGGGTGAGAGAAAAATTATCACAGTGGTGGTTGCCGGGGGTAGGAGGGCAGAATGCCTCACTTGGCGGCATTTGACCCTGAACTTATCCTGGTAAGCTCCGTGTCAAGGTGCAATATTCGCAGGCGACCTTCATTGCACGCAATATCGAACCGCATCTGCAGAAAACTAATTCAACAGCAATCTCGGCCGAGAGGCCCGTGAGTAAAAAGCCGCTAGGTTGATCTAGAACAAAGAAGCCTTCGTGAGGAGGATGATATCGAAGGAGAGGACTAGGCCGCAATCTTACTTAGGTTGGGGCGGTAGGGCCAGGACCCGAAAGGGACGATCTGCCTGGACTCCTCGGTGGGCATTCCGTTGTTCAGTATCAACCCGAGATGGTGTAAACTATAGTGGTTTAGAAAAGATGTGGCGAACCCCTCTGCGCTTGGGGACCAACATTACGAATAAGGATCTACCGCAGGCTTGTCGTGGATCAGAGGCCGACGAGCATCTAGATTCTCTGCGCGCACCCACCCTGCACTGCATGGCTGATACATGAAAGTCAAAATGCGACTGAGCGAGCCGCTTGATCTCCCCTCCACCCGCCCTCGATGCTTTAAGCAGTTCGGAGCTGATCGGGTCGATCGCGGTCAAATTAGGAAGTTTTCCGACCCGCGGCTCCTAAAAGAGAGCTCAAAACTGAAGGGAGCAAGCGGTCCTTTCCTGTCAGTAACCAGATCAGAACTGGCATCGTGGCATCTTCCCAACTCTCTCGATTCGGCATCAGAAAAGCAGCCAGTGTTCCTCCGTTCGGAGTGGTAGCTGGTAATGTAATATATGGTTGGATTTCCCTTTCGAAACAAGCTTGTTTGAAGGGAGGGAGCAGAAAATAAGCATCAATAGAAGTTGACGGAAATTTCGTCCCCGTTCTGAGGAAGACGAATTTTTGCGAAGACAAGAAAAAAGAAAAAGCCCCTCCCTGTCTCTTGAGCTCCCAAATAGGTAATCGCCGACTTACACGATAACCTCAACGGCAGCTTATCGAGTGCACGTGGAGACACGAAACCATCTGAAGAGAAGGGCTGGGTATAGGATAAAGAACAGTGATGTGCTTCGCTTCAGAATATGCGTCCTGCGACAATGGGCAATGGGTTAAACCGAATCGAAGGTCTGTCGCGTTTGAACGTTTGAGCTTAGTGGGGACTCTTCATTCTTCTTCTGCGCATCAGACATGGCGGCGGGCTCGTTTCAATGGGGGGATGTTTTGGTGGTCGGATCCGCTTTGTTGTCAGGGTTGAGAGAGCGGGTCCAGCAAAAATCAATGATACTTCGTTCTCATACACAAGTACTTCATACATCAATGCTTTGACTTCATACCAAATAAGACAAGGGGTGAATTGAGCAGAAAAAAGGGATCAATATCAAGAATTGCTGGTATTGCTAGGATGTTGTCCACCATGTGGATTCGGGTCGAGAGTGAATACGACGATGGTTAATCCTGACAATTGTGAAATCAAATGGCAGCCTCAGTCTTACACTACACGCCCCCTTCCTTCCTTTTGGACCCCAAGCTCGGGAAAAGTCGGAAAGCCCTACATGAAAAGGAAGGGCCCAGAAGCCGAATTTGGGAAATAATCACAGACCACGGAGATGCGCCGAACACGGCAGTGACTATTTCCACGGCAGCTATTATTAATTCGTCAAAAGAAGCAGGAGGCTAGGCGAGTAATAGCCTAGATGTTACCAATGTTTGGGGGAAGCTGCATGAGCACGCTAATCGTTACGGAGCACCGTAAAACGGGACGGTGCATCTAGTCAAGTACGAGGCCCACATCCATCAGGAGCGTACTTCGAAGTACGGTACATAGACCAGGCCTCTTGTTGTGTCCAGCTCTTCGAGGGCACCGGAACTCTTCATCCACATCCGAAAGACCTCCCAACGGGCTCGACACTAATGAAGAGCAATGCCCAATCAAAAATTGCCGAGTCCGGATTTCTTCCCTTCGTAGAGTGGAGCCCACGCGAGACAGTCGATGATCTCTTATTATGACTCCCACTCACAGGGCACGTACGAGGGCTCCTTAGAAGGGAGACTAGGACGAGAAAGGAGTCCCATACACTAGGCCATCGATCGCAATCACCAAGCAGAAGTCCTCTGAAGAACTACCGTCGTAGTTGGCCAGAATCCTGATCCTTCACAAAAGTTTGAAGGACCGAAGTTGGGCTCTTTTTTGAACAAGGTTTGTTTGCTCTCTCCCAGTTTCGTACTTCGTTGTTCCCTGCGGTTCGGGACGCTTCTGACAATATCCCCATAAAAACCGAGACACCGAAGCTCGTTTCAATTCTTTGTGCTTCGTGTACTCCGTACAAGCAGAACAGGGAAGGAAGAAGCCCTTCCCAACCTTGTTCCTGGTGTGCTTCATACTTCGTGAACAAAGGGGGTCTCTTCCTAAGTTCTTGTCCAAAGTACTTGAGACGTGACGATTTTCGAGAATTTTCTGTGAGAGATTTTGTTTGGGGATTCTGGTAAAATAGGTAGCACTCGGTACTAGTAACTCGCCGCATATACAATTGGTGCATTGGTGCGTGTGCACATCTTTGACGAGCGAACAGCCACTTCCTTCCCAATCCATAAAACAAGTTCAACAACTCGACCACCGCCAGTTCAGAAACAATTGATGCGCAACGACTATTTCGAAACGATATTGATTCCTTAAACCAATCCGCATGTACGTATAGAGTCACACGCGGCCCTTTTAAAATTGGAAAGTGTCCCCCGTAGCGCTTAGAAATATTGCATGGATGTGATCCGGACCATCGTGACTCAAAGCGCAACATCGTGGATGGGAAGGAAAGGGGTGGATGTCCGGTCGGAGCTTTGGGTCGGGGTGCGGGTGCGGACCCTGTGTTCGGTCAGCGGCAAGGGGAACATTGAGCCAGCGAATCGGGCTGGTGGTGAAGTACAAAGCTGGAAGGGGGTCTGCCAAGCCCGGTGACAATTTGGGCAAAGTCTGGACCCTGGGAAGAAAAGAAAGAAGCAGCAAAGGACGGAGGTCACGTACTTCGTACTTACACTTGGCGTCCTTGGCATGGTACCTTGGGACTCGTTTGCTGGTGAGTAGTGGGGCCTTGAGACGGATTAGGATGAGTTGATGATGAAAGTCAACGGGAAGGTGCTAATTGGTGCCCTGAAGGCACTGTATGCATCCACTTTAGGCACAGTACAAACATCCACGGAGTACTCCGAGCCCCCTGGACAGGGGATTACCACAGGGAGTTCACTTTCCAAAGACAGCGTAAGCTCCTTTCCGTCTCCCTGCCTTTTGTCACATGCACCGTATTCCCAAGCGCCAGAAAGAGCCAACAAAATGGATTCTCACACACTTTAATGTTTTCGAAGTCCCAACAATTCTCACAATTAAGAGGGAAGGAAGCAATGAGAGGAGCCGCAAACCTATTGAGAACCGAATTGAGGGGGAGGCATATTCTAGAGATGAGGATGTGATAAAGAATGTGTGAGCGAATCGCGCAACACACTTTCGGCGGCCTCCAGTTCATGTCCAATAATACAAGTTGAGGCTGAGAATCTGTCGAGCTGTCGATTCAATCACACGGTGGACAACCTGACCGAGCCGCTGAGCAGGCGACGAGCTGGCCATCCAATCTCGCTTTCTTGGTTGACTGGCACACAGTCAGGTGTCAACGGCCAGACAACGGACTTTTTCGAGGACACCCATCGATAATTCGAGAATTCAGTATCAATAATGCAATTAATAACCTCACATCCCGGTCGTTTTGCTTCTTCTTGATTCCTCGAATGACGAATCTCGCTTTCCCGAATTGTAAAGCTTCGCATGAAGCCGGTCGTACTTGTAGAAAAAGAAGTTAAAAAAAAAAAAAAAGGTCGAGTAAACAAAAGCGAAACGGTACCTTTTCGAGGCAAGCCTGGTACTAACCGATACGGCACTTGTTGCTGCTTTGTGCTTCATCCCTCCCAACCTGCCAAAGCGTGCCGTTCCAATGAGGGCTGATGAATCCCAACCCAACATTGTGGATGGAAAGAAGGAGATCGAGGAACAGATAGATGTACGACGATGTGCATGAAATCGCCCTTTGCATGTAAGCCATGGTACCCCCTACTTGCGGCTCGTGTCCTGTGACCCACCGCCGTTTCCTGTTCCATGGCGTCCGTCCACCGTCCCTTCCCCGTTCCGTCTGAACTCGCCGCTCTCCCTTCCATTCTTTTTCCCCTGGCAGGGCTTGAGTTGGGCCTGCACGGCGGCGTACCTGTGTATTGTGACCCTGGTCCATCATTGTATCAGGCTGGGGGCGTATCCTTCCCAACAGGGTCTGTCGCAAACCCTTGGAAGACCCCAATCCAGGAGTACGGAGTACACTAGTCAGTCTCAGCCAGCTCCTTCCATTGTCCCTCGCCTTCGTACTTGTAGCAGATCGCTTGATAATCACTGCGGGAAAATTACATGGCAGCTGTTATACCCAAGAACTCTGATGGAATCGTCAAACACCAACACGGAGACGAGGACGGGGATATGGAATATCAATGGATATCCCGACCCACGCTCATAACACTAATAAACACCACCCCTCTCTTGCTTTATCTTGATCGTTCCCGAGTGATCCTCTTCCATTGAAGATTCTTTTCATCCATCGTTGTTCCTTCTTGTCTTCGAGCAGTAGCTCCAGATCGTAACTCGTCCAAGGTCCGAGACCTCGAGAAACACTTTATACCACTTGCCTACATTATTGAGCCTTGCATCGTTGAGCTCCACCGAGTCTATCCAACAGACGACATACGGCAAGATATACCTCGACAAACGAGACAAAGAGTACGATACTCGTATTCCCTGCGTGGATTTGTTCAATCAACACCCTGGCTAGACCGGAGTCTCCTCTCGTCCACAGACGACGACGATTAATTGGACTACAAAGTACGCAATTCAGCCCACGAACCCCCATCCTGCTCCTGAATGATGTGAGCACCAGTTTGCATCCATCTCATCCCATTCCCAAAACCCCCGACAACCCAAGACACAGACCACTCTATCCTACCCAATCTCAATATCCTCATATCACCAATCAATACCCAATGCAACATCTAGAAGGGACCCAATCCCACAAGTGGGCGACCTCCCGTTTTGTCGTCGCTTTCTCCCAATCCTCATCCTGGTCCTAGTCGTCCTAGTCCCAGTTGCCCCCCGTTTTTCGACTTACACGTACGCTTCACCAAGATTAGCGCCATTTCGCACGCACCCACCATCCACACACGCATCTGTTTCCCTGTTCCGTAAAGGCCCGGTCAGCTTCAGTTGCCACTAGCAGCAACGGTAATCTTACATTACCGTTCTCCTCACATTTCCCAGGGCTCCACACCGGCTTGGGCGGGACCACTCCCTTCCCCATCCAACACGGGGGTCCCTACCTTTTTTTTTTTTTTTTTTTTTTTTTTTTTTTTCTTTTTCTTTCGATTTACTCCTTTTGCTCCCAAGGCGAGAGGCGAGAGACCAAGCCCAGAAACTAATAAATGCACCACCCTCTAGTACAAACTCCACCAGCACCGGCACCGGCACATGTTGTAATGCCAATGGCGTCTTACTCCCACAGTGTCTCTAATTCAGATATCTCCACACCTCGGTCGTCATCGCCAGCTTCTGCACGATCGACCAATACTTCCGTGTCCAACAAGCGCATGTCTATTTCCAGTCGCAGAATGACCGACTTCAATCCCATGGCCTCGGTCGACCTCGCCATGATCGAGGAGAGAATGCGGGCCACCTCTCTCGACCAGTTGCGAGGCTATGCCCAGCACAATTACGGTGAGGTCAAGCAGTACAGGACTGTCGAGTACATTCCGGAATCACAGGCTCTTGCATATCAGGTCCTGCGGGAACCTATTTGGAACAGAGGTATGTAGTAAAGTGTGTTGTGTATAGCATCAACATCAGCGTCAGCGTCAGCATTCGGAATCGGCATCGTATTCCTGTCCTGTCCTGTCCCCGTTTCTCAGCTTCCTTTCCCCAACCCCAACAGAGTGCGCGGAACTAGTGTTAGGCACTTTATACCTGCATCATTTGCGCAATCTTTGCCTCTTTGTTTTCCCTGTCTTAACACACAATCCCTCGCCCCTTTGCTCGTCCGTACGTACTTCGTACCACTACACTTGCCCGCGGGTTGACAACCCAGGGTACTCCCACATTTCCCACATGCTCACGAGCTCGCCTGCCACTAACACCCGACACTACGACGCACTACTCGCACCTCCACACTTCCCACCCCCCGCCACTCTCCACATTGACTCCGATCAATGACTCTTGAACTTTCCACTATACCCACTCCCTCCCTCCGCGCCCTGGACCTGGACCTGGACCTGGACCTGGGTCTGAGAAGAAAGAAGAAGAAGAACAAGAAGAAGACGGGCTTCCTAGTCACAAGCCAAAAATACTTTAATAGCTCGCCCTTCGCTCCTCCCAAGCTCTGCTTCTTCATTATTCTCGTCTTATGTCCCTTCATCCATCTCGCTCTAAACAATCCAGTTCCCACCTCCACTTACACAAGAAATACACTGTATACTCTTTCGCCACACCTTAAGCTATCATCTTCCGTCTCCCTCTTCCCTCCCCCTTCCACATGCCGTCAAAGATCGAAACACCACCGACAATGCATTCGCAATTCAACGGAGAGACTTTCGCAGAAACAATGGCAGCTAACCGAGAGTTGTTGTGCAAAGGGCTGTCCTTCACGCCCGAGGAGCGTGTCTCCAAGAACCTCACCGGCTTAATACCCCACGTCATGGAGAGCCTTCAGACGCAGTGCGAGAGGGCCATGAGGATGATCGCCACCCGCCAGACGAATGTCGACAAATACCTTTACCTATCCAGCCTCAAAGACCAGAACATCGACCTTTTCTTCCGCCTCCTGATTGACAATGTCAAGGACCTCATGCCTCTTGTCTACACCCCTACCATTGGCGATGTCTGCCTTCAATACTCTACCCTCTACACCCGCCCGGAGGCCCTCTACATCTCCATCAAGCAAAGACGGTCAATCCGTACCATGCTCCGGAATTGGCCGTATCCCAATCCCGAGATTTGTGTCGTGACGGACGGATCGCGTATTCTCGGACTCGGAGACCTTGGCATCAACGGTGTCGGCATTTCCGTAAGTAATTCGTATTGCCCCGTAAATTTTCCTCGACAACAAGTGCAATTGATGTATTTTGGACTTTTGTTCTTGCCTCTGGCTGCATTGAATATCCGGCAGTTGACGTCGCTCGTTTCAATGACCCGTAACTTTCATCACTTGTTTCGCAACATTTATTTTCAATTTTTATTTATTTATTTTTTTTCCTTCTTCAGCTTTATTTATCCAACAACTTTGCTAACAAAATGACATCTTTGGCAATTTAGATCGGAAAGCTCTCCCTCTACACAGCCGCAGCTGGTATCCACCCCTCCAAGACTCTTCCCATCGTCTTGGACTCCGGTACCAACAACGAGAACAACCTCAAGGATCCGTTCTACCTTGGACTTCGCCAGAAGAGGGCCCCGATGACCGTGCAACAGGAGTTTATGGATGAGTTTATGGAAGCCTGCGCCGATGTTTTCCCCGATATGGTTGTGCAGTTCGAGGATTTCGAGAGCGAGAAGGCCTTCAATTATCTCGCCAGGTATCGGGACAAATACAGGTGCTTTAATGATGACATTCAGGGCACCGGTGCCGTCGTTCTGGGCGGCTACATTGGCGCCGTGAACCTCTCCGGTGTCCCCATTGAGGAGCAGCGCCTCGTCTTCATGGGTGCCGGTTCTGCGGGTGTCGGAGTCGCCAAGCAGCTCGTCGAGTACTACACGCGCCGCGGCCTCAGCGAGAAGGCGGCGCGCGAGAAGTTCTGGCTTGTTGACACCAAGGGTCTTGTGACCAAGGACCGCGGCGATAAGCTCGCCGAGCATAAGAAGTACTTCGCCCGCGATGACAATAACGGCCACCAGTTCCGCACCCTGGAGGAGGTCATTGAGTACGTCAAGCCCAGCGCCCTCGTGGGTCTCACGGCCACGTTTGGCGTCTTCACCGAGTCCGTCGTCCGCGCCCTCAAGGCCTCGGTCGAGTCCGGCGGTCTTGGCCGTCGCCCCATCCTCTTCCCCCTCAGCAACCCCCTTACCAAGGCCGAGTGCACGTTCGAGCAGGCCGTACAATGGACTGATGGCACCGTCATCTTCGCCTCGGGATCGCCCTTCTCGGCGTTCAAGGCCAAGTTCGGTGACAACGTCGTGACCTACAACCCTAACCAGGGTAACAACGTCTATGTCTTCCCCGGCCTTGGTCTCGGTGCTATTCTCGCCAAGGCGACCAAGATCACCGATGACATGGTGTACACGTCGGCCGAGTCTCTCGCCGGCTGTCTCAACGCTGAGGAGGTCCACAAGGGTCTCATCTACCCCAAGATCGAGCGCGTCCGTGACGCCTCCCTCGTTGTTGCTCGCGAAGTCATGAAGGCCGCACGCCGTGACGGTGTTTCTGGTCTTCCCGAGTCTCAGTGGGTTGAGTGGGAGGAGTGGGGCGACGTCGCCCTCACGCAGTACATCAAGGAGCGGATTTACGATCCCGTCAGCTTTGGTGGAAAGGGCCGTCTCTAGATGGGATTTTCGTTGCCCGTGTCCCTTGACTAACCATTTGCGGTGTCAATAAGTGTCTCGTTTTAAAATTCTAATGCGCTCTGTTCGAGTTTGATACCCTCTTTCGAGGAGAATCGAGTCTTGTTTCATTTTCGGACTTGATTCTTCCTTTCATGAAAGCTCTATTCAACAAGAGGAAAGGCCTTTACCTTGGCCCGACCACAACTCCCCTGGCTGCCAATTTACGCGGCCAGATGTCGATACTACGATTCTCTCCCTCTCTCTCTTGAGCGTTCCTCATATTGAGGTGCTGGATGGCATATGCCTTCTACATCTCTCCTTCTGCATGGATAACATATAGCGATGTGTTTCTCATCCCCTCCCCCGTTGCATTTCCTTTTATTATTGTCTGACTTTATACGTTTTTTTCTCGTTTTCTTTTCCAAATTTCAAGAAGATAGCATATTGGCAAAGGAAGGACCCAGGGAACTGAAAGACTTACGCTAGACAAAAGACCGGCTGGCAAGGGATTTTTTAACACGGAGTCTTTGATTTTAATATTTATATATATGATTCCCTATTATCATCCCTTGAACGGCTGCTGCTCCTGGGCCTCTCGACTTTTTGCAGATTGTTTTGACGCTTGTTATTAGGATTCGGGGTTGAGTGGTATGTGTCTCGGAGGCTTCATTGGGCTTTCAGAGAATGTATCCCTCGGATTGATGAAGTAGCTCGAGGAAAAAAAGTTCTGTTTGCTGTTTTACGTTTTGATCTCTGCTATTGGTCTTGGGCCACCATGATGTCCGTACGAAGGTAGTCAGGCCGTGTTCTTGGCGACAGCCTCGGATCATCTTTATCATGGCTTGGAGCATGCATGACATGACGAAATTTGTCTTGTCCAACATCCAACCAACATGCAACATGGGTTACGCAAGAAATCAGGGATTAGAATCTTGGGTCCTCGGGTGCCCCCGAATATGTGAGGGTGATTTTGTTGATTTTTGCCCCCCTGCGAAGAACCTCCTGGAATATTATATCCCGCCCCCACGACGACAACGCCATCGCCTTTTGAGATCAGGTTACTCGAATCATTTAAACAAAAAAAAAAGAAAAACAAGGACATCATTGATAACACACTTCTAATCAAGGCTTACACTACAGCAACAGTAAGAATTCGATAACATGTCCACAAATTCCCCGGAAATTCCGCAACAAATCAAAATGAGAAAAACGGTACCACAAAAAGAACGTAAACGGTCTCCCGAAGTTTGAGGTCTAATAATAATAATAATAAAATAAAAATAGAAACAAAAAAGAGAGGAGGAGGAGAGAAAAAAAATAAACTGCTCAGGCCGAGACTCGAACTCGGATCATTTGCTACCCCCGGATGGAAGGCAAATATTCTACCCCTGAACCACCTGAGCTATTTTTGAACTTTTAGTGGGCTGCGGGGAACCAGGAGGTTCTTGGATGGATTGACGGGGTCAGAGAGGAGTATATGAAGCTATTACTGTATTCTTCGAATTGTTTCCTTTTTTTTGTCTGCAATTTTTGTGAGAGTGGAGATGTGGCTGGTGGAAGTTGAAGGTCCACTGGTTGTGTCGGTGAGTTGGGTCGGTGAGTGCCTGAGTCGCATCGTGAGACTTAACACAGACAAACGAGAGGAAGATAGATCTATGATGCGGATGTAGGAGACAGAAGTTGCAAAGTGCTGGGCCTGTTTACAACTTAAAATGAGAGGAAATCAAGCTATTTATAAAAGACCGGAGAGGCTTTATATGGCGAATGTCTCTCATCATCAAGTTGGCTTACACCAACCGATGGGCTTGAGCTCGACAACTTATAACCGCTTGCCTCGTTTCTCGAGTACTTTTTTTCTTTCCTTTCTTGGGTATTCAACCTCCGCCAGGCCAGTTCCTTTATTTTCTAATCCAGTAATACCAGACAGGATATAAAGGAGCCTGTTCCGTATTCTCGGTATAAATGTTAACGCCATTGATTTCACCCAGGGTAGACCGACCTTGACACCCTCGAAAGAAAGACACAGGTTCCTTGGGCCCATCGAGAACCACAGAGCCTCATCTCTATCGATACACGAGGTGTTGTTTCCCTTCTTCCAGCTCGCCAATGGCTCACGAACGAGTATCCATGAGGCGAATTAATGCCAGCACCCAGAGAGTTGAATCCTCAGCCCGAATGCAGTCCCAGAAAGGAACATAAGAGAGAACGCACCTAGTAGGTTACGAATACAAATCGATGAACGCATCCTAACAAGGAATGCAAAAAAGAGAAACACTGCCCGGGCCGAGACTCGAACTCGGACCACTCGCTATCCGTCATGGCAAGCAAGTATTCTACCCTTAAACCACCCGGGCTTGCCCTCTGACTTGTTTGCTGATATTCCTGAGTACTCGGAGACTTTAAGTCATTATGGTCCGTGTTTATATGTCTGTTCTGAGCGTTTGTCAGGAAGGAGAAGAGGAGAGGCCGGATAAGTGGACTGCGAGGGAAGGCGGTGGTGTGGTGGCGGATGGGAGTGACGGGAAAGTGCGAGATAGGAAGTGAAACCGGGGCGGGTGGGTGCATGGGATTCGTGATGGCGTTTTGATACTGTTAGATCCGGGGAGAGGGTGAGAGAGAGGGAAAGAGAGACAATTTGAACGGTCTGGAAATATATCTCCCGGCTTCTGGAAAACGGCAATGATGATCATCCATGGCGTCTATGGAGGACGTGATGACGGTATGATTCGGTTTCATATCCTACCATATAGCTGGCATTCACCTTTGTTCATAGTTCTAAGAAGGATACAACAAAAGTAAAGAAACCAGGTCCTCAGGGTCAGTACCTAGGCCAACTTTATCCTCCAAGAAACATTGATCAACCTCCTCACATATCAAACACGGGATTCTAAAAAGGAGAAGGCGACAACCAAGCTCATCATCAATTCATTACGGCTATAGCATTGAGGTGTTTCTACTCCAATATTGTACACATCGAGACTTCGCTCTAGCTACTCACCAAAATGATTCCCTTCCCCGTTGATTGAATGCGACAGAAAACCCTCAAAGACAAAGGAAAGAAAGAAGGAAAGAAAAGACGTATAGAGACTGCTTCCCCCCAATGTGTGCCTGTTGCGCCGTTGATGTCCGCCTAATGCCGTTTGAACTTGTTTTGTGGGTTTCTGAATTTTCCGCTCACTCGTCCTGGTTTCCATCGTCTAATCTAGTTAAGAAAGAAGTAGAAGAAAAAGAGAAACTCAAGTCTTGCCGCTTTGCATCTCCAATAATGAAGACATGGAGAAGAGAAAACAAATGGAAAAGAAAAGAAAGCCTCCATTGCGCGCGCGTATGCTTCTGTGGTCATGTTGTTTGTGTGGTCGTATCTGTGTATCTCCCATCCATCCCTCAATCAAGGCAAAGTCCCTTCTCATCTCGAAGGACCTGACCGAGGACCTGCACCGCAGCAGCCGCCGCGCTATTAGGTGACTTCTTAGGAAACTCCACCAACGCCACCCTCAACGCAGCAATGCCCGCGTTCCCAAAAAACTGAATGAATCGATGCTCATGACCGTCGATCATAGCCTTCAGCACAACGTACTGCGTATCCGAAACCTGGTCCTGCGCCGTATTCACAATCATAGAGAGCGCCCTCCAATAATTCGACGAAGGGTACGGATTCTCTTTGGTGGCCTTGCTGAAATCTCTCAGGGAAATGGCCGCGAAACCAGCTCCGAGCCCCGCCATCTTGTCGTAGTGCATCTGGTCGGGCATCCACGAGGCCCCGTCTTTCCGCCATCCTATGACGGTCCGACCCTGCGGGGTCTTGTCGCTGCCGCGGACGCCGAAGAGGACGGGGCACGAGCGGCGGAACTTGGCGATGAGAATGTCAACGAGAGACTTGCCTCGCCATTGGAAGTCTTTGTCCGAGAAGACGTGCGCGGCCATGACCCCGATAGGATCCGCGGCCTTGGGACTCGCACCGCATTCGTTGGCGAACTGGCTTACCACCGCTTTGGAAAAGATGCTTAAGAGGTAGATGAAGAGGGAGGGCATTTGGGGTTCGTTGTAGCGCGCGTCGGGCTGCGGTTCGCGCTTGTCCACGACGAATGTGGCGACGTCCACGAGCGGGCTGGGGAGGGTTAATGATTCTTGGAGACACGACTTGATCTTCTTAAGAGGCGCGGCGTTGGCACCCTTGCCTTCCGTAAGCTGGCCCATGGACTTTCGGATATCTCGTCGTAGATCTCCCATCCTAACACCTAGAGGCGAGCCGGGCACCTTAACCATTTGTTCGAGCTTGCGTCGCAGGGTTTTGAGTTCTTGGTGAATCTGGAGATATCGATCCTGCGGTGGTAACGCAGTCTGGGAAAGCACCGTTGGTTGGACGGTCGGTTGAGGCTGGGCCTTCGCGGCCACGGGTGTTACAGCGGCGCCATTAGGCTGTAGTGGTTTCGCTGCGGCTAGAACCGAAGCTGGCTTTTGTGTAGCGGCGGGAGGTTGTGGTTGTGGTTGGCCAAAAAGGCCTCGCGCGGGTTGTTGAGCCGCAGCCTGCCCATTCGGAAGTGTTTGTAAGGTTGCCGCAGCAGCACTTGGCTTGGAGAAGATGGAAGAGACGGGTTCTTGGGTCGTAGGCTGGGGCTGGACTGCTGTGGGCGCCGTCTTCTGGAGTGCAGGCGAAACAGGGGTTGTTGTCTTGGGAGCTTCCGGCTCAGGCTTTTTCGCGGGTTGCTGAGGAGTGACTTGTTTTGGCTCAGGTTCGGGTGGTGGCTTCGGGACCTGCTGGGCTCGGAGGGCTCGAAGCCTTTGCTCCTCAGCCACGAGCTCTTGTTCCTTCCGTATCCGCTCCTTTTCCCTTTCCTGCTCGCGTAGGACCTTTTGTCGCACCTCCTCGAGGTGGTCGAGCTCGAGGACGCGAAGCGCTGCTAGTCGGACGCGCTCATGCTCTACCTTGGCGGCGATGAGGGCATCGCGGTTGCTCAATTCGGTGTTTCGCTCATCGGATAGGATGCTCGCTATGAATCTGCGTTCGGGGCTCGATTGGGGATAGCTTCTCCGTGACGAGAGCGAGGAGCGGCTGCTCATGGTTCGGGTTTTTCGAGAGGAATGGGGGTTTCGGGATATTTGGGGGGAGGGCTTGAGGGTTGGGCTTTTTGAGGAGGCCTGAATAACTTGTGATAACGAGGAGAGAAGGTTGGGAGGGCTCGGTTTCTCGGTTTCGGAATTGTAGATTTTACCCTCGCGTAAAGAGCGGAGGGGGAGGAAAAGAATGAAGAGCCTCCTGCTGTAGAATTTGAGGCTACTTGGGAGAGGGCGTTTTAGGGTATAAGAGGAGAAGGAAACGTGAAAATACTGTCGCTGATGATGGAGACTGACGAGAGTTCAAGAGAGGTCGTTCAAAATTATGGCTGGTAAATGAGGCTTGGTTGCAGTGTCCACACCGGACCTGGATTTGGTCAGGTTCGCAGGGACGGCATCTTCCGTGTTACCTCCAGTAAATATTTAGGATTAAATCCTGCCCGAATTTTTGTTCCGCAGGATTGGGTCCATGCATCATCGATTTGGAACAATGAAACCAAACCACGCAAACCCTTTTTTCGACCTGGCCTCGACCCTGAGCTCATGCAAGTTCAATCTGCGTCAGTCGCATGATAAAGATCGAGGGCAAAATAGAAAACGTCAAAATTATGGCTCAGCCTGTCGGAAACAACCAAGCCACCTACAGCATTCTCTCTGGAAGGTCGGAGGAGCATTCGAGACGCCCTAATATTCCAACTGGCAAGCAGTAATACCCTCGGAACAGGGACAAGAAATCGATAGTGACCCCCAAAACCGAATTGAGCTGTTCTGCATGCAGGGTAGGGTGCATGGCGACTATTATTGATTGACGTTGGAATTGACATGGAGAGCTAGCTACGGATACATCGAGCCCTGCATCGATACATGCGATGCTGGACAAGCGAGACAAGCAATACACACGATACAACAAGCAACGTCTACGCTTAGTACAACCAGAGCTCCTGTGGCGTCACAAGGCTATCATGAACTTCGCTTCTATCTTCTCGAGGAAGTCCACTGCTCCGACACAAAACGTAATCGACTCCAATAGTGGCTGAAGTTATCCAAACATTCATTCCAAACTAAACCAGTGATCCGTCACCTCACACCCACCCGGAAGTCGCTAGTCTCACTTTCTGCCGGGCGGTCAAGCATTTTCACTTTCGTGGGCTGAAGTCAACAGCGGGTTGCCACATCGAGGTATCAAAGTATAAAGTAAAGGAGCGAGTAATAATTCAAAGAAACAAAAGCTATGTATACACCGTCATCACCGTCATCATCAGACAGCTTACCCCATCCATCACTTTGCAATGAAGGACTCTCTCGGCTTACCATCGTGCCTGGTCAACTCACGGACGATACGAAGCTGCAGGGAGCTCTGTTTCGGGGCTGAAAACAACACTGAGACGAGAGAAAAGGTGCGTGCAAGAAGGAGTGAAAGCCTTGGCTCCCCGCAGACCCCTGCCCCTCCTTGCCCTTCTCAGGTGGCAGTACCTTTTAACGAGGAACCTTTGGTATTGGTGTAGAATCGTAATAGTGTAATATCGGGTGTCTGGTCCATCTCCAATGCTGCTTTGCGCGTCTTAGTTCGTCGTGTGCAGCGATGCTGGGTAGGATTGGGAATCTGGGCTTCTGGGATTCTCGCCGGTCGGGGACATCGGGAAACAAAAAGTGGATAGCAGAGGAGGTATTCAGTACTCATGTGCTCGAACCATTTTTCACTCTGTCCAGGCGAAACTAGTGTGGGGATATCCCTGGCTAATAGTAACTGCTACCTTGGCCGTGTACCTTCGAGCCACACCTTTGTCACATCCCCACTTCGACCCCCCTTTTCCATCGTCCCCTCCTTGCTGCTTCTGATGCTCCTAACCAGGTCGGCCAGTGCTGAGGTAGTGTACATTACGAAGTACTTGTCTGCATTTGTCGACAGCTTCAATGAGGAAGCCCCAAGCTCCTCCAGCCAGTCAGATTCGAGCTCTGAGGGGCAGCTTACCCAGCTGCACCTGGCCACGGCTGCCAGAGCTTCCTGTCCCTACCATTCCATTGGGGTTCAATTGTTCCCCCTTGGTACCAAAATAGGACGGGGATTTTAGGGGAGCAGAGTAGCCCAGGCCTGGCCATAGCACCATTCGCCATAGCACCATCAATAGGATAGTTACCTGGTGAATCTGTGTGTACACGAGTCTGTCGATTCGCTCCTCTCTTGGTAGGTACGGTACCTTGCTCCTCAGCAACGAAGTCACTTCGACGCCTCAGTACTCAAGTTGCTCAGTGCTCAGTGCTCCATTGATGTTCTGACCTTCCTTGTCAAAAAGGGCCAAGACTCGTCCTCGCCTTCCACTCCCAAGTCCATCACCTCGTCGACCCTCATCAGCTCCCTTCCAATCCTTTCCCACCAACCACACTTCCCACTTCTCTTCAACCATCACCATCGGCTTCATCTTGAGCCATCTCATCATCTCTGACATTCCTTGCTCGGCCTTCCATCGCCAGACCCTCCTTTTTTTGTCCCCAAATCGTATATTCATACTCCTGATTGCTCTACGCAACACACACACGCACGCACCAACAACAACTCGCACCACACGCAGCAACCTCATCTCTCCCACCCAAACAAGTCCAACTTGTGCCCAGCAGCCACGCAACGCAACGCACACAGTTTCAGCATTCATCGCAACTTTTTGCCCCTTGGAAATTCATCAATTGCCTATCTGTCTGTTCTTCAACTGAATCAATCTGCAATCGACGTATCATCGCCACTGCGAAATTTCGGCCTCGTTCGCCCTTTGGAATTGCCACCTACCCCAACCAAGCCTTATAGTTACCGCACACGACGTGCAGCTCCCACCCCTCCTTTCTGCTCGCCATGGAGCAGGAACAGCAACAACCACAGCAGCAGCAGCAGCCGCCGCAGCAGCCTGCTACCCACGCTGGGGGAGTTCATGGCCCTGCTGGCCGCAGGCTTCACATTGCTCATCGTCGTAGTCCCTCGGAGTTGACGCCCCTGATGAGCATGTTTACGAATCCCCAGAGTAAGTGACGAGCTTCCCGTTCCTTTCTTTGCCCTTTGCGACCTCCTGTCAGGCTACTGGGCCTTCAACTTTGATGAACGCCAAACCCCCATCCATTGTCATACGACCTCGTGGCCTTTCGATGAATCCGTGCATCATTACGAAGTGTACTCCTTTACTAACATGGTGTCTTTTTTCTTTTGCAGTGGACCAACTTGCCATCCAGCAGCAAATCGAGCTTCTCCAACAGCAGCAGCAACAGCTACAAGCTACCCATCAACAATATGTCAATATGGGGATGATCCCCCCTACCCAGCAACTTGGCCCTGGCGCATTCAACCCATTGCAGCCCGCCCTGGCTAACTTGGCTCCCCAAGGAGCCTTCCAATTCCCGAACCAGATGCAGCAGCAGCCCGTCTCTCTGGGCCACGCGAACCAACCTATGACGCACCGTCGCAACCAATCCGCGATTCCCAATATGAGCATGGGTCCCCCACCGGCTCCTTCATCCGGCGCTTCGGGTACCGCCTTTGGCAACTTTGACAATTCTGCCAGCCACGGCCGAGGCGAGAACACATCGGGCCGCGGCGGTCGCGGCGGTGGTGGTGGGGGCCACCAACGTCGCCACTCTTTGGCCCTTGCTGATGCTAAGAAGGCTGCCGAGCTAGCTCAGCAAAAACGGACAACAACCGGTTTCCAATTCCCCGGCCCCGGTGCCACCAGTGATAAGGCCGGCAACGAAGAGAACAAGGCCGGTGCTCAACCGGGAGCTCCCGAGAGCCATCATCCTCAGGGCCCTCCTACTCGCGGTGGCCGTGGCGGTCACGGCCGTAGCCAGAGCATGGCTGTCGGCCGCGGTGGTGGTGGCCAGGACAATTTCCGTCGTGGAGGCGGTCATGCCAGGACTGGCTCCCGTAACTTCGAAGGCAACTGGAGGAACCAGAGCCAGAATCAAAGCCAGGATCAAGGGGGGCAGAGCCAGCAAGGCTTCCAGCCCGGTCATCGATCTCGCGGTTCCATCAACCAGTCCATCTCATCCATTGGTGCTTTCCAATATCCAAGCCAGACTCCTCTCGTTCAGATTCCTGGCCAAATGATGATCCCCCAGCTCTACGCCGGACAGCAGCTTACTCCCATGCAGCTGGGCCAGCTCGCCCTTCAGGCTCAGATGAATGGTCAGCAGTTCGCCGGTCTTCAGAACAGCCAGCATGCTGGTGGCCTTGGCGGCCAGCAGCAGCAGCAGCAGCAACAGCAGCGCAAGACGCTCTTCACTCCTTACCTCCCTCAAGCCACCCTCCCCGCTCTTCTCGGCGACGGCCAACTCGTATCTGGTATCCTACGCGTGAACAAGAAGAACCGAAGCGACGCCTACGTCTCCACCCAGGACGGCCTGCTTGATGCCGATATCTTCATCTGCGGCAGCAAGGACCGAAACCGAGCTCTTGAAGGTGACCTGGTCGCCGTCGAGCTCCTCGACGTTGACGAAGTCTGGTCTCAGAAGCGCGAAAAGGAAGAGAAGAAGAAGCGCAAGGACATTACCGACACCAGGTCAGGATCCACTAACCAGGGTAGTCAGCACGGCGCCAACGGCGATGATAGCAAGGCGGCTGATGGCGGTATCCGCCGCCGTGGGAGTCTGCGTCAGCGACCTACCCAAAAGAAGAATGACGACGTCGAAGTTGAGGGCCAGAGTCTACTCCTCGTGGAGGAAGAAGAAATTAATGACGAGCAGAAGCCTCTCTATGCTGGCCATATTGTTGCTGTTATCGAGCGAGTCCCCGGCCAGATGTTCTCAGGTACCCTCGGCCTCCTCCGACCCAGCAGCCAGGCCACCAAGGAGAAACAAGAGGCTGAGCGCGCTGCTCGTGATGGTGGCGGCTCGCGCCATCACGAACCCCGTCACCAGGAAAAGCCCAAGATTGTCTGGTTTAAGCCTACCGACAAGCGCGTACCCCTAATCGCCATTCCTACGGAGCAGGCGCCGCGGGACTTTGTTGAGAAACACCAAGACTACGCGGACCGCATCTTCGTTGCGTGCATCAAGCGATGGCCCATCACCTCTCTTCACCCGTTCGGAACTCTTGTTGAGCAACTCGGCAAGATGGGCGACTTGAAGGTTGAGACCGATGCTCTCCTCCGAGACAACAACTTCTCTTCTGACGAGTTTACCGATGCTGTCCTCCGCAGCGTTGGGCTTCAGGACTGGACTGTTGCCAAGGAGGATGAGGCGGCCATCTCGGCACGCCGTGATTTCCGAGACGAGAGGATCTTTACCCTCGACCTCTCCGGATCGGGCGAGTTGGGCAACGCCATCCATGTCAAGACGAGCCCTGATGGCAAGATTGATGTTGGCATTCACGTTCCGGATGTTGCTCACTTCGTTAAGGCCAACTCGCTAGTTGACCGAGAAGCGAAGAAGCGAGGTACTGCTGTCCACCTGCTGAACCGCTTCTGTGCTCTCCTTCCCCCTAAGCTGTCGTCCGAGGTATGCGCGCTCGTTCCAGACGCGGAGCGTCTAGCGGTCAGCGTTGTTTTCCGCGTCAACCCCCATAACGGCACCGTGGCCGAAGGTGACGCTTGGGTAGGCAAGAGTATCATCAAGAGCGGCGGAAGGATTACCCTTGATGAGGTTGATGCTGCGTTGTCTGAGGGCCAGCCTGACTTCAAGCATGAATCTGTTCAGCTGAAGGATCTCCAGATCCTCAATGTAAGTTTTTTTTCTCCTTTTCTCCATTTCCCCCATTTCTACATGTACTCCTTACTAAGTACCCCCTTCTTAGGCCGTGGCTCAGAAGTTCAGGGAGGCTCGCCTCGGTGTCGGCGATGCGCCCATTGCGCCCCTTCGTCTCCTCCAGCAGCTGGATGACGAGAACGTGCCCGTCAAGACCAATATCTTCGATTCTTCACCGGCCACTGAGATGATTGAGGAGTTGATGCACAAGGCCAACGGCTATGTCGCCCAGAAGCTTGTTCAGGCCCTGCCAGAGAAGGCGATCCTTCGACGACATGGTGCTCCCAACCCACGCCGTCTCCGGACGTTCTCTGATCGCATGACTGCTCTTGGATATGACATTGACGCGACCAGCAGTGGAAGCCTGCAGAACAGTCTCTTCAAGGTTGACGATACGGATCTGAGGAAGGGTATGGAGACGTTGCTTCTCAAGTCTATGCAGCGAGCCAAGTATTTCGTTTCGGGCAAGACTCCCAAGCACCTTTGGCCCCACTATGCCTTGAACCTTCCTCTCTACACGCACTTCACCAGCCCAACTCGACGATATATCGACATCATTGTTCACAGGCAGCTTGAGGCGGCTCTCTCTGAGGGCAAGATCGAGTACAACGATGACCTCGAGACTCTCGTTAAGACGATCGAGTCTTGCAACACCAAGAAGGAATCGGCGCAGAATGCCCAGGAGCAGAGCGTCCACATCGAGTCCTGCCGAAAGATGGACAAGGTCCGACAGGAGACCAGCGGTGATCTTGTGGTAGAGGGTATCGTTATCTGCGTGTATGAGTCGGCGTTTGATGTCTTGATCCCCCAGTGGGGCTTCGAGAAGCGGGTGCACTGCGACCAGCTTCCGCTTAAGAAGGCCGAGTTCCGCAAGGAGAAGAGAATCCTGGAGCTCTACTGGGAGAAGGGTGTGGCTAGCTCGGCCTACGTGCCGGAAGATGAGCGACCGCGTGCTGCACTCTCTCAGCGCTACTCCAACGCTGCGGAGGCACGACGACAGGCCGAGGAGGCTGAGCGAGTCAGGAAGGAGCAGGAGGAGGCGACGCGCAAGCAAACGGAGACTGGAACGATGTCGACAGATGCTGTCGAGGCCCTGTTCGACGACGAGGATGATAACGCGTCGGATTTGACGGAGGCCATGGCCGGAGTCTCGCTCGCTGAGCGGCCGACGCAGAGTGTTCCTGGCTCCCCTACTCGCTCGACATCTAACGCCGAGGCGACAGGTGTGCTCCAGCGAACCCGGTCCGACTCCAAGGTGCCTCCGGCGGAGGCTGTGGAGACTCGACTGAGCGACAAGGAGAAGTACATGAAACTTTTCAAGCTCCGGGAGGAGGATGGCGAATACATCCAGGACGTCACGGAGATGACGCGGGTTCCTATTATCCTTAAGACGGATCTTTCCAAGAGCCCTCCGTAAGTTTAAACTCTGCCCTCCTCTTTGGTTTACACAGTAAACAAGTCTTTCCTTGTTTTTGCCTACGGATTGTTTTTGATGGACAAGTTTTGCTAACAGCTCGACTTTACTACAGGTGCTTGACTATTCGCTCCGTCAACCCATACGCCCTCTAAATGGTGGTTTGTGTTAGATAACTCGAGGGGCAGCTGTGATTTAGGCTCGTGGTGGTGTCGGGGATGATGAGGTTTGGCGTTGACGACGGATTAAGTGAAAACTGCATCATGTCTTAATAAGTCTTACCGCGACCATTACCATTTACCCATTGCTACCGGCGCCCGGGGAAAATAACATTGGGAATAGAAAGGAGGACAAAGTGAACAATAGGGAAAGAAAAAGAAAAGGAAGACAAAGACAAAAAGAGAAACGGCAGGAAGCCTGACTGCAGCGGCAAAGAAGAAATTTTAGGATTGCGGAGCAGGGGAGTCAAGCGGGCGGGGAGGGTAGTATATCATCATGGCCATGACCATTGTTGAGGACGGTTTCGGGCTTTGCTGCTTGCGTATTCGTTCCAAGGCATGCATGGGCTGGCAAGGAAGTTTGTTTATTATACGCGAAGAGAGAGAGAGACGAAGCGAAGGAGAAAAGGATCAGATGGAGAGAGACGGAGACCCAGAGCGGAGGGCGAAATATGAGAACCAACGAGCTGGAGCGACAGAAGAGAAAGTGAGATACATCCCGTTGCTAGTAATACAAAAAAGGACGTCTTAATAAGGTTGTGATTGTCTGTTCGGATCGCGGAAGAGCTGGATATCCGTGAAATGAAGTGAAGGGGTTGCTAGTGTTTAAATGAGACTTGGAGTCAGGCATTGACGCTGGTTGTATGTATGTGTATTGTATGTCTTGGGAGGGTGTATCATGTCGTGTGGTCAAGATGACTTTCTTGGGAGTTTCACGGAAGGGTTGGTGTGGAGGGAGCGGGTTTTAGGAGTGCCGAGCGCCGTCTTGGTTTCCTTTTTCTTTCGATTAAGATCTCTGTTGCGTGCGTCTACTGAGGTCCATGGGTGCATATGTTCCTTGGTGGAAGAGGAGCACAGGTTTTTAATTTTTAAAAGCAAGCGGAAAAGATCCTAGGACTTGGACGGAAAACAAACTCTTGTTCCTTGATCGAGAGCACATTTTACAGAAATCTACAGCGAAAATGTTGTGTACTAGCCAACGGCTTGGGCCCCCAGGTCGAAGAAAAACCCGACAGAAGACATTATCGTGACTGCTTCCCGCTCCTTAGATTTTTTTTCCCACTAAGGTGCAGAGAACGAGAGCAGAAAGTGCCTTTTCGCATTGGGTTAAAGAGGGTGGGGTTCGGGAAAGAAGAAATGTGCGACGTGGGAGAATTCAGGCTGGGTTTTGGGGTGGTGGGATCTTCGAGGGGATCGTCGTCGGAGAGAAATAGAGGACGGGGTGGACATGCATGGGGCATGGATGGGGTTGTATTGTTTGGGAGAGGATTGTTTCTTTGGGGGATGAGGAGAAAGGTGTGGTTGGCGATGAAGGCTTGAGGAGGGAGGACGGGGTTATCATCACCGGTTCATATTTAGAGAGAGTGTGTGTATGTCATGTGTATGTCTGGTTATCTCGGGGCATGGGGGGAGCAGCTTGACAAGATTCGAGATATGTCGAGTGAGAGGGGAGAGAGTAGGGAAGAGCGTGGCGGAGACGTCAAGTTCAATCTTTGATATGCTTCATCTACCGAGGAGAGTAAACGAACATAGCGAACAGAAACTCGGTGATCGACGCCGTCTTTTTTCCCCATATTCTTTCTCTTCTTAGCTTGCTCAGCCAAGCAGTACGGGTATGGATTGTGTGCTCTTCTATCCGTTTAATGGAAACCCTCCCGGGATGCACAAGCATCATTCCTTCCGGGGACTTTTCTTTTTCTGACATCTTGGTCGTGTTTCGAGATATTTAACCCCCTCCAATACAAGTGAAGGACTTGAACTTTAATGCTCCCCTCCCGGGCTGTATCGAGGCCGAGGGCGATTACGTCTACTAAGGGAGGTTTTCTTGAACGTTTCACGATAGAACCCTCATATTCATTCCTCCAATGACTGCGTCGCCCATCCCATCGGCGGAGGCTCCTTATCTAACGAAGCATGCCCATCACCACGGGCTCAAGGTGTGCTGCACGTGGCGAGAAAGGGGTAAAGAAGCTCTGATGTATGTCCTTTACAAGAAGTAACGCCGGAGGTTTGGTAAGATAGGGGTTTCTTGTGGCGTTCCCTCCTTTCAACGGGAGTGGAACCGAGCTTGATCGTTGGCCCTGAGCTAATTTGCCCAAAAAAAAAAAAAAAAAAAAAAAAAAAAAAAAGAAAAAAAGAAAAAAAAGAAAAAAAAGAAAAAAAGAAAAAAAAGAAAAAAAGAAAAAAAATTCAGAGATACGAACGCGAGGTGGTAGTTTGGGAGAGCCAAGAAGGGGCCTTTGGATGCGACGGCGCTAACGAGCCTCGTTGGAACGGTGAGGTCGCCTTGGACGGGGTCTTGGAGAGTGAAGAGTCCGAGGACGAGTTCTGCATGACGGAGGTAAGATTAGAGTTTCTGGGCTCTATTAGTTAATTACTCAGTCCCTGAGCTAGACTTGTACCTCTGCAAGAGCAGACATGTACTTCGTATGGTAAGCTGTAAGCTGCATGAAACGTTCGACTATTGCTTCTCTTCTTCTCTTTGATAACGAGTTTGCGTCAATGTCATCGAGGGCAATATCGAGACAATTCAGAACTATCGAGATGGGTGCGGTCACGCGCGTACGTACGTGCGTGTTGGCTCGTCGTCCGGATATCGGCCATTTGCTGTCGTCTAGGGCCTGGATGCTGGATATCTCGGCAAATGAAAGAGTCCCATCGAGATCTGCACTTGAAGAAGCACGAGGTACGAAGTAAGTAAGCATCAATGATGCCTGCCCATATTCTTCCCCTTCCATCCTGCACAGAAAACCCAATTGAAGATACAAGTACTTAGTACTTTGTACTTCGTAATGCCCGGGAGCAAGGGCAGGAGCGAATCAGGTCTGGGGTCTGCGACAATTTGCGTGTGTCAGGAGCGTTTCGGGCATGTGCGACCCGGGGAAGGAGCGCCTGGGTGGGTGGGGACGGGGTTGTCTGCCCCACGCTATTTGCAGATATTGCCGATACCAGTAGTAAATATGTACAAGACAATCCGGCTTGCAGGTAGCCTCATTATGAGCATAATGGTACGCTGATTCAGCGGACTCGAGGTATCTCTCTAACAATCCTCCGAGGACCCTGCGTGCCTCATGTTTCTTTAAGCTTTTTTCACCTTTCCTCCTGGGATCTCGATTCAACCTCCACGCACCGCAACAGAAAAGATTCCGGCCTCGAGTCCGACTTACTTACGCACGCCCCCACCCCCTTCCCCTTGTCACCTTGTCGGGTAGCTTGTTTTGAGTTGCAGCTCGCTATTCAATTGATCCATCCCATCTCGCAACCTTATCCAACTTTAAATCTGCGGGCTTGTACACAGGTACAGAGCCCACGGTCTGCAGCAATATGCAAATACTTCGCATGCGGTCTTAGCAAGAGTCCAAGACTCCCTGTTGAGGCGTTTCCGTTGCCAGGCTCGTGTCTGATTGGCTCGGACCCCTGGCGCCAACTCGATCCGGTCGTGGAACAGAGATGCCGCTAAGTTCTCGTTTATAGTTTGACAGCTTCTGCGTCTGCTTCTAGCTCCCAAGATGGACATTGACAAACCTCCAACCAGAATAGCTAGCTCGACTAGAAGGCTTATCCCGTGCCCCTCGCCGGCCGAGGGAAAGGGACCGTTGCTCGAGACAGATGGAAGAGGACTCATCTTACCTTTTGCGTCCACCCAATAGACCTTTTCTCCGCCGTCCTCTGATTCGAGATTGATGTGATCAATGTGTATGTGTGTGTGCGTGAGTGCGTGTGTGCACCGACCCCTTTGTCGAGAAACGAAACAAACCACTCCTGGCGAATGCAATGCTGCAGTCCTGTCGTGTCGTGTCGCAGTCGACACAACATGCCTGCCATCTGAAGGTGAGAGGTGAGATCCGCTTAACCTTCTTTCTGCCCCCATCCATCATCCACCACCTTTCTCTAACTGGAATTCCCAGACACACCCCTCCCTCTCTTACAAGCTACCCCCTTGTCTCCTAAGATACTTTGCCTTGGCGATTGAGCCTCAATGTCGTACCGAGTACCTCAAACCCCCGTCCCCTGGCGGTTCCTGGCTCCCTCATCTCATGCATGCCTAGTACCAAGCTAGGCTCTACCACCTTGTCCCGGAAACCCCTTCTTCCCTGAGATCCTGAGATCCTGAGATCCCTCCGCGTTTGACGCTTGGGTGTCGCTAGCTGCTAGGCATGGAGCATTTCCGTTGGAACCGGCCACGGAATCATGACTTGCCGTGACAAGGCCAGCCAGTGGCTTCTTGTCTCTGCACTCTAATCCCCGCCCTCTAACAGAGACGTACCCCCTTGCTCTAGTATCCGACCGCTCGATTTGGCTTACCTCGTCCCGGTTTCTTGGCAATCCGGATCGCAGTCCCTTGTCCACAATTTCGTTTCTCATCCCGACCGGCCGTCCCCTCCGACACCCCCTCCCCCCTCCCTCTTACCTCTTACCTCCTACTCTGTAATAGCGCGCTTGTGTTTGATCGGTTTAAGTTTTCCCTTTTTCTTCTCCTACTCCCCCCATCTTCTTATTTTCTCGTAGCCCTTCGGATTCTCTTCCTTTTTTTCCCATCCACGTTTCTCTCTTTTTCTTCCCCACTCGTTGCTGTTTGTTCCATACCAAAAGCGCTGGTCTGCTTTCCCTGGGATCACGTCTTTTCGTACCTATTTCCCATCCACTTTCATTCTCTCATTCCTTTTCTTAGAGCACAGCAACCCTAGAGGTCTTGTCTTTAATTCTCCTTTCTTGTTAATCTTGATTTTCACGTTCTCTACAACCATCCCGAGTCAAATTCCAACGTCCCAGGTGGCTGGATTTGCATTCTTCGATTCGAAATACTTTCGCTCGACTAGACTCTCTCCTTTTCAAACACAACAGACAAGATGAAGGCTTCCGTCATTGCGTGCTTGGTCGCCGCGGCCTCTGCTTTTCCCGCGGGCAACATCATGAAGCGTCAGGCTAACCCCGAGGCCGCCGCTGGCTTGACCGATCTCGATATCCTCAACTTGTAAGTTGGTACAGACGCAACCCTGGAGGACCTTGAGGAGAGTGGGAACTGGAATAATAGGAAAGAACGAGAAGAGAGGCAAAAGAAGACTTGGATTTGGTTTACTAACAAAAGGCTTCTAGCGCGCTTACGCTCGAGTGGCTCGAGGCTACTTTCTACCAGCAGGGTATTGCGCAACTAGGCCCCGAAGCATTCCGCGCTATTGGCCTCAACGACCAGCAGATCCAAGCCCTCGTCGAGGTTGGCCAGACCGAGTTCTCTCACGCCTCCTTCCTCCAGGGCGCCATTGCCCAGGCTGGTGCCTCTCCCGTCCAGCCCTGCCAGTACAACTTCCCCTTCACCGATGCTGCCGGCATGATCCAGCTCGCCGCCATCCTCGAGAACGTCGGTGTCGGTGCCTACCTCGGTGCTGCTCAACTCGTCGCTGACGCCGGTATCCTCACCGCTGCCGGATCCATCCTCACTGTCGAGGCCCGCCACCAGACCCTCACCAGGACGATCCAGTCCCAGATCCCCGTTCCCCAGGCTTTCGACGCTCCCCTCACTCCCCGCATGGCTGCCTCGCTCGCGATTCCCTTCATCGCCTCGTGTCCCGAGGGCTCCAACCTCGCCATCCAGCCCTTCCCCACGCTCACCCAGGTTCAGCCCGCCGCCGGTGCTCCCGTCACCATCAACTCTCAGATGGTCTTCCAGGCCGACACCCTCGCCCAGTCCACGCACTGCGCTTTCCTCTCTGGCGGTCTCCAGCCCAACGGTGTTGCCTTTGCCGAGCTCGACGCCGCCGGTGCCTGTATCGTTCCCCAGAACCTCGGTGGCATCACTTACGTCGCCCTCGTCAACAACGCACCCCTCGACGGTACCGTTGCCGAGGAGAGCATCATGGCCGGTCCTGTCGCCATTGTCGTCTCTTAAGAGGTGGTCAGCCTACGGGGATGAATAATTTTGTGTTTTCTGTTTATTTTATTCTCTACACATTATTTCTTCATGAGGGAAAGCATTTTTTTTTGCGTTGGGGAAGGGGATTCCTTTTTTTTAGAGTGAGGAGCTCTAGGGGTGAATTGAATAAAAAGGGAAAAGAGGAGGAAGAGAGAAGATGGGCAGGGCCGAGGTGACTTGTTCTAATAACAACCAGGTTCTTGTTCTTCTCTTCTTTCCTCCCCTTTTTTATAATGTTCTTTTTATTTTTTATATTCTCCTCTCTAGTGTCTGAAGGTGAAATGAATACTTAGATCTAATACCAGCAGACACACCCATGCTGGGAGGGCCGGAGGGGAAATAAGGAGCTTGGAGGCAGTTGAGATTATGGGAGGAAGAATTGGATGGGAAATACCAATAGGACAGACGCAACTTTTTTTTCTTTTCTTTTCTTGTGGAAATTTATTTCGACAACTAATTTTTTTTCCGAGGTCTTGTTTTGCTTTTGTGATAATATTTGCGATTGTACGAAGTAGTTTTTTTTTTTTTTTTTTGGAAAAGAAAAAAAAAAAAATTACTCGGAGCATGAAGATTCATGGCTTTTCCTAGAGCTGCCATTTCGAGAGATCCTCGCGTAAGTGAGGATTCGGTGCTTTGGGGCTGTACCTTTTCTACCCCCCCATTGTCACGAAGAGTTCTAGATGTATATTTCTCAACATACTTGCTCATCAATCTACTCTCTCAAACTTGGTCCAGGCTACCGTGATCCATAAGAAGTAAAAAATATTACGAGGAGAGGTAAAAGGTCTAGCCTAACTCTGAATGTTCTTCGACTTAATAATAATAGAAAGGCAGATATGCTTGGACCAAGAACAAGATCCCCAACTTGATCAGCACGTCGTGATACGGAACAACGGTGATCGGGTAATGCGGCTCTTCCGCAGGTATCATCACGGTTGGGGGGCTCTTTTTTTTTGGCTTGTGTGTTTCGGGAGATGTGGGTTCCGCTTGGAAGAAGGTTTGGACTGGGGGTGGGATTGAAAGATAAGGCTGTATAAGTCGGACATTTTCTTTTATGCAATTCCTTGGATGGGCGACGATCCCCGCAGGAGATCCGGAAGGCTAGGACTATGCATTCCTATCCGACACGCAAGCCAAGCAAAAACTCGATAGCTTTCTCTTCAAGGAAGCCCGCTCACAGGGACCTTCCTCAAGAACCCCGAACGGGGGGAAACTAGCTCTGGCCTTCTAATCCTTATACAGGTCCAAATAGCTCGCCCGCAACCTCATCTGCAAATGCTCATCAGCAGTAACTACCCTCCTCTCCCCTTCCTCCCCTTCGCCATCGCCATCCCCTACTTCAACCTCCCTCCTCCTCCGTCTCACAACCTCACTCGGCACCCTTTCCAACCTTGCCGTGCCTACTGGATGACAGAAAAACGCAATAGAGTACCTATCCCCCTCAAACCCCTCACCCTCCGGAACACCCACTGGATTCTTTTCCTCTTTCGAAGAAGAATAGGGTAGAGCCACGCGGTGCATCGTGCTGCGTAGGAGCCCGTCGGTCCAGTAGGAAAGTAAGTCGCCGATGTTGACGAGAATCGGGGGTGACGGGTCGGAGAGTGTGCCGTGTGGTTGGACGGGTACAGGGAGCCAGGGGGAAGAGGAGTGGGGGAGGATTTGGAGACCTGCTTGTTTGGGGAGGCGGAAGAGGAGCTTTACGCAGTGTTAGTTTTCGAGATTGGGATGGTGGTATGGTGGTGGTGGTGGGGAATGGGTTTCTTGCGTACTGTGAGGCTTCCGTAGTCGGAGTGGGCTCCTGCGCGGATGGAGTCGTCGGCGGAGATGTCGAGGCCTTGGAGGGACGGGTAGTGCAGGAAGCGGAGGGTTGTGCCTGAGTGACCTTTTTCTCTGAGGTGGGCTGAGGCGAAGAAGTCGGGTGGGTTGACCTGCTTCTTGTTAGTGAAGCGTGTTGCATGAGATCTGTTCTTTCTCGAGAACTTCATACCTCAAGGCCTATGCCTAGGAGATATAGAATTCTTCTCGCGAGGGCGTCGCAGCTTTGGAAGAAGTTGTGGATTTCGTCTTCGTGTGGTGAGATTGTGTCTGGAAGGACTTGCTGTGCCTTGCCGTTTATGAACTCGCCAAAGTTGAATGCCCTAGAAGGAACCTATTAGATGATATACGTGAACTTCTCAAGATAGGGAGGGAATAGCTAATACTCTTTAAAGTCACCGGCCTAGCGTAGCGCTTCATCAGCCTCTAAACTCACTTAGATATATACCCCCCTGGAAGATGGGGGTTGGAAACACACACCTTTTGATTCTTCGGATCCAGCGTCTCGCTCCGAATCCCGCTCCATCCCCTATTATTCTTCAAAATCTTACACCTTTCCTTCTCCTCCGCAGACGTCTTGCCAAAGAGTTCCTTGGACTAGAAAAAAAATATGAGTTTCCAATCCTATGTATATATATTGAAAAGACCAGAAGACAAACTCACAAGTTGGAACGCCCTGTCCACAGCCTCCAAAGAAACATCCACCCCGGAGCTCCGAATATATATAAACCCGTGCTCGATAGCCGCCTCGCATAGCTCCTTTGCGATGTCTTGTTCGGACTTCCCCGGAGCTGAGAGGTCGATGACGGGGATGTGTGCTGTTTCTGTGGCTGCAGTCGTCATGGTTCCTTTCTCTGTATTCCGTTACGATGAATTGTCTTGAAGAAAGTAGACGAGATATAAACAAATCTCTCATCTCACGTATAGGAGTTGTTGCTGTTGTTGTTGATGTCCTGAGGGGTTTAGAGTTGGGATGGACGTCGTCAAGCTTATCTTATCAACATGCATAGCGGGGGAGGAGAAGCCAATCCCATCTGTCTCATGACCGATGGCCGAGGGGAACATCCGATCGAGACGGGCTCGGCCAACCCTGTTTCCTAATTGCTTGTTATACATTTCTTCTTCAAATTTGCTTTGTATTTTCAACATACTTTACTTGAAGGGCTTGTTTTCCGAGGTGGTGATTCAAACATTAGCAGAGCCCGTCTAAAGGCAGGAAAGAACATATCCCAAAGAACACACCACAAGACAGCAGACCTACTTTTGTCTGATCTTAAATCTTGTGAGCTGTTATGAAAGGCTTCCCAGGGTCATCTTAATCGCAAATGTAACATCTGCCCAATATAACAGCATTCAAGATATTCATTTCCTCACCAATCAACCATCACCACACTCGCTCTGCCTACCCTAAACTCTACCTCACCGCTCCTACGAATGATACCATCTTCACAACCCCCTATACTACCATTCATAGCCTACCACCTCCTCTGATATCTTATATCACTACCTCGCTTCCTCCCCATCAATCATTGCAAAGTCAACACAAGGGTGCTCGTGTCCTTCCTTGGCAGAAGAACCCAATCACAAGGACTCTCTGGCCCCTGCTCTTTTGAGATTCTGCCCGGATCCACCGAGCTTTCCCCCCTTTTCTTTGTCCTATTTTCTTTCCTTCATCCCAGAGATACACACTTGAGAGCTTAGCCTTTGACGCCGCGCTGTTTCCCTTTCTCTCTCCGTTTTCCGCTCGAAGTATGATATGTGGCAAATTTCATCGCTTCCTTGCCAAACCGGCATAATAAATATGTTAGGTATTTCATCTTCCACCGGTCCGCGACCTCGTGGTGTTTTCTTTTCCCACGGATCCTGGTCCTTGTTATTCCCGTCCGTGTCCCGCCGTATCCGCCGTATCCGCCGTACCGAACACGTCCCTTAAAAGGGGCGCGCCGCCAGATACTCACCGGCCCTCTGCCACACGAACTTGTCGGCAGCCGCAACCTCCTTGTCGAGCGTGCTCACTCCCGTGCATAGAGCATTGACAAAGCCATAGCACGTCCTCATGTCGTCTACAAAGTGAGTTGCAAAGGGAACATACGTCTCCGGGAACTCGGCAACTCTCTTTGCCCGGTGCTCGCGCGAGTCGTTGACATTGTCGTCATCCAGGAATGTCTTGACGGCGATGCCGAGCGCAATGTCAGGATCTGTTAGGAAGGGAAGGCTAGAAAGTTGAGTTAGCGCCTGGAATATGTAAGCGAGTGTGAAGAACGTAAAAAAGGACACACCTCTGCCCGATCTCGAGGAAGTCGTCGCGGTCCCTCTTCGACTGGCCGTTGATAAACATCGACGCCACAATCGCCTCGACGAGGTCTCGGTTCGCCTCTCTCACGGTCGCCGACAGCGAGCGGAATGCAAGCAGATTCTTGTTGAGCGGACCCGTGTAGCCATTCGTCTGATGGCGCAACTTCAACAATGTTGCGCATCGGCTGATAAGCAAGAGGCTCGTCTTGTCGTCCTCCGAGCCCTTAAGAGGGAGGCCGTGAAGCTCCTCGTGCTTATTCTTGCCGTTCAACAAATCATAGCGGATAAGCTCGAAAGCCATGAGAACGGCCTCTGCAAGCGACACCTTGTCCCCAAGCTGCTTCTCCGTTTCCCTGATGGCGAGGAGCGAGCTCGCCAGGGCAGTACCCCATCTTGTCCATGAATGGTCGTCATCTACATAGCCCCTTAGATGGAGGAACCGCCAGACGGCAACCGAAGCGATCGTCCGCTTGTTGTCTAGGCCCTTGATCAACCTTTCCTTGTTGAAGGTTTGCTTGACAAAGTCCTGGTTTGCAAGCGATAACACCTCGAACGTGATGAGCGACGACGACTGGGCCGGCGGGGGGAATTTTTCAATCTCCTCGGGCTTGGCGAACCACGTATTGACGACCTGGTCAGGTGGCGGCTGGATCGACCGAAAATTGGTCTTGTACAGAAACTTCTCGTCGTACCACGCCTTCATCGTGATCTCCTTATGTTGAAGGCCACGATGAAGCCTCGGGATGACGAGAGCTAACGCCTGTTCTCGGATTGGGACGAGTTGGCTGCTAACGAGCTTTCTGTATTCGGGAGACGAAACACCATCCAGGGTCGGTAGCACGACGATTTGACTGTGTGCTATCCAGCTGCAGAATCGTGCGCTGATGAGGCCCTTGTTGATGTAGTAGAAAAGTTCCGCCGGTAATTGGAGTCCGAGGTACTCGTGATTGTCTCCTGTGAGGTGCTCATAGTCGTTGACCTTGACCTCGCCGTTTTCCGCAATGTAGATGTAATGGTTCACAGCCAGCCTTGCCTTTTGGTACTTGTCGAGCCAATCCTTGTCCCTAGCTTGTAGGATGTCATTAAACGAAGCGCAGGCGTTAGCTACAACCTTATCGGACGTCCGCAGGATGTTTATGGCATCGGCGATAATGAAGGGCTGGCGCGTCGTAATCGTCGAGTCTTGCAGAGGAGGGAATGTCGAAAGGAAGGGGGTGCCAGACATAAGTAGTGCGTCAATGAACATGGCCTCCGTGACGTTTAGAGTCTTAATCAGCCCCTTCTTGGAGATCGCCGTGACTTCTTTCTTCTCCCAGTTTATAGACTTGATGATGCAGTCATGAATCGGGTAGAGCAGGAGTTCATTGGAACCCATGATGCCGCCAACTTGGTCGGAGTCGATCGTCTCGAAGTACGCAATCTAATCCAACATGTCATGTAAGCTTCAGTTTCCCTACGCGTAATCGGGAGATGCTGGAAAAAAAAAAGAAATAAAAGGGTGGGCTGTCATGCGAACCTGACCAGCAGCACTGAAAGGAGCCACGAGGAAGTGGTACTCCCTCTCATTCAAGAGCCTCATGAGCAGCGGGTAGAGAGACTGCACGCGGAAAGCTCCTACACACATCAACCTCTTGCGTTAGCGCAACTTCGCTAGCTCCGAACACACTCGCTGATAGAAAGTATACACCATACCCGCATTGCTACCGAAGGAGTTCACAGCATCCTCCGCCCTACCGGCAAAGTACTGGTCCCAAGCCTCATTCGTCTTGATGTTGGCTAGGCGGCCCCGCTTCACGGTCGTCTCAGCTTGGCCCACCATGCCCTGGCCATCGAAGATGAAAAAAGGGACGACGCCATTCTCCTTGAACTTGTCGAGGTCTCGGGTAAGGTGCGCTTCGATGCCGGTCAGGCCGCCGAGGGCGGGGAGGAGGGGCTCATGGAAGGGAGGGTTGTCAAGGAAGCGGTGAAGGTAATACGTCGCGCTGATAGCAATTGAGCAGCCACTTATGGTGTCAAGCCCGTGGGTCCTGCCGAATCGGATACGCTGTTAGCTTCAGGCAGGTTCGTAGAACGGGCAATGCCCGGATTCGACGAGGGGAGGGAGGGAGTTCGGTTCGGTCACACGAGACGTACGTCGCCTGGGTTGAGATCCAGGAGTCTTCAACGAGAGCTGCGGTGCCGTGTGTTAGTATGAAAAAACGCTATAGCGTAACGGCCCCAGCTCCAGTCGGTATGGCAGGGCCCTTGAGATGCGACGAAACGGCTTGCAACTTACTGGGCATGGTGCTCGAAGTCAGGCGGGTCGAGCTAGAGGGAGTGTCGATCTCGTAGTCTGGCGGACTTCAAAACCGACCGAAAGGAAGTGGGCAGACCTAAGGTTCTGTGTGGCAGCTTGAACCACTACACGACAATCGCCGAGCTTTAGGGGGATAATCTGTCTCGGTTGGGAGGGCTTTGGGTGGTGGGAGGTGGGGAGCAGTCAAGGAGGCTGAACTAATTTATTTAATGTTGTTTGCTCCTGCTGAGGCTGTTGCGAAAGTGGGCTTTGTGCCAGGTAAGGCAGGAGCTCCTTTTGAGATTGTATTGGTACTTATATTTATATTAAAAATTAACTGTGTATTGAGTATAAGTACTTTAGATCCGTGTGGTTTCAGAACCTACCCAATTAGGACAAGGTTTGCTTCTTTCCCCAAGCTTCATGCTTGCGGTTGTACCTTCCTCTCATCCCAGTAAATTATCTCGAGCCTTCTCAAAGATAATTGAGGGGCAAGGAAGAAAATGCATCACCTTTCCAATCTAGAGAGCCAGGCAAAGTCCGTCGCTTTCAATCCAGGACACTCAATTCGCAGCTTGCACCAGGAATATGGATCAAGATTTATAATTTTCTGGCCCATCAGATTGATCTCAGGTCCCAAACTTTATTATCTAGGTCCCGTGTAGGGCTGGCCAAGAAGAATCGAAGGATCCCCGAGATATCCAGTATCAATGCTAGTTGAAAGCTTCTGATTAACTATATATGTATGTGTTTTTGATTATTGTTGCGACAGCAATGACCTTCCATTCCAAAAGAAAGAAAAAAAAAAAAAAATAAAAAACGGTGCCGTTCGTGGTCAGCCATGCAGCTGCATGCTCGACACTGAGACAACAGGATGTTTGCCTAGTGGTGAATCTATAAACGCCTGGAATGTAACAATATCCTACTCCGTCCCGTAAACCGCGATTCATTCAAGATCGTTACCAGCCCTTGGCTCTGGGAGCGCTCTCCCCATTACCCCTCCATTCACCGCAGGGACGACCAATGTATTAACCCCACCATATCATTCACAATGGTCTGCCAGCCGAGTGCGGTTGACCTAGCGCATCGTTCCGTACCCGTATCTGCCACCGTTCTGTACGCGTTCGCTGAAGATGCCCGCAGCTCGTGAGGGAGGGGGAGCGCCGATGCGGCTTTGTTCTCGACGGTCGTAGTAGACGTAGAGTACGTAGAAGGCGTGAATTGTGCCGGGTATGAAACCGAGTATCGTTAGGCAGATGTTGATGAGGAGATCTATAGATTTCAATGTTAGTTATACGAAGTGAACCGTCGCGTCGTCACGGCGCAGCCATTGCTGGAACTTGCCTATTCCACATCCAGCGACGGCAAAGACACCAATTGGTGGGACTAGGATAGATTGTTAGTAGCGATTCGCAAAGAAGACGGATGACGGGTCTGATCGGTCTGAGGCATACAGAAGAGGGTGAGCAGAATGACGATGATAGCCGAGAGGACACCCATGTTGATAGCCTTGCTTGTATTTTTTGAGAATGTGTATGTAGGTAGTGAATTGGTTTTCAGATTCGGAGTGGCGTCGAGAGGGGACGAATATTCGAGCAGCTTGGTTTCTTAAATCTACAATTGTAGGAACAGGACAATTCAAGAGTCACAAGAGGAAAATCAAAAAGCGTGACAGAAGTGGGATGTCACTGAATATAAGCATCCCCGCCTCGAGGCAGATTCGCCTCTAATTCCTGACACTAGGACAACTGGAGCCTTCGAATTGGCGTCAACGCGACTTCAGAAACAGTCATCAGAATACAATGGAAGAAGGTGCGACAGTCAATTAGTGGCGTGGGCTTCGCCGTGCTCCCTTCCCCGGCTGCGGACTTGGCTGTGTGTATAATGACGATATGATCGAATGGTTGACGCTACGTCTTATGCGGACTCGTATATCGGCCTTCGCCATGACTGGATGACGTAGCCACCACGTGCATGACGATTGCATGTTCGACCAACAATGTTGGGGAGGCAGTGGCAATCAAGGCGAACCGAATTCAATTGCTTACACATAGCACCCATTACCTCTTTTTGTTGCTTCGAGTTCTGCAACTGGACTCGAAAAGAGCAAAGCGAGCCGGCTTGTGATCAAGCTTATCCGATTGGTGATTCGGGCAATCGAGTGGTGTGGGTGTGGTGATCTATTGAGGTGCAGCCACTTGCCTGCAAGTGTCCATCCTCAGACCATCCTGTGCTCTGCCATGAGGTATGAAGTAAACTAATGAGTTTAGTTGACAAGACTTGAATACGAACCTGGGGTAATGGCTGTCACATGGATTGGCATTGGCATTGGGAGATGGATTCTCATCTAGAGGAGCCTGCCTGCCGCTCACGTATCTTAGTCCTCGAACTATTGCCCGTGCCTATATATAAAAATCTGGATAAAGTTTGCCGCGAGCCTAACCGCAAGCCAAGCTGGAGGACCTCGGCGTCTACCCCACCGAAAATGCACGAATAGATTGATAGCGACTCGACGCCATACTTGGTGTCTTGGACCAGCTCCGAAAAGCAATGTGATCAGCAAGGGAGGATTGATGGCATGAGACGTGCGTGGTAAAGCGGAGAGGAGATTGGGCAATGTCTTAGATCCTCTCCACGGGTCCAGGCCTGATATTTAACCCCCCCATTCTCTTACCCTTGGGGCACACGCTCAGCTCTGGTTGGATGTCAATTACAACTCCCAATCCGCAGCTCGCGATCGCCTGCAGCTTGCTTGCACAGGGCGTCTCCGGGCTCCGGTCTCCGGTCCTGACACTGGCACATGTCTAGCATACCGTGACGGTTCCAAACAATAGATGAGGCTTTCAACCCTTGGAAAATGTCTTTCCAGGCCCTGGCAGTTAAAACTCGACAGGTAACACAACCCCTCGAGGATACTCTGAAAAGCCCCCACGACGAGCCGAAACGGTGGCGTCCCAAGGCATCAGGATCGCTCAACCTTGGCCCTTAACCTCGCCGGGCTGCTTGACGGGAGCTACGGATTTTGTGACGGAAAAGCTGTTGGTCCGCATGAAGGAATGAAGGAACGTTGATGCATGTAAAGTGATTCATGTTAGAGCTCGTGCAGGAGCTTTGGCCGCCCACTTGCGTTTGGCTGCAGTTCCCTGTTCGTGATCGTTCGCGGTTAAAAAGGCGCAGTCGATCCTCGTCTTTGAGTTTTGGCACCTCGGGAGAGGCATTGGTGGGATGTGGTCACTACGGTCACAAAGGCCAAGGAGCTTGGTGTTATTCATTGGGTGCTGTAGGTCCGAATTTTCCAATGAAAACGGAGGTGATTGAAGTGCATGTTCCAAGGTCTCCTGCGGGCTGCATATTGCGGATGATATCTGAAATACTGCCGGAGAAGCTGCGCAATGACTCCGTGGATGATCTGGGGGAGAAACATCGCTCGTCCCTCGTATCACTTCGAGGTCCAGGTCGTCTCTCTCTCTCCTGAGAACGATAGAGGGTGACTGGTTTGCAGGTATTACGACTCTGCTAAACACGCCGGGCCTGGCGCTGGCGCACCCTACGAAGCACAAGGTTCTGCGGGCAATGGAACAGGTTATTGGCAAGATCCCAAACGAGGGATCGTCGAGTGCTAGATTCGGGTCCAAAAATACATGTTATTATGGTGTATACCTGTGTATAATTAATCTTATAATTTAACCTTCGAGAAGCTTGGAGCTGGCACGGTTTCTTGGTGAAACGGAACAAATAGTTGAGCAGTCCATTCTCATACAATCCAGTGTTCTTCTCTTCATGCCGCGGGGGTCTGTGGCTGTCCAACCCCTGGTTCTCTGTCCTCGCATTGGACCATGATCTGAAGCCAATCCGGCTTGCCGAGGTGATTTTTCCAAGGATATGGAGCTGTCACCATCACCCAGGCAGGCCCAACAACGGAGAGCTTCTGCCCCTACTTGGTAGGTCGTTGTTCCCCTAGTTCCCCGAAGTAGTAGTCTCAATCACGAAGTACATACTTTGTACAAGTTTCTGGCCGAGTAAACCTGTACGGACAGACGAAGAAGTGTGATGAATGGAGGACAAGGGACTTAGTGTGCAACTGCACTGTATTATTGATGCATCCTGCATGGGGAGGGAGGTCTTCCGCACAAGCTCTGGGTGCCTACTTCGTCCTAGCATACGGAGTACTCTTACATGTCCGAAGTAGTAGGTCAAATCCCGACGGACTGGACCCTGGAATGCCGAACCTAGCCTGGCTGCCCTCCAATCGAGGTGCTGACAGCTAGGTAATGGCCGGGGTTTGGCAGTGGATGCGGCCTAAACCAATCGCTCGCTCGTTGGAAGAATCGATGAAGCTCAGGGGAGTAATATCCACAGTACGTAGGTAGGAAAGCTAGTTTAAGTTTCTATAGCATTAGGGGTGCTCTCAGGAGACTCTACTTCGTACATTAAGAATTCTGGGCAGATGATCCGATGAAATACGCGTAGGTCACTCTGGTAGGCCTCCAAGGGTACCTGTAGACCGGAGTAATCAAATCTTCATCCAGGCCCCAGACACAAGGCTTATTTGTGTGTGTGCTTTTGAGGCGCTACCTACTTCGTAGTTTCAATCGTTGGTGAGGACTTTGGGGAGCTTCAGTAGAAGCTCTCGGGATCCATCATGGATAGAGAATATCATTCACGAATCGAAGCTGTCAAAACTTAAAGTGGCGGCTTCAGGGGAGAACTGCCCCGACACCCTGCTAGGCGATATCCGCAAATGGTCAACGTCCCAATTGTTGCCTTGGAGACTCGTACATGCTTCGTCGAGCCACTTCGCACGAGTACGCTCAAAAGGAGACTCGAGTCTCTAGTGTATGCACGAAGTATGTACATACGCTGGGGCGAAATAATCCTGCCACTTGATTTCAACGTTTTTCAGTGTACCTCAACTGGTTGCAAATGGTACATCTGATGCAATGATCAATCCATGAAGGTCTCGAGGTGGGTCTACTTGCTGGTCCCTGTCCACCAGTCAGGACGGACTAACTTAGCCCAACTCAGGCGGTTTCAATTCCCACGCAGGCGGTCACGGCAACTCGATTTAGTTGATGTAGTGGCCCGAGTCGAGAACCGCGTCTCGAACTACGTGAGTCCAAGTTTGCACAACGGGCTGGACTGCAGCACTATAGGCTTTACTAGGCGTCGACCGTCTCGAACATCTCGTGGCCATGGGCAAGCACAATTCTGGCCCCTCGTGAGGGTGGAGTCGTTCCATTAGTCATAACGAGCAGTCTCTTGCTCAAACTCGATGGTTAGATTGGATATCGTCGATGGCTCCTTCGAGTCTGGTCGCAATAGCCAGGTCCAACTTCTTTTTTGGGGGGCTTGTCGAAGAGCTAGCTCCGCTTCCCCGGCATGTACAAAGTACTGTCAATATTGAAGTAATAGTGTGTTCTTCTTTGATGTTGAGTCTTCCTTCCGCTCATTCCCCAGCAGCTTGCAGTGTACCTGTATTGCAGAAAGCATGGACAACTGTAGAAGGTACACCCCCACAGCTCCTAAAAGTAGAGAGACCAGGCACGATCCTCAATGGGTACATGTCTCATATTTGTAGAGTACAAGATACAACGCTTCCATGCCATATTTCCTTTCCACCATGCTTTCCTTATTGCCAATTACCATCAAATTGGTCCACATCACACTGGACCCCTTCTCAACCCAAACCATCACCAACAGCCTTGTTGCCAATATCCTCAAGGTGAAGGGTGAGAACATCCCATTTGCATTTTTGAGGCTTCTGGTGTATTGTTATCCTCTCGACCTGTGTTTTTAAACTCAATTCCCCTCTTGTCACGCTTTGTTGGCCAGTCATTATCTTCAGGAGTCTGGTGTGGTTTTATCGTCTTCTCTCTCTCTTTTTTTTCTTCCCTTTTTTCTTTTTACCCCCTCTGAAATCGCCCCACACGCAGTTGCCTCCAGGCCTGTACCGTGTCCCCAATCCCGGTCTCGTTCGAGCATTGAACTTTTTCGGCTCCCTTTTCAATCCCAGCCTTGAAAGCTCCTTGACACCACTCCATTTTCGACCTTCCCACCGCCCAAACTCGCGTCTCAACCCTTCAAGTTCCTCGACCTCGTCTGGGACCACTCTCCATCTGGGACATCTTCCTATCCTGTCACTCCCTGTCAAACCTCAAGCCGAAGATAGGATCTGAAAATTCTCCCTTGGGTCTGGTCTTCGCCTGGATCTTGATACATCTACTTCCCTCGTACCTCCAAGCCTCCCACCCGTCGTATTTTCCTTTTACGCAATCCTTACATTGCCTAAACCTCCGCTTCGAATTTCGATCCTTTCGAAAATCCGATCACCCGATTATCTCTCGCGAGCCCCGTAGCCGGTCTCCCAACCAGAACCACGGCGGCTTTTGCGAAGTCGGAGAGATCTTCTTCATCGGAACCCCTTTAAACAACTATAGGAAGCATACATTTTCATCTTGACGCGGTGTGGTGACCCAGCTGTACATACAATCATGTCGAACCAACCAGCTCCTCAGCTCAACATCGACCGTTACGTCGTGATCCATGTGGCTACCACTTGCGATGAGCATGGTGTCTACGTGACAAAAGACTCGGCCGAGGTCATTGAGCTCGGATGGATCCTTCTTGATGCCAAGTCACTCGAAGAGGTGCGTACAGTCCTTCCTGAAAACCCTCCCTTCTCTCAATTCGTCTGCATAGGTAGTTCTTGTCCCGCTAACCGGAATCTCTTCTACTCTTTAGGTTGCCCGTGACAGTGTTCTTGTTAAGCCCATCAACACCCCGATTACTCCCCTTTGCAGTAAGTTGATGGTGATCCCCTTTTCGAGCTATGACGAGAGGCCGAGCTTTCCAGCACCATCCCAACCGACCTCCGGAGAAGCCTGTGCTAGAGCTACTCAAATGGATATAAGCTCTAGGACCGTCGGAGGCGTTTTCTAGCCACATCATTCACACAATTGAACCTGGGCTGACGTATCTGGGATTTGACAGCGAGCCTAACAACCCTGACCTGGGAACATGTACGAAATGCCGGAACGTTCAGGGATGCGATTAACCGCTTCGATGCGTTTGCCAACGAACACCTTACGTCCCAGAACCTCGACTTTGTTTTCGTCACCCTCGACTCTTGGGATCTTCGCGTTCAGCTTCCCCGCGAGGCCAGAGACAAGGCCGTTGTTCTGCCTCCCTATCTCCAGCACTCCCGTACTTTTGACCTCCGAACCGAATATCAGCGATGGCAACAGCACCACCCCGAGTCTCTTCCCTTTGGGCCCTCGATGCTTAGCAACATCTGTGCCGCCCTCGAGGTTGAGCCCGTCCAGTCGAGCGCTCCGATCAAGCATAACCTGCCTTTTCACTTGCAGGCGCTCGCCCCAGCTTCCCCGCGTCGAGCAATGGAGGAGGCAATCACCCTTGCCCGTGTTCTCCGTGGCTTGATTCGCAAGTCACAGCCTCCTCATGAACACCCTGATGTGCTCACTCGCCCCATGGATGCTAGAGCCGACGTGAGGGCCTTCCTTTCCGAGCGCAGCAAGGTGCTGCACATGTCCGGCCTCCCCCATGACACCACTCAATCGGAGTTGGAGAGCTGGTTCACCCAGTTCGGTGGACGACCCATTGCCTTTTGGACTTTGCGTACTCCAGAGCAGCACAAGCCAACTGGAACCGGCTTCGCCGTCTTTTCGTCTCACGAAGAGGTACGATCATTTCCAGTTCGTCACTACATCTCTTGCACCTCTGCCCATTTTTACCCTCTATTTCCCTTCCCCTCCCCTCCCTCTTTGAGATTGCTACGCCTCCCTCGCCTTGTCTTGTCCTCTTTTTTTTTACTTCTTTTGCTGACCGAACGCCAATTGAATAGGCTGCCGAGAGCTTGTGTATGAACGGTCGGGCGCTCAACGAGAAGGCTATTGAGGTCTCCCCCTCGTCTAGCCGTGTTCTGGACCGTGCCGCCGAAATTCTCACCCCGTTCCCTCCCAGCAAGAACCGACCCCGACCCGGCGACTGGACCTGCCCGTCTTGCGGCTTCTCCAACTTCCAGCGTCGTACCGCCTGCTTCCGATGCTCTTTCCCCGCCGGTCCTTCCGGTGATGTCGGCTACGGATACGGCTATGGCCCGCCGGCCATGATGCCTCCCCCGCAGCACATGGGACACCACGGTCCCATGGGCCATGGCCACGGTGGTGGTCGTATGGGAGGCAGCGGTGTCGTTCCCTTCCGTGCTGGTGACTGGAAGTGCGGCAACGAGGTCTGCGGTTACCATAACTTTGCCAAGAATGTGTGTTGTCTCCGTTGCGGTGCCAGCCGAGCTGGAGCTGCCGTGGTCGCCGACTCTGGCTACCCCTCGCCCATGGATGGTGGTTCGAACTATCCCATGAGCCAGGCGTCGATGGGTAATGCTCCCGGCCATGGCCCCTTCGCTTCTCCCGCCGCCAGCTATGCCTCCGGCGGTAACTACGGCGGTCAGCACTTTGGCGGGCCCCCTAGCACCTATGCCCTTCCTTCTGGCATTGGAGGAGGCGCTGCTCCCTACCCGTCGTTGAATACTCACTTCGGCCCCAGCCCCGGCTCCCACTCTGCCGGCCCTTTCGATAGCCGTGCCGCTGAGGCTGCTTTCCAGTCTGCCTCTAACGGCCCCGCCTCTGCTGGCCCATCCAATAATTTCTATAACCAGGGCGAGAACGACCCTTTCTCCTTCCTCTCTAGCGGTATGGGTGGCCTCTCTGTGAGCAACGAGTCCCGCCAGAACGGTGGTGCCGCCCCCAGCAAGTCTCCCGCCTAAGAGTGTGGCCCCTCCCGGCATGATCGGAATCATAGCCTCTGTTGCTTCCAATATCTTGGCTATCTCTCTTGATAGTCAGTTACCCATTTCGAGGAACACCTGCGGCCGAATCATGTTTCCCCTTTCCATATATGGAAGGAGGCGTATTTATTCATTGTCATTTCCTTCAACTTTGCCCCTCTCACTACTCTCGACTCGGCTCAGAATGAATTTGGAACGAGGAGCATTAGAGCATTTGGAGCCTGGTTGATCAAGTACATTCTTTCATGGCCTCGTCTGCTACTTCTTTCCTACTCGCAAGGAAAGAAGATTCAGTGACAAGGTCATGTTGTTTCTAATCCCATTGTTGCCTGTTCTATTTCCCCGTGTTGTTTTTTCTCTTCCCTTTTTCCTTGTCTCTTTTTCGTATCCCCTTGTTGTTTGATTTTGTCTGTTTTCTCTTCTTTGAGGCGGAGGGACGTCAGGGGGTTTCTTGACATTTTGTTTGGCAAGCACCCGTGCTATTTGGAACAATGACTGTGTGGAACTGGCTGGAAAGATAAAAAAATCATACAAGGAAATAACACCAAAATCAGGGGAAGGGTACAAAAGCAAAGCATAAAACATGGTTCACGAATACCTGGAAACCAACGGCGGAGCTCCGGAGTTGCTTGTTGCTTTAGCCATTGGTGGCTACGGTCTCGTTCAGGAAACAAAGGGGGAGGGAAGGGCAGGAAAGTCAGGTTTAAGGAAGGGAAAAGGAGGATTACAGGAGGGACAGGGGGGTTCAAAGGTGTTTTCGAACTTCTTTTTTTTCTCTTTTTCTGTTTCTGTTTCTTTTTCTTTGCCTGCTAGAAAAATGTCATCTGGTCTTCTTCCCTTTTGACAAACAGGTTTTTTTTTGCGCGGTTTCTTTCTTTAGCTTCGAAGGCATCAGTATGGTTGTTTTTGCGTTTTTTACTCCAAGGCAAAGGGCGGTGGGTGCAGGTGCATAGCGAACAAAAGGGTTGTATGTGTGTGTGCTTGCTTGTGTGTAAAGGATCTGGTATATTGCAGCCTCTTTTTGTGTTTGTTTCTTCGGATCTGTCGCTGTCGCTGGCTGGATAAGTTTTGTCGGCAAGGATGGATGGATATCTCTGTTTCTTTTCCCTTTCTTTTTACTATTTTCCTTCCCTTATCTACGGTTTGCTCTCCGTTTCCGTAGACTTAGCTACCTTTTCCCCTCTTGTTTTCTTAACACAGATTTGATTCTATTCTTCTTCTTAAACTATAATCTGGTCTCTTCTTCTTTCCTTTCGAACGCCTCCTCGACTCTTTGCTCTCTAACTCGGAAGTTATAGTATTTGATGGCTTGAAGATGTAGCCTCTTGTCAGATAATCAAGCTTTGCGCCCATGTTGGGTTGTCTCTCTTTCGCATTTCCGAGACTTGACATAGCGGTCTTTTGAATGGGCAGGGCTGTCGCGGTCGTTCCTCGTCTCGATGTATCTTGTTTTTGTCCCAGGGTGTCAACTTGGTTCAAGGCAGCTGGAGTGTCTCGTGCGTTTCGTTTGGCGTCTGGGGCCAGCCTGGAACATGAACGGTTGACGAGGTTTGGCTTGGATAGGCTGGCGCTTCCGAGTGAGTAACGTCTATGAAATCCTCTCGATACATCGAGTAGTTAATAAAAGAATGGACACCTTGTCCTCAGTCTACTGCAATTCTTTACATGGGGTATGGCGTTCTGTAAACCGTACGCCTCAAATCTCGAGTCTCGCATGTACTTTGGTGGATACTATATATACTTACCTTCGTAAAACAGTTCTCGGGGCTCGGGCTTCGCGGGAGGTTAGGGTGACCCATAGTGAAGGAAAACTGCACAAGATAGAAGGGGTTATGAGATGAATCCGTTTGTCCAAGGCAATAAGAATACATTCAGAACATCTTGGATAGTACAACCCACCGAAGCTACGCCTTAAGACATAGTTCTCAAGAGCTTGTCGGACCAAAGGCATGGATACACCCCCCAACTCTCCAAGGGAAAGTGTTTTCAAGTGACTTCTTTTTTTGTATTAACTGGTCTCCATGATACCCGGTGCAACTCAAGCCAGACTCAGCTTTGGGTATTGACGGAAGACGGGGAAAGAACAACAAAAAAAACCCTGCATACCCCCACAAGGCCAATATTGACGCCAGAACTTCCTAGAACTTCCTAGTATTTACCGTAGCACGTATCAAAACCTTTTTTCACCGCCTCCTATACGATCAATCTCATCCACACATCGTAATACAGCGCTTGAAATCAAGGTCCTCCATTTATTTTGTCGACCCACTCCTACCCTTGCGTCGAAACTAAAACTATACCCGCCGCCGTTCCGCATCCTTGTTGTACACTAGTTTCGGTCTCTAGGACTGGAGTTCTTCCATGGGCAGATCTTTGTCATGGACATGGATGATGGAGTCGGCCACCTTCCAGATCTGGAGGAGGTTGTCCTCGGCCGCACTGCAGACGAGCCAGGGATCGTTAGGGTTCCAGGTGAAATCGGCCAAGTGGTTGGTATGACCTCCGTGCATAAACAAACTGTAGAGGGGGGATGTTAGTGTCTGAAGCAAAAAAAAAAAAAAAAAAAAAAAAAAAAAAAAGGAGAGAAAAAGGCAACATACAGCTCCGGGGGGCCATCCTCTTGGTCGTCGGGCAACTGCTCATCACCAATCTTAGTTAGATCCCAGAAGATTATTCGGCGATCATAACTGCCGGAGCCAAGCACGCCGGGCTCGGTGGGGTGCCAGGACAGAGAAGTGACAGCGTCATTATGTCCCTCCAAGGTATGGACCTTCTCCTTGATATTTCTGAGGTCCCAGATACCAATGGTCTTGTCTCCCGAGGCCGTGGCGACGAGGTACTCGCTGGTGGGACAGAATCCGAGAGCGTTGATGGCATCGGTGTGGCCACCCTTTGCAATCAAGGATGCCTTGTCCGTCTCGGCACGGCGGACGTCGATTATTTGAAGAGTCAGGTCATCGGAGACAGTGCCGATAAAGTTCTTGTTGAACGGATGGTACTGGACGTCGTTGACAACATGACTGTGATGCGTATACTTTCGTGTGGGCTTCAAGATGTGGTTGTTTGCCTGCACAGTTTGTAGATCCCTAAAAATAGCGTTGCCATGGTTAGTGCTTTGCCATGAGAGACAAATGCTCGAATTTGTGTGAAAAGATGATGCTCTCCTCCTCACAAACAAAGGCAACTTACCACAGACAAACAGTCTCATCCTCACTTCCAGATGCAAGCTTTCCCGCCTCATGGGGGTTCCAGCTTAGGCCAAATCCCTCCTTCTTGTGTCCATGGAGCTCAATTTGAGGGTTGACCTTTCCCTGAGGCTGGCTGGAATGCTTAGTACGGTCAAAGATGAGAATCTTTCCATCGATGCACATAGTCGCAAGGATGTCGGGATTCTGGGGTTGGTATCGGGCCTTGTTGACCTCGCCGGGGTGATCGATCTTCTGCGTAATGTTGAACTTGATCTTGGCGACCTCGCCGGCCTTGCCGTAGCCACCAACCTCACCCCTGTCCTCGTCGAAATCCTCGGCGTTGGGCTCGGCGGCCTTTGGGATTTCTACCTCGGCGATTTGGACGTAGTTGGGCTTGTCGTCTGAGGTGTGAGTGCCGATGAGGAGGCGGTGGATACGGACATTCTTGTCCTGGGGCTCCTTTACGTCGGGGAACCATTGGGTGGTGAGCGTAGGCCACTCCAGGGCAGTGCTGCGAGGGGCGGGATTAGCGCGTCTACACTCATCCGGCAAGAGAGCTTGGAAGAACAAACCTTAGGATCATGTCATAGAGGAAGGGGGTATTCTTCTTCCAGGTCTTATACTCTAATGGTGAGGCAATGTCAGTAAGTTCGCCTTTGCCGCTGAGGATATGAGTGCATCTACGAGGAAATTTCGAAGCCCGTACCCTCATTGATGAGTCTGTTCTCCTCATTTTCATTCTCATCCTCATCGTACATCGGAACATCTACTCGTTCAAACAGATTAGCCTCATCCTGTCATCAATGAAATAATCACATATGAGAAGACAGAAAACAAAACAAATATACGAGAGTTAGCTCCATGAGTGGGCCCCAGTCCATGAAAACCACAGCCAGAAGCTCATCGGCTCTGAGAAAACCATCTAAATGCCAGTCAAAGACTTACCTTCCACAGGTTCTGGAGCCATCGTGTATAACTAGTTGGTAATTCCTTGGGATTTGTTCGTCTTCGCTCAACAGGTTTGGTGTTTGTATGATGGAGACAATCGCCTCGGTCTCCTGTGATGAATGTGGAGGGGGGAAGGTTACAAGCTCGAACAGGATGCTGAAGATTGAACAAACACACCAAGCGAAGTCGCGGTCTTCGCCTTGCGACGCGTTAAGTGGGATGTACAAAGGTACAATTCAATTGTACCAGCCACAAAAGCTTAGTCAGGCCCCTTCTGTCAAGCACAATTTGTACAGACAATGCCAGCCTTGTTCAAAGAGTGGGGGTGGAAGGAGCTTCTGGTGTCCAAGTCTGGCTGGGGTGATTCTAAAGAGAGGGGCGAGCCCTGGGTACAGGCCTGGACCTTCATACAGTGTGATAAATGTCATGCATGTAAGTATTGAAGCTGCTGTTTTGGCTGTTTGACCACAGTGTCAAATTTTGACACTTTTACTCATTACTCACTCGCCGTGCCCAGCCATAGCCTCACCAAGCAGGCAGACACACCCCACAAGCCCAGCCATTCATCATTGATGGATCCGCCACTCCCCCTCCAGAACCTCAGTGTTCCATTTCCTGCTTTCCTCTGCCTTGCCCAGCCCACATTTGCATCTCATATTGCCCCACGCTCCCACTGCTAAGCTGTGCTGCTGTTCCTCGTCTCTTGACAACAGCTAAGTGTTCACCCTCAACTCTCCTTCAGCAATTGCCCCGTCAAGTCACACCACTGGTCTTCTGGACAATCCATCTTCCTTGTCTATATTGGTCTCTTCTGCTGCCCTCTGTCATATTTTAGACTTGTTTCTACATCTTCTTAGCTTTCCCTAGCTTGACTGCAGTGTATGCGACTCCTACGATTAGCATCAACTGTCAAAACACTTCTGCGAGTTTTCTTTAGCTTGAGCGCAGCTTCTGTACCCTAGATGGGAATATTGCATTAGAGGTCAAAAGCTCTTTTGTCTGATCTATCAACTCAATTTTTTTTCTCTTCTCTTTCTTCCTCGACTTCCTACTTCCTCCCTCCCACCAGGGTGGTTTCAGTCTGTCCACCTCCCGACCTCTGTTTCCCACTGCGGTTGTATAGACGGCGAGCCGTGGTTTCAAAGAACCAATTTTCATTACGCCATCCGAGATATCTATTTTCCCTGCAATAAGACACCATGGGGTAAGTTGGAGTGCGAAGCGCGCAGATCTCTGGTCGCGTTGGGCGTCGCTGGTCGCTAACCTTTGGGTGTCGCTAGTGTTCCCAAATTCTTCCGATGGATATCAGAGCGATATCCCGGCATCTCTCAGCTTATCGCCGAGAACCGAATCCCCGAATTCGACTGTCTCTACGTATGCGCTCGTCCGATCGTCTTCGATCGCACTTCTTCTGCCCTCCCCCCCGTGCTTGTCTTCGACCACGCGCTAATCTATCCATGTTGCGTAGCTTGATATGAATGGTATCATTCACAACTGTACCCACAAAGACGCTGGTGAAGATGTCGCCTTCCGTCTCAGCGAGGAGGAGATGTTTATCCGCATCTTCAACTACATCGAACACTTGTTCGGGAAGATCAAGCCCAAAAAGCTCTTCTACATGGCCATCGATGGTGTGGCCCCGCGAGCGAAGATGAACCAGCAACGAGCCCGAAGATTCAGGACCGCCCTGGATGCTGAGAAGGCTCGTGAAAAGGCCGTTCGGGAGGGCGTTGAGCTTCCCAAAGAGCCGCCTTTTGACAGCAATTGTATCACGCCTGGTACGCCTCCACTCTTTACCACAAGCTGCCAGCTAGGTATCCTGGCAGCCTCTAAGAAATGTCGCTAACAGAAGGCAGGAACCGAGTTTATGGCCAAGCTGTCCCACCAACTAAGATATTTTATCAATAAGAAGGTCTCCGAAGACTCGGATTGGCAGGGTTGTGAAGTCGTCCTCTCTGGTCATGAGGTGCCGGGAGAGGGTGAGCACAAGATCATGGAGTACATCAGGAATGCGAAAGCTCAACCTGAGTACAGCCCTGATATCCGTCACTGTCTATACGGCTTGGACGCAGATCTCATCATGCTTGGTCTGCTCAGTCACGACCCCCACTTCTGTCTTCTTCGAGAGGAAGTTACTTTTGGACGGGCTTCCAAATCCAAGTCGAAGGAGCTCGAGCACCAAAACTTCTACCTTCTTCATCTCTGCATTGTAAGAGAATATTTGGAGCTAGAATTTCAGGAGTTGAAGGACCCGGAAACTCTTGGATTTCCTTTTGATCTCGAACGCATCATTGACGACTTTATCCTTATGGCCTTCTTCGTCGGCAACGACTTTTTGCCCAACCTTCCTTGGCTCCATATCAACGAGGGCGCCCTCGCCTACATGTTTCGCGTGTACAAGAGAATTCTTCCCAAGTGCGAAGGCTACATCAATGAGCTTGGAGTTATTAACCTGAAGCGCCTTGAGCTACTCTTGACTGAAATTTCTCAGGTTGAATTCGATCATTTCGAGAATGACGTCGCCAACGAAAAGTGGTTCCAGTCCAAGCAAATGGAGGAGAGCTTGCCCAATACTAAGAAGAAGACCCCCAAAGGCCAGCTCATCATCACCTCTGCGCAAAGAGATCTTTGGAAGAAAAAGATCAAACCCTTCGTCACCAACAGATCTTCGAAGCCCTTGAACCTTGGCTCTGGTCTCAAGGCTGAGGATCGAGAGTTCGTCAAGACACTGGCGGACACTCTCCGCCTTGAATGGACCACCCAGGAGGACGAGAGTGGAAACCGAAGTCTGGTTGTTTCGTTTCCCCCCAAACCTGCCGGGTTTGAAGATGAAGACGATGATGATGACGACGATGACGAGGAAGCGAACATGGCCGTTTTCCGTGTCGTTAAGCAGTATGATCGAGCCATGGTGGTTGACGTCACCTCCGAACAGGCCCAAGCAAATTACGACAAGGTCTACCAGGAGAAGTATCAGGGATGGAAGTCCAAGTACTACCTCCAGAAGTTTGAGTGGCCCTTGGAATCCTACGATGCTGAGCTTGTTAAGCTTTGTGAAAACTACGTCCAGGGTCTCCAGTGGGTTCTGTACTACTACTATCGTGGTATCGCGTCCTGGCCCTGGTTCTACCGCTACCACTACTCTCCGCTCATGTCAGGTACGTCCTATCTATTCTTTGCCGAAGTCCCTTTGCCCGTTCTAACCTTAGCTTTCCAGATGTTGTCAAGGGCCTTGGCGCCGACCTCAACTTCAAGAAGGGCGAGCCTTTCAAGCCATATGAACAGCTCATGGGCGTACTTCCCGATCGCAGCAAGAGCATTGTCCCAAAGGTCTACTGGGAATTGATGACCGACCCCAACTCTCCCATCTACGACTTCTATCCGCGAGAGTTTGAGCTGGATATGAATGGCAAGAAAATGGATTGGGAAGCCGTTGTGAAGATTCCGTTCATCGATGAGGAGAGGCTGTTGAACGCCATGGCCCCGAAGAACAAACTATTGACATCGGATGAGGATGCCAGGAACCAGTTTGGTGTCGCGCTCAAGTTTACCTACTCACCCGATGTCGACTATGTCTATCCCTCATCGCTGGTTGGCGTCTTCCCGGATCTGCCCAACTGTCACTGCGTAGAGAACATCTTTGAGCTCCCTGATACGGAAGGTCTTGAATACAGGGTTGGCCTTGTTGATGGCGCGAAGCTGAATATCGAGGCACTCGCCGGTTTCCCAACTCTACACACCCTGCCATATGAGGGTCTTCTCGTCGAGGGTTATGGCATCAACGTCTTCCAGTCAGAGAGCAGGAACCCCAGCATGATTATCACGCTGACGGACTCCGATGCTAGGTCCAAACCGGAATATGCTATCCAAAAGCTTGGCAAGCGGTGCTTCGTTGGATACCCTTTCCTCCAGGAGGCAAAGGTCATCAAGGTGTCCGACTCTCATTTTAACTACCAGCTCGATGCTAATGGTCACGTTAGCCAAACTCCCCAGTCAGGCAAGGAGCTTAATGAGTTCCCCAAGGAGGCGAACTACATTGAGAACTGGCATGCCCGACGTCTTGGTATCACCATCGGCACAGTTGAGACTCTTGTGCATGTGCATATGCTCAAGGGTCTCGTCAAGACGGAGGAGGGCGCGCTTATCAAGGAATATGGCGAGAACCCCAGCTTGCGCAGCACATACGCTTCCCAAACTATTGTGGACGAGGTAGTCAACGAGGATGAGCGCTTTATTGAAAAGGCAGCCGTCCCGATCGAAGAAGAATTCCCGGTCAATACCCAAGCCTTCTTCCTGGGTGACTTCAACTACGGAAGACCTCTTATCGTCTCGGGCCACTCAAACAATAAGGCGGAGATTAGGTTGTCCGTCCTGAAGCAGAAGGAGCCCGAATTCGCGAAGGCCATCATCCACGAGGCGTTCCGATCTAACAGATACGTGCCATCGTACGCCGTCGCGAAGCAGCTGGGAATCGACGCGCTTGTCCTCAGTAAGATTACGTCGTCGTACCGAGTCAACACGGGGGCGGGTCTAAAGGTTAATCTCGGACTGAATCTGAAGTTCGCTGCCAAGGGGCAGAAAGTCTTGGGCTATTCGCAAAAGTCGGGAACGGGTTGGGAGTTCAGCAATACTGCGATCCAGCTGATTGCAAGCTTCATGGTTACTTTCCCCGACTTCTTTGCGGCCATGCACAGGGTTGCTGTCAAGAGCGACGTCGCGGATACCGATCTCTGGCCCGACCCCACGACGGCTGGCACGAGGATCAAGGAAATTGGCGCGTGGTTGAAGCAGCAAGGAATCAGCAAGCTTGAGCGGGTTCCATTGGAAGCGGAACAGCTCGACTCTAATGTCGTCATGAAGCTAGCCGAGGTTGGCGAAGAGGTCTCGCAGCTTAACAAAGAACCCGCTATGAGGTCGATGAAGGGGGTCCCTAGATCCGCCATTCTCAAGCCGGCCGACACGGAGCTTCTCTTGGGTAACCAAAAGTTTGCTCTGGGAGACCGTGTTACGTATGTTTCGGCCGCCGGTAAAGTCCCGCTTAGCGTCCGAGGAACGGTGGTTGGCATATCTCGTACCGCCACCGCGCTCCTCCTGGATGTTGTCTGGGACCAAGCGTTCATGAGCGGCAACACCCTCGGCGACCGTACACCTCCATTCCGAGGCCAAACTGTCCCCGCGTCGTCGGTCCTCAATACCACGAACAAGCAAGTGGTGACGGGCTCCAAGGCCGCTCTTGGTAGGAACCCCGTGCGAGCCGTACCGGCTCTTACCACTTCTTCCTACGATACGACGGGCATGCCCCAATACAGGGATGCTACTCCTCCCCCGCCTCTACGAGGAGGTTGGAGCGGAGCCGTTAATGGTGGCCGTGGTCGAGGCCGCGGCGGTCGCGGAGGCCAGCCTGGAGCGGTGGTTAACCTTTCCCACCGCCCACACCCCAACGCTTCGGGTACGAATAGCCCACGAGGAGGAGGATCTGCTCACCCCGGAGTCAATGGCCGTGGTCGAGGCCGGGGAGGACCCAGAGGCTATAGCGCCTCGCCTCACACTCCAGGTTCTGGTACTGAGTCACCTGGCCTGCCGGGGAAGACACAGTATAACATGGTCCCACCACCCTCGAATCTGGACACCCCGCCTAGCGGCGAACGCGGTGGCCGAGGTAGGGGCCGTGGGCGAGGTGGACATCGCGGTCGAGGCGGCGGCTTCAACCGGGGTCGCGGTGGAGCGTCGAGCGGAGCTGGCACACCCTCGTCCTAGAATGACGACAGTGATGACTATTATTTCCAAGCGTATCTCTGAACCGCGATTGCCCTTCTCATGTTTTCTTCCTTTTTTGTTCCCTCTCTTCCTACAAAGCGACGACGCGACGACGTGTTTCCCTCCTCTTGGTTTCTGAATTATTCTCAGCGGAGTTCGCCTCTCGATGTATACAAACTCCTCACGTTTATATTTCCTTTTTTTCTGTTACGAAGAAACGAAGTTGACGCACCACGACCGGCTACACAGGCATTTTGCGACACCGCATTCTTGCATTCTTTTTTTCTGCATAGGACCGGGGCGTCTTGTGTTTTCTTCTCTGAATGAACCTTGACATACGCATACGAGGGACCGCATTGGGTGGCACTGATTTACGTAGAAGGGAAAAAGAAAAGAAGACGGAAGGGAAAGAGAAAAGTACTTTTTGTATTAGGGGATTCGGGACGGTGAATCGAGCTGTCGTCCTCGGTTGGTTCTTTTGTCGGGCGGCCTTTGGTAGCGAGTTGGACAGCGAGACGGGGATAGGAAACTTGTGTTTGATTTTGGCTTTAGGCGTAGAGAGCTATAGCCCGAAGCGGGAAGAACAGGCGATGTTTCTTTTTTTTTTTCTTTTTTTTTCTTGTCTTTTTGCCTTGCGCTTTCGTGTGATACCTGTTGAAGCTATGTGCCATGTTTACTGTTTGCGATGGGGTATTTTCTGTGACAAGGTGGCAATACCTGGCTAGAGCGCAACGGCATGAAGAAGACAAGGCAGTAATTTTGCCGGTGTCATCACGAGGTAGCCTCTTCCAGTCCTTCGAATCTACTTGTAGTTGGTAGGTCAGTTCCAAAGCGACAAGAAAAACAAAAGTGTATTCCATGACGCCTCGAGATATCCCTAGCTTGACCAATCCAAGCCCCCCAAAAAGCTAGTATCGACACCGCAGTGTTGTTTTGTCTTGTTTTTCGAACCCTCTCTCGCTGCTCAACCCATGCCATCACCATTGAAGTCCCCCAACTCAATTCTTATTCTTCAGCGCCGGAAAGTCAAACAACTTGCTAACGCCGCCCTTCATCGCCTCCCACTTCCCGTAGGCGCGCTCCTGGTTCCAGGTAAGCAGGCCGACCCAGGGCTGGACGTTGTAGTGGAGCTTGAGCTTGACGTCGGAGACTTGGGCGACTTTTCCGGAGGGGTGGGTGATTTGGTATTTGGGGCGTTGGTTGCGGAGTTTGAGGATGCCTCTGTTTTTTTTTTTCATCTTGTCGTTAGTATCTCCTCCTCAGAAGAACCGAAACCTATCTCAAAGAAGGAAAGAAAAAACGTACCGGCTAGGATCAATACTCTTCCCCGCCGCACTCCTCCTCAACTTCTTCATAGTCGCGGGCCCCACATTCGCCAAATGATCCGAGCTCGGGCTCGTGATGATAGAGTCCCAGATGACGGCGCTATTCGTGGCGTTGGAGCCGGGGGAGTCGGGCCACTCGGCGGTGACGTAGACGAAGAGCTGTTTGGTGTTCCAGGTGATGAGGGAGGAGAGGTCTGCGTCGAGGGAGAATTTGATGGAGGCGTATTCTTCCTTTTTGGGGGAGTAGTAGTGGACGCGGCCTTTTGTTCTGTTTTGAAGGAGTTAGGCATTTTTGCCCTCTGATTTGCGAGAGATGGGAAGGGAGAGAGATGGGGGGGACTAACACTGAGAGGTTCTCGACCTTGATGGTGCCGCTGGGGGTTCGTGGCGCGAGGAGGTCGGAGAGGGCGATTAAGATGCCGAGAGTGAAGACGACTGTTGTGAAGAAGGAGAAGGTGTTTTGGAGGCGGGTGAGGGAGTTGTGCATGGTGGGCGAAGCTGGGGGGGATTTGATGGGGGAAGTAGAGGTGGGAGAGCCGTTGCTCAGATGGATAAGAAGAGGCAGAAACTGTAAATTGAAAGTCGAAACTAAAAAGAAAGAGGGGAGATAAATCAATTGCGGCGACACCACATGGGTCTTGAAGGTGATGTGGTAGCTGTATGTAATAGGGCGCGGAGGACGAGGTCGCTGGAGGGTGTGCGAGGGTCTGAAGCTTGTGCCTTGGTGAGGCCACGAAGCTCGAATTGGCGTTCAGATGCGATGCAGCCTTGTGAGAGGTGGAGCTGGCATCGATAGCTACAAATTTCGACCAATAATAGCGCGGGATACCAGATGAATTTAGGACCAATGAGAATTTCAGTCTCAACGTCACTCCAACTTGCTTCACAACCATCAACGACGTTTTCTACGACGACTTCGTCCATGATTATGTTCCTTTGATATGCCTGGATTTCAATTCATCTGATTAGACTATTGCTTCGTATCGCTAGATAAGGGGTACCCGGACCGAAAATTGCATTTCGAAAGAAAGGAAAAAACAAAGTTCCATCTTCAACCCTTAACACTTGTCGGCAGTGACGAGAACCCCCATGCCCATCGGATCCCAAATCTTGCCCTTGGTCTGCAAGTGCTTACCGCCCAAGCGCGGACAAACAATATCCGTAACCGTAACCGCATAATCCGCCACGTAGTTCCAAGTCCTGTGATACTCCTGGCGGTCGGTCCTGGGCTCCCAGCACAGGTAAATCGCCGAATTATTCGAGCAGCTAACGCGTCCGCATCCCTTCCCCTTCATGACGGCGTGGTCCTTGGGCACCACGCGGAGGTAGTCGATGCCCTGCTTGATCCTGTCGAGGTTGGCCCACTCGCCCTTGGAGCAGTCGGCGTTGGCGACCTCGATCTCGGGTTGGAGGTCGACCATGTCGTCGTCGGGGTCGGGGTCTCCGCCGGAGGAGGACTGGGAGGTGCTGTGGTGCTCGGGGAGGCCGAAGTCGTAGTTGGGGTTCAGTTTCTTGACTTGCTCGACAACTTCTTGGATGGTGCCGGTGAGGGCTAGGTCCTCGCCGTTGGAGCCCCAGGGGCCCGTGAAGGTGGTGGGGATGATTTTGAAGCCGGCGGCCTCGAGGACTTGGGCGGCGTTTGGGGAGTTGTCGAGGTCGATGGCATCGAGGGGGTGGGCGGTGATGGCCTAGATATGGAGGTGTTCATCAAGTTAGGTTTCATCGCTCATTGAGAAGCTTGGGTGTGGACAGGGCTGAGGAACCCGTAGGAGAGGGAGAACATAAAATAAAGGAGAACCAACCTTGAAGGAAGCAGCAAGAAGCGCGAAAAGAGCAGGGACTTTCATGATTGCTGATTCGTTGATTGTGGTTTAACAGTAGCTCAAAGTAACTGCCAATCGGAGCTGTAGACTAGAAGAACAATGGAAGTCTTCAGCTAGCATTTTGGTGATGTGGTCTAGGGAGAAGAAGGGAAAGAGGAACAGGAATTGCGTGATGAATGCTCACATTTATAGTTTTCAGAGGATTCCTTCGCTCTAGTAGTGATTGTGACCTTGGGCCGCCTAGAGGAAGGAGCGAGTTGAGGGAACAACTGGAGTAAGAACAATAGGTGTGAAAAAAAGAAAAAAAAAAAAGTGGATGTGGTGATTTTGTAGGTCCTTAGAGAATCAGACTTCGCTGTGAATGGTGATAGATGGGGGAAGGAGTAAGACTGTACCCTCTCTCTCCTCTAGATTCTTGATTGTCCTGGGTGGGCAAGCTGATTTGGATCTACAATCTGAGAATAGAATGAGAATTGAGAATAGAGAATAGAGGGTGAGGCTACTTGCCACTCTAGAACACCTTCTCAGCCCTCAACAGACAGAAACAAGAATGACCTCGGGTCCCATGGTTACTCGACTAATTCTCCAGACAATGGGTCACATTCGTATTCATCAACAATGTTGAAAGAACATTAATGTTAAAGAGTAGTCTAACCTGTACTGTACAATATATCTAGATAATACTTCTACATGTCTAGCTGAGCTCATGACTTGCTAGCCGACTGACTTGACGAGAGATGGTCTGGTAGATCTTGCCCCAGTCTTTTGTCCTCCCAAAAACATAATCTTACAGAAAGTTGTCGTGGTTTGTTGTACAATCCCTTCTCCATGTTTTGTTTTACATGCCCGCTCACAGTCTCCCAGCATTTCCCATCTCTCTCTTTCTCTCTCTCTCTCTCTCTCTCTCTCTCTCTCTCTCTCTCTTTTCTACTCCTTCCCCGCCTCATCCCCAAAAACCTCCTCCCACTCCAGCGCCTCCTTCCGATCCACAAACCAAACCGGCTTCCCCTTCGTCTGCTTCTCTAACCTCCTCCTAAAATCCGACCCAGCCTTACTCAACCGAGGCAGCGCCCGTCCGAACATCACATGCCACTGCTTATCCCGCTCGTCCTCCGTGTTCATCAGCGCCCTGCGCCGCCGCGCCTTGACTAGCGCGTACAGCTTCTTGGCCCGGTCCTCGCTCATCGTCCGCACCGAGTACTCGACCGACCACCGGTCCGTGGTCGTTAGTGACGAGGGGCGGGTGACGTATTTGCCATTGACCTTGTTGCGGATCGTGAGGATCATGCCGAGGAGGTCTTCGGAGGGGTCTTCGACGTCGAATTCGGCTTCGGCTTCGGCTTCTGCTTCGGCTAGGGCGGCGACGGCGGCTGCTGCTTCGTCGGTGGGGGGTGGTGAAGTGGTGTCTGTGGTTGGGGAGTCGATAGAGGAGGAGGAGGAAGTGGAAGGAGAGTCGGGAGAAGAAGTGGTGGTGGTGTCGGCATCGGCGGCGTCGGCGGCGGCGTCAGTAGAGTCAGAAGCAGAAGTTGTCTCCTTCGTCGACTTGTCGCCACCCTCGTCACCAGACTCGACGAGGAGTTGGACGAGAACGCGCTCGAACGTTTGAAGTTTCGTAGGCTTGGATGTCTGCTGCTCAGCAAACATAGATTCCTCCTCGGGGCTGAGGGCCGGCCTGTCATCGACTTGCTCGGCGAGTCGCATGATGAGGTCTTTGAGCGTGACCTTACGGTGGCTCTCGACGGCGGCAGCTTCTTCCGCCTCTGCAGCTGCAGTGTCTTCTTCCACGGTTATTCTGTCCTCGGCCGAAGTGGGGTCTGCTTCGGGCGACTCGGATGCAGCCTTTTCAACGGGACTGGACTCTTCTGCAACGAGCGACTCAGGAACAGGCTCGGAAACCGCGGGCTCAGGCTGGGCCGGGCCGAACGTCTGAGAGACGGACTGAGCCATCGCTCGCTCCTCCTCATCGACAACATCTTCTTCCACAGAACCCTGCTCCTCCTCTGCCGTGCTCGTCTCTTGCTCCGCCGTAACATCATCCGTCAGGATTTCCAAAAGCGTCTCGACATAAGCCTGCACCTCCTCAGGAGTCTTCCCCTCAACGAGCCCGCTCTGCTCAAGCGCCTCCTCGATACTCCTCCTCACATATCCGACACCCAACTCATCGCTCTTCACGGCCTCCTCGGCCTTGAGGTTCATCTCCGTCCACACAGCCAAACTCATCCCATCAGAATACCTCGGCTCATCCGACTCAGCATCGAAGCCCGCCTCAAACTCATCCTCCTCCTCCACATCCGCCTGCCGTTGCGCCATCCCCATCATCTGCTTCTCAAACTTATCGACCTCGGCACGCCTCATGCTCTGCGCGTGATGTATCCGGTCGTCCGCGACGGGCCTGGCGAAGAAGTACAAAAGTGGTGGATTCGTGGGCCGCGCCTCGACGTGGATGCGTAGCGACTGGTTCGGGAACTTCTCCGTCGCGCGGTTGAGCAGCTCGTTGAGCAGGTGCACGCTGAGCCTGAACTCCTGGTCGCCCAGATGCACCGTGTTGGTGCCGTGGATGGCCAGGTCCATCTCCTCAATGGGGATGTACTGGAAACCGAAGATGCGCTGCGTGTTGTGGTAGGCGACGAAGATGCCGTCCATGCGGCCCATGCGTACCTGCAGCGAGTACTTGAGGAATGCGGACCGGATCATGTCGTAGTATTCGCGCTCGAAGGACTCGAATTGGCCGAGGCGGTGGCGGATTTCGTAGCCAAGTCCCTTGTGGTAGTCGTATGCGTCCATGCGGATTGCGAGCACAGCGCGCGTCTTGATGTCGAACATGCCTGCCTGGGGTAATCGGGGATCGTGGGCGTCGAGCTGTGATCGGAGGATAAAGTCTCCTAGCGTAGTGTAGTGGAAGGCCTCCTCACCATTGCGTTGCTCTTCGGTGAGTTGATCGGATTTGGAGCGCCGGAACAGTTCGTACTCCTCCTTGGGCACCGTAAATAGCTTCTCCATAGATTTGCCCATCATGCTGAGAATGTTGGCCGTATCGAACTGCTTGTCGGCATCGATGGCGTAAATTCCATTCTTCCAATGGAGAAAAGTCGCTGCGGGAGCGCGTAAGATCCTTGTAAAATTTGTGCTCTCCGGAACGAACTCCTTGGACGTGTTGGCCGGGTTGATGGGTCGCCACGCAGAGAGAAGATAATGAAAGTGAGCCAGCATAGAACTCATGCTCGATGTCGAGCCGCTGTATTTCTTCTTGTTCTTCGCCGCCAGCTCGATTAACTGAGCGTCCTCCGAGGACGAAACGAAGGCCTTGAGCGCCGAGAAGTCGAACTGATCGATGGGCATGATCGTCGCGAGGTATGGGTCGAAGTTGTACACTTTCGACCTCGTATCCTGCATCGGGTATACGCCAGGCTTAAACAGACACCGGTCAAGGTTATAGGAGAGCCTCGGCACACTCAACGGGGGCTGCGGAAGCGGAGTCAACTTGAGACTCCGCGCCGTCACCCGATGAACCTCCAAGTCGCCCTTCAAATCCTCAGCATTCCCCTCCCCACCCTTTTTCGACTTCCTCCCTGGCTTCTTCTTGCTGGTCGAAGCCGAAGCCCCTTCCTCCCCCTTCGCAGCCGCAGGCGAAGTAGCCTTTTTCCTCTTCCGCTTCGGAGGCGGCTCCACGCCATTCAACGACTCGACGGAAATCTCCCTCCTCTCCAACACGGACTTGACCACCCCCGCCGCATCTTCAACACTCTCACTCCCATCCTCCGGTGCTGCCACCGACGCCGCCGCCGCTAACTCATCGTGCTGCCCAGCTATATATTCGTCGACTCCGCCGATCATGGCCGCATCCGGTTGCTCGGAGAGCATCGCCAGCGACGACCTTAGAGATTTCGTCGACGATCTGCTATATTTTTTCGATTCGAGTCGCCGAGTTCTCGTCTTCGCAGAAATCGACTTGCCCCGTTTCGAAGCTTTGCCTCGCCCCGAAGTCGTCTTATTTCCTTCCGTCGAACTCTTCTCGCGTATCGTGCCCGGCACGAAGCGCCACGGCGCCGAAGTGGCCCAGCATCGCTCGTGGATCCCGAGGGTAGTGCGCTGTAGGAGGGAGACTTTGCGCGCGCCGCTGAGGGCGTAACTCCGCAGGCGCAGCATCCTCGACAGAATGCTTTAAGTTCTGGTTCTTTCTTTTTTGTTCGCCCTCGACTTTTTCGGTTCAATTAGGCTTGTTTTTCGGTGATATTAGAATTACCGGGTTCGAATTAGGTCGCTATCGATTCCAGGACATCGTTCTGCCGGTCTAATAGAACGATGGGAAGAGTTACTTGAACGGTGGCGGATACTGACTTGTAGAAATTTGAGTTCTGAAGCTGTGGGAGCTTTCCTTGTCCATAACTTTTTTTTCTTCTTTCCATTTTCTTGATTAGGCGCGTTGGTCAGCGCGTTGTACAAAGTACTTCGTGCAACGCGCTGACACAACCTGCAGCTCTCGAAAGTACGTACCTCCCTCACTGCCATCACGACGACCACCAATTATCGCTGGAAGAGCCTCAAGCTCGACAGAGTACAGGGACTTCAGCCTGCTTACCTTGCACTGCTGCTTGATACACTCGAGATTATAGCGGTTGCCACCTGTGTAGAGAATCACCATGATCGGGTAGCTCTGGCTGCCACGAACTTCGTCCTCAAAATGGGTATTATAATTAATCTCCCACTCATTTCTCATCCATGAACTTTACACCTTCCTTCCGCTGGCTGGAATATGCACGCAAATCAAAAGATTTCCCACTCCTGTATAAATGAACCCAGGCCTGCGGCCTCCAAGACTCCCAGAACTCCGTAACCCTCACGCACTGCACCAAGACTATAAGCCCCATGTAAGCTGAAGGGGCGAAAAGCAAGTTTGGCTCAAAATAATGATAGAACGCCATAAAAATATAGGCGACGCCTCCGCCAACATCAAGCATTATTCGCAGCCAAAGCTCTACTAGCAAACCCCGTCGCCGCATTATGAGCCTGATTCGCCTCCTCCGTCTGGCCCTGCACTTCATGCGAATGGGCAAGCATACCATCCGCCACGCTCATCCACAGATAATTGCCGTTCCGTCTCGCCTGAGTCGACGCCGCCTTAGCGCTCTTGAGCGCCTGCTCACCCACGACGTTCTCAAAGAGCCGACACCTCATGATGTTGAGCGAAATCGCCAAGAAGTGCGTATTGCCGGCCATCTTCGAAGCGTTGAGGGCCGTATACATGCTGTTCTTGACCTGCTGGAGAGGCGGAGGCGGCTGCATCGTGATCGTCGCGAGGATGATGTTGTACGCCGTCCGGATCTCTACGTCGTGGTGATCCTGACATAGCGGCCGTATCCTATCAAAGAGCCGCGTGGACTCTATCGTGTTCCGGTACTGAGGATGTTCCATGATCCACAGAAGATTCATCTTGGCTAGGAGCGACATGTCAAGCCGGATATTCCTCTGCTGCGTCGTCGCGTCGCCAATCTCGAACCTGGGGTCGTTGTAGATGATCACCGCCTTTTCGAGGTCACCCGTTCCCTGGTAGTAGATGCCCCATACGTAGAGTGATATGATCTCCATAGCGCTGTTTGCCGAAGTCACAACAGCTGCCTGAACTTTGTCAAGGCTTTCTCTTACTTTGCCCCATCTGCTTTGGGTGGCAGAGTAGAGTGCAATTAATATGTGGAGGTAGCAATGCACTTCGTTTCTCCAGTTAGCGCGACGGACGGCATCTTGCAAAGACGGGAGCGGGTTCGTATAGCTTGGGCTCCTCTCTTTGTTCCCTTTACGTATTGTCAGTATTGTACTGCGTTACAGAATGCGGTAGACAACCTACATCTCGCCAATGTGTCGAGCGCCTCCTCCCAGAAGTCCAGCGTTCTATGCTGGCTGCCGGTCGACCTTGAGACAAAGGCTAAGCCACTAAAAGTCATCCTGTACCCACATTTGTTAGCTTCTGGAGAAACGGTCTTCAGGTGGAAACGCCCGCGGTTTTCTAGGGAGGCACACTTACACCAAAATATATAGCTCCGCCTTGGCCACGTACGAGAGAACAAGGTAGTCGTTAGAATCTTCCGGTCGGCCCGCTTCAATAATGGCGGCGGTGTCTTCGCTTATTGGCGGCGTTCCCGACGCTTTCTTGATGGGCAGCCTCAATGAAGCGGCTGAGGTCTGCCAGTCAGTGGCCTCGTCCATGCGAATCTGCAATGCCTTCAACTTCTGAATCATGATGTCCGGATTTTTCTGCTGCATGCTGCACGCAAGATCGAGCAATAGAATGAGAATGTCCACCTGCGGTATCCGGAGGAGAGGGTTGAGCTGGTATTTGGACGCTCTAGCGATGCACTCCTGCACCCGATCGAGGGTGTCCTCCTTGGTTGTTTTGAGAAGGGCTAGGCCTTCTAGCAATGAGGCAAAAGCTTCGAGAGCGTAGTCGCCACGGCTGTGCGCAAACGATGCTATCGTTCGTAGATTCTCTAACGCTGGACCGTCGGACGGCATTCCAGACTGAAGATAGAACGAGGCTTTTAGAAATCGGAATGCGTAATTCCAGTGAGCATGGCGCGAACTAGGAACAGTCAATAATGGCTCTCGAAAAGCAAAATGCAACATGTTTTCTAGACTTACGCAATCTCGGTAATCATGCGATCGGCGGCGTGAAGCGCGCCTTTGACATGTCCTCTCTGAAACAACAGCTTTGCTTGCAGATACGCCATGGAATACTTGAGATCAAGAAACCGGTGCTAATAAATCGTGTTAGGGGGTTGCTCATAGGGGGAATTAATCAGAATGCGAAGAAACATACCTTGTCGCAAAGCTTGATCCCCTTTGATAGCGCCGTCTCGGCCTCCATCAAGTTTTCCGTGTCCTCATAGAGAATCGACGCGTACCGTAGCCTCACCTTGGCCTCTTGCCTTGGCGTCAGCCGACTGCTTAGCAGAGACGTCTCGAGACACGAAAGACCCGTAGCGATCAACTTCTGATACTCCGAAACCGCGGCACCCGAAGACGACGATACGACATCCTGCAAGTTCCCACGCGCCTTGGCGAAACATTCTTCAGCTACGCAGATGAGCATCGAATTCGTATCGGCGACCAGGGACCTGCCAGATACAGAAGGCGATCTCTTTGATATAATCGAAGACCTCGCCGAGAGAGCCGGAGAGTTCGTCATCGTCGTCTTCGGGCTGGCATGCGACCTTTGCTGTTGCGCCTCCGTATAGCCGCTACCGGTGAACACAGGGCTCTGGCCGATGGCTGGACTCTGCGCCTGTCGGGGAGGCTTTGGGGCTATTGGGGCGACGGGTGACTGGATAGGTGGAGGTCCCGGAGTGGCCACATGTATCGAATCGAGCGTCACAACTTGGTGGGCAGGTGATGACGGTACCGGTGCGGGCGTCGGTGTCGGCGCTGGGACTGGTGATGGTGCAGGCATGGGCGAGGTGATCGGCGGTAGCGAAGGCGCGAGCACAGGGGAGGGTGAGTACTGGATGGGCCGAGGAAGTTGCTGCGCTTGGTGGATGCGCTGTGCTTGCTGCATATGAAGTTGTTGATGGGGATAAACGGGCGTCGACCTGCCGACCAGATGGGACTGCGATTGTCCGTCAAATTGCATAATCGAAGGCGACTGCTGTAGAGTTTGCGGTTGTTGCTGCTGACGGGACAGCTGTTGTTGGGGCAAAGTCGGGCTATAGACACTCGGGAAAGGCGTGAGCTGGGCCTGGGTGTGCATATTCCCATTTACCGCCAACATGTTGGTTGTATAGTATGAAGGAAGCTGCTGGGGCTGTTGTTGGTGCTGTTGCTGTTGCTGATGTTGGCGCTGGAGCGGGCGCGGCTGGAGCGGCGGTTGCTGTTGGAACTGCTGGTGGTAATGATGTTGATGCGTCTGCGTTTGCTGCGGATGGCCTTGCATCTGATGCCCCTGATGTCCAACCCCGCCCATTGCATACGACATGTCGGGAAACTGCGTCCCAGCAGGAGGCATATTTCCATACATTTGGTGATATGGGACTTGGGGTAGGCGCTGCTGGCCGTTAAACCCCTGCCCTGAAGGCAAAGAGCCTCGGTAGGTCATCGCAGCGAGGACATGGGATGCGAGTAACGATGCAGGACGGGGCGACGTGCTCGATCTCGAACGGATGCAAGGCGAATTCCGAGGAACGGTTGTATCGGATAGCGGTGATTGTGAAAGCGCGAAGAAGATGCTCGTTGGGATCGATACGCGTCTGGATCTTATTCGGAATAGATCTTTGTCTATCGTCGGCTCGACGAGAAATACGTACTACCTCGCGCGCTAGAATAGAGTGACCCTGAGGCTTCACGAGAAGATGCGATTGTTCTACCGATGGGTGAAGACACAAAAAAAAAAAAAATACACAGCGAGACGAGGAAGGAAAGGCTACGAGGGATGAGGGACGTCGGCTTCGAATGGAAGGAGTGGCGTTGACATGTGGGTCCTATTAGCCCACCATGAGGATCGGAAGGAACAGCCCAATGCTTGTCAATGAACATTTCCCAGCATGACCTCTCGGCTGATGCAAGCAGGAGTCGAACTCAGCCGCCTCCAGTTGCGGCAAAGAATCCACAATCACGTGACCAGAGACACTTTCAGGTACCTCGGTGGTACCCTTGTACAAACAACAAACAAGCAAGGAGGCAGTGACATTTACTCCGTCACCCATTCGGTGGGAATCCATTCCGCGCTGAATTTTATCACATATGAACAGAGTAAGCTTCCCCCCAAAAGGCATCTTGCAGGACTGCCATGGGCGAGATTGCTCTGATGTCGGTCGGGGAGGGTTTGCTCCGGAGGGGTCTGTGTCAGCCCGCCCAAGAACACTACAACGCGAAGAGAGCTAGGCAATCGCGGGGACCTGTAAGGCCAGACCGTAATATAAGGCAAACACCAATCGATATAACCTGAGACCGCCTGGCTGAGTTGTTTTTAAGCCGCCGACCGACGCGTCTGCGTAACATTTTCGTCTGACTGCCTCGTTGATGAGAGCCAGCACATCAAGCATTACTCTTTATATATACTACCCTATCCACTCTCTGCAGTGCCATTGTTGGAGAAGGGACTGGAGCTAGAGTTGCTCGAAATATCATTTAACCCTCCATTGCTGCCCAAGCCAAAATCTTCCATGCAGGTGCGACCCGGATCATTGTTCTTCTGTTTACCTCGGAATTTTATATACAGCAGGAGACTGTCATGTAGGTATCTTTTCCTTTTCTTCATGGAAAACTTCCAAATTTCCCCCACCTCCATCAATTTCTACCCCCTCCAAAAACCAACAGGCTGCGCGTCCCTCTCTCAGAAAGGTACTAGTAAGTACCCTTTTCGCAGCCACACTGGATTCACTTGAGTGTACGAAGTATGTTGTACCTTTTCTCACTAACAATTAATCCTTGACCAGGCTAGCCTTGCCACACCCACACCCCCCAACACAACACGCCCCCTACGTCTTTCCTTATTCTTTTACTGTGTGAGGCGCCTAACAAGGTCAGTGACCAGTTGCGATCTTTCTTCTCAGCCTTGTGGAAGCTGTATTGACCTTCCCGTCTGCCACAGCCTCGCAGAATCCCATAGCAGGCTGAGAGATTGCGATAAGTGGCGTTAATGTCCAAACGACGTCGTCACACAAATCCCCCTCCTACCCGGTCCTATAACTCATCATCTCCAATATCGTCGACACAAGACGACGGCTGGTATTCCATCAAAGAGATACTAGATGAGAGGAGAACAAAGTCAGGCAAGCTAGAGTACTTGGTAGATTGGGAAGGATTAAACCCAGAAACCGGAGAGCCTTACGAGCCCTGGTGGGTAAGTAATATTTTCTGCCCCTCTCTCTCTCGCCCCCCTCTCCTGACATTTTTGCGGCCCCTTGTTCTTCCTGGAGAGTGGCGTCCGGAAACGCTAACCTATTTACTCCATTCCAGATACGCGCAAGCGAAGTTACAGCCGATGCAATAGCGGAGTGGAGATTTCGAAAAGCTGCCCGAGAGAAACCCGGCCCCCGACGAAAGGACACAACTCCGGCTGCGTCACTCCGTGGTAGCCGTGCCCCCGAACAGGCTCCCTCTTCTTCAAGCCAGACTCTCCCACGAGCAGCGTCATTACAAATAGACGAGCGACCCCACAAGAAACGACGCTTGAGACCCACCGCATCTGATTCATCGTCGCCCGTTGCGCCCAGTGAATCTCAAGACACCGAATACCGACCTACTCAGGGATGGAATCCGCCTTCCCCACGTTACCGTTCCGGTGAGATCTTGGTAGAATTAAGACCTGCGCCTGACCTTAACCCGTCAGAATACGACACCGTCGGACCGTCGCAGAGTTCGGCAGTAGAGAGCGCGTCTCAACCCCAGAGCTTGCAACTCCAGAACTCACAACCCCCGAGCTCGCAATCTCATTCTTTTCCGTCCTCTCCGCCGGCCCCCCAAAGGCGAGACGTGAGCCAACGAACCATCCCTGACTCACAGGAGCAGCCCTACAGTCAGAGCCAGGACACTCCTATCGGTCCCCGTGCGGCGTCTAATAACCTTCGTGCGATTCTGGGCTTGCCGCAATCCCCAATCATTCTACACAGCTCGCCTCCTGGAATACGTCCGAGACGTCCCCTTCCTTCTTCCCGAGAGCCGTCATCTGCCCGGCCCCGTGCGCTATCTTCATTCTCCCGCCCCTCCTTACCAGGGGTGCTGAGACGACCAGACACGGAGAGCGAGGATCGAGCGACCACAACCTCGCGAAGCACTGCTGCCCGGACTGGCCTTAGCATACCCTCTCGCCAACCGGATCCTCTTCCTACGTACATCGATAGCCAGCGTTCTCCGCTTTCGATACCTTCTTCATACGCTCCCCGATTGAACTCTTCTCAGGATAACCACTCTTACCGTCGTTATTCACTGCCGCCGACCTCAAACCATTCCCAAGTTACTCCACAGTTTCTTACGCAACCGCCTTTGACCCTTCCCGCAATCAGCACCTCATCGTCTCAATCATCACGCACTCATTCATCCTATCGGATAACTCGGACTCCCCTACCCTTCTATCCTAGTACGGGAAGCTCTCGAGTACCTGAGAGCGTTCCTAGCCACCGAAGCCAGAGTTCCAACCATAGCAGAGCTGTTGATTACGGGTCAGCCCAAGCCCGCGAATCCTACCTCTACCTCACCCAAGTTGGACCTAATCCGTTGAACAGCTCCCAACAGCTGAGTAGTAGTGTCAGTCGGAGCACCCAAGAACGGCTTATCCCAGAAACTGTATTGCGCAGGCCACAGCAATACCACCCGGATATTCTAGGAAGGAGACCGCCCTTGTCCACTCTTGTAAACAGAGGGTTTAGCCAGAGGAGCGGCAATCAGATTCCATTATCCCCCAATCGTTCTAAGAATACGGGGGCAAGCCAAAACCACGTCCAGAGTCCAACAGCATTGAGAATGGACGGCAGCCAGCCCCCTCCGAGTTCGGCTGCAGCTGAGCTACTTCAAATGCAGCAACAATTCTTGACACAGCATGAAGAGCCTTTGCCTTCCCTTCTAACTACTTCCTCTTCAGTACAGCCGAGCGCTCCAGACGCAAGAGTGCCAGAGTCCCAGCCTTCTCCTATGAGGGCCCTTCAAGATCCGATGCTTTCAGGCGGCGGAACTCAACCCGAAGAACGGACTAATGTCCTAGGCCCTCCTTTCAGGCCAGATACCGAACGGGAGATACAACCCTCGCTGTCAAGCGCTCCACTATTCCATCCTTCACCAGCTGTACCTACCAGCCATGACATTGTCTCGCAAAGCCAGCCCCCACTCGAGCCTGCGACCATCGCGCCCCTTGATGTGCATCCCCTCACGTTGAACCCTGCGGCGGTGTTCCCATCTAATTTGACGACGGGTACTGAGATTCCTCTCAGTGGCCGTCGACTGCCAAGCCACCAGGACCTCTTCACTCAACCTCCGGAGTTTCATATCGGCGCCGCGACTGATGCGACGAATGAATCAGGTGACGAAAGCAGCGATGCTGAAGACTTGTCGAGGGTCTCCTATCCCACCGAGGTCAAAGAGTACGCAGTTACCCTTCCATTTAATGCGAGTCGCCGCCCACATTACGATGACATGATCCTCGAAGCCCGACCCGATATTGAAGAATTTTGTTCAGTGTTCCATAACGAAGTTTTGAGAACACCCAAGCCCTCGTCCGTCCATAAAATTGAGAAGCTATTTCTGAAGCTGCTTGATGCCTGTGACTACCCCGCAGAACTGAACACGCAATCTCTCAAGACGATGTCACCCAAGGAGATCCAAAAGTATGCCTTCGAGTCAAATTCGAAGTATGCCTTTATCTGGGAACTGTTGCATCTTGTCCAGGACGTCCTTGACATGAAGATTCTCATAGTCGCACGCTCGGAAAAGATCCTCTTCCTACTGCAATCCCTCCTTCTTGCCGACGGATATGCTTACTCGCGGATCGGACTTCGGGACATGCAAGAGGGCCATGCGAAGTGGCCCATCAATGTCGTTCTATCTTTACCCAACCAAGCCCTTGCGGAACGTCCGTCGGACTTTGATCTCATTATTGGTTTCGACTATGAATTTAAGCGCTCCAATATTGCCTCTCGGCTTGCCGAAACTAATTCTGGAGAAATCAAACAGCCCATGGTACTTCAACTAGTTATCGCTCATTCCATCGAACACCTTGATCTCGCCATCACGGAGAGGGACCCCGACATGCCGAGCTTCGACCATAAGAACGCCATCGTCATCGGGTTGACCAAGTTGCGACGGCTTATCCTCAATCCAGACACAGGACGAGAGCTGCCTCATCAGACCGCGGAACGTTTTGCGAATCAGCTTAAGCATTACGATGAGGACTTTGTCTGGGAACCTATCAGCCTGCCTGATGAGATTTTGAACTTTTACCTCGAGTCTAGCCAGCCTAGCCAGCCGCCGCTTGAGCTTGAAAGTTTGCAGAGCAGGAAGCGCAAGCTCGTAAGTGGTGATGAAATGAGAATCCAAATTAATACACACATAAGGGCATAGCTAATCCATTTTTTTTTCTTTTTTATACAATAGGGCGATACGGAAAGTATTGCGAGCAAGCGACGGAGGATCTCGAAGACACTTGGCCCGATGGTGAACGCTGAGCGCGTCGAGGCACTCGCCCCGATCATTCGGTGCCTTGGCCCAGAGGTTCTCGACCGCGAGGACTTGTCGGACGAGACCACCGTGCCCGCCGCTTTGCTGGCGGCGATGGAGGCCAAGGTAAACGACCAACGCATGGCATTGCAAGAATCGAGGGCCCTTGTCAAGGAACTCCGTCGTCTTGTGGAGTCTCTTGAGACGCAGAACAACGGATATGCCGACTCTGTCAATGCAATCCAAACTAAGCATCTTGTGGCTGTTGAAGAGAGAGCCAAGTTCCATCGCGAGAGGGACTCTGCGCTTCTCGAGGTCAAGAGGCTCTCAGAGCGCCTGCAAGCTGCCGAGGAAGCAAAGTCTAAACTTTCCGATGAAGTCACCAAGCTTAAGGCTGCTCTACCCCAGAAGAAATCGACTGACAATCCTGGTGCAACCGAAGCTGTCCCCTCTTCTTCGCCTTCCGCCAACCCCCCGCAGGAGGGACAAGAAGCCAATCCCCAGGACGAGAAACTGAAGCAAGCAACAGCAGAAGTGCAGCGCCTCACTCGGAAAGTAGAAAACGCCGAGCGCGACCTTGACTACACGCGCCAAGCGTACCAGAACGCCTCTCAGTCAGCCAGCGACCTCGGCAACGAGAACCGCGAGCTCTCCGCGCGGATCCAAGACCTCGAGCACAAGGCCTCGGAAAACCTCCGCCAGATCCACGAAACCAACCTCCGCAATCAGATTGACCAGCTCGGCAAGATCAACGACGAGCAGACGACGACCCTGCGCGAGCGCGAGTGGGAGCTTGATCGGCTGCGCGATGAGGTGAGGGTGCTCAAGGCCGCTAGGCGAGAGACGAGGCAGTCGAGCGTGCCGAGGAGTCCGCGGATGGGCATGATGAGTCCTAGGACCGGGGGTAGGGTGTCGGCGAGTAGGGGGTCGAGTCCGGCGCCGATTAGTGAGGTGGGCGGCGGGCCGGGGGTGCCGTTGTTTAACCAGCAGCCTGGAAATGGACGGTGGGGACACCTACGTGACTGAGGATATCGATTTTGATAGACGGTAACAAGTTTCTCGGAGAGAGAGAGAAGGGGGGGGAATGCAAAGGAGGTTTTATGTGATGGATGATAGTGTTATTCGGTGAAGACACTGGGTATTTTCTCGCCTTGTGTTCTTGTTCTTCCTGTTTATTTTTTCTTACTTTTCGCCCGGCCTCTGAAAGTAGCCTTACACAGGAGTTCCTTCCAGATTCCTTCCGGTTAGAAGAGGTTTACAGTCGGGGGACAGGCTTGGAGTTGAGATGACGCAGAGTCCATATTAGAACGCTTTGTTTTTTTTTTTTTCCATGTAGTAGACTCATTTGCCGATAGAAAGAGGACATGATTTTTTGATGATGACCCATCGTCCCTTGGATTTCGTGATTATGAATCGCCTTTCGCTGGCTAGGTTCCCGTGTTGCATGTCCGCCGAGGATATTCCATGTCTCCCGATGGAGACGGTGTCGGCCGAGACGGAAGAGATCAAGTCCGCGGTGCGATGTAGCCGGTAAGGAGCGACGACGAGCCTGGTATATGAAAAACTCACATTCTATTTCCCTATCTTCAACTACTCTAGAGCCTGCTATCTTTCAACAACACAAAGAGGATAAGATGTACAAATTCCAGACTTTTTGAGAGTCCGAAACCTTGAGGTGTGTTCAAAAAACCCGTTCCCTTTTAATCCCACGACCCCCGGTGTTTGTGCTTTTTCTTTCCAAAGCGAATATACAGATTGTGGTGGAGATTTTTCTTTTTTTTTTCTTTACACATTCGGGGTTTTCTCGTCTATTCGGTTCGGTTCGGGGGTTTTCGAAATTAAAGGTTCGGGTTTATTGATGTTCTTTTTCTTTCTTGCGAAAATCTATTTCTTCTCCTCAGGGTAGAGGTCCTCCTTGAGCTCGATGCCGAACTCCTCGCGGAGGGACTTAAGCTCGTCAAGGTACTGCTTGTATTGCTCGGGGGTCTCGACCTTGGCCTTGATAGCTGTAGATGGGGGGGAAGAGGTTAGTTAGTATAGAGCCTTTTCTATTTGCAGGCGCTACGGGAGCAATTGGCAGAACAGGAGAGGGAAAGAAGGATTGCGGGAGTGGAGAGACGATTTCCGGAGTGTGGAGACAGCATCTCCGCGGCCGAGGAATCGGCGAATGGGCAAGGCAAAGAGAAGAAAATTCAAGACCCTCAGGGTATGCGCCGTTGCCAATTGCCCCCTCGCATGCCCTTCCCATCCTCCCTCTGACAATTGAAAATCGAAAAGTCTCATACCTTCAAAGACGCGGACGGCAGTGGCGAAGTCGTTGACCCTCCTCGCGGCGTTTAACGCAGCGACGATCACGGAAGGAGCAGGGACGAGATCGTAGGCGAAGGCATTGTTGAGGTTGCGCTAGGTAGAGGGCGTTTGCGTTAGTGTTGGTGGTGGTGAAATGTCAGGCCACTGACAGGGATTGGGAAAAGGCTGGCTGGCATTGCCGGGAGTGCCCGAGAGACAGCGAGAGAGCCTCAATTGCAAAACCAAACGGGCCCATTGGGATCTTACCTGGAGCTCGAAAACATCCTGAACCTGCTCGAATTCCTTCTCGAACCTGAACGAATTAAATAATTGGCGTTAGCGACGGAGAATTCCAGTTATTGTTTTCCTTTGTTTTCATTGACGGGCGAGGCTCGGCGTGGTGAATTCAATTGCGTAGGAAGGGCGCGGCGGCTCTGGTTGATCCTCGGGATAAGGTGGCATGATTGGGGGAAATAACTCAGTAGCAACCGAGCTTTTTTCTCATCGATGCCGACCAAGCCAGAGAGCCAAAAGAAACGAAGTGGAAACAAGCGATATGAAGAGACTCACCTCGCATTGAAGTCCTCAAAGGTCTCCTCGTGCTCGGCGTTGCGGCGGACGGTGGTGGTGAAGCTCGCGGAGCTGACAATGCGACCGGGGACGACAACTCGGGAAGCGAGAGGTTGGCGCAGGCTGGCGCGGGCGAGAGTCGAGACACCGCGGGTCACTCGGAGAAGGGCGAAGGAAGACATTGTTGTATTTTTCGAACGAGGGGAGGGAATTCAATTGCCCGGAGTAGAAGAGGTTTTCGAGCGAGGAAAGAGGAATTCGACCGGCGTGTCGGGGTTTGAAGAGGGGAGCTTGAGGAAGTAGGTTTGAAGCTTTGAGTAGGAGTGGAAATTAAATTTTTCGGTCCTCTTTTTTGGGGGGGTGTTTTTTCACGGCTCAGGTGCTCAGGTGCTGGCAGGCTTTTGAGTGCAAGTTCCACAGACCCGGGGACAATTGGGAACCAAGGGAACGAATGGGCGGCGCGCTGTTTGGGATGATGGAGCCTTAATTGTTGGTCAGCACTGGCTGTGATTGGGTGACTAAGCATAGGCTGACACTGTTGCTCATTGCCTTGTTTGTCCGGGTCATGCCATGGACAGTGTGAATTGGGTTTCCATTCTTGCAGTTAGTCGAGGGAGTCGATGGAAGAGTCGGCGGAGGTCCTCGGAGAAGAGCGTCACGAACGACGAGCAGTCAGTCAATCTATCGTGGGAAGTGCAGGGGTGTCTTGTTTCTGGAAGGGATGGGAAGAAGATGGTGTTTTCAGGCCAATTGAGCCTCTATGTAGTTTATTGTCCCCGTTTGCCATAAATATGCCACATCCTTCCCCAGCATGCCTCTGTTGGCTGCAGCATGTAGTACATTCATGGATCCCGCCCGTTTCGTCATAGCAGCTCTGTCCCAAATCCTGGCATCATCAATGGGCTGGACACCATTCGCTGGCTCTTTCGCCCGAGATATTCGATAATGTCCCTTGCAATTGTTCGAGCAAATCTTACTTTGTCCCACATTTTCTAGGCATGCGTCAATATGGCAGAAAGCAGCAATTGTGTCCGGCCCTGATAGGCGTTGTCTGCGCGAAGCGACAATCGCATTATTACTCGCCATCCAGGAAATGAAAGGTCCAGACGGGACCGAGGCTCAACTTCAGAACGGGAGTGCCCAGTAAGGTTGATCGTATTCCCTCAGTTTGACAGTCCCGCAATATTTTGAACCCGTGTGTACTAGTGCTGCCTGTTTAAATACCTGGAACCTGGGGCACAGCACATTGAGGTCTTCTCAGCGCAGCAGCTGAACGATTTGATCAATGGACGGTACCGAGTCCCGCTCTCGATAGCTCTTCTGCTCGGAAGCAATTGATGTCTTGTGCCTTTTCTTGCCGTGGATTCAATCGCTCAACAACATTGCAACATCGAACAATAGCGGCGTGTCAGCACTACTTCGAATCCAGGTACCAATCGAAGCGCCCCAACATCACCGTGGTACATCCTTGACAGGTCAACTGGATCCCATCCAATTCGACGCTGCCCAATTTCCCCACGTGCAAGGGCCAAGAAAGGACCAAGACAGGACCAAATTTTCTAAGTCTAGCTTCGTTGCGCCATTTCATTGGCCCATGAGAGGAATGTAATCGAAATCGCAGTGTGGGCTGCAATCACATGCGACCGACTGCTGTTGTTCGTTCAGGAGGACACCTTCCCAAATCAAAAGCCACGGCAAGCACGAATTGCGCCTGCCGCAAGAAGCTTCAGTGGTGATCCAGACTTAAAACGACGTCAACGTCCAATACGAACCATCTTCATGTGTTAGAGAGGAGAGGTACATTATACGACCGGAGATAGAGACAGGCTGAGAGTTCGAGACCGGACAGATCAAATCAACGATATCAAATGTCCATTTTGGTTGTTTACTCGCAAAAGCCCAAGACGCGCACACGAAGGGTAGCAACAGCAGGCTAGTCAAATGTCTATGGCCTTCTAGCTCCAGCTAAGACACCGAAGTCGAAATGTTCCCAGTTCGGCCTTCCACATCCTTTGTAGTACTACAAAAGTCCTCTTCAGAGCGCGCAAGCATAAAGTACTATTCTCCCAACACCTTTTAAACTCCAGATCTGCGGCAGTCGGCGCGGGAGACGAACGGAAATAATGTAACAGAGTCGTACGAAGTACACCAGGCTTTGCACATACGAGAGAGCCGCAGGATGCAAGAGAAAAGCATCAATATCAATGATCAATGAGATTGATCAGAGCGGACGAGCCGAACCCGCAACAGGGGCCCGCAAGGCCATTAGCATTGGATGTGTCTGGTGCGGGCACTGATGGGTTAATACAAGATTTTGGACTATGTTGTCGAGCGGTGGCTCTACAAAGGTAGATGTGGCTCTACTTCGTACCTAGTGTCGTGTAATTGTAATTGCAAGGTACCTTGGCGCCGTTCGGGATTTTCCACATCCCTGAGAAATTCCTCGGGTGGCTCCTTCTCCCCTATTGTTGATAAAAATCTCCCAGCATTTCCGCCTCGACCGAAAATCCAGGAAAGCCCTTTCTCACGCTTTTATCCCCTTTTATCCTCAACACTATTAATCATACAAATTATTCTCTCCGGCTGCCCTCCAGCCTTTCCCTTTCTCTCTTCAGGTCCTCTTTTCCTTTTGAGCCTGTCTTCTATCTTCTTGTCACTCTTTTATCTTTCTTATTCATACAAGTCTACAACTGTCAGCCATCCTCGGGGGCCCCAACCAACAAGAGATCTTCATTCGTAACACCAGTTACCGCGTCTTCCGAAAAGGGCTACCCTGTCCTCCTTGGGATCTCCCCGTTCCCAAGAACTGCAACGACGACAAGGGATTTTTTCCCCAAGACAGAAATTTCTTTTTCCTTTCTTTTTCTTTTGTTTCTTTATTCTCTTTTTCTTACCCTCGAGAGAACCATCCCCTTTTCCATCCTCCCCCCTTGTTCTCGTGAGAGTCAAGGGATCCTAATTTTTCTCCTCGGCTACTCTTCCCTCTCTCTCTCCCTCCCACGCGCCCCTTTTTGCCTCGCGGAAGAACTCGATTTTGCGATCCGATCAACCGGCATCCACAGAACAGACACACGCAATGGACACTCCCGTCACGCCTCCCGCGGAAGCAATGGCGTACCCGGTCATAAGCCAGTTTGGCGCGCCCACCCTCGATCGTCCCTTTGGCATTGCGCTATGGCCCATATTCGACAAGGTCTTCACTCGCGTCGTGGGATACTCTGCCAATGACTTCAGGTTCGAGGCCGGAGTTACTCCCATGTCCACCCTCAAGGAGACGGGCATCTTTATCGTCTTCTATTACCTCGTCATCTTTGGCGGTAGGGAGCTAATGCGCAACCGCGAGCCCTTCAAGCTCAAGGGCCTCTTCTTAATCCACAACCTCTACCTGACCCTCATCAGCGGTATCCTCCTGGCTCTCTTCATTGAGCAGCTCTTCGGCACTGTCGTCCGTGGTGGTATCTTCCACGCCATCTGCCACAGGGAGGGTGGTTGGACCCAGCCTCTTGTGGTTCTGTACTACGTGAGTTTTTTTACCCTCTCTCCCGATCCCTACCCCAATTGACACTGGAGAGGCGCATGTGAAAACCCGCCCAGATGCAGGTTTACTGACTGTGAGCACGCGACCTATAGTTGAACTACCTGACCAAGTATCTTGAACTACTCGACACCGTCTTCCTGTTCCTAAAGAAGAAGCCCTTGAGTAAGAACCTTGTCGACCCCATATTAAGACCAGATAGGTCACCACACACCTCGAGCCGAGGAGTACGCTGACAGCTCTTTTTTTTTCTTCGCTTCTAGCCTTCCTTCACTGCTACCACCATGGTGCGACTGCTCTCCTATGCTACACTCAACTTCTCGGCTCTACTGCTGTCTCCTGGGTCCCCATCACCCTTAACTTGACCGTCCATGTTGTCATGTACTGGTACTACTTCCAGTCCGCCCGAGGTATCCGTGTCTGGTGGAAGGAGTGGGTGACAAAGCTCCAGATCATCCAGTTCATCATCGATCTTGGTATGTAACGACGGGCAATAGATCTTCATTGATAACCCCAAACCTCCCCTTTTTTTTTTCCCCGGTTCTGCAGAAGGAGCGAGCAGAAATGCTAACTCATCACCCTTCTCTATCTAGGCTTCGTCTACTTCGCCTCGTACACGTATTTCGCGTCGACGTATTTCCCCCACTACCCCAATGCTGGGAAGTGCGCCGGAGAGGAATTCGCCGCTATCGCTGGTATTTCGATCCTCAGCTCGTACCTCGTCCTCTTCATCTCGTTCTATCTCGCCACGTATAGGAAGGACGCCAAGGCCCCTAGTGGACGCAAGGCTGTCCGTCGCATGAGCCAAGCTCCCCTCCCCGACCCCCACGATATCATTGTGGGCAAGAGCGCTGCGCCCTCCACCAACGGCAAGGCTGTCTCCACCGGAGCCAAGGCCAACGGCACCTCGACACGTTCCCGCCGCGCCCTCTAAACGGTACCTTGGGGGCGGCCAACAAAGAGGACGGGGGATGAGGGTCTAATGGGCTGCAAAGTTGTGGTAATGGGACTCTTCCGTCCTTCCGGTTGGGTTAGGGAATCACTCCTTGTTCAATATCAGCAAGACTATGACACAGGGCCGACGAGAAGTTTGGAAATATCACTCACGGCTTGATCTCTGAGGAATGGCTACCCCCCGCGGCCATTTTATACGTCCAAATCTTCGCCTTGTCACACTTTTCCGTCGGAGAGGGTCTCTTGTCTTCTCCCCTCGAAGATCCCCGTGTTTGGAAAGCGATTTCGTTCCAATCCCATGAGTCTTGTTGGGCGGGTAGCCCCCCTAGGCGGGAGTTGCTGTCGAATTTCTTTTTTATCCTTTTTCTCCCTCGGTCTAGGAATCACGGCAGCGCTCCGAGTGTCCTCTTCCATCAATTTTCTAAGGTTTTTTTTTTACTGGGCCGGTTTTGGGTTGCAGGTGGGGAGTTTTTCATGTCTTGAGCTCTCATGATGTTTTTGTACGTTTTCACAAAGGGGACAAAATCACTGTTTTCACGGCATCAAGGGGCAAGCACAAAACGATGTGTTACGTGTGTGTGGCGCATACAATACACTTGGCATGGTTGGGCCCTCGGGGGAAGCGAAGGAAAAGAGGAAGAAAAAAGCAAAGGGGGAAGAGAAAGGAAGAAAAGCAACAGAAAAATGGGGAAACGGAAGTACTCGAGGTCATCTTACGGCCCCCTCTACCGACGAGTTGTCTTCGCAGGGGCGGTTGACAAAGGGGGGCCATCAGCATATAAACTGGGCAAAAAGGGGTGAGCAAAAAAAGGGAGGGGGTTTGGTATATCTTGGGCTATTCTTCTCTTGCTCTCTTGTTTCCTTTTATCTCCTTCTTTCCTTTCTCTGCCTTGTCGTTTCTACACACTCGCTTCCTGTCTGAAGTTTCTGGGGAGAGCAAGGGGAAGATGGCTCATGATTTACCAAACCCGGCTGTTCATGTATACTCTCTTTTTAATGTTTTCTGTCTCTCTCTTCTCTTTTTCTATAGCCTGCCCCTCTCCTCCTTTTTCCGGGCTCTTTTCTTTTTTTTTTCCTGTTGTATTTTTACATCCCTTTTTTTTTCTCTTTTTTTTTCCTCAGCTCAACCTACTGAGGGCGCTACTTTGTTGGATCATGTTGAGGGATTGGTGGGATTGGGGAGAGGTGGAGGTCGCTATTATACATTGAGTAGTAATTAATAACTTATCTGTATATCTAATCATGAATTCTCTTACACACTGTTCCTCGTTTTCGGGTTTTGGATTGCTTAGTCTGGTTCTAGCCTTGTGATACATCGGAGGGGGAGGAAGGTCAGTCTGGGGGTGAGTGGAGGGACGCTGGGGAGTGTTGCTTAAGGCAACAGGGGATACGCCTCTCCAAGCCAAAGAGGTTGAGGAGGGTTTGGTGGTGAGGATATAGATGAGGTACACAGGGGATGCTGACGGCGAGACCTCAGAGATCGGGGAAGACATTGGGGTGGGCATCCTCTGCCAAGCTTGAGTTGACAGTCAGAAAGGAGCTACTCTCTCACGGCCAGAGCGCTGGTTTTCATGACAACATTGCAGCGTTTGTTAGCCGGAGGCGTCTCTGTTCTTATGACAACACCCAATCCGGGATCCGGCGACCTAGGGCTCTCAGGCTTCAAAGTCGGCTCTCTCTTCTCGGAGGGGACTGGCCGGAAGATGCAAGGGGGCCCAAGAGCACTCGGGTGATCTGTCGACAGAGGTAGTCGGCTAGTACATTCGTAACAACGAGTGTGAAGTGGGTTGCTGTTGCTTTAACCCCTCCCAATATTCCTTCTCATCTCTCCTTCGGCATGTCATGGGGAAAGCTTCTAGGCTGTTCCGACTCTGCATGCCATCGTCGCGCCCTCCCCTCCCAACACTCTCGAAAGGATGCTATTCTCGGGCGGATTCCATGCTGATCTAGAAACCAGGATCGTGCTTGTGCTCCGGCATGGCCTGGCCCAAGTGGATAGTCGACATGCTCTAGATTTCGGTGAAGCTTATAAGGCTCCCCGGGCACTTTGCTCCTCTTCGAGACAGATCAGGGAGATGGACCAAACACGACGATATATCGCCCACGCGTCAAGAAGAGGACAAGATAGTCCAAATGGAAAGGCAAAAAGGAAGGGAAAGGAAAAAAGAAAAAGAAAAGAAAAAGAAAAAAGAAAAGATTCGCCGAACTTGTGGTAGACAACTCTTGTCGACGGGTGATTCACAGACCACAGGCTATCCGCCACTCGTTGACGACCGTGTTACTCGACATGATCTCATGTACCGTTTTCCTCACTCGCTGTAAGATGCCAGCGGCAGAGGACCAACTTGACGGATACGGGAAAAGAGTTTCCGCTCTTCTAGTTTAAACACTAGAATAAGTGACGACCACTTACACCGACCCCCTCGTTTCCACAATGAAAAGAAAACTCTCTTGAACGAACGTCCTGAAACGAAATGCTTTGCAGGGAGGTTTCCACACTGCCTTGGTCTCGATTCTGTGCCTGGCAAACGGCGGAATCGACGTCATCGGCGTAACCGGTGAGAGCACGCCATTGTTCGTCTATCTAAACAACTTCAGCGTCTTGTGTACCGAGCGACCGGGGCCGAGTAGTGGTGTTCGTAGGTCCATGTTCCACCTTCTACAGCAGTATCGGCTCGAACCACTTGTATATTTGCTACAGACTTATACTAGTAAAACAGGGAGGAAGAAACAAAGGTGGGAAAGTGTTGCGGCTGTCTAAGAAAGTAGGCTGTTCCGTTTCGTCTCGTGCTCACTCATACTTGGGGTCACACTCGGTAACTGCAAGGGTGGGCCGGTCATCGTTCGCATTGTTTCCGCCTTGCTGCCCACCAACACCAGCGGAAACGGACATATTGGGAACACAATGTCATCGGGCGGACATGACCGATGACGAACCTCATGACATCCGGCCGAATGGGGAGAAGAAGAGGAGAAGGGGAAAAATATTCCACCGTCATCCCGTCCCGTGCTTAGTTTTCGTCCCGAGAATAGGCGATATCTTAACTACGGAGTAGACGGAGAGATAGAGAAATTCAGAACTTCAGGTTCAGAACTTCATGGACTCGCCACACCTCCCGGCAACTCTGCTAAACGATGCTGGCTCGCCACCAAAGATGTGCTAGATATGGCATCTCGCCCTGCACATACCACCCAACAGGATAAGCGAAGAAGCGGAAAAGCGGTACGGGGGAGAAGACTCGGTTACGGCAATATAGTTTTAGACACGCGAATTGCTAGCCAGCTTCTGAAATAGTATCGAAGGAGGATAGAAGCCCGCGGCGGAAACGGATAGAAGAGGAGACACGTCCTCTCGCTTGTTTATATTACAGATTTTAATCAAGAGGGACCAACTAGCAAACCCATTGCTTTGGGACGGATAGAGTATAACACTAATATCGCAGATGTCGCCTTAGACTTTAGTGGGGGGTGGAAAGAAGCGAGCGAGAGGGGCACGGGAAGAGAGAGGGTGGTAGGAGTGGCTGGAATAATACGGATAAAAAGATGGGATGGAAGAGAGGCGCATCGCAGTTGCAACGACAGTGGGGGAATAATAAGGAAATCGTTGGATGAGCGGTGAGGAGAGAGAGAGGGTTGCAATGAACGATGGTCCATGTTGACTAGACGTTTGGGAGGGTTGCATTTTGAATCTTGTATCTATTAAAAGGAGCAGACTTGAGAAGACTTGAGAAGACTTGAGCGGACTTGCGATGCGTGCTATTAAACCCCATGTACGAAATAGGCTCATAGGAAGTATGAAGGGGCTCCAGGTTGGGCCGATGGACGTGAGGGGTGTGCCTGTTGGATGTAATCTAAACCGAGACTCATCTCGTCCAGTTGGGTATGCACTATTGCGCATACTTCGGAGGTGTTGAAGGTCGGTGTCGTTGGTCGAGACGGACCAACTCGGTGGTTGGGTCGTCTCACAAACTCGACGATATTGTACAGAAATATTGCCACAGCTCAACTTGCTGGGTAGTTCTCTTCCATGGAGATGGCCACGATGCATCCGTGCTAAAGGTGGTGAGAGACTGACATCAATTGATCAATTGCAGAGTCATCGGGTCGAGTCCGCAGCATCATCATCACCATCATCATCATCACCATCATCATCATCATCATCGTCATATCACCAACTTGTTCCAACCCATTTGGAGGCCCTAACCCTGCACTGGCCCGAGCCGCTGGAATTCAAAAGGGAGATCGTCACGAGGATGAAAAAAAAAAGCTGGAACCAGTAATCAAGATAGGCTCGGTCCAATAGAGAGGATGGGGGATATGCGCGGTAAAGTGCTTCTCCATTAGAAACCCGTACCAACTTTTCAAGTCGACTGGGACGGCTATGGGGGATGTTCCTTGACGGTTCGTCGTCGTTGGCTGGATCCGAGGGCGCCATCCAATGTTCGTCCTGGTTGGCCTATCCCAGCATCGGAGGAGCCAACATCAATTGATCCTTCAATTGGCGCAAGGCTTTCTCGCCCCCTTGGCCATCTTGCTCAAGATCCATCAATCTCTTCCAGACCCATTGCCTGAGGCCAAAGGGCGACGGGGCCAACAGGAAAGAAAACAAAATAAAATCAGAGAAACAACAAGAGGTTCGTGCCTTGTTCTCTTCCTTGTCCGTGCCTTGTTTTGTTCCTTGCTAGCTTCTTGACACCCTTGTCTGTTTGTCGTTCGACCCTGAACGCGTCGAGAACAAAATAAGGGCCCGCATTGAACGGTTTTTCGTTGATTCGGCCTGCCGCTAATGCCAGACTTGAGCGTTTTGGGAATTTAGAGACGAGTTAAATCTAAATCCCTGAACTAAAGAGATGGTTTGATATTGCATTGGGTCGTTGGTGAGAAGGAGTGAGGAAAGGTACGAAGGACGCTGCAGAGGTACAATGCAGCACAGTACAGCCAAACAGTATTACTCAGTCCACTCCTCGGTACTGCCGTCCC